ATAACGACCCTCCAAAGTCAACTGTTCGACCACACCCATATGCAAGCGGACGGAGCAGCCCAACAACTACCCAACAGCCAGTTCTCAAGACGGATCCTCGCCTTTTTGAACAGGTCCAGCCCAGGCTGTGGGCAATCCAGCCGGAAGAAGAGTTAGTTGGGGATACTGCCATGACGAATGGACAAGCCCTACTCTTACATCTCCAAACGTCGCAGACATATGCGTCGGCTCATATCATTAGGCGGTTGTGCGAATTGAACAAGATGTTTGAAGAGCAACCACAGGGTCCTGAGACACAAACACTCGACCTGGGCTCGATCAATGACCTGCAGGACGCGGAGTATCTAGAGTATAAGCGGACGACGGAAGGTCTCGAATGCAAGATCAATGTTGTCGAAACCACCCTGTCCCGGTTCGACAACTATTGCCAAAGAAGAGTTGCTTTCTCACGGGATCGCACTCTCAACAGCTACACATACTTGCACCGACCATACCTCATGAGCGGGGAAGCAGGATCGAGCATAAAGAAACAAGTGGATCGAGTCCTCCATGCCCGCGAGGCACGGAGTGCCAGGAGGGAACAACGATCGAAGGAGAAAGTAGTGGATCGATCACGCTCACGATCGCCGGTAACGGTCAGACGACGCACTGTCATTCCAGAGCGTGAAAGATGCACTGACCACGAGGATCTCGGAGCAATCACGCCGCACTGGCCTGAACTTTGCCCCAAGAGACACGGTAGCGATCATGAGCAGTACTCTGCCTGAAGCAGGTGAGCCCCGTTATCCTGAACCCAATCATGTTGACACGCCTATCAGTTGTGAAAGAAGAAGAAAGTCAAGACTGCATTATTAACTATAGTGCTGTTTCTGTGAACGCTTTGCAGGAGGTTACCAGCAAAACAATCCCGGAGCACAAACACGCTAGGTTATCAATGCCGGTGGAGCCACGAAACAATTTGTTGTCGGCGGATGTTACAAATAAAACAGTTGAAGTGGTAAACAACCCGAGTCTTGATGGTGTAAGAAGGAAGAAAAGTAGGATGAAGAAGAAAAAAAAGATCGTGTTGTCCAACTTTGCGATGTCGGTTCATCTAGGTTCATCTCCTTTGCATCCTCTTGACGGATGGGAAAGTAGAGTTGATGCTGACATGGCTGCATTGAAAGGAAAAGATCAAGTATGGTGCTGTTGGTGTAATCAAGGAAGATGTTGTTGATTGTGCTCTTGGTGCGTACAAGGTCGAGGATGACAAAGATGGACTTTTTTCAAATAGTACACATTTGGTAAATAACCCAATGATGACGTTGTGTACAATGGTTACCTTTTCGAATTTGGTGACGGTGATTTCGGCAATTGTGCAAAAGACATATGGATCTGCCAGACGCAAGAATCAACCAGACAATCGTTTGTTTATTCCCGTCAGGATTCATGGAGATCAGCACCTTGCGCTCATCGACACAGGAGCCACTCACTCGTTCATCAGCTCAGGAATAGTCAGCAAATATTCGATCCCAGTCAATAAAATGAAAGGGTACATCGAGTTAGCGGATACATCGACTATTGCACGCATCGGCGAAACAGAGAACATGGAGGTTATCTGTGGAAAGAATTTGCTTTGCGCACCATACGAAGTTATTGATCAACCCCACGCCATCACCATTGGTATGGATCTCTTTCATCGGTATGGCTTCAACATCATAGGTTTACCTGACCCAGTAGAGTCTCCTGATCGAGTACCTATGCCTGTTGAGGACGAGAAGCCGACTCTCATACCTCTTATGACACCCCCTGTGGAGACGACGCGGGAGTACATCGAGGAAAAGAAGTCATTTATGGAGTGCGTCAAGGAGCTACTGGAGGAGAACGCAAGGATCCCTTCCACCAGCTTTTGCCCAATTCCGGAGATGAAGGTGTTTTTACCTGTACCGGAGGGCATTACTTTGAATCGACGTTCAAGAGTGTTCGCTCAGTCACAACGACCCATTCTGGATGACGCAGTGGATCGCTGGTTGCAGGACGATGTAATTACACTGGCACCGGCTGGTAATCGTCACAACAACACTCTGACGCTCGCAGCAAAGAAGGATGCAAATGGTGAGAAAACCCTTTATCGTGTTTGTCTTGACCCACGCCCTCTCAATGCTCACTTACCTGATGACAATTTTCCTGTACCTCTTATATCAGAGATCATGCAGTTTGCAGGAGGCAATGCTGTGTTCTCGACGGTGGATTTGCGTCAGGCTTATCATCGACTTCCGATTCATAAGGAAGACAGACCGCTTACAGCATTCACGCACAATGGAGTACAGTACATGTTCAAGAAAGCCCCTTTCGGCTTAAAGCCCTTGTCCAGTCTGTTCCAACGTGGAATGTCAAGGATTCTCGGCGATTTGGATTTTGTCCGCAATTTTATTGATGACATTCTGATTGCTTCGAAGGATCGAGCGGACCATCTTGCGCATGTTATGGTTGTCATTGAACGTCTGACCAAAGCCAAACTAATTATCAACATTGAGAAATGTAGATTCTATAGCACGCAGGTAGCATTACTTGGATTTGTAATTAATACCGCCGGCAGACGTGTGGACCCGAATAAGTTGGTGAACATTCAGGACTGGAGCCCGCCGACCACTGGAAAGCAGGTTCAGTCGTACATGGGCACGTTCAACTTTTTTCGGGAGTATATGCCTCTTATCAGCACTGTTGCGGCACCGCTGGACGCGCTACGCAATGTACCTGGATCCTTCGTATTAAACGACATTCAATTACGGTGCTTCAATTCATTAAAGAATATTCTCACACAAGCTCCAGTACTTTCTTTTCCGGATTTCGGCCTACCCTTTTATGTTGCCACAGATGCATCAAATGTTGGTGTCGGAGCGGTTCTGTATCAGTTACCGGGAGGCGAAGGTGAACCTGAGAATATTAAATATATCTCTTTTGTAGCGCGATCGTTACAGGATCGGGAAAGGAGATATTCGGCTACTCAAAAGGAGCTACTCGGGATTGTGTTCGCCCTCAAGAAGCTACATTATTATTTGTGGGGCAACCATTTCACGCTCTTCACGGATCATCGAGCTCTCACCTACATGCATACGCAAAAGGACTTGAACTCAATGCTCACCGGATGGCAGGAGTTGATCTGGTCATACACGTTCAAGGTTGTTTATCGCCCTGGCGTGCTTAATGTGCTTCCAGACGCTTTGTCTCGCCAGTTCCCGCCGGAGTTGTGGACGGGAAGAACAGAAGGTTCAGCGCCGACAAAGATTTATGGATACATGCATTTGATCCAGGATTCAACTACTCCTCGTCAAACAGTGAAGGTCTCTGAAAGGAGAACTATCCTAGCCGACACCCATGCACTTGGTCACTTTGGGACCAATGCCATGGTAAAACACATTCACGGAGTGGACAAGACCTGGCCTAATCTAGCCAAGGATTGTTTGGAGTTCGTTCAACGTTGCCAACAATGCCAGCGAAACAATATCGCTCGCAAAGGGTACCACCCAATGAAGGCCGTTCATGCTCAGTTCTCAGGAGAACACATGGCTGTTGATCTAGCCGGACCTTTTCCTGTGGATAGCGGAGGTAATCGATTCCTTCTCATCTTAGTCGATGTTTGTACAAGATTTGTGTTCCTTGAACCTATACCGAACAAGGAGGCACTCACCGTCGCAAAGGTGTTGTTCAAAACATTTACTTTGATCGGTTTTCCCGCCATTCTACAATCTGACAACGGCAGAGAATTTGTCAATGGGGCAATTAAAGTAATGACTACTAATTTAGGTGTGGACCATCGGTTGGTCACTCCTTATCACCCCAGAGGCAATGGTGTTGCCGAGAACCACGTCAAAACGGCGTGTAGCATTATCAGAAAAGAAATCGACGACCAGAAACAAAGTTGGGCATTACATGTTCCTATGGCACAGCTGGCCATGAACACGAGAATTGTGGCTCTTCACAACTCTTCGCCTTTTTCTTTGTTTTTTGCAAGGCGATTTAATGGACTGAGTAATCTCTCGGATGAAAAGGGTGTTATTCCTTCTCATGAAGTGCTCTTAGAACGCCTTGAATACATGACCAAGGTTGTTTTCCCAGCAATTCAAACCAAGACACGTGACACTCAACAGCGAATGATTGAGCGTTTTAACAGAACGGTACTGCACAATGAGTTCCCAGATGGAGCAAAAGTAATGTCTTTGGATCCTATTAGGGGTGACAAGCTATCGCCTCGTTACGAGGGCCCCTACACTGTTGTCCGCCGCACCACTGGTGGTTCTTATGCTCTCAAAGATGGGACAGGAGAATTACTGGGGCGCAATTTCGCACCATCACAGCTAAAGCTGGTACTGGACGACTTTGAGGAAACAGAAACTTACGAAGCGGCCCCTTCATGTGCAGAGGATATAAAAAGGCATATAAAAAATATCCAAAGCCCAAGGAACGGAGTGTTTACTTCCATAACTGACATATCTCTTCATAGTGGGCAACAGAACACAGAATAAAATAGCAATAGACAGCACAAGAATTTTTAAAATGTAATCTCTCCCCTGTATTTCGCCCCAAAGATACAGTTGAGAGTACAAGTGCTTTAGATGATGACATACAAGAACTACTCTGGCGAATCTTGCAGTGAGGGTTACAGGTTAATAGTAGATGGACATATTCAAGAGTGTGGTGTGCGAAAAATAAGAAGACTTTGTTGTTTGGAGAATAGGTTGGTGTTTAGTAGGATAGTTAAACAAAAAATGTTACAATGGTTGTCTTATATGCTTGGTATCATACATACACTCTCCTCTAATGGACGCGGTGGATATCGTCAAGATCTGCAGAGATGTAACAAACACCATATGATAATTTGGACTTGAAAGGCCTCCTAGGTGGAAGTGTCGAAGACATGTTACATTTTTAAAAAGTTCATGCTATATATACAACCACAAATGCCAACTGTTGACAATTGGATAGTTTTTAAAATATCTACTCTTCATCTGTCTCAACAACTACCAAAACTTTACATCTGGAGAGTACAATTTAGGCAATTCCTCGATCGTGAACCCCATGGCAATTAACTTCTGCTTTTGTTTGTTGTTGGTAAATTTGTCTCGACTATAGTTACTGTCACCGTTTGCAGGTATCTTATACAGCAGTCCAACAATAATGTCCTCTTCGTACCTCTTGAGCAGATGACATCCGTCGAAAAGGTAGTTGGTTGCATATTCATGCTTCTTGTCAAACGAACATGTTGTCCATTTAATTTCGTCTTTATCTATGACGATTATACCCGAGGAGCTTTTATCTTTAGGGTACCTTTTCCACATAACATCCTCAGCATCTTTATCATCCTCAGCATCTTTATCATCTTCAGCATCTTTATCACCCACCGCATCTTTGTCATCCTCAGCATCTTTATCGCCCTCAGCATCTTTATCATCCTCACATGTGCTCTCATCTTTCTGTGGCAAGCTTTGCTTATGCTCATGCGGTTTAAATCCCATAGCAAACAACTTCTCTTTTTCCTTCTGGCTAAGAGAATGACACTCTACATTCTCTGCAGCAATATGGTCATCAGTCATCAAGCCGATTACAGTGTCTTTTTTGCGCATCTTGAGAATGTGCATTCCATTTACAAGTACATTCTCGGAATATTCCAAGTACTTGTTAAGTTTTTTCCATATCACCTTGGATTTATCTGTTGGTCCTTCTACTGGTACTTCTTCTTCTACTTCGATCTCCTCGTTGAAAAGCGTCTTTCTCTCTTCATCAGACAATGGTTGAAGTTTCATCTTGCTAAGCATGGAGCGTTCCAAGATATCCAACTCTGGAACATCACCGACACCGCGCAGAGCATCAAGCGTAAACAGGCCAACGTATGTATTCTTTCCAGATAGCCTGACAATGTACTTGCCATTCATCGTAAACTTAGTTGCATACTCAAGCATGTCGTTATTAGGATGAATCATCCATCCTCTGTCCTTCGCACGTGCTATGTCTTTCTCTGATCTAATGTTATGCACCGTTGTGGCCAGTGCAAATGTATGTTCATCTTTTCCATCCTTAGAAACGTCTACATTAGAAGATGGCTCTGCATTTTTGGGCATCTTTGAAGGCCTTTTCTTTCGAAGAGTCTTCTTCTTATCATCCTTAGATGACTTTTTATGAGATAGTTTTTCATCAGGGTTATCCTTAGAGGTATCATCTCCAGATTCTACATTAGGTCTGTTATTGGACTTGCCATCATCAGAGTCTTTATCATCAGGGGAATCATCGTCAGAGCCAGCATCATCAGACGTATCACCATCATCAGACGTATCACCATCATCTGTATCATCGTCAGAATTCTCATCAGCAGAAGACTCTTCTATTTTTTCTACATCTGCAGGAGTTGCCTCTTGGAGTCCCATCTTTTGCAATATACGTACCTCTTTGTCAGATAATTCCGGTACAGAAAGATTTTTCCCCATGAGCTCAGGTGGACACAATACAACGTAGAGATCCTTTTCCTTCAGCTTAATAATGTACTTGCCATTTACAGTATAGTTTTTTGCATACAGAAAAGCTGGATTAGTTGCATAACGCATCCATATGCCTGTATTAGCGAGTGGTACATTTTTCTTGGACGTTATGTCAACTACCTTTGGACTCAACGGAAAGGAGACGGCAATTTTATCTTCTTCATCATCATCGTCGGACGGCTCTTCATCCTCGGAAGTCATATCGTCATCAGATGATACAAACTTAGAAGTATGTGTCTTCTTTAAAGCCTTGGAAGACTTGGGACGCGTAACGACAGGTGCATTCTTGTTACCACGTTTTATATGACCTCTATCTTGATCTTGATGACGCCCACAGTATGTTTGACCAATTTTGGCTACACTACCACAATTAGCGCCCTTAATGGTTGTGCCTTGACACTTGCGCGCAGGATCGTGGACATAACAATGCATGCCTTCATCGTCAACTTCCTTCATGCATTTACGCTTGGACTTGACGCACTTTGCTCCACAAAAGTAGTATCTCTCCACTTCCTTATCCCCATCAAGCGCCTTAAAGATCTTATTTGCATCTTTCTTGGTAAACTCCACTCCCTTCTTAGAAGAAAATGTCTCGAAGGCCTTGGTGATGAGCTCGATTGTAAGCTGAACGTACTGCATGTTTTTGGATATGAACGATATAGATTGTACTTGTGGTATGGTGGGTGTGAATGACTTTTCAGTTTATGTGTGGTAGATTGCAGCTGCTTAGTACACTGATATAAAGAATTGCAATAAAAGATGGTTGTATAGGTATGGATGGTTGTATAGATATGGATAATGGTTGGTTGGTTACTAGATAAGATAAAGATTAAGCAAGAGGGAAGTGGAGTCCTTTATTTATATTAATTCATGGGACACTGCCACATTGGATATTAATAGCGCTTGCTTATTAACACTGCTTGGCGCTTAGTAACAAAAGAGTTTTAAAAAGGCATCTAAGTGGTTAATAACGTAGTGTTCCTCGTATGACGTAGATCTTGCTTATTAAGACTGCTTGGCGTTAAAGACGGGGTTTAAAAATGGTTAAGAATGTAGTATTCTTTTATGACGTAGGTTTGTACATGTGTTTATCCTCTTTGTTAAATAAAAAGGAATGTTGTAGAATAGCATAGAATAGCATCCGATCTACTACAATAATACCATGACTTTTAATAATAGATACCGGTGCATATTAGCGTCTAGGCAGTTAATACCGTATCTCAACGCTGACTAAATAGGCTATGTATGTCTATTCTTTTAAAAACCTGCAATAAGTCTACAGATTACCATTAACATCCATTTGTCGCTTCGTACCTCTAAGCTCAATGGAAAGACCGGGTTGCATTATTACTGCTTGATCCATTGGTGTGTCCTCATCAACATTAACATCAACATCACCATGAAGATTAATACCAAGAAATTTGTTCTGGAGTTGTGCCATTGTATTTCCATCCTCCACTAGCGCACCAACATCAACATATCCCATTGGTTGCTCAACGTCGTTCTCTGTCGTCGGATACTCGAATCCTTCGCGAAGCCAAGCTGTATGAATTGGTTCTGCAGAAATCTTCAACAAAGCAACCATCTTTTTCATGTTTAAGAGTAACAAAGATAACTTCAACTGCAAATTATATGTTTGTTTCTTATCCACCAACACAGGAGTACGGTTGTTGTGTTTCTCAAATGTGGAACCAAGGTCTGCAAACAGAGATTCCATCTGCGAGCGGAAACTACCAAAGGTGGTATTGTATAACGCTTCTTCCTGTGTAAGTTCCTTGTTCTTCTGTTTACGGTATGGATGAGCGAAATTTTGGACTTTAAGAGTATCAGACTCATCTATAAGCCTCCTTAAGAACTGTGGATACCCTCCATCGAGAGCAATGCAATCCATCTCATGCACTCTCTTGTCCAACTTCATCGTTAGCAGCATTGTTCCATCAGCATTGTTCTTGCAAGATGCAGATTTGGAGACAAATAAAGCCATGCCATTACAATCCATTGCTACCTGTGTGCGTAGTCCTGACTTTTTCAGCTTGTAAGAGTACATATCAGCACTACTCTCACCTTTGTATGTTGCTCTTGTATCATGACCATCAAGATGCAATGTAACATGCTTAAATAATGGAGGATTCTTTTCCTTTGCAGACAAAAGGCGTATTTTAATTGTGGAGAACATTGTTGCAATACAGTTGGTGATGTACTTGTTGTGCAAAGTATATTCTTTCTTATAAAACACAGAGTGCATTGCATGAAAACTACTTTTTGGCATGTGTGGTTCCATTGCTTCCATAGACAGTCCTTTGACAAGATGGTAGAGCATTAAAAGACCTTTCTCCACTTCTTTGTATGGACCAGGATACTTAACCTTTGGCCAGATGTCAACAAGAAAGAAGTACACTGGAATAGGACCAAGGCGTCGATTTAGGGTTTCTTTTATTTCTGGCATATACCCAATTTCCTTGCTTACAGTACGATGATTATTACGTGGTGTAATTGTTGGCCATCCAGCGTTGAGGAAAGTCCAATGGTCATCAAGCAGTTGTTGGAAGTGTTTTGTTAGATCCATAATAATATTTATGTATTGGATTGTCATGACGTTAACCAACAATAACAATTTTTTAAAAAGGCTTATACTTAACTGTATACACAACAGCATGTAGGATGGTATCTATCATACAGCAAGCACATAGTTGAGAATACAAATATATTTTTATATTTTATTCGGTAGCGGCCCCTTCATGTGCAGAGGATATAAAAAGGCATATAAAAAATATCCAAAGTCCAAGGAACGGAGTGTTGACTTCCATAACTGGCATATCTCTTCATAGTGGGCAACAGAACACAGAATAAAATAGCAATAGACAGCACAAGAATTTTTAAAATGTAATCTCTCCCCTGTATTTCACGACAAAGATACAGTTGAGAATACAAGTGCTTTAGATGATCACATACAAGAACTACTCTGTCGAATCTTGCAGTGAGGGTTACAGGTTAATAGTAGATGGACATATTCAAGAGTGTGGTGTGCGAAAAATAAGAAGACTTTGTTGTTTGGAGAATAGGTTGGTGTTTAGTAGGATAGTTAAACAAAAAATGTTACAATGGTTGTCTTATATGCTTGGTATCATACATACACTCTCCTCTAATGGACGCGGTGGATATCGTCAAGATCTGCAGAGATGTAACAAACACCATATGATAATTTGGACTTGAAAGGCCTCCTATGTCCCGCCCTTGGATTTTTTGTTTTCCCACCCTTTTTTGTCTCCTGGCACCTGGCTCACACCACGAAGATAAGGGACAGATCTGGTGCCTGAGCAGAACTTATTTCATTTTTTCTCTTCTCACTTTCGTTTAGTTTTCTGGATTTTCGCATTTTATACAATAAAAGAAGATAACACATATATGGTCCTGGCCCTCGGATAATAGGCTTGAGCCTTCATATCTTCGGCTCCGCTAGATACATATCCTAACGTGTCATCGGACTGTAGGAGATGACGTCTTGATGCATTTTGTCTGCGGGCAGGTGTATCCCGTTCGTGTTTTTTTTTCTTCTCATGAGGCCTTCAGTGGGTAGTGATGCACATTGTCTGTGGGCAGATGTGTTCCCATCCCGCTGACTGCCATGGCTCGGAGGGGATACTTCACGTTCTTGATGGGCATCTGTGTTTCCTCTGGGCAATGAAAACGCATTCGTATTTTAAGCAAGTGTACTTGGTAGGGATGCGACGAGACTACTGTCAGTGTCTCTGATACCTATACTCCTGACGTGTCATTGGACCTGTAGGAGATGTCACTTTGGTGTATGCTGTCTGTGGGCAGGTGCATCACAGGTGTAGCGTTGAGTGTCGCTTTGTCTGTGGGCAGGCACACATGTGTTGTTGTTCATGTTTGTATGCTGCAACATGTCGGTCGCGAATAACACTACCTTTTCTCACGTTTGTGTTCTGCATGTCACTCATAGTTTTTTGTTTGCGAACGGCATGTCTCTACCACTTCCGGAAGCAGCCTGTACACCAGCAGCATATCGACCTAGAATAGACAAGCCCAACCCGTTTGTGAAGGACAAGTCATTAAGGCTGGACCCTTTCTTTTACGATGAAGATCCTAAACAGTGGTTACCAGAGATCTATGCGGCTAGTCATGGAGGTAATACCAACGACTATGTGGAAGGATTGCGAGTTACGTCAACCCGGAGACATTTCCGCTACGATCGTCGGTGCGAGTCTTGTTGCAGTACTGTGAGTCTGACCGTGGTAAGGAGCAGCTCGAGTTGCTCAGATCCTTCTCGACATTTGAAGTGGTATCCAGTCATCTAGCCGTGAATGCTGGCATACGCTGGGGCGACTAGTTGAAGTACAAGTTCCATCCGTCAACAAGCCACAGCGCCAGTGCAGGCACGGTCAGTCGGGATGACCAAATCGATGATACATGTGAGAGGTCACCGCGAAAAGGACTCGCAATGGGGAGGATGATGGCGACAGACTGACAGAGGTACATGTTGTATTTTTTGTGAGTTCTGAGTTGCAAATAGTGTGATGTTAGGTGAGCGAACTAACGAAGGTTTGTTTTGGGTTGCTTGTTTTGTGCCATGTATGTGTTCTTGTGTGTATAGATGCAGCTGTTGTTAGGACTCCTGGTCGATCGCACGCGCACGTCGAGGATGTGCAAGATCTGGGCCAAAGTTCATATCCGTCGTCGCCTGGAGAGTCGACACTATCACCACCACCATCCCTTGATTTTGGCAGGAATGTCGATGAATTGGCGGACGCGTTTTTCAGTGGCGAAGGATCGTTGCTGGACATTATGTTTGGCAAACTTCAAGACGGCGGTACGTTGCCTGCGTGGGCAAAGTATCGTCCTGTATACCACTTAAAGCTGCGGCTGCAAGACGAAGACTGGGGTCATCGAGTGACCAATATATACAAAGCTGCAAAGACGAGGGCTGTGCTGAACCATTCCAATGTTGATGAGATTGCGTAAGTTGCTGCAACATGTACTTTGAGAATGCAGCGAGTTGAGTGAAATGCCATGCCCGTAGCTAATGTGTTCACTCTATTCCCTTCCTTTCCTCTCTCAACATATATATATAGGTTGTTGTCAGGAATACTATACTTGAACAAGACCCACACGGATTCTCGGCCACATCAGCATTCCCAGTTTTAGGAACAACCATAAACATATGAACCCCTCCCAGTCAGAACAGCACCGATGTGCAGAAACTGGTGGTGGACTGTACGCAAGACGCGTCTCACCTTGCGGCCGACAAGAAGCGTGAGGCTCAACGACTGATTGGCGTATATGTTGAGACATTGCGTGATCGAATGAATGCGGCGGAGGATAAGCTCAAGACCAAGCTTCTGTTGGAAAAGCCGCCAGTGGTTATGTCGGAGGAACAGAGGATCGATGCTCGGAGAGACGCGGTCACGAATGTTGAACGACGGATTCTGGACCACTTTTCCGGTCGGATCACAGGTCAGGACATGGACAATAGCCAGGATGAGGTCGATGACTCCAGCAAGAGCAGTGAAAGCAGCACCGACCTCGACGACAAAAGTAGTGATCAAGAAGGATTCCTTCTTTCTTTCCTCGTATTCCTTTATTCCGGCAACTATCCCAGGAAGAAAGGAAAGGGATTTGATCTCGACAACATCGTGCCCAGGGACAATAGCAAGGACAAGGACAAGAGTCAAGTCAAGGGTACTGGAGTCGGAGCGGTTTTGAACGACTTTATCGACTGGCTGACCGAAAAATCGTTCTACAAGCCTAAAAGGGGTCGTGGAGAGCTCAACGAAACAATGCTGTATACTCCCACATACTTGGTCAGATCGGTTGCTGGGCAGTTGACCCTCGAACTCAACAAGGTGTATGGGCATGGAAGTCATGAGCTGTACAAGAAGGTATGCCTTGAAGTATCTTTTATCACGGCTATGTCTTTTCAGCTTGTACAACATTGGAATGATTTATTTCTAACGCTAATTATATCCATTACAGGCAAAATTCATGAAGACCAAAGAAACAGTAGGAGGAGGAGTGGTCATCCGGATTCAGGATAACCTATCGGCAGTGGATAATTTTCTTCATCTCAATAAGCTCACCAACAACAGCCGCAGGATCGCACCTATGATCTCATCCCAACAGCCCTTTGTCTCTTTCACTGAGCGCGAGATGGGCTTTTTTTTCTGGAAGAGAGACCCATTGAAGCAGAGACTATGTCATTTGGCACTTGGAGACGATACACGTCTGTATTCCGCGGAGGATTTCGACAGGTGGATCTCAGGAAAAGAACCAGGATTCATTATCAAGCATTTTGTCTGCGATGTGGGGTCTTAGGGTCTAACCAGCCGGCAGCGAAAAAAGGCCGGTCACCGGGCAGCAGTGAGAATGTTTTCGTTGGACGACATTCGGAATCGTCTGGATCGGTTCGAGAAGAAGGAGGACAAGAAGGGCAAGAAGGTCGAGAAGGACATGGAGGACAAAGAGGACAAGGAGGAAAAGGGATATGTATTGCGGGGCTCGATCAGAACGGATGGTTTCCGCGTACAACTACTTGCCTTCAAACTCCGCGAACTCCAGGACGTTCGATACCGTCGTCTCGAGAAGGATCTTCTTCCGCCAAGGCTGACGTCCATCGTGGGAGGTACCGACTATTATTTACAGGAGATCCATCATGTCATAACCCGCAAGGACGATGTCGAGAAGTACTGGCCCAATGTGCGCGTAGAGGATATCAAGACCTTGACATTGGATGGTGGCCAAGCGTGCGTCACTGGAGCATTCGCGCATCTACCCGACAAGCTGGTGAAATCAAGCATGGACAAGGAGTCTGCTGGAACTGTCTCGCCCATGGATGGCATTGTTTCTACCAGCCATTAGTCAGCGACCAGTATCACAGGACAAAATTCAACAACCATCGCTCCCGCAGCAAAGGACTCGCCCCACACCGTCGCCGCAGGTCAGGAATCAACTGCCACCCCTGCCCCGTCACCACGGTCAGTATTTTTCAACCTGGCCGTGAAGAGCAAGGCTGTATACCAGCCAACGTTTCGATTCCAGCGATGGCTTGAGGGCGAGAAGAAGACTGTACCCGAGGGAGAGCGCGACTCTATTAGCGACATCGAGGTTCACCTCCCCCTCTAAAGGGCCAAGACTCCATCGTGATCAACTATGTCGAGGAGCTGAAAAGGGTCGAGAAGCGCCTGAAGACGTTTTACGGTGGACTGGACCATAAGTACAAGAATCATCGATGGGACATGGAGCGAGCCCGACAGGCCGAGTACCAACTTACCGCTGATCAACTCCTCCGAACTGTTGGCGGCAGTATTGGTCAACGCTACGATCCCTGTAATCCCGTTCTTATTGGCGTGGGTCTTGGAAAGTTCTCAACGAAGAGCAGCCTTTCTTCTCTGCACTCGACATTCCTCGACTATTGTATTCGAACGGTAGGCATTGTCTTTTGGAAGCTATTTCTAAATGACGAATGGCAATGGTTATTTTATGTGCAAATAACTAATACGATTATTGCCACTTTTCTAGGCTCGTGCACAGGGATATTTGGTTGTTGGTCTCAACGAATATTATACGTCTAAAAATGGCCCCGGCTGCGGTTGTTTCGTTGCTCAGGTCGACATGCGCCGGTTCTACTGTAGCCATTGTCACTGTTACTATCACCGCGATGTCATGGCCGCTGAGAATATGACCAACCTCATACAAGGACACCTCGTCGACCAGCAGAGACCAAAGTATTTGCAACCGGCGGCTGCAGACGGCTCCTACCCATGGATGGCAAGTCCCGGCTCAGGTTCAAGCACAAGCTCCGGTGGTATCGAGGCGCTCTCCATCACCACCAGCAGCAGCTCCACAAATACCGCCAAAAGGACCCCAGGGCGGCGCAAGTGATCGGCGACTACCTCAAGCTTGGATAAGCCGAGGCCTGGGAAGGCATCCAAGAACTAGGTTAGTTTACCTTAGTGTGTTCGTCCACACACATAAAATTGCAGGTAGGGAGCAGTGGATGCTATGATGAGTCGCTTCGGTGACGTAATTATGGCGTCCATTGTCCCCCAGCCACATGCAACCACTCCCACGTCCTTTTCATTCTCATCCCCACCGTTGCCACACTCCCACGCCGTCGCCCTTCTCATCATCATACGCTGCCACTCCACGCTTTTGTCTTCATCTATCACTACAGCCACAACTCTTCCGCCATTGTCCTCATTACAAACCTGCTAACATCACTCACTTTTTCGTCATCACAACTTTCTCCATCGCGCTATTCGCACGGCCCATCGGTTCTCAAAGGTAACTCACTGACCCAAGTCTTATTCCGTGTAGAAACGCCTTGTCATAAGTTACTTTCCAGCTGAGGCACATTGCGCTCTGCCGAGCAAGGAAATGACTACGGCAGTGGTGGTCTTCAGAAGGACTTGCATGGCATGTGCTCTCTAGGGCGCCGTGGAATGCCTCTGTTAGATATAATACACGGTGTTACAGGCAGAAACACTTTGTCATGAGTGGCCCGCCTCTTTACCCTCTAGAAGCGGCCACGGCAATGGTGGTCTTCAGAAGGGCTTGCATGGCATGTGCTCTCTAGGGCGCCGTGGAATACCTCTGATAGATGCAATGCCAAATGGAAGAATTTTTCAAATCACCACGGTTGATGTCTTTAACACTCATTCTCTCATTCTCTCATTCTCTCTCTCTCTCTCTCTCTCTCTCTCTCTCGTTTACTGTTCAGACCCTACATCCAAACTTCGCTTCGACCATAAGGAATACAGTCTCAGCCCACACTGAAGCCCTACGCCATGAGTGGCCCCGATTCCTTCGTTCCAGCAGATGCACTTCTAGGCTCTGCTAAATGGGGGAGTGATTGCAACGTCGTTGGCCACTTGTCTTAAACGATTTGAAGCTGTGAGTCTAATTGTCATTCTATGATTGATTCTTGTGTATATTTCCGTGTTAGCAAATGTTCTTGAAGGAACAGTTACGCTGGGCCAAGGTCAAAGTCTCCGGCGAGGAACATGTCACGTTTATAAACTTTGTCACAGAGTTCAAACTGACCAACATACTATTGGCGACAGATACCTATGCGGTCCTCATCGGGCCAGAAGAAATACGAGAACGCAGACGAGAAAAGTTGCAGGAATCTTTCAATGTATTCCAAGCGCACCATGGGGATACCTTTTGGTCTGAAAGACGCCTTGAAGTCAGTTCAGAGATCACCGCGAATGGCGCAGCATTAAATTTACAAGCGGCAGCAGCAGCCCAGTCACGGAAAGGGTATTCTAAACTATCATCGAGGAGTACTGGTGAATGCCTTTATCGTCTTACGTTAAAATAATCGCCGGCAGCAGGAGCAGCATCAGGAGGAGAATCAGGACCTGCCAATTCAATGTTTCTTCGACTCTACTACCATCACCCTCTCGGACTTGATTCAGGGTATCGACATTGGAACACCGCTCATGCGACTGCAAAAGGGTGCTGCCACCATTGTTCATAACGCTCACGCTCGACCTTCTGCCTTTCTTTTTGTAAGTTCTGTTATTTTAATATGGTCATCGCATCTATGATATCGATATTATATTAACCTGTGACTACAACTGTTCCTGTATACACACAGGGCTGTCAACTACGTTTGGGATATGAGCCACAGATTACCAGGCATATCAAGTACAGACCATGATGCTCTTCAAGAAGCATTGCGTGTTCCTGTCATTCACCTGTCAGACCATCTGGTGTTGTTCTGTGGATCTCTGGAGCGCGATAGTCTGTCTTTGGATTATATCAAGTCGCGTGACACGGCATCTCGAGACCAAGACACTATCCTGGGACTCTTTCAGCACGCGTGAGTGATCCATGTCTTTTTTTTTTAGGACAAGACGAAACATGTGCCGCTCAAATGTATCGCTCAAATATACTTTTTTAATTTGTTTTGTCTCAAGTATTGTGTTTTAAATGTAGAAGCCTAAAGGTTCCTAGGAAGTACTTATCGTTCAAGCGTCGTAAAAATGAGGACATTCATGCACAGTCCGCCCTCGACGCTCTGTTGACGTCCATATTCTCCGCGGACAACTACCGATATGATCTTCAGTGGGCAAATCGACCATCGGCGGGGTCCAGTGATGCGCATAAGCCGGATGCAGCGGTGCTCAAGGATGGCTTCGAGATGGGCTATTTGGAGAAAAGCCGCCGAAGTAGGAACGTCACCAGCTAATATATCTGGAAGATACCTGGGCGCTTTTAGGATTGGCTAAGGATAACACTGATCTTCACTTCAGATGCCATCGAATCAGCGCTACTATTCCATGTGTGCTGGTGTTCGGTAAGTAGACTGCTGGTGATAATAGGATTGGTTTGGTCATGCGATCTTTAGTTGCTTACTTTGGGACTTCATTTGGACCAACATTAGGTTTTCAGATGACATTTTACCAGCTCTCCTTCCAAGATGGTATCTATGTGTGGCTGGACGTCCATACCGCTTACTTGCGGATGGACCAATATGACATCGGGAATATTGTGCCTGTGTTCAGTTGCTCAATGCTTTCAAGGTAGTTAATATCCGATGTGTTACCTTATAATTATGGATACCCATGTGCTGGTCGCGTAGTATGTCGCTGATTAGTGTTTGATTATACACCTAGGCCATACTGGATGAAGCTGAAACAGAACGGTATACTCTAACGCCACCTAGGCATGCAAAGGACGACAGAAAACTTCCAGAATTGTATCGCCCAAGGCCGCTTAAACTTACTCCTTCCAAAAGACCGTTTTTCGGATCAGGAAAACCCATGTCTATGTAACTGCTTGGAAGGCAGGAATATACAGATCCTTCAAATGACATTCCGGTCATACATCCCATATTTCGAAAGTATCCTACTAGGTGTTTTCGTCGGAGACATGTTTAATGCTCTTGTCAAGTTTTTCTTTCTAATCATTCCCTTGCACTCTTGCTTCGATGATTCGCAAAAAAAAACACTCTAACATTCATTATGCACAGACGCTCAGGACAATGAATGGAATAGAAATGGGAGATCAGAAGTCCTTCGATTTTGTAAATTCGTAGAACTAAATTTAGTGCCCAGTGGTGCAAGGAAGGTGTGAGATAGTTCAAAACAAAGATAATAAAATCGAGGAGTGTGCGAGGAATTGAGGCCAAACAGAATGAAGTGTAAGTGTGGATGCAGGAAGAACAGATAGGATAAAATGAGGGTAGTAAAACAGAAAATAGTTGTATTGTTAGCCGAGGGATGTAAAGTGCAAAAGGAGCAGTGTTTAAATGTTACGACAAAAGCAGGATATGACATGAACAAAAGCCTAGAATATGACTATAGAAGAACAGAAAGCCAGAAAAGGGTAAGAAGGCACGAAGGCAGAGAGTAGATAGGCAAAGGTAGAGGTAGAAGCACAATATCTTGTACAAACTCTTTAGGTTATCCAGCAGATGAACAAACAGCGGCGACGCACCCACGACATCGAAGGATCAAAAAGCAACGTCGCTATGAACGCTTGGCTGCCACAAGCCAGTTATCCCTGGGTAATAGAGAATGGCGTCATAGGAAAGTACTATAGCGCGGAAAGAAAACGGGAGTGGAACTTATCGGAAAGTGGTATCGAGAGAAAGGATGTATGCACAATGCATAGAGTGAAAAGGGGCATGGGAGTCTGCGAAGGCGTAGGTAGCAAACTAAGAAAAAGGAAGAGAGGAAAAGGGCATGGGTGGCGAAAAGAAAAGTTATGTATGCACAGCGCATGAAGAATAAAAAGGGGCATGGGAACGTGCATGGCGTGAGTAGCGAACAAAGAAAAGGAAGAGAGGACAAGGGCATGGGTGGCGAAAAAGAAAAAAGAGAAAATTATGTATGCACAGCGCATGAAGAGAAAAAAGGGGCATGGGAATGTGCATGGCGTGAGTAGCGAACAAAGGAAGAGAGTAAAAGGGAATGGGTGGCGAATAAGAAAAAATAATGTATGCACAGCGCAGGAAGAGAAAAAAGAGGCATGGGAACGTGCAAGTGTGAGTAGCGAACAAAGAAAAGGAAGAGAGGAAAACGGCGTGGGGCATGGGGACGTGCTAGGGTTTGAGTCATGAAAACCATGGCGCATTAGCAAAATACAGGGGCATGGGAGGATGCAAGAGCATGAGTAGCAAAGAAGATATGCAAAGCACATGAAAAATTAAAAGGCGTTAGCAATTCTTTTTTTTTTGTCCTGAGAGGGACTGTAATATGTATAAAAAGTGGCCGCACCTAAAGAGCACCCACCAAATAAATCTACTTCAAGATCCCATTTCCACAACAACTTGCACAAGAACCGTCGCACTCAGAGCCCAAACATTAGTCGGTAACCATATGTTCCAGCTTTTTCATGATCGCCTTTCTCAGAATACACCATCACACTAAACATGCCGCTGTATCTTTACGCAACACTCATACGTTTTCCTTTACCTACCAAGTCCACATCCTCAAACTATCCCCAGAATGCGTCTCTTCCTTGTGTGCCTGCTGGCCGCTGTGCTCCCTGCCGCCTCCCTTGCCGGTCAAGAGTCCTTCTGCGAGGACAAGATCTCTCACCGTGGACGCCTGTTTGGCCGCCCCGCCTACTATGACCTGCAGGAACGAATCCCTGGCTGGGTTTTCTTTGACCAGAATCGGCTCCAAGGACGAATCCACGGAAACACTTACTGGAATATCAAGGGAGAACTCGATGAGAAGCTTCCTTTAGATGAATTGCTGATCGATCCCGTAATTTACACACTGAATCATCCCACAGATTTTGAAGGCCCTTTCTCCGGCAGGATTGGCCGAGGCGAGGTCGTCCTCAAGTGGGAAAAAAGTGGCGCCACCATCACCGGTCGAGCTGGCCAAGGCGACTTTGAGGTCAAGGGTAAGACCCGTGTTGACTGGTCCCCTTAGAGGGCTACACTTTCCTCCCTCTTCGGGGTTTCCTTACTCCATTTGTCGTGGTCCCCACATATTTTTCGAATTCTCTCCCATTCCCCGGACCCAATGCTTGTCCACACTGTTTTCAACACGGCAGTCTGGCAATCACAATAAAAATTATCACGAACGAAGAAAAACAGTGTCGTCCTGTAGTAGAACATCTGACTTCACTTCGTGCTCTTGGTTGACATATTGATGTGGGTCGTGCCTTGTTCGAGTCCAGGTTCCCTCCCACCAACAATCTCTACCTTACCAGCGAGAGCGGCATACATCTCAGAGATGGGAGGCTGGTGCGGCCACTCAGAGGTCGTGAAGTGAACGTCTAGCGGAAACCGATCATCATGAACTGTACAAACATGCATCCGTGATTGGAGGCCGAGGTCGAGTCGTCCATACGATCCCGGATTGAATTCTTGAAGTAAGGATCCGTGGCTACGAAGTAAAGTGCTCGACAAAGGAGGCCTTTCACGTCCAAATTATCATATGGTGTTTGTTACACCTCTGTAGATCTCGACGATATCCATAGCGACTATGAGATGAGAACGTATATATGATACCAAGCATATAAGACAACCATTGTAACATTTTTTGTTTAACTATCCTACTAAACACCATGATATTCTTCAAACAACAAAGTCTTCTTATTTTTTGCACACCAATCTCTTGAATGTCTCCATCTACTATTAAACTGTACCCCTCACTGCAAGATTCAGCAGAGTAGTTCTTGTATGTGATCATCTAAAGCACTTGTACTCTCAGCTGTATCTTTGGGGCGAAATACAGGGGAGAGATTACATTTTAAAAAATCTTGTGCTGTCTATTGCTATTTTATTCTGTGTTCTGTTGCCCACTATGAAGAGATATGTCAGTTATGGAAGTCAACACTCCGTTCCTTGGGCTTTGGATATTTTTTATATGCTTTTTTATATCCTCTGCACATGGAGGGGTCGCAAAAGTGATCAATCTTTTTTGCGATTTCGACTTTTTTTTGGAGATGCTCTGTTACTTTCATCCCCCCGATCCCTCTCAGGCATTCATAAGCCCGTTTCGGAAATGACATCATCACGAAAAGTTGATCCGAATTCTAAACGCATTAATGATCATTTATGTCAAGAATCTGAATCAAAACGTTTATGGTGTCCAGCAAGGAGCAAGGCACCTTAATAATCTATGGCCTCCTCTTTTTCTGAGCAACGCATATATGCGTCTGGGCATGCTCTCGTACAGCTCATGCAGGTATTCCGGTAGAATATCGGCCCAAATATCCTGTACGCGTTCCCAGAGCTCGTCCATGCTTCTTCCTGTTCGTCCTGGCTGAGTTGTCGTTTTATTTAACTCGATGATATTGAGGTCCAGAGAGCTGGCTGGCAACTCGAGAACAGTGAGCTCCTGCTGGGCCAATCATTCCTTTATCAAGGTTGCTGTATGCACTCGGGAGTTGTCATGCTGAAAGATCGATTCCGCGGGATCCATTCAGAGGACGGTGAGGAAGAATTCCGCATTCAACGTCCCATGGATCCTGCTAAGGCCTCCTATGCTGAAATATTTGATGCAACCCTAGACCATCATCTTGCCTCTACAATCTTACTGCATTGGTCGGATCTGATGAAATTGCAAACGTTTGTGTTTGCTGTTGCTGTAGTAGTGCTTCCTACCAAAGGACCCGACGCGACTGATGATGCTCTCATCAGAGAACATTACCTGCTTCCAGTGATCTACCGTCCAGTGAACGTGCTCCTGTGTATATCGGTACCGTTCCTGCACATGGTGCGGTTTGAGATCAGGCCTTTTTTGTTGGGCGTATGCTCTGATTCCTTTCTGTCGCTGATTCTGCTCCACCGTTAGAGCATGCGCTTGAACTCGATTCCTCTCTTGAATGAACCGCTGGCCGTCGAGGAGTGTTTTCAGTTGACCGGCGTTATAATTGCGGGCGAGGACTCTCTTCCTCTCGAGGGAGATCTTGTTAGGTTGGCCTCTGCTTGGAGGAGGAATGTCCTTCTTGTGCTCGTTGCGGATGTTGATGGCAGATCCGAGCGAGATCCTGACTGAGTTGGCCACCTCTCTAATGGAATGTCCTTGAGTGAGTTGTTGAAGGCCATTTTGTAACAGCAACAGAGCAAGGGGATACAAACAGGGAACAGAGAGAGACCAGAACGAGAGAAAGGATAAGAGAGTAGTAGGGACAAGAGGAAAGGTTAGAAACGAATGGTGTTTATTATACAGGGAGAGAAAGGTATTTATACTAATATCTAGGAGGCGTGGTTGTTAGGGCGAGTGGAGGTGCGGCTGTTGTGAAGAGCGGATGCGAAGTAAGAGAACAGTCAACGATACTACCACACCTTCCCCTAATAAAAAGAAAGAGCCCATGATCCTGGTGGCTCTGGCGAGGAACAAGAGCGACGCGAGACACGCGAGAGGCGCAAGGGCTGTAAAGTCGACAAAGGGGGGCGAGCGCGAATAGGGAGGGGAAAGAGGCAAGGAGGTAAGAAAGAGAGAAAGAGAGAGAGAGAGAGAGAGAGAGAGAGAGAGAGAGGAGGCAAAGGATGAAAAATGAAGTGGTAGGGAGTGGGAAAGGCGCAGTGATGAAAAAGGATGCAAAAGTCAAGATTCCGACACTCTACTTCTAGTAGTTCACGATGAAGCGCAGCTTCTTGGCGATGCTATATCAACAGCAAGAGGGGAATAGGATCTAATCAGTAAAACAAGGCAGGAAGGAGATTCTATCTGGGAAAGGGAACAAGGTCGCCTAACTGAGAGTCCAGAAGAGACTCGAGGGCAGGCGATAAAAAGAAGAGGAAGGGTTTCCCAATCATCAATGAAGGCCTCAGGATGGGCTGCCAAAATCATACAAGTCCACTCAAAAGAGACAAGAATCTTGTATACCTCGTGGGATAGCAAAAGCCAACGGAACGACGAGAGCAGCAAAGACCAGGAAAGGATATCGACAGGCAGCCGTTAGGGAGCTTGTCGAAGAACGGAAAAAAGCTTGCCGGGTTTGTTCCAGACTATCGATCAGTTGAGGATGGCTTGAAAAGCGCGATGAATGGGTAAGGTGTTATTGCAAAAGAATATATGGGAAGACCTGCAGTACAATTGGGTCTGGGTATCCAGCAACAATAATATCAGCATAGGCAATCGGTATTAAGGCGTCGACGACCTGCTGAAAGGCGACTGCAAAGGGGATATCGGGCAGAGTAAAAAGGGTTCTGTGAGATCAACGAAGTGTTCTAGAAGGAATCGTAAGGGAAAAAGGCAACCGGGAGCAAAGGCTACTTTGCTCCCTTTTTTTATAGGGCAAAACAAATAAATACTAACTCAGACAATCCAAGCCCATATAGACCAACTCAGCACTTTTTGTAGGTCAATTATCCGAATCGTCTGCACATCATCCCATATATGACTATTTATAAATAAAGCTTACGCGTCGTGTTTTTCCACTTTCCTCTAGTCAGTCTGTGCTCTAAACAACAGGTCGGGATAGATCTAGGCCCTGAGTGGGGCAGCAAGAAAGCCGAACAATTCATTGCAAGCGCAAGTGGTGAGCCGTCCGCCTGAAGAGAAAAGCGCTCCATTGGCTCCAATAGGACAGCGTGCCAAACCCTCTTTTTCGCATCTAATTCGTCCGTGACCATCTTTTCCCCACGTTAAATAATCTCTTTTTTTTTCCTGTTTCCTTCTCTCTTCCTTACCTTTATCCATACTACCACCACCACCACCACCGCCATCGACCGCGCAACGCACACGATCTCTAGAACTTAACATGACCGTGCCAGCAACAGTAGAATCCACCCCACGGACAAAGACGCCTTTCAAGATTGTCCCAGCGACTGTCGAAGACGCGGACGCGATGGCCGACATCTCTGGCGACGCCTTCTGCGATGATACGCACACTTTGTTGCAGGCCGTTTGGAAAGGCAAGGATTGGCATCGTGAAGGATCTAGAGAGCATCTGCCCTCTCTCTTTACCAACCCCCGGATCGACATTCGAGTGGCTCGAAAGGGACTCGAGGGTGAAGGCGAGGTAATTGGATTCATCATGTTGGCCAAACGAGGATACCCGACGCCTGATGCCACCCCTGAAGAAGAAGTCGCCCGCGTTGCCGCCAGGGATGCCCTTCCCAAGTCATCCTCTGCCGTCAAGTTGGCCCCACCTCCTGCACCGATTCAAGCACCCGAGAGTGAAAAGCTGACTATCAAGGAACTAGCAGAGACGACAAATCAAGCCATGAATCATTACTGTGAGCTGTTGATGCCCGTTGGGTGTCAATGTCGATTCATCAACGGGTGGAATGTTGCGTCTGCGTATCAGGGTCAAGGGGTTGGATCTGCTTTGATGAGATGGGCCACGGACATTGTGGATGAGGATCAAGTCTATTGCTGGGTCAGTTCTTCCATGGGGGCGTTGCAGGCGTATGCAAAGGCCGGGTTTGTGGAGGTTGGACGACTCGAGTTGAAGTTGGATGATTACGCACAAGGAGTCAAGTGGAAGCAGGAGGATGGATCCGAGAAGGAGTGGGGGACTTACTTCTGGCCCTACATGAGAAGGGATCCCAAGTAGAGTATTGTAATATATACAGTATTCAAAACTGACATAATGTCAATTAAAAATTGTTTAACGCTGCAGTCATATTGATGGTCTTGTGCATAGGTTTTGATAATTTTGCGTGAAATCCACTATAGTATTTAATGCGCACATTGGTCGAGTTGGGGAGGGCGGGCGATTTACTCACTTCGGTGACGTAATTCTCGCGCCCAGCTGTTTCCTTGGAATTGTGAAAAGGGTTCTTTCATCATCGTTCACCATTCCCACGCCCTTTCTTCATCATCTTTCCAACACCCTGGCCTGTTATTGATCCCTCTCTTCATCTCTTCTTACTCTCACTCCTTTTTCACTGCTCTTTTTTGTTCCCTCACCATCACTCTCTCTCTCTCTCTTTCACTCTCACTCTCACTCACTCACACTTTATCGAATAACTATGACTGCATAGAATCACCATGTCATCTGACCCCGTTTCTTTAACTCTAGCTACAACCTCAGTGAGGGAGACGGCAGGGAAGCAGAAAGAGGAGAATGTTTCTTTTCTTTTATCCTCTCTTTCTTTTGTTCATTCTTTCTTTTATTCACTTCCTCAGCGAATCCTGTTTAGTGAACCTTGTTCAGCGAACCCTGTTTAGTATGCGGCAGGGAGGCAGAACGAGGAGCGTGTTTCCTTTTTTTTATCCACTCTTTCTTTTGTTCATCGTTTCTTTTGTTCACATCCTCAGCGAAACCTACTCAGTACACGTCAGAGGCGGCATTTGTATATGGTCTTTTAAGGTATGCTAACCTTTGTTCCATTTTCTCAATGTATCATTTAGACTCAACTGTTGGCTGAAGTAAAGAAGACTATCATGAATTCACGCAAGACCTTCGATAACAGCGATACCAACGATGCTGGCAGTGTCAGCTTAGGCTCGTGTGTGTCCAGCGATGTATCTGCCCTCGACTGGTATAATCGTAAGGCGAAACGCGGGGAGGAAGTCGGCTTTCTTGAATTTGTGCACAAGTTCAGCTATTGGTCTGAGCAAGACGCCTATAATGCCTTTACAAGCCTGATACCACAAAGGGTGCGGACAGTATTTAGCTCTCAATGCGATGCATGGCGACTTAATAACGGCGCTGAGTTTTGGGCAACTAGGAACTTGTCATCACAGGCATCCATCACAACAAAGTGAACCGCCACCGAGGTCGTGTCTGAGACTGAGCATGTCTCCAAGAAGTACATTCAAGGGGCCACCGCACGAACAAACTCCATCGGACAACTGCGTTTCTCTTCATCAGCGGACTCTTCCTTGACGGATGTCTTACTCTCGGAAGAATGCGATTAGGGAAACGAGAGCGATGAGGTTGGTAGGTGTAACGGGCTTTTACCGTCTTGTTACGGGCTTTTACCGTCTGGGTTGGGTTTTTTGAGGAAGAGTTGTTTTAATAAAGAGTGAGTTCTGAACTACTGAACTAAACTATGAACTATGTACTATTTATATATGTGTCCGATAGAAGCCAGACGGGCTTCTGGAAGTTTCTAAGATCCTATTGATTAGTCAGCCTAGTGTCAGCAAGGACTAGGAGGATCTCGAACTTGGTCATGAGTTTCGATCCTGTGACCTAAGGGTGTCACATGGTCAGTCATATCAGAGTGGATACTCTGACAGTAGGTCACCATCTGAGAGACATTTGGCGCGGAGAGTTGGTAAAGCAGAGATTGGTTGGTATGTGAATTATTGAGAGACATGCTTCATCGTAATCGGTTCTATACAGAGATTTTTCATTGACACTCTTCTCTTCCTCTGTCTTTCTCTTTTTCTCTTAGACTCTTCGACCAGCTCATCGTGTTTCGCGGCTTTGGGACAACAAGTCGCATGGGTCGTTGAAGGCATGGATTTGGTGAAGACATTTAAGGAGTTTCGTGCTACAAACATGGGTCCGTATTCCTTAGCTCTTGACGGAGTTGCTGACCTAATGCAGGGGTCTGCATTTTCGATGTGCCTGGAGAAGGACATCATGGCTGTTGCAAGACGTGTCGTCCCATCTCCAGATATCTACGAGCGATGGTCAACGTTGCTGTCGATACTAGACCGTGACTTTCGATATAATGGCTATGATGAGGTCGCAGAGGCAGTTAGCTTGGAAAATATGCGGGATCCAGTGGCAGCATATCTGTTTACGATTGTGATGGCCTAGTAAGTTAATCAATTTATTGTATCGTTGTGCAATAGCAACGACAAGAGGGTGTGTACAAGAGACTGGGCAGGAGATGGGGGGGGGGGGGGGGGATGAAGGCACTAGAGACAAAATGAGTAAGTAGAAAAAAATGATGTTTATTGTGCAGGAAGAATAGGTTGTATATACTAGTGTACAGGAGGCGCGGTTAAGAAAGGCGTGATTAGGATGATGACATCGTCTTTTATTTTCTTTGTGATCTACTGATGAGGGCTTATCTGCGTTGAGAGTCTCATCAGCAATGTTCTTCTCCAGATTAGCAACGATATCGGAAGATGAGGGGACACCATCAACTTCCATATCATCGTCGCCAAAAGCTGAAGCGAGAATAACCGACTCGCTTCATTCGGGATTCGAGTCTGCAGAGGATGAATAACCACCGGTTGGGTGAAGTTGCCGTTCGCCGGTTGGGCTAGCTGGATCTCATTGGATGAGGAGGTCAGCGTTGGCGTCTGGCTGTGAGCCAGGTTGATGTTCAGATTTCGTCTGAAGGGATGAGATGTGTTTTTTTTTAAAAATAAAAAAGTGAGAAGGATAAGTAGGATATGAGTGTAAACGAAGTGAAGTAACGAGTGAAGAATTATTATGTCCCTGTTCAGTGCTTGAATAGGGCCAAGCAGGTGGCTTATTTACTTCAAGTAAAAAGAAAAGGAAGTGAATCCTCTAGTGAGATTCACACCTATCCACAACACAAGGTCCCTAATGCGGATACGCCCATCGTTAAAACGGATGGGTGACTTAGGCTGTTTGTGTGGACGTATTTTTCGCTGATGATCATTCTTTCCTCATCTCACTCTCCTTTTCCCTCTCTCTCTCTCTCTCTCTCTCTCTGCCACGAAACAAAATTACTGTGATATGAATGTGGTCCCTACTCTTTTATTTACAACAACGCAAATCATTCCTAAAGAAAAGGGATGGAAATTAGAGGGAACAAGCGGAGTGTTGCGAAAGTCGCACACATTCCTTTTTTGTTCAGTTCCAGCAGCGGAAGTCGCCACCACCCTTTATGCACTGGCTGTAAAAGCCCATGTACTTTGCACTGGTTGTCACGCCGCATGAGCCGCCGTCCCAGTTGCCGCCCACGTTATAGCAAAGACCCCGAGTCCAGTCCAAGTTGTTGCTGCACAAGCACCAGGCGGGGACAATGGGGGCACCGGCTGCTTCGATCATTGCCAGAGGGGCGACCAAAGCGGCGACGAGGAGGAGAACGATCTTGTTGAAGGCCATTGTTGTACTAGAAAAGTCAGATACGAACAGAGTGTCAGCGTGCATTTTCTTATGCAAGGATGGCGAATGATGGGAATTGGTGTGGTCGGCTTACTCTTTTGGCTTTTTAGTGTTTTGGTGGTGTGGTGTGTTGATGAACGAGAGAAGAAATGGCAGCAGTTTATATATTATTTTTTTATTTGTCTGTTTTGGCACATTTCAAGTGGCGTGAGTGAAGAGGCGTGAGTGAAGAGGCTTAGTGTATCGATAGTTCAGATCGCATACACATCCAGCGACAATATAAAAACTCAGCGCATGACGCTCCATGGTGTGATGCAGAGATCGGGCTTGGCGCTGCAAATTAATACTGGAGTGAACTCGCGTTAACAGCCTTCAAAGTCCTCCATTAACCTATCAGAATTTTGTCTCTCTCTGTCAGCATCTCAGCCCCGTCGCAGCCACATCTCATTCCTGACTCAGCCCCGCGCCTCACACATTCAGCTATGCTCAATCTCCGACTTCTATGCAGACAACCTACTTCTATGCAAACAACCCATTTGCGCCTCTCATGTACAGTCATTACAAAAATTGATTGAATGATTCGTAACCTAACATTTATCAACTTCTCTCTTGTCCATCTCAGTCAACGATCTCCAAACGTGTCAGGAATTATTTTTTTCCTTTCCTAATCGTAATGCGTATGCGAAATCAGAAAATATATAGCGTAGGCCATTGCTTGGAACTTTCTAGATTGTGACGATCATTCAATCAATTTTTGTATTTCCCCGTCATGGACGCAACTGCTCTTTACTACAAACTCTTTCTGTCAGTCATCACCCTCTTTCCTCTTCCACACTGCCTTTAACTGTTTCTCCTCTACTTATTCAACCTCTCTCTCGTTCAATAAACTTTCACCATGAAATCACTTCCAGTCTCCATGGTGGAGAATGCCGGAGAGCAGCTTCAACAAGGAAAATCAACCAGGATGGTGGCAGACAACCTTCGGATCTCTGTTTCATCAGTGGTCAAGATCAGGAACGAGAACATGGAAAACATCCCCGAGTCTCGTCCGAGTAGACCCAGTAAGACAAGGACGGCTCTCGCACGCCATTTCATTTTGGCGACTTGAAATCGGCAAAGGAAGGACAACGATTTGACAAATCAACCGAAGGAGAACGTGCTCACATCAACACTGTGCGGCATAATCTACGTCAGGAAGGAATCTGGACGTACACTCAAACCAACAAACCGAAACTCACGTGGGAACAGATCGCGAAGTGGTTCCGATTCGCAAACGAGCACCTTCGCTGGACGTTCGAGGACTGGAAACACGCAATGTTCTCTGATGAGTGCATCTTCAGTCGCGTTGGGTCCTTCGGAAGAAAGTATTACTACCACCGACGCTAACAACAACAATATCTACCTTACCAAGTTTGACCGAAACAACATGGCGGTGGAGGGAAAATAATGGTCTGGGGTTGCGTCGGATATTCTGGCGTCGGAGACCTCTGCTGGATCCAGGGCAATATGAATTCGGATACTTGTTTCTACTTTCTCGAAAGGTGTGTTCGTCAGTCCCGCGATGGGCTAGGCATGGATAAAAAGACTTTCATCTTCCAGCAGGACGATGCCCGCCCGCACACTGCACTCTAAGTCCATGGACTTCTTTGCAAGGCACAGGATCAAGGTTCTTATGTGGCTACTCAATTCCCCAAACTCATTCTTATCAAGTAAATTTGGGCGTACATCAAACGAGAGCTCGATCAGAAGCCAGAGTCGCCAAAAGACCTCAATGAGCTATGGAAACGTGCGGAGGCGATCTGGAGAGCGATTCCTTCGGACTTCTTCGAAAAACTGTACGAGAGCATTCCCGGTCGACTGAAGGAGTTGATAAAGAACAAAGGGCGCAATACCAAGTACTGATGCTCGTAGCAGATGAGGAACATGTAGTAGATTAAGCATTTTGCGAAAATTGATTGAATGCAATTGGCAAGGGTAGCGTGGGGGTTGTAGAGTCGGAATGTGAATGTTAAAAGTTGATGAATGATAAAAGTTATGAATCATTCAATCAATTTTTGTAATGACTATAGATTGCATTTGTACCCTTTGCCTTTTTTTTTGTCCCGCGATATGGCATTGTCAAAATGGCATAGGTATGGTTTTCGTTGTGTGACATAGATATTGAAAGAGGCCAGCCTTGAGGTTTCGTCATGCGAAAAGTAGGGTACAATACATGTTGCTAGCAGTAATGGACAAATGTAACAGGGGGTTTCAAACCTTGACATTGCCGGCATGTAACCAAATGCGCCGTCAAGGAAATCCGCCATGGAAATACGTTTCCTTGAGGGCAGATGTATTTCGAAATACGCTTCGATTTGAATGTGCACGTTAAAGTTTGAAACCCCCTAATGGATATGGTATTGAACGTATCGACGAGGTACTCTTCCCTCAGCGTGAACATGGGGATGGCAATTCGACACCATCAGATCTGGTCATCACAGAGACTGGTCAAGAGGGTGATCCCAGACATTGACGACGTGGAGTGGCGTTCGACCTTGGCCCATTTCCACAACAGGCAAGCCATCTTTACCTTCTGCAGCAACAGCAAGGACTCTCACTAACGCACATGTCACATCAAAAGACTGAACGGCATGTTGCCCATTTTGAACTCCATGCAAGCACGCAAACCTAACCTTTACTCAACCTGCCTCCGTTGACGATGTGAACTTGAGGAGGAGGACAACAAACACGTCTGGAACTGTCCCGCTGCCAAGGCTACCGCTGCGATCAGGAAGGAGGCCATGGGCAGGATTGATGGGTGGGTGACTGGGGGTACGATAAGCCGTCCAAAAAAGGCAGGTATGCTCATAGGCACGCAAACGATTGGGAATCAACTCGGCGACAACTGCAATCGTTGGACTACCCTTAAGCAAAGCCCGCAGAAGTAAAGAAAGAGAGAAAGAAAGAGAGATGTTGTTCTTTCGAACAAAACTATAGAACAATGGGCTTAATCTCAGCAGATCGTAGCAACAAGGCTACTCTACTGCTTACAAGACCCCGTTCAATTAAAGTCGTTTGCCATGGATTTATCTCTTCCAATATTTGAAATTAACATTAGCAGGAACCTCACAAGGCCTTTCCGCTCTGCAAGATAATCCCATGTAGTATGATTCAGGATCCGAGGATCTATTCGTATTCAACTAAAAATAAGAAAAGGTGGTAATCGTCGCGTTCTAGCAGGGGTTCTGACTTAGAGGGGTTCAGCCATAACCCAACGGATGATAGCTTCGGGCCATTGCCTGCTCAAACAGACCCAAATACGAAGAGTCAGAAAAAGCGATCGTCTCATAGCAATAGAAAGTACTGCGCAAGGCTGAAAAATGGGATCTCGAACGTGCATGGACATGGGTAGCGAAGAAAAATAAGCATGTACAGCGCATGAAAAAAGACCAGGGGCATAGGAATGTGCATGGGCGTGAGTAGCGAAGAGTAATCAGAATGTACAGTACATGAAAATTCCAGGGCATCAGTGTACTAGCATCAACATACTCCATTGGTTGCTCAACATCGTTCTCTGTTGTTGGATACTCGAATCCCTCGCGATGCCAAGCTGTGTGAATTGGTTCTCTAGAAATTTTCAACAAGGCAACCAGCAACCATATTTTTCATGTTTAAGAGTACCAAGATAACTTCAACTGTAAATCATTGTTGTTTCTTATTAAAAAGTACACGGGAAAAACGGAGACGGGAGAGAAAAGTGATTTTATTCAATTTGACGAAGACAGGATCCTTTTAGTGATCCTGTCAAGCCACATTTGATTCTCAATTCGTCAATTAAAAAACGCAGCTGCTTAATTGTGTTGCAAAAAGATGTAGTGGCTAGGCAGTGGCGGCGATGCCTTAGGTTAGCAGTCATTTTCTTTAGTAGACATAGTATTAGTAGTGCGCCGAGCCCTCTTGTCTGCTCTTTGTCCTTTTACACATCACTTCTTGGACGAGAGCAGTATTGACAAGAGTTTCGCTGGCGCGCTGCAGGTAACAACCCCCTCTTTGATAATATGAATAGATGGTCCTTTTACACATCACTTCTTGGACGAGAGCAGTATTGACAAGAGTTTCACTGGCGCGCTGCAGTGTATCGTTTCGTGTGATTCTTTAGGACGCTATTATCACTATCCCCGACTATCAACCCCCCCCCCCCCCCCCCCGTACCAATTGAGGACTTAACAGCGGTCCTACAACTCTGGCCGTCGACCCTCTCCCCTGAGTAACAATTGCAACACCAAACTACAATGACCAGACAGGACTCGGAAAAAAAATTGTTATGGTTTTATTATAAACGAGAAGAATAGTGTGCAGAGGAATAGAGACAGAGGACAGGTGGAAGTGAGTTGTTGCAGACTGGGGGAAAAGACGGAGGAACCAGAGGGTTTATTTATACTAGAAACCAGTTGAGGAGTTAAGACGGGGCCTGGAACGTTGGACTGGAAACCAGAATGAAGAAAGGCAAAATGGCAATTGGCAAAACGAATGGCAGAGGCAGATAAGTAATGAGGAAAAAAGGTAAAAGCGATTAACGGAATGGTTCTAGGCAAGTAGTTCATAGGCCAAGGAGGCAGAAGGGTAGAAGTGCAAGCAGAGAGGTGCACCCTTGGAACTGAGTCGTGCCGGCCTAGGCAAGAATCAAGTTGGTGGCGGAGGTCACGTAACGAAACAAAATGCAAAAACTCTTGCATTAACCTGCGGCGAACACGGCACCTGGCAACCTGGGGCGAAAAGTGGCACTAACTTCAACACAATATCTCTATATTTTTGGCTGTCTGAACTATATTAAGGGTCTTACGTCAGCAGCTGAAAGCTAGAGTATCCAGGTTGGAGGGTCCCTACGATAAAAGGTCCCTTTCGTTCCATGGTGCGGGGCACTTTACAGGAGCAAGTGCATTCCGGTTGACAATCAGCAATCCTGGTCATACGATGGACTCAGTCGACTCACTAGATGTTGTTCGTAACACAACTATTCTGGATTTTATTTCGTCGTCTGTCATTTCTTTCACAGGTTGTGATAAAAAAGTGTTCTGTCAACATTTAATGACTGAGAACTGGTAAGGCCGAACGCAGCATCAATCTTCTGCTGTTCTGCTTCGACCAAATGCGCATTGCCTGTCTTGATAAATTTTGCATAAACATCGTTTATGTCAGGTGCAATAAGACCATTCTGGGACATGAGTCTAAGCAGGCGCTGTAGCCAAGCCTGGCAGTTGCCGTCTTCTCCAGTTAGAGAAAAACTGTTGGTCATATCGCCTGCCAACTCTACAATCTGGTTGCGCATACCGTGATCAAATTCACCAAGCTGAATGGACACTCGATGACCTGCGATGGCGGAACTCATGTATCCAAGCATATGGGGGTAAAAGGCATATTTTCCAAGCCCAGTCAGATGGATCTGTTGGTGCAAGATGGGCGAGTTGTGCCAACCAACATACACATGGCGCTCTTCTAGAATGTCATTGTTGGCTTCCATGAAAACATGGACCATTTTCAGACCAAGCTTGTCGGGGCACTTATTGTATTCTCTTTGGATCCAAACCGCCATTTTGCAGGTCGAGTGCGCTGTGAAATAGAAGAGAGTCCTTTATATATTCAGGAGAAAGGGACGTGGAAATGAGTATCAGACGAATATGAATGACATTCACATTCACGAGACTGTAAAAGAGAAGGCGATAATGTGTTATTTACCTTCTTTGTAGATGGAGTGTTGCGAATTTCGAAGGGACAGACGGGGCAGACAAGAATTGACCTTTCGGTTACTACAAGGCGAATACGAAGGCAAAGACAGGACAAGGGTGCGACAAAGGGCAAGTCAAGGGCAGGATGAGGTGTTTAGGGTATGTATTCGAGGCGGGACAAAGGCAGGACAAGGGTAGGAGCAGGCAAAAGGTGGTAGAGTGAGTGTGTTCAAGTAATATTGGAGTTGTTATTCAAGTTACTAAGTGAGAATCAAACTACCTGGATACTACGGGCTATATATATGTTTTTGGGGGCTAAGCTAAATTAGTTTCTTGGGCGCAGTCAACTGCGCCCAAGAGTCGACTGATCATGCCAAGAGTCGACTGATCATATTAAGAGTTGATCTATCATATGGTACGACGCGACAGGTATCCTTTCCGCTGAATGTGGTATTGAAGAGCTGATTGTTATAACTTGGAGTCAAAGATCGATTCGACCTCATACTGTTGAGGTTAGCCGCCTCTCAAGTGCAAACAATATAAAAAAGCATATAAAAAATATCCAAAGCCCAAGGAATGCACTATAGACTTCCATAGCTGATATATCTCTTCACAGTCGGCAACAGAACTGAGGGAGAGATAGCAACAGACAGCACAAGATTTATTAAAATGTAATCTCTCCCATGTATTTCACAGCAAAGATGCAGTTGAGAGTACAAGTGCCTTAGATGATCACGTACAAGAACTACTCCCCTGAATCTTGTAGCGAGGGTACAGTCTAATAGTAGATGGACACATTCAAGAGATTGGTTTGCAAAAAATAAGAAAATTTTGTTGTTTGGAGAATGTGATGGTGTTTAGTAGGATAATTACACGAGAAATGTTACAGTGGTTGTTATACATGGTGGATATTATATATACACTCTCCTCTAATGGTTGCGGTGGATATCAGCAAGATCTGCAGAGATGTAACAAACACCATATCATAATTTAGAGTTGAAAGGCCTCCTAGTTTTAAAAAAAATGGGTAATGCAATAGTGGTGATGGTGGACAAAAAAAGATGGGTGGTGGTGGCGGTGAATCTCATTGGGAGGGACAAGGATGTATTACATGTTGTATTATGTACATAAAAAGGTTCTTGTTTTTAAAATTCTTCATCTACTCTTATGCGGTCTTAACTGTTACTTGACGAAGCTTCTTTTGTTTCTTACATTTCTCTTTAGCTAGTGTGATATGAACAGCTGGAGAAAGAGAAAGCTCGGGGTTGGACTGATGACTACTACCCTTAATAGAGAATGAGGAGAGAGTGAACAGACACTGAGATGAAACAGGTCAGAGGGGAGTACCAGAAATACTGTTCGATTGGAGACCCAGCCTAGTGTTAAAGCGGTAGTCGCCAGTTTGAAGAGCGTTGATAATTATTCACAAGGATCGCACACACCCGGAACCGGGCGAAGGTGCCAGTGAAAGAAGCATGTTGCATGGATGACAAGTAAAACGAAATTTTTACTTTCATTGTGTAGTACGGTGTTCCATTGAATTACTGACGTATGTTCACAACAAATGGCATTACATTGGAAGCAGACGATGTCATATTTTATCGTGTACTCTATTATATATATTTAATTTTGAAGGTAAAGATGCCCTCCGTGAAGTTACATCAATCTTATCCAATTAAAGTGGAGCTGTCTAAGTGTTCCTCGTACGTGCACATAGCCTACCTCACTCAGTAAAGTACCCTAAACCGTAAAGCGCACATGGGGACTGTACAGCTCGTCCTCGCCGGGCCAGGGACGACGCGTCTGAGTCCACACGACCCTTGTTGCTTTGTGGTACGCGTTCAAGAGATCTAGGTGTGCTCCTCCTCCAACTCCTTGATGACCATGTTGCCTCTCCTTTCCATGATATCCATGGGCCTCAGGCCCAGCAGGGTGTCGAAGGCCATTCACTATTAACAGTAGTAGTCACCAGTCCACCTTATATATTCTAAAAATCATAGGGCTCAATAAGAACCCCCCCCCCCCAATCATATATCTCATCACTCTACGCCTGAAGTTAACCAGTCAAATCATATATTTTGATATGCTTGGTTTTATTTTATTCTCTTTTCTGCAAGTGATGCAGCCGTCCATGTGATATCTGTGATAAGCTTTGTCAGCATCTCCTTGCTAAGAGATTCTCTGATAACAATCCGCATGACCTCTGTTAGCTCTTGGGCAGGTGGGAGTGCATAGTTAGGGACAACCCAGCCTCGAGTATGCATCAACTTGGGCACATCTGACTGCTTGACATGCGGATTTTCTGTACGAAACTTGTCGGTTAACTTGAATGCCACACAGGGTGAGCCAGGGTTGTACTCAGTGCCGTCCCCTTGAACAGTGTTGTGATTGCGAAGGTAAACATACACCCCTTTAGGTCTATGAACGTCCGATATCACATCGAAGTGACCAGACTCTTCCAGAGCAAGGGATAGTGTTCGACAATTGGCGAAGTTTTTTTGCATGATGGACTTGTATCCCTCTCTTCCATGGCGCACGAAGTTATAATATTGCCCGATCTAAAAAAGACATGTTAAAGTGTTAATATATTAGGTACAATCTGACATCGATCATCTATCAAGTACACATTGGCAGTTGGTACATACCATAAAGCATGCAGGACGCGAAAAGTTGAGAGTGTATGATGTCTGCACTTCTGCTCCCATGTAGTCAATTGTGAATACAAGCTCCTTTGGAAGATACTCTTCGCTCCTCCACAGTATCCACCCGATGCCGGCATAGGCCAGTCCAAACTTGTGACCGGACGCATTGATTGACTTCACTCGATCAAGCTCAAAACCCCACTTCAAACCAGGAAACACAAAAGGGGCAATAAAACCTCCGCTTGCTGCATCCACATGGATTGGAATATCCCAACCCCTCTCCTCCTGAATTCGATCCAGCTCGTCCGACATGCCATGGACATCCTCAAAGTGACCCGTGAAGAGACTGCCAAGGATAACAAAAACACCAATGGTATTCTCATCGCAAGCTTCAGCCGCCTTCTTGACATCCAGACAATAGCGACTCTCCACGGAGACTGGTATCAAGCGACATTCGACATCGAAATAGCGTGCAAACTTCTCGAGGGCTGCTTGAGCAGTATGAGCCATAATGATGTTTGGCCTCGAGGTGTCTTTGCCTGTAGCCATTCGCTTCTGTTGCCAGCGTTTCTTCATGGCTAATCCTCCGAGATGGATAGCCTCCGAAGAGCCGACAGTAGAAGATCCAACTGCATCCTTACTGTTCCAAAGGTCTCCAATTATAGATATACATCTACGGTGGATTTCTGCAGTAGCAGGGTATTCACCCTACGCAGATTCCAATATCATTTCAAGCGTTAGACTGTTGTACCTACAAAAAATTTCTCAACATACTTCTCGAGAAATTAAACGTGCATCATTAACATATAACAGTTATCAGAATATTAGAGATATTATACATACCTGGTCACAGAGGTTCTTATTGATATTCTCCATAATTAACTTGTCGGCCTCTGGCTCCATCCAGGTATGGACTAATAAACAGTAAACCGTATAATGTCAGTATGTTGCCAATAAGAAAGCTGGTAGACCAAATCAATGCTTCAACAGATCAATAGTTACCATAAGATGCCATATTCATGTTTGGACGACTCTCCAGCTCTAGTGCATCATGAATGAACTGGTATGCAGCTTGAGCATCTGTAGAATGTTCTGCTAATCTGGACGTTGAGACTTGCTTTAAAGTAGGTCGAGAGCTCTGCTCTAAGGCAGGAGTGGAGCAAGTGTCGGCCCGCTTGGCTTGGATGATGGGATTGAGATATTTCATCACAAATGACATCGGCCGAAAAGTTGATCGAAATCTTGGCAGCAGGGTTTGAGCAGCGTCGGTAGCGCCAGTAAGCGATATAATGCCTGCCTGCTCGGTTTGAATGGTGGTTTTGCTGGGATATCTCAGCATGAAGGGTATAGTGGATGTTGGCATTGAACTGGTTAATGAAAGGACAAGTGCGTATATGTGTGCAATGAGAATTTTGAAGAAAGAGTGAACGTATGTGGCAACAAAAATGTTCCTTTAAATACTTAGAAGTAAAGATCAGGCTGTGTGCTTCTTGCTCTTTTCTGATCCTCTCTTGATTATTCCTGATTTTCCTTTTCGGCTCCTCTTGACCCTCACGTTTAGGCTCCTCTTGATCTTTCTTTTCTCTTTCTTTTTGTCCCTTTGATCTTTCTTTTCGTCCCCTTGATCCTCACTTTTCTGCCTTCTTTGGTCTTTACTTTTCGGCCCTCTTGATCTTTCCGAATCATGCCCTCTTGACCTTTTCGATTCATGCTCTCTTGATTATGCCGATTCATACCCTCTTGATCCTTACTTTTCCCTCTCGATGCCTTACGTTTCGGCTCCCCTTGATCTTTTCTTTTCGTCCCCTTGATCCTTCCTTTTCAATCCCTTTTGATATTTCCTTTTCCTCCCCTCTCGATTCCTTATATTTCGGCTCCTATTGATCTTTTCTTTTCCTCCCCTTGACCTTACTATTCTCCCCTCCCCCTTGATCTTTCCTTTTCCTCATCTTTACTGCTCAGTCCCCCTTGATCATTCCTTGTCCTCCTCTCTTGATTCCTTACGTTTCTGTCCCTCTTGATGTTTTCTTTCCGTCCCCTTAACCCTTACTCTTGATCTTTCCTTTTCCTCCCCTCTTGATCACTCCTATTCGTCCCCTTTCCATCTTGTCCATTACTTAATCAACTCTTACCGGTCATATTTCTTTTGCCATTTACTGTTCGGAAGGCAGTAGCACCTTACCTTCATTCTTTCTCTTCTTAGGGCTAAATATGTTGGAAGAAAAATAATAAGGATCTAGACCCTGGGTAGATTACGACTACCACTTGTATATATAGTCCACAGCCTCACTTTTCGTAAACCACATATTTCCTTCCATTCCTCAGGCTGCATTGCCCATTTTTTTTTCCACCACAACTACGTCTTTATTTCCCTTGCCTTTGTATCTCCTGCACTTCCGACTAAAACGATACGTTATGTTTACTCAGGATCTTCCTCGTGTTCGAAACTGGATTAATGGCCAGTTCGTCGAACTCGCTGTTTCTTCTCCGTCCTCAGGAACTACACAATATCTCCCTGTGACCAGCCCTTATGATGCCAAAATCATTGGTCATGTCCCATTATCATCTGCTGCTGATGTCGCTGAAGCAATCGCCGCTGCCAGGAAGGCATTCCCTGCATGGTCTGGTTGTACAATCAAAGACCGTGCCGGGATCTTGATTCGCTTCCACGCCTTGATGACAAAGCATGCCGACCTACTGTCTGATATGGTGGTGTTGGAACATGGCAAAACTAAGTCAGAGGCATTGGTGAGTGTGTCGAGAGGCCAGGATTTAGTCGAGTATGCAATGTCGTTGCCTCACGTTTCTCAAACGAAGATACTGGAAGTCTCCAGAGGCATTACATGTTATGACTCTCGCGTTCGTAAGTCGAAAAAGTAAAAGGGACACCCATGTTGGTTAATTGTTTTTATTTCTCTGCCGCACAACAACTTACATAATTGCTTTAATGAAATAGCACTAGGTGTTGTAACATCCATCGTGCCATTTAATTTTCCACTCATGGTTCCCTTATGGACTCTGTCTGTCGCAATTGTTATGGGTACTGTTAACTAATTGCGCTTTGATATGACTAAAGGATTCAGCTGAACAATTTCACTCAAACGACCATAACTCTTCCTCACGTTCTGATAGGCAACACCATGGTTCTTAAGCCAAGCGAGAAGGTTCCTTACACTATGACTAAAGTCGTCGAGCTGCTCAAGGAGGCTGGTTTACCCGACGGTGTAGTTAATCTTGTTAACGGAACTGCTGAAGGTAAAGAAACCATCAACTTGAAGAGGTAGTAATGCCGGCTCCCAAACCATCGTAATAACCCTTTTTATACTCATACGTTTTATAGCCGCCAACGCTTTAATAGATCATCCAGATGTCAAAGCAGTAACTTTTGCTGGAACCTCGCACATTGCCGAGATCATAGCTCAAAGATGTCACAAGCTCAACAAACGCGTTCTGGCACTAGGAGGAGCAAAAGTACAAATTTTTGCCCCAGTAAAAAAATACGCTCTATTTACTTGATCCATCACCTAGTAACTCACTACCTTTGCCTTTTCGTATTAGAACCACACCGTCTCAGCGCCGGATTGTGATATTGAGATGACTTCAACCGACGTCGTCGAATCATTCAGTGGCTGCAGTGGCGAAAGTTGTATGGCTCCTTCTGTACTTCTCACTATTGGACGCCAACAGGATCTCATTGACAAGATTGTGTCCAAGGCAGAAGCAATTCGCCCTGGACGTCTTGATGGTCAAATGGGCCCAGTGATTGATCAAGTAGCCTTAGACAACATTACACGATACATCAATGGGGCCGAAGTCTCTGGGGCAAGGATTCTTGTTGATGGACGTCGTTGGACCAAGGAGCGTCAGGAAGGATACTGGGTTGGACCTACGGTGATTCTGCACACTAATAAGCAGGATGCACTACTACATGAGGAGCTCTTTGGGCCAGTATTGTCAATCTTGGAAGTAGCGACTGCCGAGGAGGCAATTGCATTTGAAAATGCCAACCCATACGGAAATGGTGCTTGTATCTATACTAGCTCAGGAGCAACAGCTGATTTCTTTATCAAGCGCTTCAACGCAGGAATGTGTGGCATCAAGTAGGTTCATGTTAATGCCTTTCAGTGTGCCGTGTTACTGACGGGCTGAATTTGACTCTTTCGCCATATATTTACGTTTTGTTCAACCTTCTGACTCATATTTTTAGTGTCGGCTCCCCTGTCCCTCAAGAACCCTTCTCCTTTGGTGGTTGGAATAAGAGCCGATACGGAAATCACTGCGACATTACAGGAGATGGTGGAATTGAATTTTTCTCAATGAGGAAAAAGGTTACTACAAAGTGGGTGCCACAGGGAAACGCCTCCTGGATGAGCTAGACTTCTGCTTATCCTTGATTCCTTGATTTCTCTTGAAACCACTCGCCGCCTTCTTACCTCCGCCTCCGATGTCGATGTCTCTCCAGTTCTCCATTCGACATTTACTTCTCTTTTCTATATGACATAATCAATAACAACACAAAACCATATTCATTCTTTCGAGCGCTGCAGATGGTAGTGTTGCTATCTTCTTTTGTTTGGTCCTGTCCCTGAGTGCGTGCAGAATATAAGAGAGAGGGTGAACGTCACTCTTCCCCTCAGCTAACAAGAGTAACAAGAAGAGGAGGGTTTATGAAGTGAGGGAAAGGAACGACAAGGCACGAGGTAAAATAGAGAATCAACACCCATACAGCAATGGACATGCAGGGTGCAAGAACGCCATGCATGTACAGCTCCAACCTTTTCTTTAATTTTTGGGTGTGTGTGTGTGTGTTTGTGCGTGGTCAAAGAAGGTATGTTTATTCATCTTTGACGTGAACGTCAATCTCAAGAAAAGGGTTGGAGATAGCACACTGTTCCAGAACAAGATCACGCTCTTGCTGGGTAGCAATAATGCCCAGCCAAGTCAGAGATGGTAGTTTGTCAACAAACTGCAACAGCACATCCACCGTCGGTCCATCGCACCACATCACATTCAGCCTCCACAACCGCTGAAAGACAGGCAACAAGGTCTCTGTGAAGCAGCTGTTAGGGAGACGCCACCAACCTTCAATATCAAGGGATCTCAGACTTGGACTCACTTGGGCAAGTTGCTGGGCTTTAAGGGATGGGTTCCAGCTCTCGGGGATCTTCCTTCCAATGTTGAGTCGCAGGTTTCGTATCACAGTGCAATGGCTCAGACATGTCAGATCAAACTGCAGAGCAATGGTGCCCTCTAGATCTATATGAGTCAACCGCGGCAGAGATTGACTCCAACCAAGAACAAGAGTCGACGGTCTGTCAAAACTAGAGAGACCGATGAGCGTTTGAAGCGTAGGATGAAAGGCTGCGATTGCATCGGCAAAGGCTGGAACCATGTGGGTGTCGATGCCACGGAGGCTGATGGACATGATAGAGGGAAGACTAAGTCCTCTCTCGAGTATTGCTTCTGCAGATCCTGTGCTTTCTCTCCCTGTAGCCCAGGAAAACATGTCCTGATGAAAGGCAGGCAGTCGTAGGACTTTGGCGTTGAATAGTCGCGAGAGAACGTCGGCTGGTAGACTGGACGCTGAGCGAGAGAGTCCCTGACGCATCTGAAGAACACGGCATTGTTCGAGTGGGAAAAGATGGAGATAGAGGTCAGCGTCGGCCCAGTTGCTGACATCTATGACCCGTGGCTGACCCATGGCTTGGATGAGGGGTGAGAGGTCAGATTGATCTATGGGTTGGATGAGGGTTAGGGAATCAGATTGATCGTCGTGTGCAGAGCTGGTGTCCTTTTTCATTCTCCTTTTTTCGGAGCCAAGTCAACAAAAGAGGTACCAGCACTCTTGATCTTGATCTCTTGGAGGCTTTGGTGGATGCGTCTGTGGGCGAGGATAAAGTCGGTCGCGGTCGAGATTTCGCGTCGGTCGGACTTTTTGTAGAGCTCGAGTCTGACAAGGCGCGAGAGTTGATCGACCAAGGGGAGTAGAGTCGATAGTCCATGGATCGAGTAGCCAATGGTGTGGATATGCTGTGGAGTGTGCCCGACAAGACCGAGATGGATATGTGCACGCACTCCTGTCGGACCTGGCAAGAGTTGTCGTGGTTGTGCGTGCGACTGTTGAGTAGACTGTTTGGAAGAGACAGACCGATCCTGCTGGGCAGAGAGGGTTGGGACAGAAGCAAAAGTGGCGCTGGGGATGTGATTGAGGGCCGGAGTGATGAGGAACTGCAACAGCTTCTCAAAATGACAGTTGTAGAGAGAGAGATAGTCAATAGTTGGTCTGCGAAAGCCTGGCAGTGGTGTATTGGTTGTAGCTGAAGTGGTGGTGATGGCGTCGAGGGTGTCGGGGATGCAGGCGAGGAACAGGCGAAGGACCTTGACCTGTTGCGCTTGTCTGTCCAGTATATCGGCAACATGACGCTCGAGGTATTCGAAGGGATTGTGATAAAGGATGGCAGCAGAGAGACGAAAGAGGGTCCTGTTTGTCAACAAGAGTGCATGCAGCGACCGAGGTGAGGATGTAACAAAGGCAAGCACCTGTACGATGCATTCCTCTGGCAATGAGTCCATTGGTGTGAACTTGATCTTGATGGTGGAGGTTGAGTGAGTGCGAGTTGATTGAGGAAAAGAGGGAAGTAGAGATGAGGGAGGAAGGACGGAAGGTAGGAATGAGAGGTGAAGGGTGAAAAAGAAATTAAAAGGAGAAAGGAAGTGGCAAAAATTAAAAAAGGAACTTTGTTTCTTGTTTACGGGCGCGCAGTCGAAAGGAATGGAGTGAAAATCAAATGATTTATGCAAAGGGGGAACAACGAGGAAGGATATGACGATGGATGGTGACGATGGATGGGGATGGGGGCGCGTACCTGGGTACGTAGGTATGCTGCAGTTAAGTAAAGAGTGGTATCTACGATGGTAGTAAAAAGAGAGTCTGATAAGGTAGAGTCGCGTCCTGCCATCCGAGACCGATTGGCATCCAGGTGATGAAAGGTGATGAAACGAATCTTTTTTGATGATAGGTCGATTGGGTGCTTCACCCCTTCCTTGCTCTCTCTTTCTTGTTCACTTTGTCGTTGTCACACATGCAACAAGCTAATTTAAACATCCCCTTCCTGTCCATCGCTCATTACATTTGTTTAGCACGTTGCTTTACCTCTCGTCCCTTCCCTTGCCTTCCCTTCCCTTCCCTTGCCTTCCTTCCTTCCTTCTCGCTCACTCTCGTTCGATCCCTTGTATCCCTTCTTCTCTCCTTCCTGCTCTTGTCCTTCTCCCCACAGTCATATACCCTTCCTTGCTCTACTCCCTTTCCTGTCTCTTCCTAATGCCACCGCAATCACCACAATAAAAACAAAATAACCACCACTTCTTCCTCCCTTCTCCTCTTCCTCCTTTTCCTCCTCCATGTGTCCAACGTAATCAAACCAACCAACCCTCACTCACTCTCTCTCTCTCTCTCAACCTTTTTACAATCTTACAACACTCTCCTCCTCTCCCTTTCATCACCCTTCTTTCTCGTCCAACATAACTGGCTGGCCATGGACTACACTACAACAACATCATCATCAGTAACAACAACAACAACAAAGTCAAAGACGACGGTCAAGGGGTCCTTACCTGCTGCACCGCTGCCGCTACTCCCACTCGAGGTGCGGCCGTCCTTCACTCGCAGCAGGAGCCAACAGAACCTCGCCAGTCCGACCCGTCTCTACAACACCGTCAGCAGTGTCCTGAGCAGGTCCCGCGTCAACTTGCTGTCATCACCCTCCTCCGAGCAACCCCCTGCTGTCCCTCCCATCCCCTCAAGCTATGCTGCACAACAGCAAAGTCCCTCTGCATTCGCCACCATGCAAAAAGTCTACCAGTCATACGAAGACATCTCCTTTTGGTCAACCCTCTATGCACAGCATCACGTACACACCCGTCAGGAGAACCAAGGAGGCGAGAAACAGCAGCAAAATCAAAGGCGGGAACAGCAACAGCAGCGGCGGCAGGACTGTGGGGAAGCAGCCGGATCCATCAAGGTTTGGCAGGTACTCACAAAGACCGTACTCGACGACAACCTTGCTGCCACAAAGCCCACGCCCGAACAACACCCTCAAAAGCAACAACTACAGCAGCAGCAGTTGTCACAACCGAGCGTGCACTTTGAACGACTGCCCATCAAGGTCCAGACATCAGCATCAGCACTATCCACCGACGGACGCCCATTCTCCATCGTCTTCTTCTTCACCGTCGAAACCGCACCAATGACCCTCTGGTACCTCGAGTCCGCATTCACCCAGTCATCAACCGTCCACGAACACATGGAACTCATGGGTACCTTCCAACCCAACGACGCGCGGGACCCAACGTCGTTCTATATCTACGAGACTCACGCCTTCAACGTTGTCCAGCCCATACAAGAAGACACCATGCTCGATATTCATGTCCAGAACCCAGCTGGAACAATCTATGCCGAGTTCTCTTACACATTTATCAAGGAACCCAAAGTGGGCACATCGACCTCAAGTGTGTCATCCACTTCACTGTCCATGCCGAATTCTCCCAGGACTACAGCACATCAGGAAAACATCAGGTGCAGCAGTACCGACGACATCGATGGTATCGCTTTCGCCGCCACCACGACCACCGCGACCTCTCTCCTTAAAGGTGCGACAATAATTAAAGCACAATCAACAATCGCGGCAACAAATGATGTGGAAATCCGCCTTTCTCCCGCCCTGTCACCCTTGGACGGCTACGACCTTGTCGAGCGGGAATCACCCTCCTCTCCTGGATATTTCTCTGTATTTAAGGATGGACAGTCGTCTCCCCTTTCGTCTCCTCCATCGCCATCCTCCTCCACCAAGAGGACAGAGCCCTGTGTACCCTCCCTTCCCAGTAACTCTGTCATAAGCGAGTCCAGCACACAGACTTCTCTTCTTCACAACTCCTTTACCGTCGCAGGATTTGAGCAGGATGAGCTTGAGCAAGAAGAAGACGACGACGAGCACGACGAATCTGAAGCAGTCTTTGTCGAGAGCCTCTCAGAAGAACCAGACGCTGGAGAGCACTTTATGCAGGCGACCTCCGAGTTTTTCTCAAAAATGGGGTAAGGACAACGCAGTTCAAGACCTCCGTTTGTAATCCTGTGCATTAGGAATCAGTGCCTACTTTTTGTTGTCTTGGCAGACGTGCCCTAATTGTTTTCCTCCTTGGTGCATGTGTGGAATAGGTATTGGTTGTACAACTCCAAGGTCGTTCAGTACATTTCTCGGGACGACCGGTCGCGGATAAAGACCCTATTCCAGACAGATGACATTTGGATCTTGGGAGTCATCTATACCTTTGACCGTAAGTGACACCATCGAAAAAAGAGAAAAAAAAAAGATGACGACGGGGAATGGGTGACCCCGCTCCATTCTCCCGCTCGGACACCAAGAAAAAATGAAAATAAGTGAGCATGTCCTTAACGCAATTTAATTCTTCGAATGTACCATAAAATTCAAAAACTTAGAGAGCGAGCTGCCCCTCTCGCTGCACGAGGCTCCGCGCTCTCGGAAGAGCTCAACGTTACAGGCGCATGCCATTACAGCCAGTCGATCAGGAGGAAATGGAGGGGGTGGTAGTGGAGGAGGAGGAGGAGGAGGAGGTGCTGTGGGTGATTCGAAAGGCAGTTCTGTGAGCAGCACAAGCCCAGTATCCGACCACGGCGATCCTGAGCTCTTACAGCCCAAGCGTATGGCGGACCGTCCAAGGTCTCAAACCATCAACTCACCCAGGGCAAGAGCAGATTCGGACGCCCATTCCAGGATAAGCACTTTTTCTCGGAGGGATATACCACGGTCGAGGAGCAAGGAGCGGAAATTGGAGAAGCAGAGAGAAAGGGAATTGGCCAAGGAGGACGCCAAGGCCAAGAAAATGGCGCGAGCAAAGGAGCGCGAATTAGAGAAGGAGCAGCAACGGCAGCTGGAGCGTGAAAAGGCCAAGGAGAAGGCTCGACTCAAGGAGCAGGAAAAGATGCAAAAGTTCAAGGCCAAGATCTCGCACCCTCACTTTGATCGCAACAGCACCCTTGACGGATCCAGGCATCTTTCAGCTATCCTCGCACTTGACTCCAAGGAGCATGGGTACCTCAATGTCCAACGTGAACCGCAGCGGAAATCACAGTCCATTCATGGCTACCAATATGGGAGCAGGCTGAATGTCGGGCTCGGTCTATCTACCGACGCTGTCGAACCAATGCAACAGGGGGAAGTTACGAACAGTGAGTATTCACAGGAACCCGCAGCACTGGAAACATCGCCCGAACACTCTCCGCCTCCACCAAGTGAGCGTCCACGGTCCACCAAACAACGTTTGCTCAACCTCCCATCAGCGCTTTTGACCAATCTTCCCCGACAGAGGTCACCGTCATCTTCCAGCCTTGCGTTGAACAAGCCCTGGAGAGCCATCTCACCTCGATCGCCCACCTCTCGGAGCAAGTTGCCGTTGGTCGCCGCCCTCTCTTCGCCATCAATGCCTTCGCTTCCTCATTTCCCGTCGAACCTTTCCAGCCCTCACTCACCAGAACTAGAGTACCCCGCCGGTATCCTAGACCCGGACGAGACCTCTGAGACTCGACCCGACACCAATGGCATCTCAAGGAGAGACCTGAGCTCTTCATCGCGATTCTCGACAACGTCTCACCTTTCAGCCGATAGACATGCCAGTCAGTCACCTCCTTCGCCTAATCGAGCGACTCTTACACGATTTATGGCCGACTTTCAATCAAGGATCTGGTTCACATACCGCAAGGAAATCACCAGGATCGAACCTTCCTTTTACACGTCGGACGCAGGGTGGGGCTGTATGATGCGAACGGGCCAAAGCTTACTGGCTCAAGCCTTTGTACAGGTCATGCTCGGTCGAGGTATGTCTTATTTTGATTGGAAGCGCCACCACGCCATGTCGATCTAATCCAAGATGCAGTTTTGCTCTAACACAGCTTTGCATCCCCTTCATGGCGGTCCTGAACTCATTTAGACTGGCGCGCGGGACCTTCGGCATCAGAGGAGAGCTGCAAAAAGTACTGCAGTCTTCTGAGTTGGTTTGCGGATGAGCCAGATCGGTACTACAGCATTCACAACATTGCGAAAATGGGTGTTGCATTGGACAAGCGAGTTGGCGAGTGGTTTGGACCCTCTACCGTCGCTCACGCTCTCAAGTAAGTGACTCTCTTCAGGCGCGTTACATTTATGCCATTATTGTGTCTGGAGGACCGATGCCATTTTCCGATGGTGTACTAATTGCCTTGTTTTCGTATGGTTATAGGCGTCTTTCCTACAGACACCCAGATTGCCCTGTTGCGATTATGGTATCGATGGACAGCACTATCGAGATAACCGAGCTTGTGAATGCAGCAACTGGCAAGGAGATCAGGAGTGGACAATCATATGGGACGACATCTCCGGGAAGTCCCGACCCACAACGGCAACCACAGCAGCTACCAGGACAGTGGAAGCCTGTAGTGGTGATGATGCCTGCCCGCTACGGACTCGACAAACTGAAGGAGGGCTATGTGGCCAATTTGAAACAGCTCTTCAAACTACCCCAATTTCTTGGAATCGCTGGTGGACGGCCTGGTCGATCGCTCTACTTTGTTGCTTACCAAGGTACATGTCGCCATGACAATTGCCTGCGGTATTAATATGCATTGATGTTATTGTTGTTTTCTTCTGTGCTCCCTCCTAACATTGATGTCTCACCGTTCTGTATGATTAGGCCACGACCTGTTTTATTTTGATCCACATACTGTCAAGGCTCGGGCGACCCATGAAGAGATGTCGCACTGCCCTTCACCTGTAAGTCACCCTACTTTACGCCTTACAAGAGTGAAGATTTCAGTTTTCATGGGTATATTGCTAACAGTCTATTTTTCATGTCGCTTATATAGAGCTACCACTGCAACGTTGTGCGGACGATGGATATTATGGAACTGGACCCATCGATGATGCTTGGGTTCTTGATTCGGTCAATGCAGGATTTGACGGAGCTGATGACAGAAATGAAGCATGGCATGGATCAACGTTATTCGCTGTTCACTATCGTCGGGAACCCTGTCCTCACTGCAGCCTCAGTTCCAGTGCCTGCTTCAGCTCCAGCTCAGATTCCAGCCCAGGCTCCAGCTCCAATTCTCGCACCAGTCCCAGCTTCAACGCCAGCTCCAATGCTCGCGTCAGTTCCAACTTCAGCACCAACTCCAATTCCTGTGCGTGCTGTTACTCCTACGCCAGTTCACACTCTTGCGCCATATCCCACGTTCGCGCCATCTCCAGTTCCTGCACCAGCCCCAATTCTCGCACCAGCCCCTGTTCCGATGCCAGGTCCGATTCTCGCGCCAGTTCAAACTTCTGCGCTTGCTCCACCAATTCCTGCGCCAGCCCCGGTTCCGATGCCAGGTCCAATTCTCGCGCCAGTCCAAACTTCTACGCCTACTCCAATCCTTGCGCGTAGTCTTACTCCTACGCCGGCTCCTATTCTTGCGCCATCTCCAATTCCATCCCCAGCTCCAGTCCTAGTTCCAGCTCCAGCTGTTGCCGCTGCGGCCCTCAACAAGGAAGCTGCTGTCGTGGATGTCTTTATCCACCGGCCTTCTTCCGATATGTCTACACCTGATCAGGAAGTGCCAGAGACAGAAGAGGTAGCTGTGGAGGACGAGGACGAGGAGGAAGTGGACGATGGGGTGATTGTGTTAGAGGAACAAACGACAGTGGAGGAGGAAGTGGAGGTGGAGGTTGTGGAAGAGGATGTGGTAGAGAGCATTGTGATGGATTTCACCTTTGAGGTCCTTGAGCAGTTGGCATTGGAGCTTGCGAAATTACAACCCGTCGAGGAACTTGTTGTGGTTGAGAACAAGGTTGAAGAGAAGAAGGCAGAGGAGGAGGAGCAATTGGTGGCGCTGGAAGAGGACGTTCTTGTATCCTTGGAGGGCTTCGACTCGACGATTATGACACCTACCCCGATGAGTCCAGTGACGAGCCCAGCGATGAGTCCAATGAGGAGTCCTATGACATGTCTAATGACAGATGTGGACCTGGATGCCCCTCTGCCTCCTCTGCCTCAATTTAAGCCTCTTATTCCAGTACAGGTTCACCGACCGATTTCGACGAGCCCGGTAGATCCACGACCCAAGAAGGAGATGAAGCGAATCACCAGGGCGTTCCAGAAGGAAAAGTGGATGATCAAGCCGAGAAGCAGCAAAAGCAAGAAGGTGAACAGCAGCAGCCCTCCGGTCGAGGACGTGGCGACGACAATGCATGATCAGACCGTGTACAAGTATGCGACCATGCTGGGAGAGGAGGATGCTATTTTCTTGCACGACCAGGATACCCTTTCTGTCAAGAGCTTCGACTCTGATATTTCCTTCTAGCCAACTTGTTTTTATCAAAAGTATACCCGTTTGTTTATTTATTAACCTACCTCGATTGCATGCCTGCCTGTCTGTCTCCTTGTCAAGAAACGTGGTTATTTGCATTTGTGATTGTTAGAGTTGTGGCTTGTGCGTATGTTTCGGATGGGATTCTTGAGACGCGATCTGTTTTTTCGCGTTTTTTTTTTTGGGATGTGAAACTCACTATCATTTTCTGCCGCCTTGCTACTAATTGAATTTGGGCTCGGCTAAGTTCATCCTGTCATGCCTGGTTGGACATTTGTGGGGTAAAAGGACCAGGTAAGACACAAACGAGAAAAAAAAACGTCCTTGTTAGCCTGGCTTCCCAGGTCCAATCGGCTCGTTTATTGGATTTGTATAAGGACACTATAGCAGATACAATGGGCTCGCGAGGTAGCGGTGCAACTTCATTCCTTTTCCTTCATTATGTTGTCGTCATTGTCTCTGGTTGCCGCATTCGTCGGCCTTCTTGGGAGTGGTCATAATGGCGCTTCTCCAATCACCGCTGCCGTATTGGCCCCAGTATAGAGAATTGTGTCAGTTACCCGGAACTCCGGGTATCATCATAGGATCTACTTGATCATTTTTTTTTCTTCTCAGCTAGCCTCTTCCTTTATTCTGTTATCTCAACTTTCTTCTTCTTTTCCTCATTCTCCATTTTCTCCCTCCACCTTTCACGTATCCTCACACCAACTCTTGCACCTGTCCGTTCGATCGCCAACTTTCAATATTCCAGCAACTTGTTTTGGCGTGCAGTCACCTTATCCGTCGTCAGTCTTTCAACCATTTACTTCGACTGCAGGCTTCAGCCAAGATACTATTCCTCTCTTTCCCCCGTTCCACAGTCGGACATCTCTTATTTCTCTTTACTAACCATTCCATTGACGTTCACTTTCAACAGAGACCGGCACAGGATAACACAGCAAACATGAAAGTGGCATACTCGTCAATTTTCATTGCTCTCACAGGATTAGCCAGGTAGACCATGGCTTCAACCACCAGCTGCAGTGTGGCGTTGGATGAGAATACCATACCTTGTGATGCGACAAAACGCACTAAAAAAAATCTCACTTGGTTCAACATGTTCTAGCTTGGCGACGTCGGTGGATGCAGCGGCGGTGGAGGGTCGGCTTTTGCCAGCTACCTTCCGCGGTCGAGTCACTCGAGGTAATTAAAGGCAATCACTCTGTATGCAGTCGAGAACAAACCTGTGCATTGGGAAGACGAAAGATTAACGCTGTCTAATAAGTGAATACAGCAGAAACATCTAACCGTTCTTTACTTTTTTTTTGTGGAATGAATGGAAACAGGTGTCTCGTTGAAGACCAAAGTTTTGCTGGGCAGTGGACGCTATCAGACACAAATCGCCAGAGACGGGACCTTTGAGTTGTATGTGGACAGTTGTATGATGGAATACATTGATGGTGATGGGGGTATTGAGTGGAGACGGGGGCTCTGAATGCTGACACTTTTTCTCCGTTTGATTCTGTTTCTCGATGTTGCTCCTTGTAGCCCGGATGTGCCCGTTGGAACATACATTCTGGAGGTCCAAAGCCCACACCTCGTCTACTCACGGGTAAACACTTTGCATAAAAGGATATCATAAAACGAGAGAACATTCATTCATCCCGCCAGGAGATCGAGTTGACACTCACCAAACACGTACATCTTCGTTCCCACCATGTTATTCTCGTTTAATAGGTGCGAGTGGTGGTGACACATTCGGAGGTGGTGGCGATGCGAGTGAGCCTCGGGGACCACTTCTCAAACATCCCCCATGTCTTGCCCATGCCCCTCACTCTCAGACCCCGTCCACGACCCATTCACTATATCGTAAGGCATTCTATTCTTTTTTATTCTAGTTGTCTAACACGATAGTGAAATTTTGCGGGGTTGTTCATCGATCTATTTTTTTTTGGCACGGTTTCACGAAGGTCTTTCATTTTTTTTCTTTGTTGTTTCTCTGGAACTCATATATACTCTTCCTACGCCACTGCTAGCCCCCAGAGGGTCAGAAGGTAGTTGGATTCTTCGGTAACCCCATGATCCTCATGGCCAGTTTCAGCGTCATGATGGTAAGTTTTTTTTTTTTTTCCCTTTTACGCGTTTCTTTGGCAATGGACATCTTTTTTTTGCAGGAAAACTCACAAATACCTCCCAATAGCTGCTCATCATGCCCAGGATCGTGTCCAACCTAGGTAAGTTCCTTCACTTGTCTTTCACAAGAAACATAACGCGCATATTGTACGTGCCAATACCCAACTAAGCGAAAGCTAACAACTACATGATTGTCCCTCCTCCTCCCCCTCTCTTCTTCCCTATGTAACAAACTTGCAAAAACAAAAAAAGACGCGGACGCGTTGGACTCCCTTCGATCATCTTACGATTTCTCAAGCCTACCCGCCCTGCCACCCCAGCACATGGGCCTGATGATGCCGCCGCCACAGCAAAGGCCCTCCTCTTCCTTCACCTCCAACTCCAATTCCTTACAGAAGCAGCCACACCAAGCATACTCCATGGAAGACTCTTCCTCCCACGACTCTTTCCTGAACCAACCTGAGGTCATCCCTCACAACAGCGAAAAGACCCCAGTCGACTCTGCATGTCCTACCACTTTTGGTAACCAATGGGCGCAGCAACAACCAGCTGGACCAGGAAGCGCTGCTCCTATTCAAAACAAGAAGCAAAAGTAACAGGTGCGAACGCCCATTTTGCTTTCTTTTCTTTTTTCCCCCTTGTCAATCTCTCCTTTCTTCTTATAGTTGTACGATAATCACCGTAGTCGCTTATCGAAATACAAGCATACAAACATACATGAGGTGGGAAAAATGATCTCTATTTCGAAAAAAAGAAAAAAGGCCGCGCATATTACTAAAGAAGAAAAAGTGGACAAAAAGAAATGGACTTGGGAAGAATAAGGCGAGCGAGAGGAGCAGAATAGAAACAATCAATCGAACAAACGCACGACTGGAGAGAAAGCGAAGAAAAAAAAAAGAGTCAAGAGCTGTGGAAAAAAGACAAGATAATGAACTGGAGCAGGAAGGAATGGGTCATCGAAGTTCATAAAGATATATGTGAGAGGGAGGGGACATCAGCAATAGGGTAAAGGAATACAAAAAATAATAGAAATAGCCCCGTTGGTCGGTATCGTTTCTGCATTTCCAGCGTCTCCGGCTTGACAAAAATCCTGCTCAAAGCTCAAAACTCATTTCCACTCCAGATCATCCTGCTGCCATGTCGATTGTTTTTGGTGCTTGTCGCTGTTGTTTTCCTTATGAGTTGTGGTGTGTGCATGCTCCTGAACGAGTTTAGAGGATCAGGCACTTCTTCGACTTCCTTGTGGGTTGGACGGGGCAGAGGACGGCACGGATGGCCTCGTCAAAGACGTTCTTGAGACCCTTCTGGGTTAATGCCGAGCACTCAAGGTAACGGACAGCCGAGATCTCCTTGGCCATCTGGAGTCCCTGGGGGTAGGTGATGGGCAACATGCGCTTCTCGCGCAACTTGTCCAAGGTCTCCTTCTCCTCGCGCAAATCCAACTTGGTACCGACAAGAATGGTGGGGACGTTGGGGGCGTGATGGCTGATCTCAGGGTTCCACTATAAACATGAAGAGTGTAGATGAGCGGGTTTGTTGTGAGTATCTCATATATCCGTTGTGGTTATGATCCTTTGCAGCTCTCTTGTGAAAGTTGCAGCTTTCGTATCCACGTCCAACTTTAACCCAGCAAGCGAGTTGTCGTGAAAGATATAATTCCTGCAAGCCGTTCTTGTGAAAAGGTAACATTCGATCACAGTCCTGACGCCCTGAATAATACTCCTGTACAAAAAAACAACTCCTATGAAGCCATGGCAAGGCAAGCATACCTTGGTCTTGACGTTCTCGAATGAGGGAGGGGAGACAAGGGAGAAGCAGATGAGGAAGACGTCGGTCTGGGGGTAAGAAAGAGGGCGGAGACGATCGTAATCTTCCTGTCCGGCGGTATCCCAAAGACCGAGGTTGATGGGCTTTCCGTCGACCATGACATTGGCAGAGTAGTTGTCAAAGCTATTTGATTCCATACGAAAGGTGAGTCATGAGAACGTATGTTAGTTTTTGATGATTCATATAATAGCTGATATTCCTTTGTGCCCACTGCCTTTGCAATTGATGCCCATCTCCCATCTCCTCTTCTGCTTCAGTCTATTTATCTGCTTCTGGTCCTGCCTTCTTTACGAGTGGCAACTCCATCCATCCAATCTCCCCATCTCCGCCTTGACTCAATCTTTCCATTTGGTATTGGTCCTGTCTTCTATACGGTCGAAAAGGCTATCCATCTAATCCCTCCTTCTCCGCTTTGCTTCTGCCTATATTTCCGGTTTGCTACACTGCGCAGGTAAATGCCAGGGACGTGCCGTTGTGTCTCCTGCTTCTTTCGGTGCCTTTTTCCACCCCGTGAAGTCGTGATGTTCTCCTGTCGGAGAAGCACTTTAAATCCTGGGGTAATGGAAGCCATGTCGTGTCTAACAGTGCAAGTGAGTGTTATCCTAGCATCGAATTGATATCGCGATAAAACGCCCCAAAGTCGCGTTCTTGGAGGGGTTTGCACTCAATTGTCGTGCACACTGGGGTAAAACAAAGTGTTTGAAGTTTTGACAAAGACAAAACAAGGATATTATGTTTGATTTGTGACCTACACAGTGGGGATGTACTCGCCGGGGAACGCATTGGTTGTGTAACTGATCAGGAGACAAGTCTATGAGACAGAAAGAGAGAGAGAGAGAGAGAGAGAGAGAGAGAGAGAGAGAGAGAGAGAGAGAGAGAGAGAGAGAGAGTAAGAATACAAAGAAGTACATGATAGTACATGTACGAGAGAGATACACAAAAGGTGAAACGAAAGGAGAAAAAGAAGGAAGTGAAAAGACAAAAGGGAAGAAACAAGGCGAGAAGAAGGTTGGATGTGATTGGTCCAATTGGGATGGGATGTGCTTCTTTTTTTGTCGTTCTTTTTCGGTCGGGGGAGGAGGAAAGGGGAAGGAAGGACAAAAAGAAAGTGGCAACGACAACGACAACGATAACAACGCTTATTTCTCTCGTTGTCAACAACGAGTTGGAGGTCAAGGCAAAAAGAGTACAAGCGGAAGAAGAGAGGGTCGAGAATAGGCGGACGGTCCGTCAAGAACAAGTCAACGGCAAACACAGAGCGAGACAACTCTCTGTCCAGTTTGACTTTTCTGCGCCGAGAAATAAAGAAAAAAAAGGCGTTCTCCTGGCAAAGTGACCAAGCGACTGTTTACCTTTCCAACGGCACCGTCTAGTTACAGTAACAGCAGCAACAAGTAACAGGCGTAACGAGAAGACAGACAAACATGAAGAATAAGTGTTAGTGATTTCTTCTTTTTTTCGATCAATACTTTGTGGATGGGTGCTTTCTCTGTTTCCGAGATGATGTTGTCCAGTTGTAGATGATGGGAAGGAGATGATGATCTCATAGAGACGAGAGACAGTAAGTGGGAGCGGGGAGTGCGGTCTAGTTGCGATAGCATATGAGCGAGTAAAGGTAGGTGGGTAGGCGTGGATAAGTCGAGTCCTCCTGGGTTGGCTTGGCAGTGGCAGTTCGCTTGTTGGAGTTCAGGAGTAAGAAAATACGAAGGACGGAGCTGAGGTCGTATCGTACTGTTGCCTTGTCTTGTTTCGTGTAGCCCTGTTGAAAGTGGCGTGTCTCTCCTTTGGTTGGAGTGTGGATAAGAATGTGTGTTTACCTCCGACGACAACACACTTGATGGCCTGCATGAGAGAGAGAGAGTGAGTGAGTGAGTGAGTGGGTGAGTGGGTGAGTGAGTGAGAAGCGAGTAAGGAAAGGAGAGAGAGTGTGTGTGTGTGAGAGAGAGTGAAAGAGAGAGAGTGTGTGTGTTGGTTGTATATAAGAGATGGAAGGGGAAAGGGGCAACAAAGGAAAGGAAAAGGAAAAGGAAAAGGGAAGAGAAGAGAAGAAGAAGAAGAAAAGATGATGAGTCTATGTTTTCTGAGTGTCGGTCTCTCTTGTCCTCCTGCTTAACTCCTGTCCTTGCTGCTCTCACTACTGGTGTACTGTACAGTGCAGTGTTATGTATTCAATTTCCTTTTGTATGTGTTTATGAGCACCTCTTGGATCCAGAGCAGAATGTATTCTGCTTGTCAAAATGCATGCAAATCAATACAGCGTGCAGGTAGCCAGGCTGACAGGGAAAAAAAACAACAACAACAACAGCAACAACAACAAAAGTCTCGCCCTGACCATCATGTCACCCGTCTCGCAAAAGGGGTGAGTGAAAACAACAACAAAGAACCCTGGATCTGGATCTGGTGGGAGAAGGACAACTCTGTGCCCCAGGCAGACAGGCATAATAAAAACACCATTGGGCAACTCTTACATCACTCCCTCCCGCTGCGTTGTCTTCGCCCGTTCTTCCTTCTCCTCTCCCTCCCTTTTTTCTTTGCTTATTGTGGTTTTTTCCCTCTCTTCTTTTCTTCTTTCTTCCTTTTTGTTCATACGTTGCTTTGCTCCTCTGACATCCCTTGGGGTCCAGTCCACAAGAGGCAGAGGCGATGGGCACTGTCCAGCTGGCAAAAAAGAAGATATCGTCATGGTAGATCATTCCATCGTAAGAGCAGCAATCAAGATCCATTCACACTACGCCCAAGTAAACTGTTCGTTCCTTGTTCCTGGGACCTTTGGTCTTTTTCATTCGTATTACTTTACTTCAACCTTCCTCCATTCCTCAAAAGAAAGAAAGAAGAAAAGAGATGCCAGGCATCTTCACCCCTGCGACCATCGTGGCGCTCCATCTCTCTGTCCTCATCACCGTCTCTGTCATCTGGAGCAGGATCGTCCCTCAACCGTACATGGTACTTTTTAGAACACACACGTTACGAAGGACAACCTACCGCGAGACTTTTAAGAAATACCAACCAACCACTTGTTCAATATGACCCTATAGGACGAGATATTCCACATCCCGCAGGCACAGCGGTATTGTCAAGGAGATTACTGGACATGGGATCCCAAACTGACCACCCCTCCAGGACTGTAATACACATAACATACACGTCAAATGTATCGATATCCACGCGTGTCCAAACGATGTATGACCTTCGAGACAAGACTAACCCATGGTATTTTCACTCGTGCCCTTACTAGATACGTAATTAGCAACATCCTGCTCGCGGCACAGAGACCCCTGTGCTCAACGTTCTTCCTCCGCCTCACCAACCTTAGCTACCCATTCATCATCCTCTTCACAGTCGCGTCTTTGCTGAAATCGATTCACCCACATCTCACCCGACAGGAACGGCTCAATTCGGCCGCGGTGATAATTTGCTTCCCGATCCTCTGGTTCTTCAACTTTTTGTATTATACCGATGGTGGAAGCTCCGCTTTTATCCTTCTCTCCTGGCTTGCTGCCAAGAAGAGACATCACCTCCTCTCGGCCTTGGTAAGAGTTTGACAAAGGGAACATGATGTCGACTTTGACATTGTTTTGGCTGTGTCCTTCAAAAGCAAAAGTTTCAAAAGGAAGATGAAGAAGGCTACTAACACAAAATGACCACAAAACTAATAGGGATCGGCGGTGGCAGTGACATTCAGGCAGACAAACATCATCTGGTCGCTCTTTATTGTCGGGACAGCACTCCTGGAACTCTCGACACCCGCCGAGCGTCGACGATTTGATCCAAAGGCAGCATTTGTGCAGTCGCCATTGCAGCTGATTCAGGCTCTGACGGGATTCATCCAGATACTACTCTCCAAGTTCACAAGGGTTATCACCATCTCCCTGCCCTATCTGGGACTCTTGGCTGGTTTTGCGGCGTTTGTCAAGTGGAACGGAGGCATCGTCCTCGGTAAGCACTCTACATCTTCGTTCGCTACGCGCATTTTGATCAATTGCCTAGGAGGTGTTACTTACTCTCGTGCATCTTGAATAGGCGATCGCTCAAACCATATCCCGTCAATGCATGTGATGCAGCTGTTCTACTTTGCAGTATTTTCAGCAGGAATGTCAATGTTTGCTATCCTGGGCGTAGTTCCTGTAGCCCGTCTCATCAGGAGACCTACTTTCAAGTATGGTCTACTATCCTTTGGCTCCTCGTATGCTTCATGCCCAATTTACTCCGCAATGCTAACGAGCTCTTTGTTGCACGATTCTCCGTCTTTGTAACCTTGTAGGTCTTCCTTGGTGATATTGACTGTGGCCTCCATTATGGCTCTCTGTGTTTACAAGTTCACGTAAGTTTCCATTCCATGCAATGCAGTACTCCTGCAGACTACCAACTCCAAAAATAGTCGTGAAACTGACCAAAATCTCATTTTTTTGCTGCATGGCCTCTGTCGATACAATCAATAGAAATGTGCATCCGTTCCTGCTGGCAGATAACAGGCACTATACTTTTTACATCTGGAGGCTCATGTCGCGCTATAACGGGATCATTCTCTATGCATTGGTGCCCGCTTACATAGCAGCGGCCTGGTTCTGCTGGCAAGCCCTTGGTAAGGCATCGTTATCCTTTCCGTTGCCATGCGCTCATATATATTTGCTCACCTGGGTTCACGTATTAATACTCCTGTTTTTTGGGTCCGATAGGCACTGAGCAAACGATTCTGTGGGTTGTGATCTACGCAGTCGCAACGATGTTGACATTGATCCCATCGCCTCTGCTAGAGTTCCGCTACTTTATCACACCTTACTTGATCTACCGAATCGCCATGCGTCAACCCAGAGGCGTGTGGTTGTTCCTGGAACTGCTCTTCTACACAGCCATCAATGCGGTGACAGTCTGGATGTTCCTCAACAAGCCCTTCCGGTGGGCCCATCAGGAAGGCGTTCAGCGATTCATGTGGTAGAAAACATTCTTCCTTTGCTGGCTCAAAGAGAAAAAATATATATAAAACTGTCATTTTAGATCACCCCCATTGGAGACATAGACAATTGAAGGAGGCGATATGAGTAATAATACATTATATGCTTGATAAAAGATGCTGAAAGTGCTATGAAGAAGCCAGTGCCTAGACGTGACGAGGCAACATCTGGGGCGACTTCTTGATTGCTGGTGGTCGCCTCATCAAAATGTAGAGCATTGCCGTCGTTGCCACACAAAGTGAGTACCTAATACGAAGATGAGAAGCAGGGTTAGATACTCAATCATCCTTCTTGAAATCTACAGATGGAAAGCGGGCCTGTTCATATCAACCCCATGAACTTACCATGTAACGATGTACTCTTTGTGGTGGTTACGAAGTTCGACGACTGGCGAGCGTCCAACGGGAATATCCTTGTCAATCAATTCTGACTTGATCAAATGAGCAGGCGTATCTACCAACAACAGACATACAGCAAAGACGATTCATGATTAGTCCTTGTCGACCAAAAAAAAAGCAAGTACTCTATGACAAAATAGTGGTAGGATCCTGAAACATACCAAGAATCATTTCGACGACGACAGGCTGAGAGTCGGACTGTTTGGCCATGGCCTCCAGATCGAGTGAGTACCATTCGTTCTTCTCGGGGCTGTTCTCGGGGACGAATGAAGATGCCTTTTGTTCGCCTGATCTCAACAATCCTTCCAATGTTACTTCTCCTTCTGTAAGACCGTCCAAGCGTGTGGACTGTTCCTTCTTATCCCGTGGTACCCATCCTCGTCTCACAAGGATCTTTGATCTAGTTTCAGGCATGATATAGTCGATTAGTTCTCATTTGCAAGGTATTCAGAGATCTGAGAAACAGACTTCCAAGTGACGGTTGAGTACGTACCCATTAGTGCGTTCAAAGGGGGTAATCAAGAAATATCCAGGCTGTCCGTCGCCTCTGGTCCGTGGTCCCAGAAGAATCTCCTGATCGTGTCTGAACTTTCCAGTGACTTTGACCTTGCGATACTCAAAATCCTCGACTGCGCTCAAGCTATTAAACAAAGTCAAGTAAATAACGAACGATATGTCAGAACCACTTGTGCGTCTGTTTGTTTTTCCTGCAAAAGAACAAACACTTCAGACACATCCGGAAAGAGGGAGCTTACTTGACTTTGCGAGGGAGAGGAATGGCATCGAGGGACATTCTATCCTCGAGATTCTCGATCAATTGGACCTTCCAGCGCAGTCGCTGGACCTGCCAAGTACCCAGTCCAAATGTGATGATGGGGCACAGGGCCAGCCCAATGGTGACAGGTCCCCAGCGCCTCCGGCCAGATTGAGTCCTTGATGACTGGTGAAGGGTGGTGTAAAACTTTTGTTGGACCCGTGAGAGATCCTGTAGGGACTGTTGCTGACCAAGACGGGTCAGGGGCTTGAGGGATCGGAATGGCGTTTGCGCGATGGTGCTGGTTGTTGTTGTTGAGAGTGTTCTAGACTTGAATCCTGTTGTCAGCCTTCGTGCTTGTTCGTGGAGCAATGACCTCGCCCTTGGCATCCATGCTGTGGCCATGGTTGACTTTGTGAATAAAAATGGTTGTAGAGATTCAACCTACGAAAAATAAAAGGAGGACTGAGCTCGGTTTGAACCGCGAAAGGAAGTATGGGAAGCAATTATTGGCGCCAAGTGACTTGCTTTTCCTTGAACTGTGGGGGGAACTTCTTTTGTGCGAGGAAACTGCCCATATTCTTCTCCTCCTTCTCATCCATCGACACACGACAACGCACTTTTCCCACCAGACAAGAGACGAGCATTGAACAGGAAACAGGTCAAGGATAAAAAACCATACAACAGAAACAGCAACACTCCCTCACCTGAAAGAGCAATACCCATGTCCGCAGAAGACACCAACTCACCATCAACCCCATGGTTCGACGGGTCGGTCGCAACTGCCGTCCAGAAGGCAAACACTGACGGCTCCGTTCTCATGGTCTGCCTCGTGCAAGGTATCAAAGACGTTTTCATAGAGAACTTGCTCGATTGATAACCCGCACCATGGGAAGGAAACCTACAGCCATCTAAAAGCATGCCCGCTGACCGGGACTTCATTCCCAATTGATTAGACAGCATTGAAGGTAGTGACAGTCATATCTTCGAGAGTCGATTCACCAACGAGGCCGTCGCCGCCGAACTCGCAGGAATGGACCTCTTCCCCTTGAGGCTTGTCAAGGACTCGACTGACGGCATAATGTTTGGCCAGATCTGTAAGTCCCCCCCCCCTGCGTTCCTTCTCGCCCACGGCGTTCTCGCCGATGGTCAAGGTGGCAGAGGCCTAGTCGGACATTCAATGCGGAATACTCATTTTACACTTTTTTGTTTCTCTCGTGGATACATACATACAGTCCCTATCATGGTGGTGCCGGCACTCTACTTGATTCGAAACGGGATGTTGTCAGACTTTATGAACAGCTCTGTGGATCCCGATGAGATGCTGGAGAGAGTTCGAAAGGCAGTAGCTGGACATTCGCAGATCCCTCCTCCACCTGTCCCAGTCATACCTGCACCCGCAATGGCATCAACCCCTATTTCACCAGCTGTTCCTGTACAGCCACTTGCCTCGCCTGCTGTGAGAGCTCAACCTACAAGTGCAGTCTCGGAATCAGTTTCAACTAGCGTAACCCCAACTCCCTCTACTCCTGTGCCCACTCCTGCCGCTGCAAGCCAAGCACCTGCAATTGCCTCAGTCGATTCATCGTCATCTGCCTCGACCAGGAATGCGCCTGCCAGAACTACCAACCAAGCCGACGCGTGAGTACCACTCTTTACCTTATCATGATTACTGAAGCGCCTTTGTGATCATACGCCTAATAACAATCTTTCATTGCACCCCTACTAGTCTGAAGGAGCTGATGAAGGAGCGCAAGTTGAAGCGGGAAAAGGAAGAGCGAGAGGTATGCGACCTGGCTATGCTCCTGGATCAAATGAATGTCCTTGACACAACAGATTAGATACAAAAACTAACATCTTATCATCTTTTGAATCACAATTCCAGGCTGAAAAGAAGCGCGAACTTGACAGGCGGTCGTCCAGCAAAACATTGACAGAGGCTCAAACGGACTTGAAGGAAAAGCAGGCCAAGAAACTCAAGGACCAGATTGAAAAGGACAAACGGGAGGAGATCGAGTACAAGAAACGCATTAAGCAGGCTCTGGAAGACGATAAGGCTCGTCGCAGGGCAGAACGCGAAAAGGCACAGGCTGCCATTGCTGCTTCTGCAGCCCAGAGCAGTCCTCTTGACTCGCCTGTGATACTGCCCTCTGACATTCGTGCACAAAACTCGGGACTTTTGCAGGCCAGGAATGATGCAGCACCAGCACTTGCGTTTGAGTCGAGTCGACTCAATATTCGCCTTTTTGACGGGTCCAGTATCCGTAACACCTTCAAAGCTACTGATACTCTTGAACAAGTCCGCAGCTGGATCAATGCCGTACGTTTTTTTTTTCTTTCTTTGCTTGTTCAATGGATGGCATCTATGTTACGCGCAGCTGTATGCGAATGTTTTGTTAACATTTTTCTCTGCATCCATATTTCTGACATGTAGAACCAGGAAGGTGACGAGAACGCTTACAACATTGTGCAGTTGATTCCCTCGAGGACATTCACAGACGAGTCCAAGATGCTTCGTGACCTCGAGCTCTGCCCCAGCGCCACCCTCGTTCTCAAGGTACACCTCCTTTCATTTGTTTGCCGGAATCCAAATCTTGGCTCAATGAAAAAGAAAAAGAAAAAGAAAAAGAAAAAAAAGTTCAACACACACTCACTTTTCGAATTGATTGTGACAATGATAGAGAACGGCGACATCGTCGTCAGCTTATGGAGGATCAGGAGACGGTGCAGTGCCAACATTGATGGGATATGGCTGGTCAGCATTGGGACTCGCAGGAAAGCTGGCATCATCTGCCTACAACACTGTCTCGCACTACAACCCTCTGTCAGCAGCGAACGCTATCCCGCCAAGCAGCTCTACTGGCGGCGGCAGCAGCAGCAGCAGTAGTAGTGCACAAAACGCTCGCTCATCACAGACAGCGGCGTAAGTTTAATTTTCGTTCATTGTGTACCTGAATTTGCCGTTACTTTCTGTTGGCGATGATGCTGACGATTTTGTTCTTTATTTGTTTGCCCGGTGATGATTAGGGACAAGAAGAAGGACAGAGAGACAAGCTACAACGGGTGAGTGTTTATGTGGCGCGCAGCGTTGAACGGCTACGACGATGCCCTTTTTGTAATCCAATTGTATTAACATACCGAATGCCCTTTTTGATGATAGGAACTCGACAAGTTTGGAGTAAGAAACAACTCAATCGTAGCCAGTTCAGGAAAAGGAACCTTCTAATACAACCCATTGGAAATCAACACGATATTCTTGCTTCAGTTTATTCGAGATGGTATCTAGCTGTGGCTCGCCGTCAGTCTATGGTTCTCATTGAAACAAGAGAACTCATAGTCCAGGGCACACCGCGAGGAGGTCGCGAGCCAAGTGGTGCCCCAAAAGAAAAAGAAAAAAGGTGTTGCCTCCAAACTTGCGATTTGAAGAGAGGAAAGGAAAGGGGAGAAGGTAAGGGAATGAGAAATTGTATGGCTCTTTGCTACCAGTGGTTTGAGTTGATATCGAATGTATCAACCGCAAAGAGGCAGCTCTGCCTCTCCAATATTTGAAGAGCGAGAACTGCTAAACCATCAAAGTACGTTTTTGTTTGTTGCCTTGGGTCCTCAACTAGGTCAGGCTGGGAGGGGGGCATGATGTTGGTCTGTGAGTGCGAGTCGCTAACCTTGAGATACCTCCACAAAGGCACACAGACAAACAGCACATGGACAAACAAAAACACAAAGCACTTTGGACAATATACTCATGCGAGGGAGGAAAAAGACTGTTGGGTAATACAGAAGGAATGGCATCTTTTGCTCCCGATGGGTGAACTTGATTCGAACAAGCGCAAAAAGACGGTAGATCTACCCCTCTGAAGATTGGAGAGCGAGAGTCTCTTAACCATCAACGCGTGGTTGCTTGTTTTGCCATGGGTCAACTCAGCCAGTCCGTTCCGGTCTGGGGAGGAGAAGGTGTCGGGTCCTGTGAACGCGAGTCGCTGACCCTGAGCTACGTCTAGAAGGGTACACAGAACACAGCACTGGCAATACGAGGGGGTTGAATGCAAACAAACGACGTCCGGAGTGTGGGTGAATCGGAGTGAGGGTAAGGTGGAGTAGAGGGATGAAGAAAGGTGAAAAAAGAGACATAAAAAGAAGCTGTATGAAGGAGTGGCTTTTGTCAGAAATTAAGACTGAAATTTGATATGGCCGAGCTGACTGGGCCATCTTTTTTCATTCAATACTCAACTCACAACAACGACGCGGCAGATATCACTATCAATGGCTACAGGACGAAACAACAGCAACAACAACACCGCTGAAAAGTCTGCAGCCGCCGCCTTGACGAACGCACACCACTACGCACAACAACAGTTCATCATCAAAGGACATCCATATCCGTCTCTCAGTGCTTGTGCAAAGGCCTTCTACAACCAGTTCTCTTTCAAGGACCATGGAAGCGCCACTGACTCCTTTCGTGCAAGTCTGCGCGCCATCCAAAAGAAACACGACTGGGCCGCTGAGCTTCTCAAAAACACCGACGTAAAATGGAAAAGGATCTATTATCTTCCCTTCACCTTGTCAGGTACTCCGTAACGCCTCAGACTAACCCCTCTCGATATTAATTACCTTCTTATTCCATAGTCGGCAGAGTTCCGGAAAGAAGAAAAACTACTCCACCAGAGCGCTGATCGACTCACACGGAAACGAAGTCATACAATAGCAGGATTCGCCGACAAACAATCGGACAGACTTGTGCGCGACACCTTGGTCACAAACACGACCATCTTGCGAGAGGGTAACAGGATCCTAGGAGACCTCACTATCGGCAAGTTATCCTCGATTCAGACGCACGCGGAACAAATGTCATCTTCTTCGTCTTTGCGTCTCAAAACCCCCTCCATCAGCTCTGAATCCGAGGTACTGTCGACCAGTTGCTTCTGTTGGGCAGGTATTTTCAAAGAGTTCAGAAGTACCAGAGCTAACTCGTTAACTACCAAATAGGAAGACAATCGCTCGTCAATACCGTTTCCAAGAGCGCCGGCTGGCAAGGATCAACCACCTGTAATGAACCCATCGTATACTGGGGAGAGTCCACTCAAAGATTTGGTCACTCTCAAGGAGGACCCAGCAGAAGAACAAACCAAGTTCAAAGAGAGTAAGTCCTTGGACCCTAGTTCCTCAACAACTTCAACTCTCACTATTCAAAATTACTGACACATTTCATTATCTTCCTTATTTTCAGCCGTGGGCGCGTTTGGATGTCTCAACCAGCCAACAACATGGAAGTCAGCAGACGGGACGATCGACCTCCTCTCAACATTCACTTCCTTCCTCGCCCGACGACCACGGGGCCCATTTATCGAACACGAATACGTCGCAGATCTCTCGGAGGGTGCATCCTTCCTGAACTCGCTTTCGCGGGAAGAGTTTTCGGCCGCATTGGAATCTCAACCTGCGACACCGTTGTTGGTCACAAACTGGTCGACAGTGATGGAGGTGTTTGATAGGGTCCTCGCGCCCGAGTTTGGGTTTGAGGAGGCGTACCTTGCGGCCAGGAAAGAGTCGATGTTGGACCCTGTTGCGGAGTTTGTTCATTCCGTTCTCTACTCCTTGTAAGTCTTTTGCTTTCTCAAAAATGTAGCCAGCCGGCCTTTGGTTCTTTCACGCACACAGTCTAATTTCACTCCCTTCTCTCCTCCATACCAGTGGCACATACTTACAAGTGGACAAGAGTATCCCACACTCCCTCAACGAACGTGAAGCATTCGCCGACATAACCTGGCCAATCATCCGCGGAGCCCTACGGCTCGCTGGGATCGCATCCAGATACCTAGAAGTCCCCATCCAAGGTGTCGACGAACGCAAAAACGCCCACCGCAACCTCATTAACGAATCGAAAGCCCATACCCATTTCGCCGATGGGGTTGGTTTACTTGATGGAGGGCAGGCGTACCTTGCAGAGGCATCTGTTCTTTTCAGTCCGGACCCACGGAAGAGACACATTGACGAGTATAAACTGAAGCGGGCTTTACGCGATACACTCATCTCACAGATCAGGCGGATCGCAGAAGAGTCTGTCCCGCCCTCGGGGACCTCTGTCTTTGGATCGACATCATTCGCAGACAAGACAAAGTACTATCGACTAGATTTCTGTGGCGCGTTCAGACTGGTCCAGGTCGGGTCTATGACGGTCCCGATCACGGACTCGAACTTTGGAGGGCGGATGCGGAGGTGCCTTACTTCGGCACTCGAGTTTGCGGCGCTTATTATGCAGGAGAAGAAGCAGCGTGAGGGGGCCCGGGACGCGACGATGAAAGAGCGACATGAGTTTGCGAGGGCTTGTACAAAGATCGTCCGGACTACCACTAGCCCTGCAGCGAAGACCAAAAAGTCGCAGGAATAAAAATGATTTGCTTACTTTGCCCATTACCAAAGCATGCACCGAGGAACAGTTTGCACTGCTAGTCCTTTGAGCTGCTTGCGTCCATCGCTGGGTCTCTGCCATCTCTGGTCCATTGGTCATTTCGTTGGCGGATACGAATCGATCTCCTCGAACCGGTAGGGGGGTGGGACTTTGATACCCCCCCAGGTTGGATTCCTTACCCAACATGCCTTCAGGGACTTATACAGTCGAACATTGGACCCAAACTGCTGTTATGAATCTTTTCCAGCTCCACCAGAACCTTGCTTTCACTCGCAATTGCGACGAGTCTTTGCCTCTTTGACATTTTTTTATCTCTATTTTTGTGACGATCGCGGAGCGCATGGTGTATCCCTTCTTGAGAACATCTTTGGAGGGTCGTGTTCGCTTCAAGCGGTGTGCTGTCAGGGGCGGGGACATTCATCACCTTGATCCGAGCGAAAAACCCCCCCCCCTCTTATGCTTTCTGATCCTCAGTGCTCATAACCTCCTGTTCATCAACAGCATCCTGTCGCCTGTGGGGAACGGCTTCTGTAGTGGGGGTTTAAGAGAAGTGGCCTCGTGTCTTCAGCTGTGCGGTTCAATATCAGCTTTTCCTTGTCGTCCCTTTTTTTTGCCAGGGACCGTTTGCTCTCACAAACTGCCTCCTTGAGGCACCGTGATCGTCCAAGTCAGAATGGCCTCTCTCTTGCTATCCCGGCTATCAGTACCTGAAGATTGTATGGACATCTGGAACAGCCTACTTCGAAACTCTCTACTGTACGGTCTATACCGCATCAGCCTAATTGACACTACCGAAAAAAATGAAAGTGGATAGATGGGTATCATGATTCGTTTTATTGGCAGAGAGGGTGGAAGCGGTTAAAGGGAGGGTCGACTATGGTACAAGTGAGGGATTGATTGTTTTTACAAGAAGGGGAGTACAAGAGGTGTCGTTTTTTTTTTGGACTACAAACAATGCCAAAGGAAGAAGAGGGGAAAGGTTCCGCTTCTTAGACAGACAAAGGAGTGACAGCAGCGGGTGCAGGAGCACTAGTAGCATCAGTGATAGTCGCATTGGCGGCAGGCGCTTCAGGCTCGACGATTCCGCGAGCACGGTTCTTGACAATCAACAACGACCGCTGTTCCAACATGCGTTCAAAGACCTGGAGAACAGTCTCGACTAAAGGCACAAACGGCTCTACCTCAGTCTCCTCGACGGCCTCCTCGTGCGCCTCCTTGTCTTCGCCACCTTGGTTGTCGTCGTCGTCGTCTCCGCTGGTCTCATCGCTGCTACTGCTCTCGTCCAGGACGGTTTCAGTCTCTTCGGAATCAGCCATGACAGCAGGAATGTCGTTCAGATCCTCGGCAAGATCGCCTTCGCTCAAATCAACATCCTCCTGGAGGCCCTGCTCTTCCAGAAGGGCATCTTCCTCGGAGACTTCATCCTCAGGCACGAGCTCGCTTTGGACCTCGTCGTCAGTATCAGCTGCACCGTACATGGCCTGATCCTCGAGTTCGTCCTCGCTTGGTTCGATATCATCCCCAGTTTCCTTGTCGTCACGTTCCGACTCGTCAAGGATCATATCATCGGTAATCTCGTGAACCGAATTCAGCTCCTCTTGCTCCTCGCCATCATGTTCCCACTCGTCTAGGATCATCTCGTCGGTAATCTCGTGAACCGAGTTCAGTTCCTCTTGCTCCTCGTCATCATCTTCCGACTCGTCTAGGATCATCTCCTCGGTAATCTCGTGAACCGAATTCAGTTCCTCTTGCTCCTCGCCATCAGTGTTGTCGGCATTCTTCTCAATCTCATCCACAATCTCCGAATCGTCGCTGCGTTGGTGAATGGAAGGATGGGCCTCCGAACCTGCCACAGTGTCTGATTGCACATCATCCTGCTCAGAGTCATTGCTATTCTCAGCATCCTGAGCATCAGAATCAGCCTCGGCGGTCTCCTCGATATCACCGACAGGCAGTGGAGAAGCAATAGGCTGTGGAGGCTGAGGGGGACGGTAGTTGGAGGTCTCGTTAACAATCTTCTCGGCCTGCTCTGGATCGAGGACCATGACAATCTTCTTGTAAGTCTGGAATCGCTTACGGCCACCCATAAAGTCACGACCAATGATACTCCTGTATATCGCAGCAATGGCCTCTGAGGGATTCTGTCCTGCATCAGTTCCATGGGGTGGGAGCACAAGAGCATCATGACCTACATGGACAATAAAAAAAAAAGTGGGTAAAAAAGGTCGGATTAGAACATTGCGATTTAGTCAAATTGGATATGAGCAGTTTCTAGACGGGACAAAAAAAATACGAGCTATTGAAAAATAGTGTGCATGCTAAAAGTTATATTCTGTTGCTTACCTTGACTAACTCCGACCTTCATGGCGGCCAGAATCTTACGACGAAGAAGGTCATCCTCGCCCTCCAAGAACTGCACTCCTCCAAGACCGCCGTCCTTCTCGCGCGTTTCCATCTTGGGGATCGGTGCCACAGACTATTCAAAAGACAAAACATCGGTAACATTAGGAATGTGCGCGTGACATTGTACATGTGCAATAAAAAATGATTACAGGTTAAAACAGTCGAAAGATCAAGACGAAAGACGAAGACGAAAATTCTTGTTTGATGATGAAGAACACTTACAACGACGCTGATCCATTCGAAACGGTCCATGAACTCGTTATCTCTGTTGAAACCATGGCGGAAGACGGCCTGATTAGGGCAGTAGACTCCTCCAGCCTCTGCGAGAGGGTAGAATCTTGAACGGCGAGGCTCCTGATCCATGCATTGATGAAGAGTTGTGCGGCGGAAAAGATCTGCCTCGCTGTCTGTAGCTGAATCCAGGTGGTAGTCTTTGTCAAGAAAAAGATGGGGGTGACGTGAAGTGAAGAGATAAAATGAAAGAAAAAAGTAGAAGGTTAGTACTACAACACCTATTGAGAGCCTTCATAACATACCACATATTTTCGAGCAAGGATGTGAAAGCATACTTCCTCCTGGGACATCGCTGTTGGCCACGTTGAGCATGACGGGGCGGTAACCCTCCTGTCTGAGCTTGACAGTCTCGTCCAGCACATTTCCAACAACAACAGTGACCTCGGGGTCCCATTGCATGTCCAGCACAAGGACGTGGAGATCGTCGTTGAGGTAGGTGCTTGCTCTCCTGGATCCAGCCATGACCTTGACAGGGTCGAGTTCAACCATGAATCCATTGGGGTCCGTGTATCGCTTCTGTCCGAGTGCAGTTAAGGTCTTTGCAAAGATCGAATCCTGGTCCAAGTCGCGTCGGTTAGGGTGAAACTGCTGAAACCGGGTCAGGGCTGCTGTTGCCAAAGAGTCGCCAACATTCTTGAAAGAAGTCCAGGAAGACTTGCGGGGTTGGTTCAGCTGGAGTTGTTTTTGACGAACCCTCCAGGCGAGACACTCTTGGGAGTTGTAGGAGATGACAGCTTGCTGATGGAGTGATGACTGGTAGGCGGACAAGAGACGCTTCTGATGACGAAGTTTGCGTTCGAGATGGCGTTGGAGTGCGGATGGGGATTCGTTGAGGAGGGTCGAGTCGTACTGGTGGTTCTGAATCTGATGCTGAACCTCGAGAGCCAGCTCGAGTTCAAAGTCCTGCTTCTGGAGGGAGAGCTCTTCCTCAGATGAATCGTCCTTTGAGGAGGAGGATGAAGCTGTTGATGACAAGGAAGTAGAAGGAGGGGTTGAGCAGTCGATGTCGAGTTGGAATTCGTTTTCTTCGAGGTCGAGGATGAGCTGAGCGTTCCTGTCGCGGAGGGTCTGTTCTTCCTGGAGGTGGTGGAGTTGTAGCCTTGACCTGTGTCGAGTGTTTCGTGAGGAGTTCTTTGATGAAGAAGAAGATCTGGAGTAAGGGGAGGTGGAGACGCGGGAGAAGGTGAGGAGGGAGAAGAGGGCTATGAAGAAGAGGACGATGACAGACCAACGCGACGGCATGTTGGTTTGGTTTGTGTATCTTGGAAGATTTGTCGCAAGAGTGAATAGAGTAGGTAGTGAATGTGTAGTGTAGGATATATTAGAGAGAGTGTCAAAGAGTGACAAGGATGGGAGGGAATGGGTCGTTAGAAGAGGAAGGAAGAGAATGGTGGCGCGGGAGTGGACAGAGCCGGGGTGAGACAAGAGGTGAGTGTGAAGGGGAGAAGAGGAGACGAGGAGAAGAGGAGAAGAGAGAGGAGAGGAGAGGGAATGGAAAGCGATATTTCCGGAAGGGGTGGGGATGGTGGGGATGGAGGGAAGGGAAAGGGAAAAGGTAAGGTGAAGAAGAGAAAAGAGAAAAGGGAAAAGGTAAGGTGAAGAAGAGAAAAGAGAAAAGAGAAAAGAGAAAGGAGAAAAGGAAATGAAAAAGAAGGGGACGAGAAGAGGGCAAACAGTCAAAGTAGTAGCAAACAAGAGAGCACACGCTCTCTCTCTCTTGCTCTCTCTCTCTCTTTGTCTCTTCTCACTGCTCCCACTCGCCGTACAGTAAACTGAGTAAAGCACTCTCTCTCTCTCTCTCTCTCCCACCTTCTCACCGACAAACAATGCCAAAAAAGAGACAGGACAGACCCCAGTTGTGCCAAGTCAATAAAGCTTATTTTCCCTCTTTGTCTCTCTGGCCAGTCCAGCAACTGTGTGGGCTCTCAAGAACCAATTTCCTCCCCTCTTCCTCCTCTTCCTCCTCTTCCTCCTCTTCCTCCTCTTCCTCCTCTTCCTCTTTTGCTGTTGTTCTTGTTCTTCCTCGCCCAAAAGTCGACTCCACTTGGACCAATTGAACCGAGGGAGAGACAAACGGCAAGGGCTTGGATCGCTTCTTTATTGGTTTTTATATATATTATTTATCCCACTAGTTTTGTTTGCCCTTTCTATTCCTGAGATTGGTGCTTTTCATATGGATCACATAGCATCGATCAATCGATGGATGGGATGGTTCCTTCTTTTCTTTCTAGCCTACTCCTGTACTGTACTATACATGCAGCTCAGCAGCATATACATGAACGAACGATGGATAGATAACAAAACAGCCCTATAAAGAAAATACAATCGCCAAAAGGGATCCTTCTTTCCTCTGAACACACACATGTACAGCTCAACAATCAAGAGATACAGCACCCCTGCCCTGGATACTGACACCGGGTGAATTGAATTCTACTGAATTCTTCAAACCTTCTGGACCAGACAACTGACTCTAAATCCTTTTTTTTTGCCACCAAATTGCAATCGCACTTTTTCTTTGTTTCTCTTGTGTCTCTCTCTCTCTCACACACACACACACCTCCTCATCTAACCAAAAGGACAACGAACCAGGAACAATGACCACTCCAAAGCCAACACCTCTCTTCGCGGGCTCAGACCTACCTCATCCACAGCTTGGACTCGCCACGTCTCCTCTATGGACTCCACTCCATCGCGCCATATCAACCCGCATGCATCAACAACTACAACAATCAATACAACAACAACGACCACTTGATCGATCTCATATCTATATCCCAACAGTCACCATGCCGTCGACTCTTCCTCCTCTTGCTGTAAAGTGAGCATTTTTTTCTTTTTTCGCATCTATTAGGCTTCTTCTTTGAACTAGAGAATCTTGTCCAGTTTATGTCAGCCATACATTACAGGAACAGGACTGACAGGATAAGCATGTAGCGGAGACAGATAGAGAGAGAGAGAGAAAAAGAGAGATATACTTTTATTCCAGTACCCAAGGACTCTGCATCTCAAACCCGTGCTCTGGACCATAGATGTGCTCTTCACTCTTTAAGGCCATGTAGAGATGGGTAAGTTGTCTATCTCTTGTTTTACGACAGAGTTTAGGAGGGGAATGTAAAAAAGAGCAAAAAGGGCATGGGCTCATATTATTATTGGAAAAAAAAAATATGGAAAAACGCAACCAAATCTCCTCTCGTTCATTTCTTTTCTATTGCCCCTTTGGCCTTTTGTTGATCTTGACCACATGTACAGTATCGGTACATGAGATAGGCCTCCTAGGGGCTGGACTGGGCTGGACTGGGGGCTGGGTTGAAAAGTTAATAGAAGGGTGTGTTTCTCTCTGTACATCTCAAAAGTCGACAGAGATGAAAGGAGGCGATGCACAGACAAAGAGGGAGGAGGTACCTACTGAGGATATATCTCCGAGGATGAACGAGATGAACAAAAGGGGGTGGTTTGCGCAAGATTTAATTACTTCGTAGAACTCACACTTATCTTTTGTCTTTTATTCTCACATGGATCAATGACCCCATAGGAACAAACAAACAAATGAACGACCCCCGGCAAACGTCCACTCTGTTTTTCAACTCACATCCGACACCTTCGGGTCTACCAACTACTACTGCTGTCACTATAGACAGGAACCCATACAGAAAGCATCCTTACGCTGACTCTGTTTCTCATCCTTTGATGTTGTCCTACTGGCCAATAGGACTTTCTGGTGACTATCTCCAGCAACAACGGCATTCCCTATCGACCAGGAACCATGAAAACATCAACGACAACGACAATGACTGTGGCCCACATCTGCTTAACCACCGACCGTGACATGGATACTATTCTCGCCCAGCAGTCTTCAAGGTTAACAACCAAGCTAAATAATTACCTCTCACTACTTGCTTTATCCCGTTCTAGAGTATACTCTAATGGTCAACCTTCCGGCTTCAATACGCATTCATATGGAATAGGATCGCCAAGTGTGCACAAAAATATGGACCTGACCGAGTGACCATCCTGCTAATGGTTCAAAACGGACACCTCTCCTGCCTCCAGACCCTCGAGCACTTTCTGTGCGTCTTCTTTGTTTACTCTTCTCGTTCAGGCTTTTCATCTCTCACGCTCTATTAGATCACCCACTCACTAATCCTTTATATGCACCCTATCCTCCTTACAATCACATAGCCTTGAGATTATGTCTGCACTGGACCCGACACCAGCTATCCCTGCACCACGCTGGCAAACCTCCAGAGGCATCAGACCCACAGCCACGACCACAAGCACTCTCGCTCCAGTCTCCGTGTGGGGGATACCAAACGTGATTGCATGCCACTCCCCTAAAGACACCACCGACTATCTCTCCAAACTCCTCGCCCCTTCTTCGTCTTCTCACTCTTCCGCAACAGTCCTGCCACACGGACGAATATCCCAGGAGGATCATGTCAATACCATATCAAGACCGACCTGGCTGTCAGCAGCTCTTGCCACCACAATCGACAATCCTCTCTTCACTCTCCAAGGTACCCACCACCACCCCCCATTCATCTGTCATCACTCCAACTCCCAACAAGCACCCAACACCACTCTTTCTTCCCTTTTACTCAACTTTTTTTTTCATAATCAAAATAATAGATGCGACCCGCTTGGAGCAAAGCCTCAGCACGATCCAGAATACCGTTTTGGCCACCCCTAGTCAACTCCAAAACACTTGCCTCCTCACCCAACGAACCTCACAAGCCATCCACGATTTTTTCAACACCGACCAGCCCATTTGAGACACACACACACACACACACACACACACACCTTCCTTCTTTTTACATGCGTTGCGTTGTTTCTACGTTTCCACTTGGAGTATTGAGGACTCGGGTGAGCCACAGCTCGCACCTTTTTTTTCGCATTTTAGCTACTTCAATCATATATTCGTAGGATTAGACGCAAAACACAGAGAGATGAAGATTATGTATTGGGATAATTTACAACACACAACGAGAACAATAAAGCACAAGAACTGGACAATGTGTGTGTGTGTGTGTGGAGAGAGTACGATGAAAAATGCAAAAGGGGGAGGAAAAAAAATGAGAATGGAGGGGGGGGGGGGTAATAAAGTGAAAGTGACAGAATTTACAAAAACGTCCTGTGGATGAAAATAAAACAATCATCGTCTGGACTCTCTTTTTCAAAAAAGACGAATAAAACAGCCAGTGATTTCACTGTCGTTCCTGTCCGTTTGCGACTCATCCTCGAAAAAAAAGCGATTGTACTTCTAGAGAAGAAATTCCCCAGGTACAACAATCCAAGAGAAGAGAACACTCTTAAAAGAGTCCCAAGAGGCTTTGCTTGGCGATCTCTTCCTTCTCGCGCTCCTGCTGCTCAAGCCATCGCTTCATCGCGTCTTCAGATCCCAGCTCCTTCAGATACCGCTGGAATGCTCGGAATCGCTGATACTCCTGTCTCTCTGCTGGATCCGTCATCCGACCCAGTACTGTCTCCTGGAGCCGATGCTTTTCTTCCATATCCACGTCCATATCCTTGGAAGTGGATGACGATGACGCTACTGAAGACTGTAATGAAGCACCCGATACACGATCATCCGCCTATTTCATCCATTTGAACGCAACAAAAAAACAAGGGTGATTAGTACTTATCACTACAATATTAATCCTCGACCGTTTTCAACATGTGCGTCGCAGTAGAGAGACTTACCATGGCGGCTGCAATAAGCAGGTCAAACGGTTGGACAGCAATGGACGCGGAACCAGCTGAGACTTGAGTGACTGAAAGTGCTTTCTGTAGCTGTTGCTTTTGCTGTTCCTGCTGCTGTTGGTCTCGTATCCTAGAGTTGGAATAAAAAAATTACGTCAGCGCAAATGATCAAGACTAAAAGTTCATCCTGAGAACGAGAAAAATATTCAGACATCCAGAAGAGTAGACTAACCGTTGGCACTTTTCAACAAAGCTATGTTTGATGTTGCGTTCTGGGACTCTGAAGAGGATAGCGCTGGTATCTTGGTTCCATATCGGCACGTTACTCGACTCTGGGTCGGGTATCACCTCAATCATTCCGTCGTTCGCCGCCTGTGGGTCTTTCAGTTCAACCACTGTCGCATCCTTTCTTTTCCTCCTGCGGGGCTAATGACACGATAAGAGTAGAGGAAATGCTGTCAGCTCTTAGTCTCTTCACAGATTCTAATGAATAATCCATGTTGTAACAACATACCATAACGTGGTCGGCGTGGTTGGGACACATCCATTTGTTGGTGCTGGGAGGTGGACAGGCCATTGGAGGAGATAAGCAATCCAAGTGCCAGTGCAAAGGGCAGTGGTCGCATGATATCATAAAACGGTCCCTCAGCGCACTCATTCCGCATTGGAAACAAAGTCGGATCCGTCCTTGAGAATCATGCAGCTGCAAGGCTTCTGAATCTGCCTTGATAACAGGTGCTGAATTCGCTGTTGCCGCTGCCCGCTTCGGCCTCGGTTTGTAGTCCACCGCATCCTCGTACTCGCCATCGCTGTTTGCAACCACTACAGAAAAAAAAGAGAACGCATTGTTGTTAATGGGGGGAAGGAGCACAATACAAATATTGTCATCCGAAAAGGAGCGCAAGGGGAACAACAAACCCAAAAATAGGAGAGTCGATTACGAATTGTGCCTTTACCTCCTTTGAAAAATGATTTGATGTCGGATGGAAGAGCAAAGGCCTTTGGGCTGGTCTTGTTGATGTTATCCAGGAGCTGCTTAAATATTCCTTTTGGATTCGGCTTGGGAGGGTACTAATCCAGAGAAGATTATAAATAATGAAATGATAACAAAAATGCATGGGTCAGTCATGTGTGGCTCTGCGGGAAAGTTGGGGCGGGGCGGGACAGGGATAAGAGCGAAAAACAACAACAACAACAACAAGACTAAATCCGTTGTGTATCCATCCAGACACCGATGTGTGCATCCTCCTGTGGTACCCCCTCTCTCACCTTGATAGCTTGACACTCGTTACAGTTCCATTCATCCGGTAGCGCCATGGGATCGATAGGCGGCTGGCAACATGAAAAGTGAAACGCCTTGGGGCAAGAATCACAGCAAATGAACTCGCCTAATCCTGAACACGCCTCGCAATAGTCATTGTTATGCTAAGAGGGGACAAAGGAGAAAGTGGTAGTATGAGCATTAGGTTTGGAAGGTACACATCAATGTCTCCGATGTCCCGCAAGAAGGAACAGAAGGAATGATTCCAGCTCGCCCTTGCTTACATCGACTGTGGTGTCGTCTCCAGTGTGGGTGTCATCCTTTGGTTGATCTACTGGTGTCACTACCGGTACTGTTGGTGCTAGTGCTGGTGCTAGTGCCGACGGTGCTGAGGAAGCCTTGGCCCTATGAGATGATGGTTATTAGACAAAAAGAAGAGACGTGAGCGTAAGCGGCGGGACGTCCTTGTTGCTGCGTTGTTCATTGTTGTTAGGGTGAGACAACAACGAGTTACTCCGGTCGGTCCAACTCGTTGTATTTGTGATGACGTACATCTGCTTAAGAGATCCTTTTTTCTTCAGAGCCGGCCCTTCCTGATGTTGGCTCTCCTGCTGAGGTCTCCGTTCTTCCATGACCTTTTTCTTCTTGGCGCCGCCTTGGTTGGAGCTCCTTGTCCGCTTCTTGGTGGTCTGGTCTGTCCATGACCCTGATGAGTTGGAACGCTTCATCGACCGTGAACTCGTGGCGACACAGTCCGGATCGCCCTCGTTCTGCAAATCTCCTCGGAGTTCCGAATCTGGTGTACTTGTCCTTGTTATCGTGGTATTGGCTCCGACAACGTTGGCGGTAGTGGCAATGAGTGGCTGCAATAACGATGTGTCCTTGCCCGCTTCCTGCACCAAAGTGTCATCCGGTACAGAGGCTTCGGTCGGTGGTTGTGGCTGCTGTTCCTGAAGAGGGTCGATGGGTCGGTCCAGGGCTAGAGAGTCGTTGTGAGATCCGTTTTGTACTGACTTGGCATGAGCCCATGAGTGGGCACTAAGAGTGGGCTGACCACCAGTGGAGAGAGTCGACGCAGGCCCTTCCAGTGACTTCTTCCGTATCGAATGGCGATGACTGGATATTTTTTTGCTGGAGGGACGGACATCTGTGCCATTGGTGCCCAGTTTCCTTAGGTCGAGCCGTACGACTAGTTTCTTGTCTTCTTGGTGTTCTTGCTGATGATTGTTATGATGATGATGGAGTTGGGTCATATCCTGTTGGTGCCGGTCCATCGGCTCAAACGCTATCATCATTGGTGCTGTTGTTGTCATGTTGTTATCTTGGTCGTTGCTGTCCTCTGGGGTCAACAAGCCTTGGGACAGATCCTCACAGGATGGCCTGCGATCGGAATCCTTGGGCTGGAAATACAAAAGGGTCGACTGGCGCCTTTGGACATGTTCCTGCTCCTGGGGTTGTGGACGTTTCGTCCGCAGTGGCAAAGATCCATACGACTCTTGATGGGATATAGTCGGTCCAAGGACTGCGGGTAAGGTGCCCTGTGGCATCAATTCTGGGGCGAGTACACTGGTGTTCGTGTTACTGTTGTTGACGGCAGTTGGCGAAGCGTGCGGTGGAGACTGGGGCTGGGACGATAAGTTGGATTCCAGGGCTGGGTGGTGCAGGCTTGCGGCAGGTCCGTATCCATTGATGGGTGAGATGGGGCCAGAAGCCTTTTGGTGGACGATGGTTGTTGAGGAGGTGAGCATGGTTGATCGAGGAACTTCCATTCAGGCAAGGGAAGAGTTGTCGTTGTTGATGATGGTTGAACAAAGTGTTGATTGTTGCTGTTGTGTTTTTGTTCTTGATTGTTTTTTTGTTTTTTGATGCGACAGTCTAGACTGCGCGGACCAGGTGTTTTGTTGATTTGGATCCTGTCCTCGCTTGCTGTTTTGCCTTGTTGTTGTTGCCAAAGTGCAAGGTGTGGATGTTTGTTCCTGATTGTGATGTTACTCTTGCTGCTGAGAAGGAGATCAGTTACTGGGGAGTGGGCGAGGTTACTTGCTATTTGTTTGTATGGTAACAAGGCGAAGGGTGGCGTAGGTGGTTTGTGTTTTGTTGCTCTATATTCCGTGCGCAATGGTATGGGTATGAACAGGTGGATACGGTTGTCCTTTGGTATATCGGCTTGTTGGTTTCCTTGACGGTGGAGGACTAGGTTGACAGGCAAGGGAGGATGTCGAACTGGTGGCGGACTGGTTGAAAGAGAAGGAAGAAAGAAAGAAAGAAAGAAAGAAGAAATAAAATATAAAGAAAAGGTGGGGTGAGAAACTTTGAATGAACGGAAAACATTTTGAAAAACAGGTCACTTTTCTCTTTCTCTCTGAACCAAGAAAATTAAATTCGTCCTCTGGGCGATCGTATACATTGGACCTTTGCCTAATCATCTTGCAGGCTGCATCATACAACAAGAACAAGAAAAAAAAATCTTGGAGCGACATTTTATGTTCAGGAAGAAAGAAACCCTTCCCTCCCAACTAAAGAAATGGCACTGCCAGATCATTCTTTTACTCCCTACAGCTGGGGAGCACGCACACTTGATAAGAGCAGCAGCTTACACCCCAACAATGCACTCAAGAACTTGGTAATGACATGGATAAACCACAACTGAGAGCTGGTGCTGACGACCAAGAACCATGTATAAAACATACTATGAAAGTATAGTATGCAAAAACCCAAAAAAAAACAAGTCACCAGTGTCTAGGCGCGATTAAACGCGTAGAGTAGAACGGTGTGATCAGACAAGGGGAAAGTCAACGAAATCTACAGTCTCAAGACGCGACGTCCACGCGATATTGAATTATGATTACACGCACAAGTGAACCGTAGGATGATGTAAATAAGGAACAAGTGCGGTCAATAGAGAGCTTTGAACACATGGAGCTCTCCCCCCGAAGGAAATGATCCAAAACAATAGCTATTTGCTATGGTGCCTCTGATTCAATGGCAACAACAGATAGATGCATGCTCGATATGATGATTTTGATAATCACAAATGAATAAGCAAAAGTAACTGAACCGGTTCAGACGTAGGATCGATTCGGCACCATACGAAAGCTTTGAAAGGGCAGATGCTAAGGCTGAGGTTAACACTGCTTGTCGCTGCGGGTGAAGTGACGACGCGTCGGTTATGCAAGTAAACTTGGACCTAGCTGTGGATGCCTAGATAGCAGACCCAAGTACAACACAAAAAAGGTATAAAAGGAAGAGATATCGATGGCAGATCACAGTTGTTGTGGCATGGGTACAAATGCATCCACATTTACTACAACAAAAGAAGGCATGAACGACAAAAAAAGAAAAAGAAGAAACGCGAGGGTGAGCAAAAGGGCGAATGACAGTGAACGCGATTATAACATTTAAATTGGAGAGAGGATGAGTCCTCAACAGCAGTTCACAGCTATAGCGTCATACATGCAAAAGCATCCTCTGAGAAAGAATAAAAATAGGAATAAATGAAGAAAAGAATGAAACGCGATGGACTTGCCAACGACGTAGGCAATGATGTGTTGGTAGTGGATGCTATTATGGTACGAAACGGCGCACTTTGAACACACGACCCTAGCTTTTCTCAGTTATAATGTCATAGCACCTTAGCACCCTCCTCTGACATAAAAAAAGAAACACCAAGGTAGAACGTGCGTCTTAATAGTAAGATACGACATGCTCGCTCCAGGATGAAGATATTCTGACATTACAAAAGCTAATCTGATAGCAACAAATGCCAGAATATCCACCTGCAAAAAGATATTTTGGCACCATGATTTTGGAGACATATCCGAATATCTTTTGTACAGTCAGAATAGCTGCTCTGTTCATACCCAATTAGAGATGTTATGAGCTTTCCAACAGTCGCGCGTATTCACACACCGAAGAAGAATATAAAACAAGAATCATCGGGTGACAAGACCGTCGTGACCGTGTGGATGCTTTTTTCCTTTGGGTGAATCCATTTGACAACCTAGACCATCTGGCTTGCCCTGTATTTATGATACCGCAATGGACCTTCCGTTCTTGGCGGCATTACATCGGTGCGTTTCTCGAGTGCCTCTTTCGTTAAATCGTCCCTTTTCGAACAAAAACTAACACTGACGGTTGTAAGAAGCAATAATTACACGCGTTCTCATTAACATCAGTGTTAAAACAACGGCTAGATCCACTCTAATATGGTAAAAGTCAGATTATCTTATTCCTATGCTCCACATCCATCACCCTGGCCTAGCATTTTTGGTTGATCCATCCCAAATTCATCCTCCTGAGTCCGAACAAAAAAAAACCTCTCCACCAAGTGGAGAGCAAAAGATAGCGTCAACAGCAGGATTTGAACCTGCGCGGGAGAACCCATGTGATTTCTAGTCACACGCCTTAACCGCTCGGCCATATTGACTTGCTATTCGATAAATATGTCGTGAATTGCCACCCCTATATTCACCACTTTCCCTTTTTTCTTCTTTCCCACTACTTTCCTTCCTTTCCCTTCTTTTTTGCTCTCTTTGTTTGCGTTTTCCCTTTTACCCGCAAACGCGACTCCTACCTCTTTTACACTTTCGTTTACACCTTTCCCCTTTGTTGATGACAACTATCGTCGCCCCGCTCGCTCTCAACACCCAGTGACACAAGGAGCCATCGCCCCGAGTCACTTTTATTATTTCCTCTTCTTGTCTTTTATGTTGTTCATCCCTTTGACAAAGACCCTCTTTGTCAAAGGCCCTTTCTTTGTTGTTGATGGCCCCTTCCTACTTCCTTTCGTTGTTCATCAAGTTGTTAACTCTTACACCAGTTAGTAGTAGCTCCCCCGGGCCATCTCTTTTTTTACGTCTTCATCTTATTCTCTTTCATTCAGTGACCCCACAAGTAGTAGTTTAGCGACCTTAGTCAGATAGTATAAAAGGACACCTGGAATGGATGATTGAACAGTATCTTCCCCCCACTGTTAATCATACCATTCTAGGTAAGTTCCTCTCCCCCTCCCCTGTCAACGGCTGTTCTCGTTGTCCGAACAGCCACTAAATAAACATCTTCCCCCCACTGTTAATCATACCATTCTAGGTTGAGAACCTCGAACCCGTTGTCCCCTTTTTGCGCCGAAGATCCGCATTCATTCCCCTGTCGTCCCTGAGCGTGATCTAGTTGAGATCACTTCCTCTTCCTCTTCCTCCACTTCTTTGCCAGTCTAGTTGAGACTGCGTGGTATCTCCTGCAGACGTTGCTCGAGGCCCCCACAAATAGTTGATAATACCACTCATCCTTGAACAGGAGTTCCAGGATCAATGCCAGAGCCAAATCGACCATGTCACGTGATATTTCCCGCGCACAAAAAAAAAAAAAAAAAAAAAAAAAAAGGAGGTTGTTAATGATGGAGAGGATGGGAAGAAGTACCTTCATTCGTATCTAGTTTTATTTTTCTTCGTTTAAGCTGTGAAGAGCAGCGACAATTGCTGTGTGGATGGAGGTGACGTCGAACACTTGAAAAACGGCACTGGGAAGAAAGTACTTTTGCTATCTCCTGGTTGTTCAGATGAAGGTGTTTTAGTTGAGAGTAATAACTGGATAGATCGCTTTTGTATTTTCTTCCGTTTTTGTCGTGAAGAGCGACAACGATTGTTGCGCAGAGCCAGCGTTATTAGAACCGGACTGTGACTAGGGGATGGTGTACTGGGAAGGGGTCCTCACAAATAGCCCTTTTATTTTTGGATTTACCTACATGAATTGTTCTTTAGAGAAATAAAATCGTGGCCAAAAAAAAAAAAAAAAAAAAAAAAAAAAGACAATTGCTGTGCAGAGCCAGGTTCCGGACCGGACTGCAACTGGTGGATGGTGCACTGAAGAGTTTATTCTGTAGTTCCTTCTTACTTCCAAATGCATGCCGTGTACTTAAAAAAACTCCCTTTGAGAAAGAGAGAGACTAAAGTGTCTGTTCGCGAAATGTGGCACTTCCTCTCCCCTTCCTTCACTTGCCCATTGTCCCCTTTTTACCCATTGTCCTTATTTTATCGTACTCACTCAATGCTGGGAATGATGATTGTATTATCGAGCATGAAAGAATGGAGGGTAACTGACTACAGGTAAGAAAGGAAGGGGTATGAAAAATGGTAGCTACAGAGTAAGATCCTGTTTAACGCGGCTGGTTAAAGGTTGAATTGGGTTGGTTGCCATACACCTTATTAGGATCATTGCCAGCCTGGCCATTGTTGTTGTCGTTACCGCTGATATGTATGGTGTCCAGACTAGTACCGACCAAAGGTCCCAATCCACCGTCATCCAAAAACGCCTGCTGCTGAGCTGAATGTTCCTCACGACGCCCGCCTGGGAGCAACGAAGTCGGCAAGACATGGTCAACCGAGCGAATTGCAAACGGGTTAGCGGACTTTTTGGCCCCCAACGATGGGTAGTACTGACGGTACGCAAAGACCGCAAAGACAGTGCCGATGATCGAGCCCACGGTCACGTCCTGCCAATGATGTCTGTAGTTGTCGACTCGGGAGATGGCGATCAGAGCAGCGAGGATCAAGGGTGCGAGGACGACGATCGACTTGTAGATGTGTCCGCGTTCGTCAAAGAGGTGGAGTTTTCCTGCAAGGTAGAGCGAGAGGTATCCGAGGCCACCAAAGGAGAAGGAAGAGTGGCCAGATGGGAAGGATTTGAAGCCGTCCTTGAGGAGATCTGTCCTGGTGCAGAGGCTGGAGGAGGAGAGCATGTTCTCTGGGTCAGACATGATGCCAATGGGTGTTCCTGCTGCCGCTTTGTCGTAGATATCGAAGCATCGGTCCAAAAAGTCCGGTCTTGGTCTTCCCACCGCAATCTATTTTGTGCAGTCGAGTTAGGTTTGGTGTTAGTTTACAAGGTGTTGTTGGTATGAAGAGTGAACAGGGGTCTATTACAGTTGTCCTTTTTCTCCAAACAAGCAGAGTCGGGGGTGAACATGGTGTCGGCAAGCACGTTTTCCTGTGATATATTGGTCGCGTGTGTGTGTGTGTGTCTGTCTGTCGAGGCTGTGTCGCCTCTTTCTTGTTTGGGACTACAAGAAAAGGGATAGATCATGCAAGAGAGAAGAGAGTTCCCCTCCGCCCTTCCCAGATTTCCATTCCCAAGATTCGCCACACACTAAAAACAGGTGGCAAATAGAGCAACGAATGGCAAACGCAGGGACATAGGGGGGTCCATCCAAACTCCAAAAGGTTCTGGGTGTACCGCCCAAAAATAAACAAACGCTCTTTCCTTGTAGCACCAGAGTGAACTGCGCTCCCTTCTTTGTTGATCCGTGGTAGAAAACAAAAAGCGATGTCGGTAAGTTTTTTTCTTCCTTCGCTCTTCCTGTGTCCTCCTGTTTTTGTTTCTCACACAGCCTCTTGGCGAGGAAAAGTACCTTGATGCTGTCGGTGACGATGAGGACGAGTGCTTGGGCGAGGAAGAGACCGAGGAGACCGTTGTGGAGGTCGGTGTATGATTTGCGGTGAAAGATGGCGACACATCCGATAATTATTCCAGGCACAATAAACGCCAGCACCTATTGCAATTGGCGAGAAGGGTGTTTCAGTAACCAGCTTTTGTTCTTCAGGGGAAGAGTAGGGTGATTACTTTACAGCTAAGGAGCAACAGCAAGGGTCTTTTTGTTGTCCTGCTTCGCGTGATCAGAATGAGCAATTGCCTCTTCCTCCTTCCTTTGCTCATTCATTCAATTCCTGTTGACAAAAAAAAAGAGAGAGAGATGCAATGCAACTTACAAAGGCCATCCAGATTGGAACGGTTTCCTTCTTGGCAAAGGGATGCTGGATCGTGATGTCCTTGACAGAAAACTGGCGGTGGTAGGGATCCAAGGTGTCGATGTAAGAGAAGGCGGCGAGGACGACGATGACGAGGGCCCAGTCCTTTCCGTACGACCAGAAGAGTGCTTTTGTCCGTGCTTGCATCCTTCGTGTCTTTGCGAATACTTTGAATGTCATGATTGGGAGTTTGTTGGATAGAGAGGAGGGTTGTTTGTTAGTTTTTTTGAGTGGCGATGGTAGTGTGGATCGGTTGAGAGGGGAGAGAGAGAGAGAGGGAGAGGGAAGTGGGAATGGAACTGATGGGTGTTGGAGGGAAGAAAGAAAGAAAGAAAGAAAGAGAGAAGGAAAGAAGGAGAGAAGGAGAGAAGGAGAGAAGGAGAGAAGGAGAGAAGGAGATAAGGAGTCCATATAAAAGATGTGGGGGAGGGGAATGAAAACAACATGCACAGGCACCAACAACCAACCAACTTTGCTTACACAACAACTATGGGGGGACTTACTTGCTTTTTTTTGCTTCTTTACTTTTCTGAACGTTGGATATCAAAAAAGCAGTTGGGTAGGGTCCATATCGCACCGCCCTCTTTTTATATCTCTCTGCCAATGGTCAAAATGCACCACACACAAGGCGCGGGAACACAAGCAATGCTGCGAACCCCCCGCGGAGAAGATGGACGTTACTGTACTAACGGGCGTCACTTGTCTATCAACGTACCGGGCTGTTGTTTGCATGCATCCTTTCCTTCATTATTCGCCACCAAATTGGGTCCGCAGACCACTCGTTTTACACCCCTCCAAGGTGAACGTCTAGTTCGGATGACTTAGCCGACCTTTATTTGTTTCTTTTCTCAAGTTTACAACCATGGTGTTGGTGACTCGACTTGTCTGCCTGTATACACACATGAACACCATCCGCGGGACAAAAGACAAAGTTGACGGATCTAATGGCGCAAGTTGTCAAGAGCAAAGTTAGGAGAAGGGTAATAGGATGACCATGCTGAATTTTCTTACTCGGGCTGTCTCATTCTTCTTCCACTCCGACAGCGGACAGAAGGGGAGTGGGCTGTGGGGCATCATGGTTTTTTTGTGGGATCAACGTTGTCCCCACGACATTTTTCACCTTTTCGAGTCAAGCCAAAAGGCTGCGCCAAAAATAAAAACCATTGGTTTGCTGCTCGTTACTATTGCAATTGCAATTGCAATTCGTGACAAATGTATCCATTGGATAGTTGCTTCTTCATGATTGACCACTTTGTAGAATGAAATGTGTATTAGTGCTATTAGAAGTGTAGGGTGAAGGGGGGTATGGAGACTACAAAGGAGGGGAAAAAAAAGAAAACCTGTCAGAAATGAGGGTCTAAATGGGAGGATAGACAACGCGGAGGACATCTCGGACAACATCAGCTGCTGTCGTCTCGTCGGCAACCTCACTCGCCCCACCACCATCATCATCACCACCCCTTCCATCAACAACTGATCCACCATCGTCATCACCACCACTTCCTCCTCCTCTAGCATGCGACGAACCACCCTCAGAATCCGATGAGTGTTCAACAAACGAATCGCCTCCGATACTACCACTCGCTTCAGAATCAGTACTCCCCTTTCGTGAGTTATGAGGCCGAGTCTGTCCTGTTCCTCTCAATGGCGTCTTTCCATTGCTCCTGCCCTGAGACGAGCGAATGTTTCGGTTTGGACTTGAAGATGATGAAACGGAGGAAGATCCTGCACCTCCCGTAGCAGCTGCAAGCATTCTTTGTCGTCGGGTCGACCTCAATTCTATCCTGTGTGAGAACACCTTCTCGGCGGCAATAGTCAACAGGTCTGGTGTCACAAAATTCGTCTGAAAGATCGCGGCCAATGTTCTAATGCAAGGGATGAGGTGTGTGTGTGTGGATGTGTTTTCGATAGGTCAGTAATTACGTCGGAGAAGACAAAAAAATGGCCGGTTTGTGGGCCGGTCTGATAACCTTAATATTTCAGTCTAGGCCCAGCATTCGCCAAGGGTTTGGTTCATTCGTCAACAACATCAACAAAACAAAAAAAAAAAAAATAAAATAAGGAAAAAGACATACTTCATGATGGCCTCGAGGTCCAGGGCTGCTCGGGCTGTGAGTCCGCCGTAGACAGCCTCATGTGTCCGGATCGCAACAATTACATCCCGAATATAGCGCGTCATATCATTCGACACCGTTACCGCCTTCATCCTCTTTGACAATTCATCCCAGTCCTACAAGGAGCATACGAAAAGAGAATAAGTGAAATGTGAGACGAGTATTCAGAGCGGGCTGTGGCATTCTTTTCTTTTTTTTCGTTCAAGTCCCCAATGCCAAGACAAGAAATGATCGACCTACGGTTCTCCGAAACAGAGCATGCTTCCTTGCGGGGACGGCGTGCATCCGCGGTGGTTGAGGGATCGAAAAATGGTATGTCCCATTAATCGCAAAGTAGTCCAGCTATCACAAAAGAAACCAAATCAGGAAGATATCAGTGGCATTCTTTTGTCAGTACTTTCCAGACATCCGCGGCAATTCTCGATCCATTTCAGTTGGGGGAAAAATACCAATCGCTTGGGAACATTCTCCGGAACGTTGGGCGAGTTGAAAATAGCAATGATGATGAGGTCCGGAAGAACGTATCGGTTCCTATCATTGATCTCCTTGTTTACAATCATCTAGTAAGGACACCAAAAGGACGGTTAACACTCCGATTTGTTCTAGTCGCGTCAGTTCCACACACGCTCCAAACTGACAGTACGATTGTCGAGATCGTTACCTCCAAAAGGACAGAGAACACCTCCTGACTGGAGTTCTCCAGTCCATCCAAGATGATCGCCTGCGCAATCTTCCGGCCACTGTACGTAATTCCTGACGTCTCCCCAACACCGCCATATCCGCCAACATTCGAGAAACTCTCATGTCGCCGCCTGGGAAATGTGAAATCAACTGGCGTCACAGGTGCATGGCTTGAGCCGGTAGAGGCGCCTCCCCCAGTATGAGATGTCGTTTGTAGGTACTGTGCAGTCTGTGCTGTTCTCCTGCTGATGCTGTCCCGAGGTGTCAACGAGTCCAGTCCGTCTGTTCCTGTGGGTGACATGGCGGTTGATTTCCTTGACCGACTGTGCGCGAGTTGTTCCACCATGGCATCCCCTGGACTCTTCGATCTAGACTCTGACTATTTTAGGGCAATGTGGAATCGAATGAGGATATATAGGGTTACCTTGAAAAATAAAAATAAAAATAAAAAGCCCTGAGAGCGTGACAATGCTTCGCCCATGACTTACCTGTCGCAGATTGAAACTGGCATCATCTCCACCAACACCACCACCACCAAACGAGTATTCACTCGTATCGTTCAATGGATGCGCCACCCTCTGGATAGAGGCTGCATCCTGATCCCGCTCATTTGTAGTCCTGAAAGAGGCGATCGACGGTGCGACATTATGCCCGGACGGCCGTACACTGAAATCCGACGCCTCTGAATAGTTAGTCGCAACCGATCTCCGTGACTTCTCAAGCCGAATCTTGGGATTCCGTTGATAGTACTCGTCTGTTGGGTTGGAGTATTGATAATATTGTCCTGAAGGTGTGTGTTGGTGATTGTGGTGACTATGATGACTGTGGTGTGCGCTGCTATTGGGGTGCTGGTATTGGGTCGAAGGTGTCGAGTAGCTGGCGTGGGTGGCCATGTCGGCATGTCGACCGGTGATGGCTCCAATGATGTCTGTCCTTGTCTGATGTCCATGGCACACGATCGTTGCTGTTGTCAGTCCAAACACAACCGCACAATGCTATCATTGGAATAAGCACGGTGTAATATTGATTAATTAGTTGATATATATCTTGTCTCTTGTATACGCGAACAATGCAATTGGACAATGTCTGGTCCATATCCTGAGCAGCGAAAAGAGAACCAAGGTACCTGCTCTGCGGTACTCTTGAGTTCAGACACGGCCTCTGGTGTTGTATGAAGAACGAGGTGCTTGTTTTTTGCAGTCAGACAGATGAGGATGGAGAGAAAGATCTCCTCTGAGAAGGCAATGCCCGATGCCTTTTTGATGGCGGCCATCTTGCTGCGAATCCATGCCCTGTTTGCGGGTGCCATTGTCGAAAGTGGTGTCCTTGCTTGGTCCTGTTGGTTGAGTACTGAATGTGTTGTGTGGTTGTGTGCAACAAGGTGTGTGTGAGTTGAAAAAGAGACCAGAGGCAAGAGGTAAAGGTTCAAGGGGCGAAATGACATTCTTGGTTACACGTGACGCATAAAACTAAAAACCCAAGGTCTTGTGCGCATGTATGTTCCAATGTTGATACAAACCATGTCCCCCTCTTCTAATTAATTTTAATCAAAATTACTTCTGCGTGATAACCGATAAGCGATGGTGGATCATCGACCTTCTGCTGTAAAGGGGAAGTGCATCAAAGTGTAAAAGAACACTGGCTGCTCTGACCCACTTTCTTGATCTCAATGGCACCGTCTTCACCTCTCGCTTCTTCCTCTCTCTCTCTCTACTTCACTTGCCTTCACTTTCCTCTCTCTTTCTCTCTTCTTCCTCTCTTCTCCCTCCCTCGTCATGATTTCATCGATTTCATTTCTTCAAGGCGCCTTTATTCTCACACAAAAAAAAGAAGTCGACTAGGCAAAAGTCAATCCGCGACCTCTCATCATCTTCCGCCAATCCGATACTGGTCCACCTCGCGTCCTATCAGCAGGATACGTTCGAAACAAGACTCCAAGAATCGTATGGAAATCAGGCCAGTTCTTCTGCATCCAACCCAGTTCCGGCGCCTCGATCCTGTGTGCCATATACGCCACCGTCAGCACCCTCAAACACTTCAACTCTTTCAACTCGTCCAATCCACTCTCGAGCGTCATCTCCAAACAATTGCGTTGGGCCTTGTACGTCTCATACCCTACCCTCTCGTCCAAAGTGAATAAGCGTGCATAGCCTAGGTAAAGCTCCTCCAGGAGGTGTAACTGGCCGAGCTGTCGATAGATCTTGCGCTGAAGGGCATGGCTCTCTTCTAGTGTGCAATTGTCAATGGGTTCGCCTGCTGCTTTTACGGGTGTTCCTGCCTCGTTGCACTTGATGTCGGGTCGTGGGATACCTCCAATATGAATGTTCAACCGAACTAACCACGTGCAGGCCCAAGTCGACCGGAGAACATGCGATCCTAGGAGGACCGGGTCAGGCGCGTACCCGTCTTCTTCAGGAGCATTGCATTCTAGGTATCGTAGATTGGCCGCTCTCGACAGAATCGACTGGATATCTTCGCTAGGAATTCCTTGGCAGCGAGCGAGGTTTAGAGCGGTCAGTCTCTCATGACAACAGTCGGCAACGGCCTTGGCGGTGAGCGATGAAGCGCCAGTGTTTGTGAGATTGATCATATGCCAGTATCCCTTGGAGTCACCACCACCGTCCCTGAATGCCGAAATCATCTTGGCGATCCATTCGTCTGTCCCTTCGGGGGTGTCCTCTATGAACAGATTCAAAGGCGTGTCTCTGAAGGTCGCAATTCGCCATCCAGAAACCTTCTCGAGCAATAAACGGAAAATAGGAGTGGCAAGGGCCCAGCCGAGTTCATCTAACGAATAAGGTGTTGGGCCTGTCTTGGTCTCGATCATCTGCAGGTTGCTGCTGCATCCTTGAAGAAACGATACAAGTGCCGTCGCTTGAATGTTGTCCATTTCGTCCATGAGCCGGAGAAGTTTCAAATTCGGGTGTCTCTTGTTCTGACCGCTCTCCATCAACGGCCGGAGCAACTCTCCAATCCCCTCGTCTTCACTCCAGGACCCAATAAAGTTCAGAGTAGCCGAACGGAGTTGATAAGAGGTGTTTCTGAGAAAGGCGTCGATGACCGCAATGTTTATAGTTGGCTTGAGTCGTTTGGAGCACCGGAAGAGTTCGATGTGTTTCAGTTGGGGGAGGAGTGGTGCCAACTCGATCAAAAACCGTTGAGGATCGTCCGGGAGCAGGGCGAGTTTGAACGATTCCAGCTGTGGGTTCCTCCTGAGAAGTTCCAGTAGGGATTGCTCCTGGTCGTGCATCATGGTGGCCTTGTCCGCAAACATATCGTCGTCAAAGTAGAAGTCTCTTTCGTCCTCGGGTATCGATCCATGCGCCTCCACTTTTTCCTCTCTCAGTTCAGCCATTTCGTCAAGGTGGCGGGACCGAATGAATTCAGAACTCATATGTGCCCTGTGTGTCAGAAGCATGATATCCAGCGAGAGTAGTCGAGGAGTCAGACGAGAGTCACTACCATCGATTAAGGTCATAGTCGCCGTTGCTAGCAACCGCGTTTGGAAAGTCTCGACGTGGTGGAGATGTCGCTTGTGGGTGTCCTGTCCGTTGAGGTAGATGTTGGCTTGGGAGATGGACAGGAGCCGAATCGTTTTCCAGATGAGTGTGTTGGCAGCAGTGCTCCATGACTTGTTGACGAGTGCGACTTGAGTCAAGTCATGGTGGGTGATGTGTCGGAGGATGAGGAGCTGAATCTCGAGTGGCAGGTCGGTGTCCATGGTCGAGGCGCGAATGTGGGCGTATGTTTGAAAGAAAAAAGGAGGGGGTGACAGGGAGTACCGCTGTTCCTGAATTTAATGTTTGGTCAAAGTCACATCTGAAATGGAAGAGCAGTCGATTAATCACCCATGTCTTATTAAATAGCATTTAAACCTCAAGCTGAACTCTGGTATCTCATCCTTTATTGCTTACATCTCCCTCCCTCATCAATTTCGCCTCCTCGGCCGAGAGACCCTGTGGCCACTGGCCTCCATAGACCGAGGTTCTTCCTTCTCTTCCTCCTTCCTCTCCTCCTTATCCTTCTACTATGTGGGCGACAAACCTTTTTCGACCGCACCCGTTGTCGCTCTTTTTAGCGTCAAACCAGGTAGACACGCCAGAGAGCAAAAGTGACTCCGACGAGACCGAATACGACAAAGAAAACCACTCTGATAATGTCGTGAGTGTTAACGCCTTCGACGACTCATTTCGCGACGTGAACTACTGGTGGCATTGACTCACACTTGCCAGTGGTAGCACTCAATACAAAACATACATGTGGTGGTAATGGAAAGCAAAGGAAATGGAATATCGTCTTGTTGGCTGCTAAAAACGCATTACTATTTTACTTCTTCCAGTTATACACTACGGTAACAACGCAGTTAGGAGCCTTGCTAAGAACCTCTAGCTCGAATGGGAACCGATTCGCTGGCTTCTTCTTCTTCCGATACCAGGTCCTCTTTGGCTTCTCATGACACTCGACATCAAGTGTTTTCAAGTCACCTCCTGCTGGTGGGATGCGACCGACAATGACCTTCAACAGATCGGCCGGCAAACGTGACGACTTAATCCGGACAGACTTGAGAGTGTGGAAAGGCATGTCCTTCAGGATGTTGTTCCACTGCACAGGATCGATATTGAGCAGGCTGACAAAGTGGACGGAATGAAGCTTCTTGGACGCGGCCATCCATTGCATCCATGTCGAAAACCATTCGGTTGTTTGGATGTGTCGCAGGGAGACTGATTGCAAGACGGACCAAATGGGAGGCGCGTCGCTGACTCTGTCACTGATACAGTCGCCGAGACTAGTGATGTTTTCTATGTCCAGTTCGCATGTACGGTTGGCGACTTTGGAGATAAAATGGAGACATGCTTGCAGCTTGGTGTTGTCCAGTAGCCCGCTTCCGTTCCAGTGGATCTTGAGTTCGGCCCCTTTCGAGAGCGTGCTAATGGATACTTCCAGGTCGCGCAAGGTCTGAGGGCTGAGGCCATGGATGGGGATGGACACGTATCGAAGGCGGTCCGGATTGAGAACGATTAGGTCTTGAAGTACCATGGCATCCGCATCTGAGAACCCGTTGCTGCAGAGGAGCTTGGGAGGAAGTTGCTTGAAGTATCGAGTGAGGGCAAAGTCGAACATCTCATCCTCCTGAATGATGTTGAAGTAGCCGGTGTCAGGCTTGCAAACGTCGGGGATGTCGATAGTGTTGCCATTATTGGTCATGAACCTCAGTCTGGCGCCTGGGATCGAAACGGACTTCTTGACGAGTTGAAGGGTCTCGAGCAGGGCTGGTGCTTCTTTTTCCAGCGGGTTTGTTCCAGAAAGATGTACAACCATGTCGAATCCAGAAATCCTTGCTCCAAGACTCGATATGATGTACTCATTGCAGTTACGACTCCAAGATCCAGATAGGCGGACACACACTGTTTTGTACTGATCCAAGAATCCACCGAGGCTCATCAACCCGAGGCAGGTCAGCTTGGAGACGTCAAGGTTGAGCTCCTTCAATCGAATGGGTCCATTAGTTTGCGAGAAATGATCTTGGATGGCCTTGGATTCCTCGTCCGTCAATTGGGATGGAGATGCATCGTAGGAAGGAACGAAGCCGAATAGGGAAAAGGTTTTCCAGAAGCCCAGCCGCCGTTCTTCCCCTGGCGACATCCTGATCGTCGTGGTAGAGGTAGAGTTGTTGATATCCGCTATGAGGAGCTCGCTATTCCCGTGATGGAGGCAGAGGGTCCCGAGACTAGATTGAGTACTGATGGCATCCTTGACTCGTTGGAAGATGGAACAGAATCTGTCGACAGGGCAATGGAGATCCAAACGATTAAGGCACCACGATTGCGAGATGAGTTTTTGGAGTGCAGGCCAGAACCAGTCACCGTCGACAGCCATGACCGTGAGTCGTTCGATCTTGTCGCTCCAAGCGTCAACAACGCCCAGTTCAGATGCATGGATGGTGACGGCGATGGTGTCGATTGATCCTGCTTTGAGGCGAAACTCGAATCGTCCTCCGTGCTGCACGGAGATGTCGATCGTCTTCAGTTGATGGGATGCCTTGGCGAGTTCATTAGCCATGTCGTACCCTTGCACGAGTGTGGTGCTGCAGAGCTGTAAAGATGACAGATCGGGAGCCTTTCCCAGCAGCTGAAGGAGTCGTTGCCTGCTCTTCTCGTTCTCCCATCTGAAAGACACTCGATCCAGGGTAAGACTATGGGCCAGGCATTTCTTGTACTCGTACGCCTCGAGAAAGTCAGACACGCCTTTGATGGAGAGATTCCTGAAAGGCCCCGGCTTTCCCACTTTCTCGAGTTCGAGGAGCTTCAAGAGTTGAGCGACTCCAGCGACCTTCCGTATAACACCCAAGAAGACATAGTGGCCATTAGGAATGTCGATGTTGAAGGTCAGGCTCGAGACGTGGGAAAGTTTCATGTGTTGTCGTAGTGTTCGGATCTGCTCCGTTGTTGGACCAAAGTCTAAGGTGATGTCGAGCTCCTGGATAGGACTATCCCTCCCAATCAACCTGAAAAAGCCCACGGCGTTGTCGGATGAAAGTCGAACGGTGACCAGTCCTCGCTTCTCATCTAGGGTGCCTTTAAATGTCTGGGTTATGCGTCGGAGCTCTTCCATGTTGCCGACCCTGGCGTTTTCCTGCACATGCTGGTCACAGACCCACCTGGTCTTGTAGTCAGGCGTCTGAATCCGGTGCAGGTTGCCTAAGGTTTGACTCTCGTCCTTTCGAATCAGGAAGGACACTACTGCTCTGAGTTCGGGACCATCAAGAACCTGGGAGTGTTTCGCGTCGACTTTGTCGTTGGTAGACTTGAGAACCTGTTGGAGATGATTGGCGATTTCCTTGATCCTGGACAGACATTTATCGTCGGTAGCACCAAGGGCCTTCTTCATATCCGACGGCAGCTTGGATGAATTACCACCGATGGTTGCAAGGACTTGGACGGCGTTAAGGAGCCTCACCACATGCTTGCCATACCTTCGGATGAACACCCGTGGTGTCCGGATCTGGTACCCCTCGTGGTGAGCGAAATGCATATGGTGGGAGATACCTCCGTCGACAGTAGACGAAGCAGCGGCAACCGAGTCGCCGCATTCGCAGAGGAAGAAGAGTCGATAGGAGCGGTAGACCAACGTGGTAGGGTTAAGTTTGGACTTGAGCTCGGGGACGATAATGAACATCCTCGGGATCGGATGATTGGGGATGTCAAACAGGGCTCGAATGCTGGATTGGACTGTCTGGACTGTCTGGACATCCAAACGATCCTCGTTGATCTTGTCGAGTTGAACGATGATTTCCGATGGGTGCTGTGCCTTGATTCGTTGAGGCTCCATACTTAATTGATAAAAAGCAAAAGAGTTGTGTCAATTTATGTGTGTAACATTACCCCGATAAATCAAATTCTAAGACAAAGAAGGGGGGTCTACATACATTTGGCCATGAGAGTCCCGTTGAAAGTCGAGTCCAGCTTCTGCAATGATAGCCACCTTGATATGAGAGAATTGCTCCCTGATATCGTCCCAGTAGACGACATGTTCCCATCCTTGGACGAGGTTTTTGTGGATTGGGACTTGTCTGGTCTCATTGGTGCCGAGTAAGCGGACAACCTGATGTTGTTGCTGCGGTAGTTGCTGAGGTGCTCTTGCCATGTTGTTGATTGGTGTTTGCTTTTTTTTGGATTGTTGATAGATATGTGTCGAGGGTGATTTAACGGAGAGCGAGATAGTTGTGTATGGATGAATGCGTCGGATGTGGGCTTTACAGGTCGTTAGAATGATAAAAAGGGGTTGTGAAAATGGATATGTACAAAGTGTGTGTGACAAGTGGGGGCGTGAAAGAAGTAAGGTAAGGAAAAGGAGAAAGAAAGTGTGAGGATGAAGAAGAGGAAAAAGGAAAGGAAAGAGAAAAGGAACAGGGGGTCAATGTTTATTTATAGTGAGAGGGCTGTGCAGCTTGCCAAGACGAAAGCGAGAGGGAACGGACAGCTGCCCTGGATGGAGGCCAGCAACGAAAATAAGGAGAATGGAAGGATCCCCTGCCTTCTCAATGTCCTAGGAAATGTAATTTTCCGTTTGTCCCCGATGGCACGCACACACCCATGGACAATACGCATAAAAAATTCACTCAGCGCCCACATGCAGGCACTGTGTTTTTTTTAAAAAAAAAAAGTCATGCAGTCTCTTTTATTGCATACCTTTGTGAACTAGCGAAAGATGCCAAATGGAAAACAAGATAATAAACCATCCAACCTCATAACCATTCTTTTTCTCAACGGCCCGTCCACTAACCCTAACCCCTGTTGCCAGTTCCCTCTCTTTCCATCCCACTTATATTTTTCTTGGCATGAATGAATCGCCACTCGTGCAATGACCATACTCCTGAAAAAGCGCCTGATGTTACCTTATGCAATCTTCCTAAATCATGCCTGTCCAGGTCAACAGCGACAGCCAAGAAGAAATAAGGAAGAAGGGCGTGTAAGAAGCAAGGTGGATGGGACGGCAGGCGGTGGAAGGGGGGGTAGAGATAGGAGAAAAAAGTGAATAATGAAACAATCCTATCGAAATTTGATCAAACATGAGGGTCGGGATCTACTTTGGTCGCACATACTGCGCTTGTTGGCCAGGGCTCGAAGAAACGCGAACGTGATAGTACACACTCAGATCAGACACCTTAGCCATTCATGACTATGTGAGCTCGCCTTTTTTCCTTTCAGCATAAGTGAAGATACAGTAATATATTACACTGGTAAAAGTACAACCTAAACTATTAAATAGACAACCAGTCTCTCCTACTGCTCCTTGATCCAATTGTAATCAATGGTGACACTGCACGTCGGAGCTCTATCCCAAACCAACTGTTGAAAATCTATCCGTTCAACTGGCGTCTTCTTGCATCCGAACCAGCCCTTCCTAGGTGTCTCATCACACTCCACCATCAGCTTACTCAAGCACCCACCAGCCCGCGGGATCCGGTCCACCAACTGCGGCAGTAATTCTACTGGAAGATGCGAAGACGAGATCTTAAGCGACTCAAGGCCTGCAGAATTCATCTTCGCCAGAACTTTACCCCACTCTACGTGCCCGAACTCCTTTAGACCCACCAGAGACACCATTCGTAGCCATTTTGACGCAACCATCAACTGGATCCATGCCGAGAGCCAATGCGAACCGCGAATGTTCCTCAAGGAGACGGATCTTAAGACGGGCCAACTGAGGGTCGACGGGGGGTCGCAAAAGTTGTTGATATTGCTAAGGTCGAGTTCATTCGTCCGGTGGGCGACGTTGATGAGGAAATAAACCTTTGTATTCGCTTTATGCCTGCTTCGGTAATTGTCTCCGTCTCCGTTCCACTCGACCCTGATCTCGGCATCTGAAGACAGTAAAAGGACCATTTTTTCTACTTCATCCATACTCCCCTCATCAAGACCCGTGATGGAAAGGGAAAGGTATCGAAGGCGGGATGGGCATTGAGCAATGAGGTTTTGGAGGATTGGGACATCTGTGTCAGAGAACTCGTTGTCGCAGAAGAGCTTGGATGGGAGGAGACCAAAGTACCGAGTGAGCGCAAAGTCGAATGGTTCGTCGTCTTGGATGATATCAAAGGATGCAGAGTTTGGGTTTTGGAGGTCGGGGATATCGATAGTGTTGCCCTTGTCGGTCATGAACCTCAATCTGGCACCCGGGATCGAGACGGCGTTTCGGATGCGTGTGAGGGTGTCGAACAGGGTGTTGGCTCCTTTCGCTAGTGGATTCGTTCCTGAGATCTGTACTGTCATATCGAATTCGGAAAGTCGTCCTCCGAGGCGCGAGAGAAAGTCGTTGTGGATGTCCTTTCTCCAGGCTCCTGAAAGGCGGACACGAATATGGTTGTGCTTGTCCAAGAATGTGTTCAGGTGGTGGAACCCATACCAACTCAGATTGGAGACATCGAGGTTGACTTCCTGCAGGCGTATCGGTCCGTTTACACTCTGAAAATGGTCTTGGAGTGTCAAAACCTGCTCTTCCGTCAGCAAGCATGGTTTCGCATCGTAGGCTGGAAAGAAGCCGAACAGTGAATAGGTCGTCCACATGCCCAGATCTCGTTCCTCCTCTGGCAGCATTTTGATCGTTGTCGTGGCGATGGGGTCGCTGAGATCCTTTGTGAGGAGCTCACTGTCCCCGTGACGGAGACAGAGCGTCCCGAGATTCGAGTTGGGTCCGGCAGTAGCGGTGACTTGTTTGAAGATGGAGCAAAACCTGTTGACCGGACAGTGGAGATCCAATCGAGCGAGGCCATGATTCTGGATAATAATAGTCTCGAGCGCAGGCCATGTCTCATGATCGTCGACTGCCATGACTGTAAGTCTCTCGACCTTGTGTTCCCACATCACCACTGTGCTCAATCCAGATGCCTGGACGGTTCCAGCGATGGTTTCGATCGATCCTGCTTTGAGACCAAACTCGATGTGCTCCCGGCGGTCCGTAGTGATGTGGATGGTCGTCAGTCGATGTGATCTGCGGGCGAGCTGCCGGACCATGTCGTATCCTTCCGAGAGTGTGCTGCTGCAGAGTCGGAGGTTCGATAGATCGGGAGCCTTGTTCAGCAACAGAAGCAGTCGCTGCCTGCTCTTCTCCCGCCCCCAATTGAACGACTCCTGATCCATGGCAAGACTGTAGGCAAGGCATTTCTCGAACTCGTGCCCCTCCAAAATGTCTGGCACACCCTTTACGGATAGGTTCCTGAAAGGCCCCGGCTTACCCACCTTCCCGAGCTCGAGGAGTTTCAAGAGTTGGGCGGCTCCGCCGACCTTTCGCACGCCCAGAAAGATATGCTTGCTTCCGGGAACGTCGATGTTGATGGACAGACTCGAAACGTGGGAGCACTTCATGTTCTGTCGTAGCGTCCGGATTTGCTCTGTCGATGGACCAAAGTCCAAGGTGATGTCGAGCTCCTGAATGAGAGGTTCCTTCCCAATTAACCTGAAAAACTCTTCGGCGTTGCTAGATGAGAGCCGCACCGTAACTAGTCCTCGCTTCTTGTCTAGGGCGCCGCCACTGAATATCCGGATCGCGTGTTCAAGTACGTCCATGTTGGTGCGGTTGGCATTCTCTTCCACATGCTGGTCACAGACCCATTTGATGTTGTAGTCAGGCGTCAGGATCCGGTGCAGGTTGCCCAAGCTTCGGTTGTCATCCTTTCGAATCAAGAACGACTCGATCGCTCGGAGGTCGGGGCCGTCAAGAATCTGGCAGAGGTTCGCGTCGATTGTGTCGTCGGTTGAGTTGAGGACTTGTTGGAGATGTTCGGCGATTTCCTTGATCCTGGGCAGACAGTTGTCGTCGGTGGATTTAAGGACGTTCTGTATATCGGACGGCAACATGGATGAGTTGAGGATGGCGGGGAAGGCGGGAAAGGCGGCACTACCGACGGACGCGAGTTTTTGAATCATATCAAGGAGCTTCATCATGTGGCTACCGTACTTTTGGATAAATGCCTTGGGCGTTCTGATCTCGTACCCTTCGTGGTGGGCAAAGTGCATCTTATGGGAGACTCCCCCGTCGATAGTGGAGGTTGCAGCGGCAGCCGAGTCGCCGCATTCGCAAAGGAAGAAGAGCCGGTAGGAGCGGGAAACTATGTTGGCAAGGTTGCGTTTGGACGTCGGCCCAGGGATGACGATGAACATTCTTGGGATCGAGTGGCTGGGGAGGTCGAATAGAGCCCGGATGCCGGACTTTACATTCAGAAGAACGTTGTTGAGCATGGCATGTCCAATCTTGTGCTGAGCTATGTTCGCATCGTGGTACTTTTCCAAGTCGCGCCCCAGCTGTCGGCTGTAGTCAGTATCAACTAGTTGTACTATGATCTCAGCAGGGTTCTGTGATTTGATTTGTAACGGGCTCAAACTAGCATGACGGAGCAATACGAAGGAAGGAAAATGAGGTGTCAGTTAATACATGTAGTGTGCATCGAAGGATGTCGTTGAGAAGGCACTTTGATATTCTGAAATGTATATACATACGCTTGCATGTTGTGATCCCGTACAAAGTCAACGCCATTTCCGGCAAAGATCGCCAGCGCGGTTTTGGAGAACTGCTTCTCGATGTCACTCCAGTAGACGATGGGTGTTCTTCCTTGGTTTGCATGGATTTCGACATGTTTGGGCTCCGTAGTTCCTAGTAACCGCACGGCCTGACGTGGTTGTGATTGCTGCTCTTTTGCCATGTTGTTGACTTTGGAGGGTGGGCGATAGGATGGAGTCGTTAAGGTTAGGTGCGAATGGCGAAGGGATAAGAAGTTGTATGAAATGGTAAAAGGTAGGGTTCAATGGGTCGTTAGAGAAATAAAAAAAAAGGGATTGAAATGCGTACGTGCAAGGTGTATCTGTGTGAGGCGAAGGATGAGAAGAATTAACGGCAGGATATGGAATGCGAAGGAGACGAATGAGAGTAAAATGTGTTGTAGGGATAAACAGGGGGTATAAGAGAGTGAGAAGATGAAGAAAAAAGAAAAACAGAAAGGAAATGCCGAGGGAATACAGTGACTTATATATCGATCCTTGACAGTCGACGGGCAAAAATGGCGAAGATGGCGAAGATGGCAAGGACGAATAAAAAGTAAGAAAGAATATGAGAGTAGCAGTGAGTGAGAGAGAGGGGATCAGCCCCCTGAATAGAAGCCAACGGACAAATGGACTGTGGAAAATGGAAGGTTCCCTTTACATTTTCCTCTCATTCTGCGGTTAATAATTTTCTTTCCATGTTCTACACCGCCTCGCAAAAAAAATCTTCGACTCTTTTCCTTTACACCACTACCTGCGCCATGGAGGCCTGAGCACACCACAGGCACACGCCGTTAGCACGCACCACAACTCACACACCGCCTGCACTCAAGAATTTTCTTTTTTCAGGGCTATTTGGCTATTTTTATCTCTAACAAAGCAAAAAGGTAAATAGGCAAACCATCTTTATTATTCGTGTCCTTTGTTCATCAAGAAAAAAAAACTCCCGCCAATGCTGCCAATTCACCATGCAACAGGCATCCTTAACGCGTTCACGAATAGGAAACATATTCATCTTTTCATCGTACGAAAGCCTCCTCAGGTTGGGTACCATCCTCCGCAGGGCATTGGGCAAATACTCGAAATCATCTCTGTACCCATACCTCCACGGATTTGACATCTTGTACAACAATACATCAATCTCTTGCAATCTGACCAGATCCTGAAGTGTCTATGTCGCCCTAGGATGGTGTCCTTGTTTTTCCACTCATTTGTGCCTGTTAACACCCCCGATCAATCTCATCCAAATAGCTCCTGGGAGGCCCAGGACCTGGATGTTCTTGAGTCGCGTCACATCCTGCACCAACAGCACCTTAAACTTGTCTCATCCTCTTTGCAGTTGCAACTCTTTCGGTGTCGCGAGACTGGACATCCTGTCGATATCCTCACATCTGGCCTGGAGATAACCATGAGGAAGAGGTTTTTCAGCTAACGACAGTGAGTCAGCAAGTCTCCAAGTAGTGTTGACGTCCTGCTATTGCTGGGCTCATCCGTCTGCTCGGTCCTGGGTTGATCCTTTTGGTCGGTCAGTGTGATCTCCTGCAGGTGACAGACTTGTACGCCACTGCCATTGACACTGTTTGTCCAAGCTTGGTTCTCGTTGTCGCAGACCGCCTTGATGGCCTTTTGGCCAAACCATCCCAGATCTGCTACCAGAACTTTGAGAGTGGGCATCAACTCGATCATAAGCGCCAGGACGGTATCCTCTGATGAGACAAAGTGTCCCAGTTCCAGCATGCGTAGACTCGTGAAGGGTATGTTGCCAAACTCGGACGGTTCCAGTAATCCTGCCTTGCTGAACCAGGGGAGGCGCGTCATGCTGGTGCATTATCGGATGAGCTACAGTTATAGTGTTAGCGGTTGGTCGATGCCGTTGAGTGTGAGTCTGTCCAGTCGATTCTGAACCATTGGGACCAGCGTCGTCAACCGCGCTCCTTCATTGTCGTCCAGTTCCGCTGTCCTGGCATTATAGTTCTCCTCCCTTTGCTGCTGCGACTCAACTATCAGTGCCGCCATCTCCGGCCAGTTCATTACTCCAAACCGCCTCAAATCCAGGTGTAATCCCGGTCTCCACCGACACAGGTTCACCAAAGGCGGGCCGGCAGGGGAGTTCATCTCGATACGAGTATTCTGAAGACAGAGATCCTGCAGTCCTGTCAATTGCTCGTCCATGATCCTGAACAGCATCGCCATTGTGTTGACCTCGTCATGTCCTATGGGTCTAAGTCGAGGGTAGATCAGGTGCACCGACCGAAGTGTCGTCCGGTTCATGACAATCAGGAAGAGCGCCCTCTGGTCGACGTGACTATAAAAGACCCATTTCTGGAGAGAGCAACAGGTTGAGGATAGATGCTCGAGCAATTGGAGACTGGAGGTCGTCAGCCTGCGGATATGCTGGGCGTTGCGTTCCATTACTGGAATTGTGGGGCGCCGGCGGCTATTCTTGTTCTTGTTGTCCTTTGTTGGTGTTGTCGTTGTTGTCTCGACCAATTGCTCGTTGACCGCACATGAAGTCAAATCCCGCGGGGGAAGCATAGCAGCCTTGCGTTGCTTCCGTTTCTTGGCTCTTGTTGTCTTGAACTTATTGCAGGGGAGACTAAAGTCGTGGTAGAGGAGTGGTTCCAGTGCATCGTGCCAGAGGGTGCAGACGCGGAGACTGATGATTGTTTCTGAACGTGTAAGGTATGCTCCTACGATCAGGATGATCTCTGGGAGTAGCAGTGGGTTCATTCCTAATGCAAAGCGATGGGTGTGTGTGTCTGTGAATCGTGTTGTGAGTGAAGGTGATGAACCAAAAAAGGATCATAGAACCCCAAGGGCTTACGCACGTGCTATGTTCTCTCTCTCATTTCTTCACTTTTGTTTGCAATTGTGTCAGGTCCTCTCTCTCGGTGAGACAGATAAAGTCATCAGTGGATATGGATCGACCTTCCTTCCGTTGACCGCAGTTCGTTCTTCTTGAGGGGAAAAGAAAGGTGCAAAGACAATCCTCTTTCGTCAATCCACCAAATGAACTGCTGGCGAACGAGACGGCAGCTGAAATGCCTTCAGGGTCGCCAATTATTTATTTATGCTACACCAACATGACCTCGTCCTGCTGCTGTCGATAGTCCATGGCCGCATGCTGCTGTTGTTGCTGCTGATACTGCTGTTGTTGCTGTAACTGCAACTGTTGCTGCTGCTGCTGCTGCTGAGAAATCAGATACCACCGCCGCTTGCATTGGTCCTTCGACACCATTGGGGTACACCCCATCAACGAGGAGATCATCGCCCAATTGACCTTGCTCTGGTTCGGAAAATGCTCTCGTACAAGATCCTGCAACCGTCTCGTCAGCGGCTCTGTCCACGTCATCGGCATCATTCTTTCTGAAGAGCCCCATTCACCGAAGAGAGAAACGTCGGATCCGTGGCGACCATGTCCGAATCTACTCATGGATATTGTACTGGAGACGGAGGCTGATTTCCGGTGCTGGTAGGGTCGACTGGCTGTTGTTGTGGTGGCGCGAGGGTTGGAACCTATGGTCATTTCCTCGGTCAAGGTGTAGAGAGAAGTTGTTGGGGAGGACAGCTCCATTGCATCGATGTCGACGGTGGATGTTCTTTGACGATGAGCTGTGCTAGTGGAAGCACTGTCTTTGGAAATGTTGACACGGAGGGGTGTCGACTTGATAGAGGACAGGGACAAGTTCCTACGGTGGGGCGATAACGTCTTGCGAGGAATGTTTGCCGATCCGGGTCCTGCTGTCATCGTTATCATCCCTGACGTCCCTCCCCCTCCCCCGCCACTACTAGTACTCCCTACAATACTTCCTGGTCCGGGCCCTGACCCTGACCCTGACATTCCTCCTGACCCAAACTGCGGTCCCACCTCTGCCTCACGAGTCTCCAAAAGCTCCCACATAATCGAAATCCCACCCCTAGACCTCTCTGGCAAATACTTTTCCTGGATTTGTCCCCAAGAAGGCCCAAATTCCTGATACCCTCTCTTCAACAACATGATCTCATCCTCAGTCCCCATCCTCCGCCTCATAATCTCCCACTTGTTCTTGCACTGCTTTCTCGTGAACGCGTTGCCCATCTGCGCTGCGACCCAGACCCAGTTTATACGGTAAGCGCCTGGGAAGTAGACTTCGACGAGGTTCTTGAGCGTCTCGGATTGTTCAGGTGTCCAGACGCGGACCATCCTTGCGGGGCGGGTTGTTGATGTTGTGGATGAGAAGCTGGGAGTTGAGCGGTGGCCTTGGTTGTGGACGAGTGTTTGCTGTGGGTACGGTTGTGGGCAGTTGGATTGTTGGTCGTGTTGTTGCGGTTGTTGTTGCTGTTGCTGGTGATGGTCTTCATAGTCCTCATACCCTTCGTCGTACTCGTCTTCTTGTTCATTGAGAGGAAGAGGGGAGGGAAGGCGTTGTGGGTCCAGGAGAGGCTGCTTCAATTGCTGCTGTTGTTGCTGTTGGTGGTGCTGTTGATGAGCAGCGGCGGCTGCTTTGGCCATACTAAAAAGACCCGCAAGGTTCTCCTGTGAAGAATGTGTGGACTGTGCGGCAGAGGAAGTGGCTGTGGGGGCAGGGGTCAACAGCGCACCACCACTTTTGGCGATACGAGTGCTCGCCTGTGCCTGTGCACTATTGCTCTTGTTGGTTTCATCCACCAATACCTCACCACTATACATTCCCTCGTCCTCCTCCTCTTCATCCTCATCCTCATCCTCATCATCCATATAATCCTCATACTCTGAGTCGGGGATCTCAGCATACAACCGATTATACTCTTCCTCAATCTCAGAACACGACCGATTCAGGTTCATCCTCGTCTTCACCTCCTCCCACCTCCCAAACAGTTTCAATCGTTCCACAGCAACATACACCGATTCCTGTTCGGCGTTTGTCCAAGGTCGTCGAATGAGCAATCTACGTTTGAATGATGGTTGGAGTCTTAGCTGCTCATCGTCGTCGTCGAGGTTGTCGCGGTCGGTGTCTATTGGGGATGAGGCGGTGGTGGTGCTCGAGTCTGGGTATGGATATGGGTATGGTTGAGAGTGGGGTTGAAGTATGGAGAAGGTGGATGAAGGTCGTTTCATATGGGACCTGTGGTTTGAGGGTGGGGGGATGATTGTGGTTGTGGGTGTGTCTGTCTCCATGATTAGTTGGGTTGAGTGTTGGGGGTGCTTAATTATTAAAGTAGAGTACTGATTGGAATTGTAACGGGGCAAAGCGACGGATGGCTGGATGGATGGGTAATAAAAAATAACGAAAAAAGAATGAAAGAAGAGGGGGAAAAAAAAAGAAAGAGACAAAGGACGTCTTGTACTTTCCACATGCAGTCTTGTTGGCTTGTGCGATATGAATAACGGGCTTAGGAAGGGGCACAAAGGAGAGGGAAGGTAAGGGAGGAGCTAAGAGAGAAAGGAGTAAAGTGCAGATGCGTTTGGACCATGGGCCAAGCCATGCTTACCCTTTCTTTTTCCCTTTCCTTCCTGTCCATCATTCATACAGTACACCCAAGGGACCATTCCTTGACTCTTGCATCTTGTAACGCCTTAAGAAGGCATCTGCACCGTGACACGCCTTCTGTTTCGTGTGTATCCAAACGCAAACACAAACAAATACTCAACCACCTCCTCATTTTGTACCTCCCTCCTTCCCTCCCTTTCGCCAAAAAAAAAGGCTGGCCATGGATGGAGGGAAGGAAAATAAAGGGACACATACAGCTTGTGTCCTTTTATTTCAGAGCATCAAGCAAGCCGTTAGTTACATTTCCTACTTTTTTCTCTCTCTTCTTTTGTTTTCTTTGATTCTGCCCCTTGGAAGGGATGAAGAAGTTGCGGAGAAGGCAAGGCAAGGGGGGAATGGTGAGCAAATCCGATGAAGAAGGGCGGGATTGGATGATGAGCTGATACGATTGACCGGGGATATCGTTACCACAAGGCAAGCTAAAGCTAAGCACGGGGCACGGAGCCAGTACAAAGAGAAGAGCGAGTTGTCACGTTGTGCGGTTGGTGGCGTCTATCTCGGTCCCTGGGGCAGGTACCTTTCATATGTGTATGTAGCGAATTGCAAGGGGGCTCAATATGACAGATCAAACGTGGTGATGTGTAAGTACCAGGTCCAGTTCATAATCTTCACAGCGAAACGATTAAGCCGTGTATCCGAGTAATATTTTATGTATGCGCTTTGGATGCTATGTGTTGTGTATGAATGTTGGGGTGTCCTTGGAGGCATGTGTGATCGTTGCTTCTATGTCTTTCTTGGGCAAAGCCTTCTTCTCTTTTCTCTGCTTTTTTTGATGCCATCAAACAAAGGGCTGCCAGGGCATTCAGGACACATATGGCAAAGGGATTGTAGGGCAGACACAATGGTTGTACGCAGGATAGAATGATTAGTAATGACGATAAAAGAGAAAGGCAAGTAAGTGGTCCTCTTTTTGCGCACGCGCCAGGTATTAAGCCCTCACCGTACACTGTGCACACAACAACGTACACAGCCAAGGTCGTCCATTCTTTTGCCCCGTCCCCGAATAGCCTCCCTCCTCATATCTGAGAAGCGCAAAGGACACTTGAATTGGCCAATGACAGAGCGTGCAAGTATGTCCAGCCAATCAGAGGCCTGCCGCGCGTTCCTGTATCCCGATCAAGCAATTTTTCTTTGGAGCTCCTCAATTCTCGTGAAGGAACATTCAACAGCAGCCAACACTATCAACAGCAGCAACTCTTATGGTGATTAGGCGCATGAACATGAAATCAATTGTTGACAACAACAAACAACAGCGCAGTGCACGCTCTGTGCAAACAAAGAGTATGGAGCTCAATTGATTGATTGATTGATTGATACTCCCTCACCCCGGGCAAACACACACCCGAAACATAAGTGATGGAACCCGTTGTTGTTTGATTGGTCATGTTGCACCATCAACTCTATCAGTCCTCAGTGTCCGCCCTTTTTTATTTAGTCCCCTTCGCCGTTTTTTCTTTCTTCCTCTTCTCTTCTTCTTTCTTCACTTCTCACTCTTCGCTCCTCTTCACTCTCTTGTCACTCACGACCCTTTCTATATACCTTTGCTCTTCCTCTCCCAACAGGCTGATCAACTCTACTCCTCCTTCCATTCCACTCTCATTCATTTATTCACATCACTCCTACTCCAATGGACTTCTCGGGACACCACCAGGCGGCTGACATGTCAAGTGCTGACTTGTTCGAATACCTCCTCAACACCGACAATGACGCCACCTTCACCTCCTTCTTCCCCACCTCCGATACCCCTCTCCCTGTGGCAGTACCACCTCAACCACAACCACAACCACAACTGCAGCATAGGCCAATTGCACCGGCAACAAGTCCCCTCCCAACATCATCATCCTCGTATCGTCAATTATCCCCAAGTATGCCACCCTCCTCCAATCGCACCCCTATCGCAATAGCCCCCGTACCACAACTCCAACCAATGGCTGCTGCAACTCGCCCAACAGCAGCTGCACCCGTCCACATCAAGCCCATCCTGCCCAGGGTAGCACCCAAGGTAGCGCCCTCGACTGCTTCTTGTATCGCAACAGCAACAGCAGTCCCCACATCTGCGTCGACCCTGATCAGCCCCGCCCTTTTCTCTTCCGGTAGTAGTATCCACTCGTCGACATCGATACCGCCACCAGAGGATATCTGGAAGGAACGGTTTATGCAGCTGCAGCAACTACAACAGGCCCATCGGCATAAACAGCACCAGCTCCTCTCTGCTGCTATCCACAACAGTCCAGCTCCTCCTACTCCTGCACCCTCCTCCACCTCCGCTGCAGCTGCTATGACTTCGTCTCCCAGCAGAGCTTCACAGTTGGTGTCAACATCGTCGCAGAGAGGCAGCTCGTCGGAGAGATCCGTCTCCCCCGAAAAGACGACAGCCGACAAGTTGCGGACAATCTACCCTTCTCCGCCCATGAACGACGATATGGCGATGGAGAGTGATTCCGAGGCACGTTTCGGGCTTGGGTCCGAGTTTGCTAAGCCTTCCGAGTCCCAGCTCAAGTTGATGACCAGCAAGGAGCGAAGGCAGCTTCGAAACAAGCTGTCTGCCCGCAACTTTCGTGTCCGCCGCAAAGGTACTACTATTATCTCCTCTTCTCCTCTTTTACGTCAATTGACCCCCACCCCCTCGGAATATTTTTTTGCGAGACGCGCGGTGACTTACCCGTAGTTATTTGGACAATTAAATAATCGGAATAGAGTACATTGACCATCTCGAGAACGAGGTCAAGCTCGCAAAGAAGGAGGCGGCAGACACCCAACGCCGCTTGATCCAATCAGAGCTGAACTGCCAGTTCCTGCGACAGGAACTCGAGGCGACCCGGTTGTCGCAGTCGCTCTTTGGTAGCGGTGGTATTGGCGGCGACGGACGCATGTCCAAGGAGCACGCCAACCTCCTCGCCAGTCTCTTGAACCCCAACACCGAGATCTTTCCTACTGTCAGCAACGCGGATACTGTTCAACCATTGGCGTCTGCTTCTTGGATGGGTGCATCGCATGCGAGTGCTGTAGAAACCAGCACAAGTGGAGAGTTGGCAATAGGAGCGGAAGCAGGAGCAGTAGAAGCACAATCGGCGGTGGAGGAGGGTCAGGTACCCATGGAGCCGTTTGTGCCGTTTGGTGATTGGCCAGGACTCTTCATCAACAGAGCCGAGGTCTCGGAGCCTGTTGTCGATCCCAAGAACACATCAGCAGCAACAATAGCTTCAGGAGAGGCAGCACAGGGCCCAGCACACGAGCTCCTGGCTCGGTATGAAGCCCTCAAGCGCGAAGCGGAGTATGACGCCCAGATGCGTGCCGAGATCAAGGCCGACACAGACAGACGCCTCCTCGCCCAGACATACATGGTCGTCCCCAAGGGCAACGACAGAGATTCCGATGTAATGTCGATCGAGGTCAGGCGTCGTCTGGAGGAAGACTCGGTCGTCCTCAAATCGTTGATCTATATGCTGATGGTCCAATTGACGGAGTCCCTTTTCGAAGCCGCGACGCTGTCCAAGACGGATCTTGTTAGGATGTACCAATCCATGGACGAGCCCCTCCGCGCCAAGATGCTTGCCCAGTCCAAGGAGTGTGCCACCACCAACAAATTCGCGGAGTGGCGGGAGGGTTGGATCAAACGATGCTGGCCTTCATATTACAACAACCGTCGTCGCGTCGTTGAGTTGATCAACCGGTCCGGGATCTGTGATCCCTGCTATCGGGCCAAGGAGTTGAAGGAGAAGGAGATTGAGGAGATTGCGCGCAAGATGGAGGAGGCTGTCAAGGATCAGACTGTGGGTGAGATGTGTAAGCCGGGCTTCTTTTACAGGACGTTTGTCCCCAACCGGTTCAAGTGCCCCAGTGCTTTGGCGTATGAGAAGGTGGAGGCCGAGGCTAAGGCTGCTGTCAAGGCTTCGATGATGCAGCAGGAGCAGACGGATACATCGTCTCTGTATGCCGCTATGACCATGCCCATGCCTGTTGCCACCAGTGTCGCTTGCGCGTAAACAATTATTTAGTGCGAATAAAAAAACCATCTTTTCTTTCCAGCCTAGAAGCTTCCCCTATACCTTTTCTCAGCACGCCATGTCGAATGTTGAACATCTCATATATTTTTTTTGCACCAAATCATGTTCTAGTGAATGCGCCAAGGAAATACGAAGGTGGCAAACCGACAGACTTCCAATTCAAGAAGAGAGAGAACGAGGAGATTCTTTTGTCAAGTTGGCGACAACCCTGTTCGTGTCTTCAATCCAAATTGCCCTTTCTTAAACCTGAAAAGGAGCAATCAAAAGCATCCAAGTCCATTGTGCTGCAACGACAACAACGACATGCACCCAAAGCTATCCACGGCCACTACCCTGGGTCTCCTCGTTTTCCACCGCAATTCTCCATCCCACTTCAAATCTTCCCCTCTCCCAACCCGAACAAGACCCAGACCTCCAAGGCTGCACCGTGCTCGACTGCCTACCTCCACCTCTCCCCGGCAACAAATACACCCTCGTCAACAACGGGCCTTGCATGCCCACAACTTCCATCCCCCCCCAACCTCCACCTCACCAACAACAACACTAGCAACTACAAATACGACAAGGACCTCTGTCGAAAACTCTTCCCGGTCTCAAAACCAGACCTGGAGGGTTGCAGCACTCTACATTTCTCCAGGTCGTTCGGAATCTTTATGCATGTGGTGGAGAGGGGAGGGATGCTAGTACAGGATTGTGCCAATGCACACCTTGTGGGATCACGTTCAACGGTGGTAGTATTTTAGTGGATGGGTAGTCCTAGTTATGTTGAAGCTGCGTTCTTGAGAGTACAAATACAAGGTTTATATTTTGTCTATGGTAGTAATGGTAGTTAGGTGTCCTATGATACATGATAAAAGAATTAAAGCAACAAAGATAAAAGAGAAAAAAAAGAGGTGTTCGCCAAAAGTAGGGTTCTCCAAGACAAGTCTACACACCTTCCATGCCAGCAGCAGCAGCACTCGTCACAGCATCTAAAGTGCCCATGCCTGTGCTTGTGCTCGTACCAGCGGCCGCCGAGGTAGAGAGCATCCCTCCATACTGCTCATGTCCTTTTGATCCCTGAAAATCATCACTAGTTGGACCGGCAGCAGCAGCAGGAGGAGGGCTGGCAGAAGACGAGCGCCCCAATAACTGTGATAAGCCAGAGAACATCAATGGTCCTTGCGTGGATTCAGAAGTAGAAGCAGTAAAGGGAAGAGGGATAGGGATAGGGGACAAGAGTCCCTCGCCGTTTGCACCAGCCATGGACGAGGATATTATCGATGACGACGAGGACGATGAGACAGTTGTCGACTGAGTTTGTGCTGGCACGGTTGAGGCAACAGCTGGATCAGTAGTGGGGTTGGCGGTAGTAGAAGACTCGCCGGCACTGCTGGGTCGGTGCACAAGCGGAGGGGTCATGGCCAACAATCCAGATCGGGTCGCCCATCGAGCATCCGCTTGCTCCATTTCCGTGTCAATGGTCTGTATGGGCACGTTGAAAGGCTTCAAAGGCGAGAACTGACGTTGAGGCAGCGATTGAGATTGTAAGAGAGGTGAACTCGAGCGCTGCGGGGTATGCATCATATTCGTCGTCGTAGTAACCGCCATGGTTATAGTTGAGCGGGTTGATGTGGTTGCTGTCGTCCCCACTTGTTGAGATGTGTTGGACTGGGGGTGAGATATGGTGTTGGCTTTGGTGGGAATAGGGACGGGAGCGCTTGGGGTGGTGGCAGTAATATGTGTGGTGCTATTGTTGTTGTTGCTCCCGTTCTGGTTGCGTCGAAAGAATCGTCGTTTTGGTGTCGCGGTTGTTACAGTCGCTGCAGAAGAGTTCAGCACTGATGCAGTATCTCCAAGCAGAAGAGGAACTGATGCAGACGACAATGCGGTTCCTTGGGTATATGTAGAGCCAGAGGAGGATTGTTGAGATGTGTTGACATGGACACGCTTGCCAAATAGACCTCGTCGTTTTATCTGCGGACTCGTTTCGGCCGAAGCAAGCGCGCTGCCATCTAGAGGTGCGGGTGAAGAACGAGCCGATTGTACGGCGGATGACGATTGATGCTGTGGGTGGTGGTGCATATTGTTGTTGCTGATATGCGACATGCTGCCAGAGTGCGTCCGATGGTGTCCTCCACTCGCGCTGTGGCTGTGTCCGTTTTGACTGGTGGCGATGTTGCTGTTGTTGTTATTGTTCCCGCCTCGCTTGAAAATGCTTCCCGCCCACTGCTTGGCCCAACCGACACGCTGTCGAACAGCTCGCTTGGCCATATTGACGTTCATCCGGCCAGAGTTCTTCATCAGGAACAGCATCGCACAGTTGCTCGCGAACAAGACCAAGATGAAAAAGTCGAAGCTGCAGTACCGGACCACCAACGTGTAAGCCGTCAGCATCATTAGCGTCTTCCGTCTCTGTCTCACAAATGAAGTTTCGCGCACCACTATATGTATATACAACAGCAACATCGTTAGATACCAATGCACTCACAAATAACACATCAAGATCCAAGAGCCAAGAAAAGGAAACTTACTGGCTAAGGTCGTTTTGTTGCCGTTCTTGGGATCGGATTCTGGGTAGGTCAGGAGGTCAATGAACTGGAAAGGAATGTCCAGCCAAGGGTTGGGCTTGTTGTCCTTGTCCTGAGCCTTGGGCTGTGTTGCAGTGTCAGGTCCCTCGATCCAGTTGACGAGCGCGTCCAAAAAGGGAGAGTCTGTCAACCAATTCCATGATCCAGTGACGGCCTCCAACCCACCATCGATCGAAGCACCATCTCCAAGTATCCGTGCATCCGCAGCTACAGAGGTCCCTGTGGTTGATCTTCGTCCTCCTGAAGCAACGGCTCCTGGATACGTTTGCTGTCGAAGCTGACCGGTCGATCGCATGTAATAATCCAATCCCAGGACTGACTTGGACTCTTCCAAAAGATCGCCGTCGACAATTACCATATCGTCGTCGGAGCTCTCGGATGAAAGTTCCTCTGGGCTTACTTCAGGAGTAGGCAGACTAGAATGATGTGAAGTGCCTTGTGACTCCATACTATCCTGTGTTGGAACTACTATGGGTTGAAGGCGTCTGCTGTTGCTGTTGCACCGGTCCCGTAATGCCATGGATGATTGTAATTGATTCTCGAGCGGTTCGTATAAGATTTCTTGGGGCTCAGTCGTGAAGGAAGGTCGATATTGGTAGTGACGATGATATACAGAAGCTGCAGAGGCGGGCCGGACGGGTGGACTGGACAGTGGGTGCAAGAGTATGGCAGCGGCGTTGGACTTTGAACGAGGTCGGGTTTCTGTTATAGGTCTTGAGATATTACGTAGCGAGTTGGCAGAGTTGCGAGGAAGTAGACCAGAACTGTGCAAGTGGTGGTGGATTGCGGATGCGTTGGTGAGGTCTTCGAGAGAGATGGCTCTGCGCAGAGGGGGCCGTGTTTTGTTTTCGGTCGAGTAGGGTTCAATAATCTCCCCATGAGAGAGGAAGGAGGAGTCGGACAGGTACCCGTCTGCGTCGTGCGGGTGTTCGAGGTCGATGTGGTTGTCGAGGTGATCCTGGTCGTCGTCCTGTTGCGACAATCTGTCCTCTGGAGGTGATATTGCTAACTGCAATGGAGAGGAGGGAGAAAGAAAGGAACGAAAGGGTGTGAGTGAGAGCGGATGGAGTGACAAAGCAATGAATATTGACTGGAAGGAAAGTGGGTGAGAAAAGAAAAAAGAGGTGACGACAGGAAAGATAACAACAGCGGAGAGGAGGGAAAGATAGGAATGGCTTCTTTGTGCCAAAGTATGAAGTATGAATGGAAAAGAAAGTGAAAGGTGACCGGCCCATGGTTAAATCCCCATCCCAACTATACCGATTAGTCTTTCTCCCTCACCTGCACCGCCCCACAAACATACACCGGTACACATACACTCTTGACACATTTAACACACAGCCATAGAATGAGAAGATATAAAGGAACCAGAGTAATTCGGCATTGTAGATATCGGCCCACCCATCCTTTCAGGAGACAAAAAGAGCGACAACCCCAAAGACAGAAGAGAGAGAATAGGACATTTGAAAAGAATAATGATATAAGAGAAAATGATGCAGGAGGTGTGTTTGTTTGTTTGTTTGTTTGTTCTTGTTGTTTGCCATGCGACAGAAAAGAGTCCTCCCAATTAAGCCATCCATCCAGCCGATCGACCAGATCCGATCCGGAGACAGATTCTCATCCTTTGCACACCCTTTATCTCTCATTTACTGTTGTCATTGTCCGCTGTCGGCGTTTTTGCTCTCCCCTTGTCTTCTTATGTGTCAATTGTTCTTGTCACCACAGGATGAATCTTTTTTCGTAGGAACTATTCCCATCATTCCCACCCACATGCTTCCATTAGTTTTTGCTCTTATTTGTCCGATATTGATTACGCAATAGGCCGTCCAATGTATCAACTTACAACGCTGTGGTGCTGAAAGGTCGATTTGAGCCAGGTGGAGATCTTTTTGGAGGTGATCTTGCCCTGGATAGTGACCTTGGCCATCCTGGAAAGGAACTCGAGTTCCTCTTGAAGCACTTCTTCTGAATCTCCCTCCGCAACTAATGAGTGTATCATGAGAAAGAAAAACGGTCAAAGAGGTAAGTAAGCATGCATGTGCGAGCGCATGCGCATGCGTGTGGGTGAAAGCATGCGGGGTATGAGTGTGAAGGGTGAAAAGGGAGTATGCAGGCAGGTTTTCTGGTTGTTCTGCAGAGACTTGAATTAGGTGGCATATGATAGTAAAGTGACACAAAGAAGAAATGAGAGTTCCAAATACACTGCGTAAGAATTGGGTTGGAGTGAAAGGGGATAAACAGTTTTGGCAGCAGCCAAGTGGGATGAGGAGGTGTGGCATGAGAGTGGCATGTTGTGGATGTGGGAGGGATAGCAGAGAACACCCCCATTCTTCTTCTCCCTGCGGTTGGCAAACAGAAAGAGCGATATTATGAAAAATAAGAGAGCACCAACAACGAACAAAAAAAAAAGGTTTTGCTGTATTTTGCGTGTTCTCTTACACGAAGAGAAAGATCGAGAAGAGATAGGAGAGTGGAGGGGCGGTGAAGGTAAACAGGTTTTACATGGGTACAGTATGGTGTGAAATGTTCAATTACGACTTCTCACACCCCAATGGAACTAAACGCAAAGAGTAAAAATACCACAAGGACACACAATGAAATTAATTAACAACCACTGCGTCTTGTTGGGAAAGAAAAAAAAGGGAAAGACAAACATACAAAAGAAGTCGATCGCTTCTTCCCCTTCTTTATGTTGTGAAATATACATTATATCCATGGTTGCATGGTCAAGTCGAGGAAAAAAGTGCTGAGAAGGTGGCAGGTCATCCAGTTGGCAATGATGGGTGCATGGTTTACGTTACACGGCCACTTGTTCAATGGAAAGAGAAAAAAGGCACATGGGGAGAAAAAGATGGTTGGCGGTGGTTCTTCTACTTTTCCACTCTCAGGTGCTCTCGATCACTTTGCTTTTCTGCTCCTTTTCTTCTTGTGTTCGTTTTCTCGTTTTTTGATGTCCTTGCTATCGTTGCTGTTGTGGTCGTTTTTGCGCCTTTTGGGCTTTTGGGCATTTCGGCGTGGAAGAGGTGGAAATGCGCAATTGATGTCTGTGTGTGTGTGTGTGTGTGTGTGTGTGTGTGTGTGTGTGTGTGTGTGTGTGTGTGTGTGTGGTTGTTTGTCGGTCGTTGTCGCTTCTCTCTAAGCAGGCTGTCCAGTTTTGTTGTTGTTGCTCTCTTGCCTTGAATCATTCTCGGTTGTAAAAGCCGAAAATAAATTATACGCAACGCACTCAACAGCTCTTCTGATGCAATACCTCACCCCACGCACACCCCCTTCCACTGCTCGGCAGACAGGCATGTACGTCGGAGACATTCTTGGTCAGTCACACACACTTCTTGATTCACACTCACGTACACCAATGTCATAAGAGACGCCCAGAAACAGCCAGCCAGCCTGACCTCATACTTTGGGGCTGAGAGACAAAGGTGTCGTCCAGCGTGGGGCTGAAGGTTGGATAAAGAGGTATTTTTGGCTAACGAAGACTTTTTCCTTTGCGGTGCATTCGAGGAAGAGAAAGAAAGGCTTTGTCCAGAGTGCATGTTGTCATTATTGGTGCAGGTGTTGTGAATATTCCCGAGAAAAGAGAGGAAGAAAAGAGGAGAGAAGAGGTGGAAAAACAAGAAGAAAAGAAAGGTTACCTCGGTAGTGAGGGAAGCCGCGGGTGATGATGCGGTAGTTGTTGTTGGCAAGACGAGGGTGTCGCTGGAGGACGAGGTAGTCGGTCTCTGAGACGGTGTTCCATACGGATCTACCGCGCAGGAGCACCCCGACCAGTCTCGGGTGCACAACCATCTGAGAGGTTTAGTTGTGAGTGCAAGAGTGTCGGCTGTCGCGAGCGAGGAAAAAAAAAGAGAGAGAGAGAGAGAGAGAGAGAGTGCGTGTATATGTGTGTGAAGAGTGAAGGGAATGAGTGTCGAGGGAGGGAGGATGATGCTAGAAAAAAGGAAGGAGTGAGAGAGAGAGACGGGAAGAGAGAAAGAGACAGAAAGAGAGAGAGAAAGAGAGAGAGAGAGAGGCGATGGACAGAAAGAGAGCGAGAGAGAGACGATGGACTAGAGCATGGTTGGTGATGTGATGTGATGTGATGTGAGAGAAGTGTGATGAAAGGAGAATGAGAGAAAGGACGATGATGAGTGAAGGGAAGAGAGGCGAGAGAGAGGTGATGATGGTGGCAAATTGATAAGTTCGTTTGTATCAAATTCGATTAATGCGCCTCACTCCCTTCGTTGTTGCTGCACGCTTATTTATTTGCTTTGTCGCAGTGGGACAGAGAGAGGGTAGTTCTAGACCTCCGGTAGAACAGGGAAAATGTCTATCCATACCCGTTTGCCACTAATGCTATTGAACCACCCTTAACCTTCCTTCTTCCCTCCACTTTTTTTTTTTTTTTTTTTTCTTCCGACTCCATGCCCACAAACCAATCATGTTGTTTCGCGCAACCGATTTCATATTGCTTTACTTGACCTCCCTTGCCTACTTTCACATCAGCGTCAACCTTTCTCTTCCCCCAAACCTTGTTGTCGATCCATCATCCGTCGGGGATAATGATGGTCTCCGTCCTATCTAAAAAGGCGTTTACGCGTAAAAGCGCGTCTCTGGATTCAATCAGACTTCAATTCCGGAAGACCTCACATGTTTCTGTTCATAACAGCGCGTGTACTACTTCAAAGAATTATTTAGTCGCGTTCGATCTTTTTTTTTAAAAAAATTCTGATAGAAAAAGAGAGAAATGCGTAGGAAAGGGTATTGAAAAAATAATGGTCGATATCTGCTCCTCACCGACATGTCCCGACAACTAGCAGACAAGAAACAGTGCCAGCCCCCCTCCCCCCCTCCTCCCACTCGCACCGGGATGCACTCCAACAGATCTCAAGAACAGGTCCAGCTCCAGTTCTTATGACGCTCAACCGCTGCCTATTCATCAGGGTCACAATGGCCTCCATCACCGGAACCATAGCTTTCGTCATCGTCATCGTTATCATAGCTCCCACCACCAGAACCATAGCTGTCATTCCCCCAAAATTGTATCCTCCCTCACCAGAATCGGTATGCTCCACCACCTGCATTACGCGACCTAAATTTGCTGCGCAATAGTAGCAGCCTCATATGCCCCAAGAATCGATTTCCTCCAAAAAAAAAAAAAAAAAAAAAAAAAAAAACCAGTATCCATCACAACCAATTATATCCGTGGCTACCACTGCCATTACTGCTGTCATTGTCCTCGTATCCTCCATCACCCACTGTCATTGCCGTATGTATTCTGATTGTCGAGTCCTTGCTCTTATTGATCCATGATCGAGGCTTGTATAGATGTTTTTAAAGGGGGGATTTTTTTTGGTATATCTGGATGAAGAGGTATCTTGGTGAGTGAGTAGCCAAAGATGTTTGAGGGTTAAGTGAGAACAATAAAAATAAGAGCTTACTTACTGGTTGAGTAGGTAAACTTGGTTGGTATGGATGTCGAGTAGGAGAGTGTCTATGTGAGTGTGAAAAGGAGCGCAAGTAGGGGTAGGGGAGAAAGTGAAAGAGTGTTTGACGTGTGGGAAAATGAAAAAGGGCGTGAAAGCGAGGAAGAGTGTTTATTTATCTACGGAAGAAGTGGACTCAGAAAAACAAGGACGACTGGCACTGTGCGAACGCATAACTGTATGTTGCTTGAGGACTGGTTGTGAAAATTAACGTAAGAGTGGGGTTGATGTAGGAAAGCACATTCACAAGGTAAAGAAAGGAAAAAGAGAACGAAAACAATCGCCAGCTTGTTGAAGCGACCAACGAGAATGGTCTACTACGACTGTTTTCGAACCATTTTCAATCGGGAAAGGAATATTCAAGCAATTTTGCTATGCAAAGGGGCAATGGTTTGCATAAGTCAATGAGTATGATAGAAAAGGCTATGTAGACAGAGACGGAAAGAAAAAGAGGGAAAGATAAAGGACTGGATATTTGCGACAAAAAAGTTGCCGCACCATCTGCCATTGTCCCATCTTCCTTGTTTCCCCAGCAATCTCCTCCCTCTCCATGTCACCTCCCTTTCTCACTGAATCGAATACTAACCGAGCCTCCCACGTTCGTGGGCATTGATTGAACAAATCGCAAATGCAACTTCCAATCGTCCTCAATTCCATCCTTTCAAGGATCTGTAGATGGCGCGCATTTATTTTTTGTATGTATCTTTGACGCGTCGCGACAAGGAGAGACGCGTTTTTAATTGCCTTGAGGTAGAAAAGATTAAATTTTCGAAGGAAGATCAATTTTTATGTGTGATATATTTTCGGGAGCGAAAGGAAAGCACCAAGGGCAAAGAAAAAGATAAGCCTTGTTTTTTTAAGTCTCAACTGTTCCCAAGGGGCTGCTGCTGCTGGTCCTTGCTCTCGTTCTTCCTCACACCCTGCCAAACGCCTCCTACACCGCCATCACCAGTACCCTCAACACTCGTAGTCCACTGCTCTGGAACCTTCCTTGAACTCCCCCCACCTGCACCAGCAGCGCCAACCGGCGCACCCTGTCCGCTGCCACCACTACTAGCCGGCACCACCCAATCCTTCGCATGCGCCCCCACCGCCCCTGGTGCTTTCGGAGCCTTGGGCGAAGGTGAAGCCTCCACATGCACAGCGCCATAAACAATCGCCCCTATGATAACAATTGACATCAGGATCGTCAAATAGAACCGACAGAACTCGGCCGCCATACAGACGCGATGGACATCCTGGGCCGTCATCCGTTGTCGGATAACTAGTGGGAGATATAGATGCAAAGCCGCGGATTCTTGTTCTCGTTGACGTTGTTGGATTCGGACCCACTGTTCTCGACGGAGACGACGACGGCGCGCGCGGCGAGATTCTAGTGGCGCTTGGCTTCTGTTGTTGTTTGGGCCAGAGTTGGTGGCGGTGTCGGTCGTGGAGAACGTGCGAGGGTGTGGAGTGCAGAATGTGAAAAAGTACAACCAATCTCGGATACCCCACCGCGGCCTTGATCCACTTCCGTGTCCGGCATCTCGTCGCTGCCGTCTCCTAGACCCTTCCCTACCGTCATCACCAGACCCAAACCCTCCATACTCATACTCATCATCACCACTGTTACTCTCCTCACTAGAATAGTAAGGCCCATCATAATCCAACGGCAACTCCTCACCCTCCTCATCGGACGAAGAGGCGTATGAGTACTCGGACGAGTCATAGTCCTCCCTTAGGAATCGTTCCTCCAGCGCTTGCCATCGTCTCTCCTCCTCCTCTCGTGTCTCCTTGCTTCTCTTGGCGGATTTCTCGTCCATGGTATCGACATTTCCATTGTGGTCGCTGCTGATGGTGTTGTTGCCGCGACTGGCCTCCAAGTCGTCGTTATCGTCAAGTCTCCCGCGTTTCTCATCTCCAATCGAATCCTCACCAGTGGCACTCGCGACGCTTCTGGCACTACTGCTGCTGCTGGCAATACTGCTACTAGTCACAAAAGCAGTAGTCGACTCATTGGAAGGTGGAAGTGGCGGTCGAGTTCCCGCTTCAATTGCTGCTCCCGATATACTGACACCTGTCGTCGTCGTTATTGTCGCCGCTTCGGTGGTGTCTCCTGTCCCATTTTGCTGACGATGAGGGGACATCCATGCCATCCACGACGACCGTCCAGCCGACCGAGCCCCTTGTCTTCCTCCACCTTCCTCCATCGCCGACACATCCACCTCCCTCTGCACTCTCTCTCTTTCATGCTGTTGCTGCCGTTGTAACTCCTCCTGCATCTGAGCCCCTTGCTCCCTCATCTGCTCTTCCACCCCACTTTCTCCATTAGCACCATTCGTGACAACAATCGCGGTCACAGGACAAGGGATCCTGTTCACCCTCGCCACCCGATCCTCAAAATCCTCACGACTCAGGCTTCGCAAGAACAGTCTCTGGAACGATGGGAAGAGCAGGAAGTCCTCGCTGTTCCCGATCATGACTGCGACGCGATCTCCGTGTTTTACAGGTACCCAATTGCAGCCTGCTGTGTTTTTCGGTATTCCTGCTGGTGTAGTTTCTGTTGTGGTTGTGGACGAGATATCGATGGTGATGGCGGGATTGGATGTTGTCGCGTGAGGTTTGGAAGGAGGATGGACGCGAGAGTAGATGGACGTGCCGCCAAACACTTTTGCGACTGGTTCCGGGAGTGTCGAAATCGCAAAGGGGGATAACTTTGTGCTCGGCATCTGGAACGGTTGAGGGTCTGGATCCCACCATGGCAGAAACGAGAATCCTCCTCCTCCTGTTCCTCCTGTTTCTGACGCTGTTGCTGCTGCTGAAGACGCTACCGAGGCAGATCTTGGGGATTGTGATGAAGGAGCAGCAATGGTATGGTGGACTCGTGCAAGACGTCTCTTCCACTTTTTGCTCATGCGTCCTCCTCGGCGCTCAGAGAGTCGTCCTGGCAAGTGTTGCTTGCTTCCTGCTTTCTTGATCGTATCAGCATCACTCGGCTTCTGTTCCTGCTCCTGCCTATAGTCCTGGTTCTGGTGTGAACAAACATCTTCCAACTCCATATCATCCAACACCGCTGACGCTTGAACTGTCAAAGACAGATACAGACCAGCACCAAGAGCAATATTATTGTTAGCGACCGTCGTCTTGGCACCAAATCTCTTCATTTTCAAATGCAAATCAACAACAAAAAACAAGGACATCTTCTCACCTCGGTGCCGGACATCCACATCCGTCAACGACGACGACAACGAGCGACTCCTGACTCGCCGCGGTAATTGCAACCCACGCTCCGAGGGTTCCAGCAGCGTAACATCCTTACCCAACTTCAACCGCATCAATCTCCTCCCTGCCCTCTTTCGCCTTCCCAAGCCATTTACCGCATTTCTCTGATCCTCGGCAGTCTCGGCTTCGGCAGCAAAAGTCGCCTGAGCGCGATTCCACCGTCGCCAATCCATCTCATGTCGCATCTCCAATTCCAGATTGATAATCCTGCCTTGCCGCCACCGCTCCTTCCTCAGCCCCTTGTCCCACTGCACCTTCTCTTCCTCCTCCTTCTCCATTCCATCTCCATTCTCTCCTCCACCATCTCCCTCCTTCTCCGTTCCATGCTCCTGGTGCCGGCGTTGCTGATAATGCTGATGCACCAAAGAATGAAACCCCTGCACACCCGCCGGCCGAGTAGCCGTAGCCCAAGGCTCATGCCACCACCCTCCCTTCCCCGGTTCAAGTACCACAAAAAAAGTTGGCTCTCCCTCGATTTCTGTGTTTGTGAGCGGGTTCCGGAGGGCGCGGTTTTGGATTAGCGAGTGGACGTAGCGCGGGATCTTTTTCTTTTTCGTTTGTTGACGCTGTTGTTGGCGGCGGTGGTGGTGGTGGGGAGGAGGAGAGGGTATTTGATGTTGGGTGAGAGGGATGAGTGTGCTAGTGCTGCTGTTGTTGTTATTGTTGCCGATAGGCATGGGGATCACGACCGAGTCCCGGGGACGTTGATGCTCCTGTTCCAGCTGCCGTCTTATCTCACCCTCCTCCTCCTCCTTCTCCTCCTCCTCATCATCATCATCATCATCAGAACTCTCCCCAAACCGCTCAAAGTACTCTGGCAAACACATCCTTAACGACCGGGATCGAACCCTCTGCGTCTGAAACAGCAACCTCAACAAATGCTGAGCATGATAGTAATCCGAATGTTTCGGTGGATCGGGTACTGTACACCCACATGCACAACCTTGTGGTGTTGTTTGTAAGCGTGCTAGGATTAGGGGTATGGGATCACCTATGGAAGGGCGGTGTTTTGTGGTTGGGAAAATAGATAACGCAGGTTATTAGATACGAGAAAAAGGGTGGAACGAAGTATAAGAACGGAAATATACAAAAGGGTAGGAATGGGCCTGTAATTACCAGCAATGTTGGTGGTCCGCTCTTTCATATCCTCCTCTTCTTCTTCTTCTGCTTCTTCTGCCTCTTCACCACCACCTTTCTCGTCCCCTCCTTGCCTCTGTCTCGGAGGATCAGGGCGGACATAGGTCGAAAGGGATTCAAGGGTCAAGGGATCGATTGTCGAGAGCGGGATACTGCCCAGCCATCGATTCGTCGGTGTCACAAAGTGGATCTGCCCACCACCTGGCGTTCCTGGTGTTGAAGTCAGACCTGGACCCATTGTAGTCGTTTGCTGTATTGGAGTGTAGAGTGTGAGAGGAGAGAGGTATGGTTTGAGGAAAGAAGATAAAAAAGGGTTCGAGTAAATAACAAAAGAGGAGAAAAAGAAATAACAAGATGATGAGGTGTGGATATGGTGAAGAGGTGCGTGAGCGGCAATGTGGGAATACTCGAGCAGTAAGAAAGAAATGGGAAAGAGAAAAAAAAGAAAGGGCCAACAACGACATCACCGACATCCTCTCTCGCAATATAATTCCATGCAGCCCTGATCGCACGCCCTGTGGCATTGATAAAATACGTGATTGAGTGGCCCTCTATATGAATGTTCCTGATTCCGCTTCCCCCGGACGCGTTCTTCTCTTTTTTTTTTCACGCCCCCTAGTTCCTTTTTTTGGTTTTTTTTATCGGACAACAGGTGATACGGACAGCACACCTTTTCACCTTTTGCTCTTAACACGGATGCGAGTAAGTCCAAGGAAAGGAGTAAGAACAAGACCAATTCCCTAGAAACTTTGTTGCTACATCGAACATCAACACTAAATCGTTTCTCTCTCTCCCTTACATCAGATAAACGAAGGACGAATTTGTAGCAATGATGAGAATTTTTAATAACGGATGAAATAGTGATGATTCGGTATGATGCGTTTCTGCTCCTCCCCTCTCCTCCCTTCACTCCCTCCCTGAGGGCTTACTCGTGGACAATACGAACAACGAGATCGCCGTTAGAAAGCGAATCGTTCTCCTTAATAGCCACGTACTCGACCTTGCCCGAAACAGGCGCTGACACAACTGTCTCCATCTTCATGGCCGACAAAATACAAATAGGATCGCCCTCCTTCACAATCGTACCCTCCTTGACACGGATCTCGACAACGACTCCCGACATGGGTGCACCAATCTCGCCACTCTTGCTGGGGTCAGCCCGCTCACGAGCCGTGTGCTCGACAGCGGCGTTCTTGTCCTGGATGCTGACGCTACGACCCTCTCCGTTCAACTCGAAGAAGACATCACGCTTGCCCGAGGCGTTGATGGGTCCCACGGCGAGCAACTTGATGATCAGGGTCTTGCCCTTCTCGATCTGGACGTTCACCTCCTCGTTCAACTCGAGCTTGCTCAAGAAGTACCGAGTAGGCAAGACAGAGAGATCACCATAGGCCTCGACCTTCTGGCGGTACTCCTCAAAGACCTTGGGGTAGATGGCGGCCGACGAGACATCGACATCGCGGATCGACTTGCCGTACTTCTTCGTCAATGCAAGCTTCAATCCCACCAGGTCAAAGTCGCCCATGTCAACACCGGGGCGGCCCTCAATACGAGGCAAGTTACGGATGATCGCCGTCCGGAGAGGTTCGGGGAATCCTCCATAGGGCTGTCCGAGGTATCCCTGGAAGAACTCTACAACACTAGTAGGGAAGTTCAACGAGGCTGCCTTCTCCAACACATCCTCACGGCTCAACGAGCTCGAGACCATAAACTGGGCCAGATCTCCAACAACCTTGGACGAAGGGGTGACCTTGACGATATCTCCACAGAGGGCGTTGGCGTCGATGTATGCCTTCTTGATCTCGTTCCACTGAGTACCGAGTCCGAGCTGCTGGGCCTGGAACATCAAATTGGTGTACTGACCACCGGGCATCTCGTGCTGGTAGACTCCCGAATCAGCGGCACGGACGTTAGCCTCAAATCCAGAGTACAAGAGACGAGCCTGCTCCCAGTAGCTGTTAAGGGCAATCACATCCTCCTGACGGATACCAGTGCCGAGCTCCGTGTGCTCCAATGCAGCGACGACTGCTCCCATCGAGGGCTGCGAGGTGATTCCGGACATGACATCGATAGCCAGATCAACAACATCGGCACCAGCAGCAGCGGCAGCCAACATCGAGGCAACTCCAGTACCGGCAGTGTCGTGGGTGTGCATATGAATGGGGAGGTTAGGGAAGCGCTTGCGGATAGCGCCGACGAGGATGGTGGCAGCTGCGGGCTTCAAGAGACCAGCCATATCCTTGATCGCCAGAACGTGGATGCCCTCGTCAACGAGCTCCTGGACAAAGTTGACGTAGTACTCCAGGTTGTGCTTGGTGCGCTTGGGGTCCGAGACATCTCCAGTATAGCAGACAGCGGCCTCAACAATACCACCCGCAGCCTTGACGGCACGGATTCCGAGACGCATGTTCTCGATGTAGTTCAAACTGTCAAAGATACGGAAGATATCCATGCCGGACTGGACAGCCTTGGCGCAGAAGTCGTAAATGACGTTGTCGGGGTAAGACGTGTATCCGACGGCGTTGGCGCCACGGAACAACATCTGGAAGGGAATGTTGGGGACAAGCTTGCGGAGCTGGATCAGACGGTCCCAGGGGTCCTCGTGCAAGAAGCGCAACGCGACATCGAAGGTGGCACCTCCCCACATCTCCAACGCAAAGGCGTTCTGCAAAGCAAAAGCAGTTGTCGGCGCAATGTTCAACAGATCTATGATAATAATTGTCAATTGTCAGTTATGAATATGTGGTCACACTTCCCCCTTAATCAAGAACAAAAGACCAAATCTTACCGATGGTACGGACACGAGTGGCGAGCAAACTCTGGTGGGCATCTCTCCAGGTGGTATCCATGATGAGAACTCCCTTGTAGTCACGCACAGCCTTGGCGAATGCCTCAGGGCCCTTCTCCAAGAAGATCTTGCGCCATCCTGTAGTAGGAGGAGTAGTCACATCCAGCACCTGGGTGGTATCCTCCTTGCTCGATAAGTTGGGAATCAACAACTCCTTCTTCAACAATGGCTCGCCCTATATGTAGTATCAACGAGTAAAAAGTTAGAATCGACACTTACGTGAAAACGTGCAACTAATGCAAAAAAACAACATTAACAAGACGACTCTTACAATGAGACCGGCGATGTTAGGGCCGTTGACGGCGACGTCTCCCAGGTAGGCGAGCATCTTTTGGGCACGGTTGAGCTGTTTGACGAGGTTGAAGAGACTAGGGGTGTCATCGATAAAGGTGGTCCAGCACTTGCCCTGAATAAAAGTGTCGTGGGTCACAAGACGCTGCACAAAGGGAATGTTGGTCTTGACACCGCGGATACGGAACTCAACCAGGGCACGGACAACCTTGCGTCTGGCAAGTTCATAGGTAGCGCCAGAGCAAGTAACCTTGACCAGCAAGGAGTCGTAGTGAGGAGTAATGACAGCACCGACAAATCCCTGACTTCCGTCCAGACGAATACCGTTTCCACCAGCCGATCGATAAACCTCAATTCTGCCTGTGTCTGGTTGGAAGCCCTGGGAGGGATCCTCTGTGGTGACACGGCACTGGATAGCGAAGCCGCGAATCTGAATCTTTTCCTGGGTCAATCCGAGCTCGGGCAAGAGAATTCCAGCAGCAATCTGAATCTGAGCAGCAACAATGTCAATACCAGTGATCTCCTCTATTCATATCAGAAGAAAAAGGATTAGTTAGCGAAAACGTATTTCCCCCGCATTCTCCTTGAACATTTTGAATGGTAGCACAATATCACAAAGAAAAAAGAGCACATGGTCACGTACCGGTGATGGTGTGTTCGACCTGAATACGGGGGTTAATCTCGATAAAGTAGTGGCGGTCCTGCTGGTCAACCAAGAATTCTGCGGTTCCTGCGTTCTTGTATCCGACATGCTTGGCCAGCTTAATGGCATCGTTGAGAATAGCATCTCTGACAGAGGGGGTAAGGGACTTTGCAGGGGCAATCTCGACAACCTTTTGGTGACGACGTTGGACAGAGCAATCACGCTCGAAGAGATGAATGACGTTTCCGGCGCTATCAGCCAACAGCTGGACCTCAATGTGACGGGGCTTGTCCAAGAAACGCTCAATGAAGACGGTGCCGTCACCGAATGCCTGCTTGGCCTCGGAGGTAGCACGCTCGAATCCCTCTGCGAACTCTCCCTGGCTTCGGACCACACGCATACCGCGTCCACCACCTCCCATAGCTGCCTTGATAATAACTGGGAAGCCGTATTCTATTTGTTTCGTGTTGTTCAATTTGCATGTGTGTTAGTTGTTTCTTTCTTCTCCTGTGATTCACACTCAGTCTTTTCTCCATCTCTTCCTGTCAATCCGTGATCCACTCTCGATTCAAATTGCTGGCGTTAATATCGATTCTCTTTTTTTGTCCCTGTCGGATCCCTGATCCACCCTCAGTCTGTTTTCTCCCTCTCTCTTTGTCAATTGATAATCCACGTTCAGTCGTTTTTTCTTCATATCCTTTTTTCAACCATGATCCACATCAATTGATAAGAGATCAAAACAAGAGTAACATGCCACATACGTTTGACAAAGGCCTCGGCCTCGGCGACAGACTTGATGGGTCCAGGGGTACCGGGCACAACTGGAACACCGGCCGCAATAGCTATTAAAAGGAAGATCGTCCACGAATAAAAAAAAAGAAAACGTAAAAACGAAACACCGATTTTGTTAGTCCGAGAGGTGCACAGGAATGAAAGTGCGGATATGAATCATGACTACAGCGACAAGAGCGGGGCATATATCCTTTTGAGGACACGCGAGGACAATTGTTTTGTATACACCCATTCGGAGCCTCTGCTGGATTGGGTCTTACCGATGGTACGAGCTTTGGTCTTGTCACCAAGGGCTTCGATCACATGGGCATCAGGTCCGACGAAGGCAATGCCATTGTCGGCGCACTTTTTGGCAAACTCAGCGTTCTCGGACAGGAAACCGTAACCGGGGTGGATCATGGAGACGTCGTGGGCTTTGGCGATGCGGATGATCTCGTCCTGGGCCAGGTATGCGCCGACGGGGGTGAACTTTGATGGATCGCCGATCTGGTATCCCTCATCAGCCTATTAGGTTTCATTACAAGAAGGGAGTAGGGGAGTTAGTCAATTGAAGTTGGATAGAGGGGAGTGGAATGATGATGATGAGCATCGGTGTATCGGAGATGGAGAGTCGATGACGACGAAAAGGGGACCACGAGAACAAGGCGAGAAATATTCCCACACACGTAGACGTAGTCAGAGACATGATGACTGCAGAGTACGAAGAGTTATCGAGGGTATCATCGATTGTCCGCTTGCTTGAAAGAGAGTGTATCTTTTGTGATCTCGTGAATGATGATGAGTGCTATCCCAGTATTTTTTAGTTTATCTTTGTCTCTTTTGGCTCTCGTTTGTATCGCTTTTGTTATCGCCCTTTATCGTTTGTGTCTTTCTCTTATCCATATCATCGTACCCATTATCAAGGTATGTGCTAAAGAGGGAAACTCCTCCATTGGTTGTTACCAAAAAGGCTGATCGTTGATATGAACAATGATAATGGAGCATGACTACAACCACCATCCATCTTCTCCACCTTTCTTCCCCTCCCTCTCCCCAGCCAACCTTCTCTCTGACTCCACCCCTTCGGACGATCGGTTATCAAAATTGAACCCAATAATAATAATTTTTGGTGATATGATCACTTTTATCACAGTCACATCCATCTGACTCGTTCGCTGATGTCGTCGTCCTCCTCTTCCTTGTCAAAAAAAGCTTCTTTGTGCACTCACTCGTACTGCACCATCGAAAAAAGAAACTCTAACCCCGCATTCAGCTGTGAGCCCCATTCGCCTTCTTTGGACACACTCTCTTCAACAAACATGCAACATGTCCATGTCTTGTATCATCCTGTCTGTCTTCTTTGTTCCTGTAGTGGTTTGCGAGTTTGTTGTCTTGTCCTGTTCCTGTAGTGGTTTGCCGAGTTTGTTGTCTTGTCCTCTTTCCTCCTGCCTCTCCTTGTGTGTCGAGTTTGCCACCATTTCTTGCTCTTCCACCAATTTCCCACGTTCCTTTTTTACATGCAATTCTTCTTCCTCTCATTTCCTTCACTTTCGTGTCGTCCCTTGGTCCTTGTGCCCACAATAAGAAAAAAAAAAGAAAGGACGAAGAAAAAGTACCTTGTAACGGTGCATAGAGAGACGGTCCTCATAAGAGAACAGGGCAACGGTCTTCATGGCGAGCTCGTGGGCGGAACGGAAGACGCGGATGGCGATTTCACCACGGTTGGCGACGAGGATCTTCTTGAGGACATCGTCGGGTTTGCCTGTTGCCGACCGGCGGATGGTGTCGACAGAGTATTCGTGTTCGTGATCGTGGTGGACCATCGTTGGCTTTTGTTATATGTGAGGAGAAGGAGGGAGGGATATGTATACACGGGAGGAGGGAGGAGGGAAGAAGGAGGAGGAAGTAGAAAAGAGGAGAGGGAGGGAAGGAAGAAAAGAGAAAAAGGAACGTGAGAAAGAAAGAAAGAGAGGAGAAGAGGGGGGAATGGATGTGAAAAGGTAAGAAGAGAAAAGAAAAGTAAAAATGAGTGATCCCTTCGGTTTCTATTTATTCGGAAATATTTCAATTGGGCTATTTATTAATATTCTCAACAAGAGGGAACGAGAGTCAGTGAGACATTGAGACTTGCCATCACTCCCTGATCATCATACTCTTCTTTCTCAGACACCGCATTCTTTCTACATCCACATTTCAATCATCGGGAAAACAAACGACACACACACACGCACACACTCTCTCTTCTCCTTTACCCCTCCGGAAAAAGAAAAAGAACCATCTCTAACAACTGTCATCCCGAAGAATAGACACGGACAGGGACACGGAGGACACGGACACGGAAATAGACTCTACTCGTCCGATCGACAAGCGCGTCGGTCGGTCTCCCTCTCAATCATTTCTGGGGATGTATGGTTGCGGTTGTTCTCCACCGGTCAAGAAAAACAAGGGGTGCCAGGTATGGGGTAATGAAGGATCGACCCCTTGTCGCGTCTCCTCCCTTAGTCACTACGCAACTCAACAACGGCTGATTTATCCCCTCCCCTCTCTCTCATTTCGCCCAATTTTTGAGAAGGAAAGAGTCATGGAATTTCCACCTTCATCTTCTCCTCTGTCCTTACTTCTCAACAAAAAACCTTACCCAACAATTACACCCAAAAGAAGAACAAACGTCGGTGGTCAAAGTAAAGTAAACAAGGTCCATCCACTAACTAACTAACAACAAACACCCCATTGAGGAAAATTGCGGGGAAAGGGTAAAAAAAAGTGATGAGTACAACTATAACATATAAACAATTTAGCGTGTTCTGTCAATGTGCCTGATATAAAGAAACGAGAGTGAATGAGTGGTGTGTTCAAGCCAGCCCGAACCTTAAACTGTTCGCACTCACCAAGGAAAAAAATGCGATGACTCGGTGAAGAAAGGGAAAAGAGGCAGAAACAAGATGTTTATTTTGGTTGTATCACCGACATAAAAATAAGTTTCTTGAGGTTCATTAGAAAAGGTGCGGGACAGGGGAAGGCATGGGCTGCTTTCTATGTGCTGGCCCTGGAACTTGAATTGCGCCTCGTTTTGTTTTGCAAAAGCAACGCCTCAAACAGAGGGAGTTTCTACTGGTCCCTGTACTCCTTTTTTCACAACACTTTCTACGCCGATATGAGACACGGGAAACACTTCCACGGTTCAAATGAGTGTCACAAGGAAGAAACGATGGCATCTTCTTTCTTTTGAATATTTTGACCTAATAGGTTTCTATACGTGTTAAACACATTGTTCTGATCTGTAAGAGCAGCAGGAAGAGGGTGAATAAATGGCCTAAGGCTGATGAAGGGAGCGAAGAAGACAGGACATACAACGAGTGAGTGAGTCACTCCTCTATTTTCTACGATCTGGACTTTCATTTTTGGTTTGTCAGGTCGGATCTACCCTACTTTCTATTTTACTTTATTTTTTGATGGCCCACGGACACACTTTCACAAAGGTACCTCTTCTTCCAGCTAGACAAGGTTGCTCATCTTTTTTTTTCTCCTAACACCCTCTCCCCTCCCTCTCTTGCACCACACAGGCACACCCGCTCAGGAACAAACAAACAAAACAACCCTCCAAATTGGCATGTGTCCGCCCTTCTCATATGTCCATCCTTATGCCCTCTCCCCTGCACATCGCATGCATGTCTCTCTTTCCAATTGACTCAGGCAAAACATGGGCCGTGGGCCTTGGCATACATGGGTATAGTCCTCCGGCCACTGTCCACTCCACAATCCACATGAGTACGATCACATACCGGTTTAAAACGGAGACGAAACGCGGAAGAACACGGCGAGCCAGATCACTTTTCTCGCTTTCGCACTATTTTCCTCAATTGGACGTGTATGCGTCGAATAATTACCACGGTAGACTACCCCTCTTAACTTTCCCTCGGTCCAGGATGCGTCCATCACGCCATTGAGCTCTATTACATTTCTTTTTTTCAAGTTCAACTCCTTCTTGATCGTGAACTGTATCCATAATATCTACGGACAACGAACGGATCCTAACACGTTATTACTCCGCTGGCTAAGAAAGGAACTGCAGTAGAAGGAGGCCCCCCCTTTTTTTTTTGGCAGCAGCAGCAGCACCTGTAATTTTTCTCATGGGGCAGAACCAACCCGTTCTTCATCCCTTCTCTTCTTTCCGTTCTGTTCAGCTGGCAATCCATCCATTCGGCTCAGAATGAAAAAAGAATAGTGGGTTTTATTAATAAGATTGACCACCTGCACGACTCAATTCTTCTGCGACCTAGTTCAGTCCACCTTCCTTGCCTCTCTCTTCTCCCCTGTGCCCTGCCTGCCCACGGACATGTCCATGCCAAACGACACACGTCCCTCTTTTTCTATTATTCAACCTCAGACAACTTCAGAGTCTCAGACAATAAAATAGGGTGTGACAACACCTTTTTAATACATGAACCCGCCACTCACCCAACGGTTCTCTCCCCTGCCCTTGATCTTTGTTTTAACTTTCCCACGGGTACTACTTTTGATTTATTTCTGAACCCAGCAAAAAAAAAATGTGAATGAGGGGAGGTGGGTGGATATAAGAATGAAAATATACAAGAGAAGGAGGGAGAGAGAATGTCACCATTCTGGAGCAGCATTGACAACACACTGGGGTGAGAGGGAAAGGGATGCGGCCTTGCGTCTGTCGAATTGGGCATCCCAGCCCCTCTTACTTTCTGACTGTGAACTCTGGTGATGCTCCACTTTTTTTATTTCTTTTTTTTTTGGCATTCAGCCCCATTGTGCTCCACTTTTTTGTCGCTGTATCCATCCACATCCTGGATATCCATAGGAAGGAGGGTATGAACCACGATACCCAAACACTCCTACGTTCCGACGCGACAAAGTAAAAAAAGAAACAACCTCAAGGCCAGGGCAGAGGACCGGCTAACATAAGGATGTGAAGCACGATCAAACAAGCGAGGTTGGTAGAAGAGAACGTGGTGTGTATGTGTGTTGGAGTGAGGAAAGGAAGGGGGAACAGGAACAAAAATAAGAGGTGGGCAAGTGGTAGTGTATGGAGCGTGGAATGAGAATGAGAATGAGAACAACAAAAGAAAATCGTGTGGGAAAAGAAGGCGAGGGAAGACAAAGAAAGCGAGGGGAGACAAAGAAAAGAGAGAGAGGGGGAGGGAAACAAGGGTCCAAGGTAAAATACCCATTGCTACTAAATAAAGAATCCAGCGGGAGAGCACGAGAGAAGAAGATGTTCGCTAGTCGAGGATGTCGAACATGTCGAATATGTTTTGTTTTTCGTGGTTAGGGCAAAGGAGAACGCGGTGTGTCTGCTTCGCATGCATGGTCCACAGTATTCTTTCATCTGGGTGTGGACCCTTTTTTTCATCTTCCACCCCGCCGCCACAGAGAGTGGACGCGACCTGGCCAATAGTTTACAATTGCGATTCTGAACGAAGCCGTGTGACAGTGACATCTGGTCTCACTCTCGGCCAAGGGGTGCAGTCTCGCCCTTTGGATTTTTTTTCTTCTCTTCTCTTCTCTCTCTCTCTCTCTCTCTCTCTCTCTCCTCTCTGAACACTCTTTCCTCCCTCCCTTCCTTCCTAGTTCTATTCTTATTGCCTTTTCATATCAATCCTTATTTACTTCCATCACACAAACCCGCCCACCAACAAAACACTCCAGAATAAACCTACCTCAACAACAGCAACTACAACACAAAGAAGGATGGGTTTTCGCTGGACATCACCGCTGGCGCAAGTCATCGCCGTCGGCTTCATCTGCTTTTGCTGCCCCGGAATGTTCAACGCCCTCAACTCACTCGGAGGCGGCGGACAGGTCGACTCCAAGGTTGGCCAGAACGCAAACGTCGCCCTCTACACCTGCTTCGCCGTCTTTGGACTCCTCTCTGGCGCCATCCACAACAAACTCGGCCCCAAGTGGACCATCTTCCTCGGTTGTTCGACCTATGTCCTTTACGTCGGGTCACTCCTCAGCTATAACCATAACCAGAACGGTGCCTTTACGATTGCGGCTGGTGGTATTTTGGGTGTAGGTGCTGGTATGCTGTGGACTGCCCAGGGAGCCATGATGATGGCTTATCCGCGCGAGCAGGAGAAGGGACGGTACATTGGATACTTCTGGGCCATCTTCAATATGGGTGCTGTTCTGGGGTCCGTCATTGCCTTTGCGATCAACTTTGATCAGACGGAGACAAAGTCCTTGGGGGATGCGACCTATGCCGTCTTTATTGTGATTATGGGAATCGGAACCCTCATCGCCCTCTCGCTCTGCCCGCCATCCAAGGTGACCCACTCTAACGGCGACCATATCCAGATCCAACCCTTTCCCACATGGTTGGGTGAGATCAAGGCCATCTTCCTCCTCTTCCTCGACTGGCGCATGCTCGTCCTCATCCCCATGTTCCTCTCATCCAACTGGTTCTACTCTTACCAGTTCTCGACCGTCAACGGCGGTTACTTCTCCCTCCGTACCCAGTCGCTCAACAACATCTTCTACTGGCTCTCCCAGATCTTTGGCTCTTACTCCTTCGCAAGAGTCCTCGACTTCCAGGGCGTAAACCGTCGCACCCGTGCCCTCTGGGGTCTAGCCATCATCACCGTATGCTTCGTCTCCACCTGGATTGGAGGCATCTTCTTCCAACGAACCTACTCCATCCAAGACCCTCACCCAAACCACGACTTCGAACTCGGCGCCTCCTACGTTGGTCCCTTGTTCCTCTACATTTTCTACGGTCTGAACGACGCCGCCTGGCAGACATACATCTACTGGCTCATGGGTGCGCTCTCAAACGATGCGACGGTTCTCTCCCGATATGCAGGATTTTACAAGTGTGTCCAGTCCTCCGGAGCAGCCATCTCCTGGAGAATCAATGCCATCGAAACTCCATACATGACAGAGTTGATTATCTGCTTTGCGTTGCTTGTGGCCTCGATCCCGGGAGCGCTATTCTTGGCACTGAGGATTAAGGACCACACTACTGAGGAGACCTATGACCTTCCCCCTTCTTCGGAATCCGACAAGCAAACTCAGGACCAGAATTTCTAAGCTACAAAAGCATGCTCTTGTCCACTTGTTTTGTCGTTGTTTTTTGGACGCATTCGATCCCCATTACTTTTTTACCCCTCCTTCTCTCTTTTTTTTTCTTGCACACCCAGTAGCTCATCATTCTCAAAGCCCCTTCAACCACCCCTTGCCCTTGCTTGTCCTCTCCGCCTCTGCTCCCGCCCTTTTTTTACAAACGACACGATCTGTCTCTCTCTCTGTACTATATCCGTCTCTCATTCGCCCGCGCCATCTCTTCGTATCTAACAATAAAAAAAAACGGGCACTTTGGTCTCATTTTTTTCTCACACAAAAAAGAAACGCACGCGGCCACGGACGAATGTCATAGGGAGGAGGTGTAAATGGATGTCTGTTCTCAACCACCATGTTTCTCTTTACATCATCGTCTGTGTGTTGCTTTGAAAGGATTAAGGGTTAAGGTTGGGTTGAGCTACTGTGAAGTCGTGTAACTTGATCATATCCTGTTAGTACTACGACTGCTATCGTAGTACCTTGTAATTAGGCACCTTGCAAAAAAGCTGTCCCTCCCTCCCTCTTACTTTAAGTCCAATCCTGCATAGACAGACCCCACGAGAGGGAGATCGCCCAGCTCTAGATGTGAAGGACAACTGATCATCCCAACCTGGTCCTCGAGCGCCTTTCGCACCCGCCTCTGAACATACTCAGACGACCCAAACTCTCCAATCAATAGCACCGCCATGCAGCTCCCGCCGGACGGCCACAGGAGCGTTCGAATCAAAGCCAAGACATCCTTGACCACCGGCTCAAAGACCTCTTCTTTCAAGTCCGCTGCACTAAACTCCATATACCCATCATCAATTCCCGCTTCCTCGTCATCCCTGCCGAATCTTCTCTGAGCAAGGAGTTTCAGGAAACGGTCAGGTAGAACTAAGAATTGATCCTTCTATCCATCAAACTGTCCACGGAGCATGTCAGTGAGGAAGTACATGGGGGGGAATGCCAGCAAGATGTTCTGAGCTGACCGTCCCACCTCCTGTGTGCGTCCGCATGTTCGTTTTTTTTTCTATGCAGGAATGACCAATCCTTAATTGACAGATGTCTAAATGACAGCGGACAATGCTTTCAACCAAAAAAGCCCCCCCTGTTAATCGTACCTGAAAATTCAATTGCACGCTTCTTATTTACTTCACACCTAACATGTAGTAGCTACATCAATGGGTGCCATAGGGATCGCGAAGATCCCACAAAAGTATCTTGGTTAGCGAGCCCCTTGACATGATCTAATCCCAAGGGATTGAGACAGTGAAAATGTAGAAAGCCCATTAACACTAATTTTGTTGAGCCGCTCTTCCTTCTCTCGGCTCGGGCGACTTGGGCAACTCACTTGTCAAAAAATCTCTTCTCCCAAGCCCCATGGACTCCTACTTCTATCTCTCGGCACCACGTGCAACTGTACTACCTCACAACTCTCACCCACGCCATGCTCGCACATCCAAGCGGATAATTCGGTTCCTTGGACCAGCTTTGTACTGCACATCTACGTCGTCCACCACAGAAGCAGCTTGTCACTTCATACTCTCAGGGTGGTCGGGTGGGTGGACAGCGGAGACTGGATCTGGTGTGCGATTACCCATTACCGATCACCGCAACACACAGGGTCCATTTTCTTGGCTGGAAAGAGAGAGGAGTACAAATCAACAATTGTCAATCCTAAACACTTATAAAGATAATGGCGGGGCACACCATTCACGGATCTTCTTGTGATGGTTCTTTTTGTTAGTGTGCTGTAATCTCGCGGCGCCATCCCTTCACTGTATGTGAGAAGAGTTAGGCAAAAGAGCAATAGCAGAACACAGCATTGAGAGGAAGACGAGCCAAGCCATGCAAGAAATGAAATGACCAAATTGAAACACTTTACTCGGCACCCAAAAAGAAATATGCCTGATCTTCGTGTAAAAATATGGACAGTTAGGTAATAAGGGGCCACCCTTCTTTATTCAATCCGAGTGTGTGGAGGCAAAGTGGGAACTATGGATACTTCTTCCTCAAAGGCGCCCGCGTTCACTTGCATTCTTTCCTATTGTCCTTGTTGTTGGGGAGCGGAAAGACGGCTGCTTGACAAGTGAACAAGTGACAAGAGGGAAAAGAGGGAAAAGAGGGAAAAGAGTAGAAACGAGAGTGATCCATTTGAGTGAACAAGAGACATCACCCCTGTCACTCCTTTCACCCTCCCACTTCGCCCACACAGGAAACAGGCAATTGAAGAAGGAAAAAAGGATGAACACATGCTGAAGCGAACATTAGATAAAAAGAGACGTAACCCTCACGGCCAACTTTCTTTCAAACCTTAGTCAACGCCTATGCGACCGTCCTCACAACTGCCAAGTGTACAAAGTAACTCTCCCTCCATATGAAATTTTCGGTTCTCAAGATTCGCCTCTCTCTTTGCAAAATGAGCACTAGTTGTTTGTGTGCGTTAGTTGGCTCTGAGCCGGAAAATGTGAACATGACAACAACAACTTTCAAAGTGTCCTCCAACCTTCTTTCCTTCTTCACTTCGATCTCCCACACAACGCAACACGACACATGCTCTTGTTAAAGTAGACCAACCTTGGACAATTTTCATTTTTGTATAAATACAACACCGCTCCCTCTTATTCTTTTTCTTCATACTTCACTTATCACCACTCTCTCACCAACTCCACTCACCCCACCAACCTACAAATATATACACCATGTGTAAGTCATCTCCATGACCATCCCTCTCTCACTTTCCACCAAGCCTGGAGACAGCAACGACATATCCTCGCAACCAACCGGCTATTACCTTCATGGACGCCAAGACAGCAACAACAGCCCGACAGAACCATCTATCGAGGTTATCACACGACTGCAAGCAAGAAGGATTCACAACTGGACAAAGAAACAAGCACAACAGTCAAAGAGCAACTCGCTTTACACGCCACCATCAGTTCTATATGACACTGTCAGGAATCCGACCACTCGTCAATAACAAAAGTGTCCAAAAGTTACCGCCCACTAACCTCCCACTTCCCTTTTTTTTTTTTTTACTCTCCCACTCAATACAATAGCTCTCGCTGTTGACGGTTTCAAGTCCTCTGCCCTCCTCACCCAGATCGACGAGCACCTCAAGGGTCTCTCTGATGCTGAGCGTGCTGAGCAGGTTAAGAAGGTCAAGGGTATCTTCCAGTTCAACGTCAAGAACAACGCCGGCCAGACTGGTAGGTCTTTTTTTTTTATTCCCTGTGCTCTCACTTTTTTTTCTTTGGTTTTTTCTTCCACACAGCCGATCACAGATACCCCACAAGCGAACCATTACCTAACCCCCCCTTTTTCCCAATCTCGCCTCCATTTTGCACACAAACAAAAAATAGCCACCTGGACCTTCGACCTCAAGACCGGCAACGGTGAGATGCACAAGGGAGTCGTCGCTGGCAAGAAGCCCGATATCACGATCGACATTAAGGATGACGACTTTGTTGCTCTTGCCGAGGGCAAGGCCAACGGCCAGAAGCTGTTCATGTCGGGCAAGATCAAGGTCAAGGGTGCCATTATGATGGCTACCAAGTTGGACTCTGTCTTGAACGCTGCCAAGGAGAAGACTGGTTTCAAGGCCAAGTTGTAAAAAGGACCTCATTTGTTTTTCCCTTTTTTGCGAGTACGAAAAAAAATAAACTGTTTGTAATATATCTTTAAACCATTGTGAATACTGGATGGATAGGTTTATTTTTGAACAAGAGGACATGGTACAAAAGGTACAAAGGAATGGGATAAAAAAACAAAGCGGGAAGAAAACAAAAGGGGTATCAGACGATATCAGCTACAAAAACAACAATGACGAATAAAGAAAACAAAAGAAACTGCTATCAAGTTACAAGGACAAGGACAGGGAGGACGAGGAGGGTGAGTCCATGTTGGACTCGACCCAGCGCAGGACCCAGGCGACCTTACTCGCATCCGTCCGGATCCCGTCCGATCCACTATTACTACCATTACCACTCACACCCTCACCACCACTACCACGCGACGACAAGGACGCAGCACCCTTCTTGCCAGATTTGACAGCACCGCCATCCATGGTCTTGGATGACGACGACGACAACGACCTCGCGGAGGAAGAGGCAGAAAGATGCATCATCAGCCCATGCTCCCTCGCATGACGACTCCCAGGACTATCCTTCGGCACCAGAGAGTCCCCTCTCTCACCATTACAACCATCGCGACCGCCACTACGACCACGACGCTCATCTCGACCGCCACGGGCATTGATGTTACTCTGCCCACCGGGAGCAGGGGAGGGCAAGACATTGACCAACGACCTCCGCCGTGTCTTGAATTCGTCTTCCTCCTCCTCTTGGACGTTTGGTCCACCATTCTCCGTCTTGCTCACAGCAGCCCTCTTCTGCCTCATCTCAGAGGCGCCGCCGTTGCCCAACGACAACAACTCCTCGACTTTACTGCTCCACTCAGCAGTCTCCTCACCACCACCACCAGCGCCGCCTTGCTTCATCAACAACGCTGCCAAATCCGACACCATCCCCTTCTTACCTCCGCTCCCACCTCCTGAGCGACTCCCACGTCGATGCAGATTCTGATGTTCAGCGGCAACAGACTCGGCCCCAGCAGCCAAAGAACAAGCTGCAACAATCCGCTCATGGGCCAGAACATCCTGCTGAGCCTTCAAGAACCAACTCCTCGCCCTTGACCACTCCTGGTGCTTGGCATGCAATACCCCCAGATTCCACGCACTATTAATCCTCGTCACCAGTCCCGCCAACTGCTTCGCCTGTCCATTTCCAGTTCCAGTTCCAGCTCCACCGCCAGCAGCAACCGAGCACTGCTTGAATCCATCACTCTGAGCCGGAATTGGAGTAGGGGTCAAAGAAGGCAGAAGACAAGATCGACAGTTCTGATACGCAGACCGGTAGCACCGTTGCGCGATCTGCGCATGTCCCAAGTACAGGTCATAGAGCACTCCTAGGTTGTAAAAGTTCTTGCCGAGTGTTGGGTTGGTGATGTAGAGCAGGTGGTGTCGCACGATTCGCTGCTGGATCCGTCCTTCCTCCATTGATGCAGGTGCAGGGGTGGTGGCGGTTCGACCTTGGACGGACGATGGTTGAGGTTGTGGTGGTTGTTGCCATGCTTTAAGGAGTTGCTGGGCCAAGTTGACCGACCAGGCCTCGTGGACATCCGATCCATGCAACTCCTCCTCATCTTCGTGTTCCTCCTCCGAGTCCAGAAAAGAACGATGTCGAGATCCTGAAGGATGCCGAGGATCTCGCGTGGTGTTATTGCCACGAGACTTATTCGTGGAGAAAGCGCTCTCATAGTGGTCCCCATCATCGTCAACCGCATCCTCCACGGTCGAAGGTCGCCTAGCCCGCACGCTACCACCGCCACAGCCACCTCCTGCCAGCGCCGTAGACGCCGAACAAGACGAGGACAAAGACGACATGGAAGAAGAGAGTCCAAGGGGTAGTTGTGGGCATGAGGTCGAAAAGATCGAAGAAGACGCCGCGGCTGTCGCTCCGTGGTGCTGCTCCTGCTGTAGAGTCGGCATAACTTGCAACGAGGCGCGCTTCCTAGGATCCCTCTTCGCCAAAGTGTTCATCCTGCTACTACTACCGGACGCCGACATGGACGACGACGAAGGTTGCTGACGAGGTTGCGGACGATTCTGTTGGTGATGCCCACCTCTCTCCAGATTATTCAACATCCGAGCAGGCGCACGGTCGAGTAATCTCTGCAACAACGCCACCGCCTGATCCGGATCCCTTCTCAGAATCACCTCCCCCTCCCGCGTCTGCACACCCTGTCGACACAACAGGGCCAAACACAGGATCGCAGGAAGGTATGCCACAAAAGGCCCTCCACCACCTGTATCGCTCTCAGGTCCTGAAGGGTGATCACCCATCATCAGCATATCTTCCAGTTCGTGTGGAAGGATCGTCGCTTTTGGCAAAGGGCATTCCAGTATCGGTCCGTTCGGCTTCTTCACGCTTCCTGCAGACGTCGACGAGGACAACGACGGCAAGACTCCAGTATCAGTCATCAGCCCCTGAACACCACACTTCCCCGCACTCTCAAACCAGGCCATGGCTTTTGAGATCTCGCCCTGGTTGTAACAAATACACCCCAGGTTGTAGCTAGCCTTGGTGTGGCCTTGATCTGCAGCCTGCTGATAGAAATAAAGCGCCTTGGTCAGATCCTGTTCGACGCCTCCTTGTCCATGTTCATAACATAGCGCCAGATTGAACTGCGCGGGTGAGTGATGTTTGAGAGAGGACAGGTGGAAAAAGTGTGATGCAGAGTGCGATCGACGGTGCAGGCCCTTTGCCGGTGTCATCGGTTCTCCTTGAGAAGTAGCGCCAGCAGCAGCAGCAGCAGCGGTGGCAGGGGTGAAGGGGGTTGTTGCAGAAAGCAAGGATCCGGGTTTCCGTGCGCCATCTCGCACCAACGTTGGGGGAGTAGAGGTCTTTCCCAGGTCTGCTGGGGAAGGGACAGAAGAAAAGTCCACGACGGGCGATCCAGTACTTGTCGCAGCCCTCGTCCGCTTCCATGACTGACCATCCTTCCCATCCTCCTGCTGATGCTGTCCTGTTGAACCCTCCATATTATTTCCCTTGGCCTGGTTATTCATCTGCTTAACGAAATAAAGTCCCGTAATATTCTCTGCCTTGGCGGTTGCAAGATCCAGCATATTTGAGAAGGGCATCCCATGTGCAAACGAGCCCGCCAAGGACTGAAACTGTCCATGATGCTGATCGGGTGGGGAAGAAGGTCGAGTGAGCGGGATGGTCGCCGTAGAGGTGGAGGAGGTGAAGGCGGAGGACAACGAGCCAGTTGAATCGTTCGAGGGTGGTTGTGAAGGTTGGCGTGCCGTCGAGTCACGACTAGTACTGGAGCCACTACTGTTGCTACTGTTGTCGGATGCGCTGTCGTGGAGTGAGGGTGAGCAAAAGAAGGATGACCTCTGAGGCCTGGTAGTCGTCGTTGTATTAGTGTTGAAGGTGCCGCTGGTGCTGGTAGCTAGAGGAGGCAGGGGAGGCAATCCGTGGGCTCCCATGAACGTATGCCGGTGTTGGTCCCAGCTGATAGACATGGATGCAACGCGTTTGCTCCGCCTCGTGGCTTTCAGATCTGCTTTGGATGCAGTCGATGATCCTGAAGGTCCTGGCTGGATGCGGATACCGTTGTTGCTGTTGGGAGTTGATGTGCCGTGGTCATTGATGCCGGAGTCGGTGTCGTCGTTAGATCGGGATTCCGTCTCGTCCAGCTCTGTCTCGCGTGGCGTTTGGGGACAGATCATCGACTTACACCGCTGTCTGCGTTGCGACTTTTGGTCTCTCCTCAAGATCTGCGGATCTATAACAGTGTACCAAAATAAAGAAGCATGAAGTATTAGCAGGGCAGTCAACTTCTTGTGGTCGCAAACGACATTCTCCTAGCAGGGAAGCACATACCAAAAAGGTCCAGGTCGGGTTGAAAGAGCTGGTCAAAGCTTGGGAAGGGCTGTCTTGGCGGTTGCGGCTTAGAAGTTGTAGCCAGTGTATGTGGAATGGCTTTCCCTGAGGAGCGAGTACCATGGTGTGACTGTGGTTGATCGTGCTGGTGCTGCAACAATGGCTGGTCCCAAGGTTCCAACACAACACCACTGTCCCGAGCCTCCTCCTCCTCATCGCTGCTACAGCCGCTCTCGACACCACTACCACCGATCTTCCGGTATCCTGCAGCGAATACCTTCAAAAAACCCCTATCCACCCCACACGTCGCAGGCTGAGCAATACAGTCCGTGTTGTTGCTCTCAGTCGAGAAACTGTCTGGTTGCTGTGCTTCTGTGGAGGTGTTACTATTGTGGCTCAGGCCCATAGAATTCGTTCTCCGGGGGAGAGACTTTGTCGCAATAGGGGACGGCTTTGGTTTGGAGCGAGGCGTGGGCGGGTGAATGACTACCTGTTGTTGCTGTTGATGTTGGTCCTCCAAATTTGTGTCCTGCATAAGCAACGTTGGCCCAATGACCTTTCCTGCAAGGGGTATTGTTGTCATTGTTGACATTATTGTTGTAGGGCTGGTCGTTATTGTTGCTACTGGAGGCTGCTGATCCGGTGAACAACAGGTCGAGTCAACGACGAAATGGGAAGAACGAGAAGGAGGGGGTGTCACGCACTCGGAACTGTACGAAAATGAGCTCTGCTGCAGCAGCAGGGACGAGAGAAGAGAGGGAGATGAAGAGGAGATGGACGATTTGTGGAGGGCATCTGTTGGGATAGGGGTCAAGGGAGAAGTGGGTAGCTGCTGTTGCTGCTGGGGTATATCTGCGGTCGCCATCTTGGCTGCGTTCCATCGACCTGCGTCATCGCTACCCCCATCGCCGTCGTGAAAGTCGCCAGTACCGTCAGTACCGTGAAAGCCCTCGTTCATCATCACTTGCCTCTCGCCTCTGTCCTGGCTGCCTCCGGTTTCGCCCTCTGCCTCAACCATACTGCTAGATCGAGACGGGCTCCCGGCAGCCATGGACGTCGTCATGGCCGTGTCTGCTTTCAGGATGATACCGGTGGTGGAGTCGGAAGTGGTGATTTGTAGATCAGCTGAACATTGTCGGCTCTTCTCTATCCAGTCATGTCCAGTCTTGGGGGATTCCGCTCCGTCCGAATGGTCGTCTTCTCCATGGCGTGCTCGACCTTGTCGGTGTTGGTGCGGAAGTTGTTGCAGTCGGTCTCTTGTTGCTCCTCCTCTTCCTGCCGCTGAGAGCCATGGCGATAGAGAGGAAGAAGGAGGGAGGAGGGGTTGATGATGAGGCGATAGCTTGAGCAGCTGGGGTTGCCCCCGCTCGTCTAAAAAATGAATAGTGTCTGCAGCACCCTTGATGCCTACAAGAGCACCAGTCTGTACGCTAGGCTTCGAAGATCGCGTTGCTGTCAAGCCTAAAGAATGTTGTTGTTGTGCTGCGTATAGTCGTCGAGGAGAGCGATTGAGCAAGGGCGAAGCTGTCGAACAAGAGGAGAGAGACGGCGGAAATAAAAGCAATGAAGGGGACGAGAAGGTGCTGGGACCAGAACAGGAGAGCCGCCTTGCGAGGTTGGGTCGAACTTTATGTGTATTATTCTTGTTTGTGAAGGTGCGCTGTCCTGCAGGGGAAGGAGAGGGAAGAGTGAGGCCGTGGTACTGGTGCTGGTGCTGGTACTGGGACCGAGGAACGGGAGAAGTGTGCGGACAATTAGTGCTACTGCTAGTCGGTTGAAAAATCGCTGTGGTCGAAGAAGTGCCGCCTGTTGAAGGTGGTGAATACAGTGCTGGTGTTGAAGAGGACGAGAGTGGTTGAGGTGATAAGGGCGAGAGCGAGGATGCCGGTGCAGTGTTGAAGGCAGTGGTGGTTGTGGCAGTGGTGCTAGCAGCTGTTCTGGTAGACTTGAGAAAGGTGTTCTTGTTCTTATTGGGATAGGATGGAGAGATAGCTGGAGTAGATGATGCTGTTCGGGAGGATAAGGATATGGAATGAAGCATGCTCCCTTGCTTGGTTGTTGCAGCGGGCTGTGGAGGTGGAGGTGGAAGAGGAAGAGGAAGAGGAAGAGGAAGAGGAAGAGGAAGAGGAAGAGGAAGAGGAAGAGGAAGAGGAAGAGGAAGAGGAAGAGGAAGAGGAAGAGGAAGAGGGGGAGGAGGGTATCAATGGGCGAAGAGGATGTGCATGTACAATGAAGAGGGGGCAGGCTTGTAAGCAATAGGTATGAAGAGTAATGTAGGATAATAATAAAAAAGAGAGCAAGTGCTGCTGAAGGGAACAAAGGACTGTATACGAACGAAAGAAGAAGGGGGTAGGAAGGGATGTGTAGGAGATGTATGGGTTTGAGGGATGTAAGGAGGGACGGGAACAAGAAGAGGGGAAGAAAGAAATGAGAAAAGAAGAGAAGCGAACAAAGAAGGGAAAATGCAATATAAAAAAACAAATAACGTGGTGGTCTGGGGTCAATGCTATCGGATATGGCCATCTCTTTTTTCATTCAAAGGAAGAAGGAAGAAAGGATGAGGAAAGTTAGCAACAACACAAAGGCAAAAGGAAACAAACATAACGAGGGCATTCTCTTTTCTGGTATTTCTTGTCAACAATGGGGGACAGGGTGAAGGAGAAAGGAAGAAGGTGAACATGTTCACAATCATCATCAATTGAAGGAAAGGAAGTGTTCATGGATATTTTTTTTTATTTTTGAATGTGGTGTAGTAGTAGACAATACGCATAGCTGCCAAGAGGGAGGAGAGGCGAACCTATGGTGTCTTCTCTTTTATTCCCGCTTGTTGTTCCCAGCATCGGGTCTGTGGCACAATAAGAACGAGAACAGGGGGAAATAACAAAAAATAGATGCCACCACACTGTGTAACTCCATGGCAAAACGGAAGAACAACTGCATACATACATAAACATGTACGCCCAGTCGTGCCATGCCATGCCAGGAATCGTGGGGTTTTGTGGATAGGAGGCTTAGGGGACAGGAGTGCAATGAACAAGGAACCCAAGACGAGTTAAGTAGGGGCAGATGGTAGGAGGCATTGGCGACCCACTGGCGCTCATTGGAGCAACAAGCTTCACAACAAAATCAGTACAATGGTTAAAGAGCCGCTGGAGGTACAGACAAGGGAACCATGGCAATAAGGATGCAGAGAGCAGGGTAGTGGAGAGAGAGAGGGGTAGCGGCAGCTGGATTGGGGTTCAAGTTGAGGGGGTTGTTGCCACTAAAAAGGGGTACCAGTCGCTCTTACTTTTCCCAATAGTTCCCACACTTTTCGTTGCATTCATACTTACACATTCAAACGATGGACAGGCAGTCAGGAATGAGAGTTGTTGAAGGATGGAGAGTGTATGTTCTTTCAAGGAGAGATGGAGGAATACAGGTGAAGAAGTCTCATGAGGGGAGAAGGGAAACAAGGTTGGTGGGGAAGGAGAGAAGAGGGAGAAGGAAGGAGAACAGAAAAAAGGGTGCAGCTGGTCCTTGTTTGTTCACTTGTTCCCTTTGTTCTCGTGGTCCATCCAGTCTGGCATAAAAACCATTAAAATAGTTGCTCTCCCATTCGACACTGGCACAGGGAGGAAAATTGCATTCTTTAAAGGTACCCATTGGCAAGTACCCTCAGTGGGGTGGTCCAATTGCACCTTCACACTTCACACCTTCCTGGCCCATTCTTCGTCATGCTAGATGCTGTCAATTTGTTTTTTTCACACTCTGCCAATGTAATATCTCTCACATTTGACTACTCCTTCACGTCGTTACAAAGTAAACCTTGCCCATAGCTTTTCATACTATGGCCTTTACGCTATTAATAAAACCAAAAAGTAAGACGCTACATACATGGATGAAGCTAGTACGCTTTCCTCTTCTCCCGGCGCCTCCCTGATCCAAAAAAGGGGACTCGGGTACTTCTCAATCCGGAACATATTACCATATTACCCAATTGAACATTTTTTTTATTAATACCCTTCGTCGCGTAGGCATTCGACCGTAGTATATACTCTTTATCCCATAACGACACCTCTTCTTGACGATGGGCGAATGATCCTACGCTTTTGACTTGTTATGCATTTGTTGCTGTTTGATTGCAATCGCCGCGAGGAGAACGTCTTTAAGAACTCACTTTTAGGGATTCAGAATTGAGTAGCAATGGCTCATACAAAAATACCATTGCCCGTTTGTTTCCCCGGCATGCCGTAGAATAAAGTTCGAGTGTGAACGTCGACCTTCTTACCGAGTGATAATAGTTCGACGAGACCGCGTTAAGAACGCGTGTTCACCATCATTGATCAATGAGTTGTCGTGTTTTTTCTATCAACGGCCGGTGCGTGCCTCCTTGTGACCTGTCTGATTTTCTTGACAACTTCGCCACTTTTTTTCACACAGTGAAAATACGCCACTGCGTTCAAAAGGACCCCGAGACTGTCTGTCGCGTACTCCTCCACCGTCCTCTATTCTTACCTCTCTCCCTCTCTCCCTCCCTCTCTCCCTCTCTCTCTTTTTCCTTTCTTTTCTTCTTCCTCTCCACATACACCTCCCTCACATTCATTCACAATCACAAACCCGAACGACAACCGCAACATCTCATCAACAAACAACTGATTCAACAATGAACAGCGACCTACGTGGAAGTCTCCTCGAGCTTGGATTCAACCTCAGCCAGGCCAGAGCCGCAGTCGCAGCAGGAAACACAACCGTCGAAACAGCAACCGAATGGTACTTTTTTCATTTACCCTCTCGCTGCAATTACATCCATAGTTTTCTTCTTTGGCAATCACATTCATGACGAACAGAACACCCTCGTCCACGATATCGTGAATGAATGATAAAAGTGCCGACAAGGGTTAACCTAATACTCCCCTTATACCTTGATACATGGCGGATATAGGATCTTTGCGAACAACGACGCAATCACCTCTCCTCAGGCAGCGACACGGGCCAACAGCAACACGCTACGCCTCCGCACAGAAGAAGATGACGCCTACGATGCTGACCTCCAACGAGCACTCACAGAGTCAACAAAGTCAGCACCCACATCACCACTAGCACCAACACCTCAGACCTCGTCGCACCACCAGCAGGACCACCAACCTCCCATAGACGACACATCCAGCACACTTCAGCTTGAATCGTCGCCAAAAAAGATAAAAATCAACATCATCAAAGCACCCACATCATCAGCAGCAGCACCCGATACCCCTCTGGTAATTGCTCCTCTTCCTCTCACCTCGCGCCATAACGAACAGGAAGCGGAAGCCCAGAATGCGACTCGACTCGCCGAGGCCAACAAGCGGGCAGAAAAGGCCAAGAGGGACAAGATGGAGGCCCGTATTGCGCGTCAGAGAGCCCTGGACGCCCTCAAGGAAGACCGTGAGAACCGAAAGCTGCGAAACCAAACCCCCGCCCCTACTACTACATCGTCTTCTTCGGCCAGCTCAGGTCCACCTTTGGCATCGACTATTCAGGAACCAGTTGCAGTGACTAGTACTCCAGAGGCATCAGCACCAGCACCCACGCCAGCTACTCCGTCGAATGCCATGGTCCAGGTAACACAATCTTTTAGCCACTCACACGTATGCTTGTTGTTACTTCAGATACTAAGAGATAATTTATCATTCACTCTAAATCTAACCCTCATATGTGCACCTTTTAGCTGAGAATGAAGAATGGATCTGTGTTGAAGCGGTCTTTTCAGAGCACCGCCACTGTCAAGGACCTGTTTGACCTTGCCCGCTCGGAGGACAGGAACATTGGAAACGCAGACATTAGCCTGATCCAGGTATGTTTATTTGTATATATATATCCCGAGGTAGAACACCTTTCCTCACTCTCTCGAGATCCAACTTTACGTGTTATTAACTGTTGTCTTATGCCACGTGTATAGCCATTCCCTCGCAGAGAGTTTACCGTCGGGGACAGCGGTCTCACACTCTCCGAGGCTGGTCTGTGTCCAAGCTGCTCGCTGAATGTTCTCGTCCAGACACCTATCCTCGCTCCACAGCCTGTCACCCCTACCCCTGGCGCATGGATCCCATCGACCGATGCAGAGTCTCAGGGACCAACACCCATGGACATTGATCAGGATGAAGGCACCGTCAACTATTTGCCTCATTTTGGAGACAACGGTCAGAATGACAGTGGTGACGAAGATGATGGGGATGGTGAGGAAGGCAACAACGACGAGGAGGACGATGAAAATGAAGAAGAGGATGACGACGAGGTCATGCACGCTCTACCAGTCATTGATCATATCAACCCCAATCACCCATTCGCCTTTCCTGGTTTGGGACGTGGGCGCGGACGTGGGCGTGGACGTGGACGAGGTGGGATCCCATTCTCTGGCGCAGGGCACTCTCTCAGCTCCAGTGAGCCAGTCTCTGCAACAGACGACCAGGCCCCTGACCAACCCGAGATGACGTCAGAGGAGAGGGATCAACAGCGTCGGCAACGTGTTCTTGAGGCGATGACTAACCGTGCAAAGGCGCAGGAGGCAGAAAAAAACGCTCCGGGTCTGACAGCTGGCGTCAAGAAAGTCAAAGAGCGCGAGATTCCCAGCCTCCAATCCCTCTGTTGCTACCAGGTCGCAGGTGCGTTAGTCTGGCCAGCCACATTTTCTCCATGCCGCTCTGTCTCATTGTGATATGACCTATTTATTAACTATAACTTTTCCAATCACTGCAATAGTCATGCTGACGGCAAAGGATTCCAAGTCAAGCTCTTATTTGAAGCTGTGGGGCGAGAACGTGGGATCGCAGGTCGGAGAAGCTGTTATTCAGGAACTTATCCGACTGAAGCAACTCGACCAACTCACCTTCAAACGCTTTTACACCTGGTATGAGTTTTTACTAACTTCTTTTCGCATCATTGGCTTACCTTAATATTGTGCGAGTGTACTCAGCCCTAACCACATCATACCTTTTTAGCCCAATTGTCAATATGGTACTGGATGCGTATTCACGTGCGACGGATTCGTTGATGGACGTGATTGGCGGCTCTCAGGCCCGCTCGTTAACATACTTGAGTCTGAGGGAGTGCACATTCTTGACGGATACTGGATTCAGAAACATTGCGCGCTTTGAGTTTTTGGACTTCCTTGACCTCTCCCACTGCCGTATCACCGACAAGACTCTAGAGTTCACCCTGAGTAAGTTTCTTCAGCGTGCCCTCCCTGTAATCTCAACCTGTAACTTCCTATGCTAATTTTGTCCGCGCCCTGTTTTCACGATAGACTTGCCATACTTGTCGACGCTCAATTTGTCGGCAACCAAGGTGACGACGGCAGGGTTGGCAAGGGTCATTGCCAATGCGGAGTGGAAGTCAAATCTGCAAACTCTTGATCTATCTTACTGTCAAGGGATCGCTGGTCCGCTTGCCTTGTACAACTTGCAAGGTAACTGCTTGGTCTTTACCTTGCCGCATGTATGTATACCAGCTCCTTCCCAACAGTTCACTAATACCGTGGCTACTTTGTAATACATAGAACTGGAGAGGCTTCGCACTCTAAAGCTGAACAGTTCCAAGGCGTTCAACATGTCGCCTGTGCGGATTCCTGACAGCAATGCATTCACTCAGCTTCTCAACTTGGATCTGGCGTCTACATCCATTGACACGTCAGACGTGATCGCTCTTCTTCCTGTCATTGGCAATGTCGAGAAATTGAACCTAACCTCCTGTGCTAGAGTTACTACCGAGGCTCTGGAGCAGGTTGTATCAAGTAAGTAAAACGTTTACCTCCTGCTGAACACCCTTATTTTGTCACAACTTTCATGAAACGTGGGCGTTAACTTATGAACATGCATTTGACACCTTAGACATGCAGATGCTTCAGGATCTCAAGTTCCCAAGTCGCAACCATCATCTGACGACCGTACTGCTGACCGCAGCAGGTATTTGATCCAGTTTTTGTCCCTTGTCGCTGTGTATGCGAACGAGTTTGATTTGAGCCGTTTTTACTGACGAACGACCCTATTATGTCGTTGTTGCAATGATAGTGTTGCCGTTGACACACTTGGACCTTTCAGACTTCAAGTTTATCGCGGACGATGCTATTTTGTCGTTGGCGGAGGCCAAGAACCTCCAGATGCTGTCACTTTCAGGAACCATGCTCACGGATGCAGGAGCAGCTGTCCTTGTTCATATGTCGTCTCTCAAGGAGCTGTCGCTTGATCGCACCCACATTGGTGACAAAGCCATGGAGTACCTCCGAGGTCAGTCATTGTTTCTTGCAGCATTTACTCATATTGACACGTCGGCGAAGCTCCTCTTCGGCCTATTAACTCTGAACCTCGTTTACGTATGGAAATAAATAGATTTGGGAAGAATTGAGATTCTATCGCTGTCACAGGTCCAGCGACTGACAACAGTTGGAGTAAACCATTTGGGGCGATCGGCCTTCTTTTCGTTGAAACTCAAGCGTCTCAATCTGAAGAACAACCCGTTTATTCATGATGAGGCATTGGCTGTCTTTTCGCATTGTAACAGCCTAAACACCCTTAACCTTGATAATACCGATGTCTCTGAAGTTGCGGCCCTGCGCCTCCAAGGTAACCTACATTGACATGCAGAGTGCCTATTTTTTTGTTCGAGTGTTTGAGGTCTCACGCCTGGCTCTTTTTTTTTGTCTTATCGATAGACACTTTGCCCAATTTGACGCAGTTGAGGATCCAGGGGGTGACGAATGGCGAAATCTATCAGCAGAACCCGCGAGCTCTTTTGACCATTGCCTAGCCTAAACGCGCTTGGCCAAAGTCAATCAGTAGCCGTCAACAGAGCGTTTTGCTTACACTTCTTATAAAGTGAACGGTACGAAAGCAAGAAATAAAAAGTACGCACATTTTATTTCTCTGACTAACAGCGTTTGGAAGTAAAAGGGGACTACAGACCAAACTCTTCAGTGCACCATCCACCAGTCGCAGTCCGGTCCAGAACCTGGCTCTGCGCAACAATTGTCGCTGCTCTTCACAGCTTAAACGGAAGAAAATAAAACTAGATACGAATGAAGGGGATTCTTCCCATCCTCTCCATCATTGACAACCTCCTCCTTCCAAACAAACTCTCCAACAACCGCTCGTCGGCGGCGCGTGGGTCCTTGGTCGTTCCAGGGCACCTTCCTTCATCATGTGTGGCTAGCGAAGCGCCACTTGTACATATGTCAGATTTTTCAGGCACCAGGCGCGAATATCACTTACGGGGCTCGTCCATCACGTGCGAAATTGAATCTCTAACCCCATGAACCAGGTGGACAGCGGGAAATTCATTTACAAGTTAACGAGCGTGGTTGGTTTAGTGGTATAATTACCGCCTGCCACGCGGTAGACCCGGGTTCGATTCCCGGACCACGCATTTTGTCTTTTGCTATTACGGTGTTTTTATTTGGAGCCATGGTTGTATGTTTTTTGCTTCTACAGTCGATGGTGATACCATTGCACACAGGGAAGAGGAGGAGTTCGAAGGAGGGGTCTTGTGAATGGAGTCAAGAAATGAAGAAATGGCGAAGGCTTTGGGGAGGAAGAAGAGAGCCGCAGGCGAACTGACGACGGGACAGGTATTGGCAAAGAGATACCCATGTCGTCATCATGGTAAGGGGTGTATCTGTGGTGTTGCGCCTTTCTCCAACTCTATCTCCATCCTCTGTCATTTCTTCCTTTTCTGTTTACGTCCTCTCTTTTCTTCTGATCACTTTCACCCTTTCCTCTTTTCCATTCAACTCCAGCTCCAGCTCCATTACTACTCTCCTCTTCTCCTCTCTTCTTTTTCTTCTCACTCGCCATTCTCTTCCTCTCCTTCCCCCTTTCTTCACTCCTTCACCCACAGCACTCCTTCTTCCCACTCCCCTCCTTTTCCTCACTTTTCTCTTTTTCTTTTCTCGGACATCTCATTCAAAAAAACAGATCACCTCTCTCGAATGAGCCACTACCCATACCAAGGCCAAGGCGGTCAAGGTCAAAGCCAATACTACGACCAAACCGCGCACCCATCCCAACACCAACACTCACAATTCCAACAACAATACAACCCAAACGGATACGGTAGCCCTCGAGGTGGAGGTGTCAGTGCACCAGCTTACTCGGCACACCCCGTCGCTTCTGGGATGATGGCCGCTGGCGGTGATCCTGGGAACGGGTATATGCCAACCCCGGCGTTTAACCCAAGTTACATCAACGGAGGAGGCGGCGGAGGGGGAGGGTACGACAACTACAATGGCAACGGTAACGCGAACTATAACAATGGAACGACGACGGCGTATGGGAATGTACCGGTGCCGGCAACAGGACATAACTACCAAGGGGGTGGGTTGACGTATCAGCAGACCCTTCCTTCGACGCAGCCTGGAGGAGCAGTAGGAGTGTCAGGACAAGGAGAAGAGGATGTAAAGGCACAGCCGCCGCAGCCTGAGGGTGATTACCCTATCGTCATGGCTATTGACTTTGGTATGCTGTTGTTGCTATCTGATTGTTTTTCTGATTCCGCCCGTACGTTTTGGATGATAGTGGAGTGACGAAGGAGGAGGAGGAGGAGGAAGGAAGGGCCTTCCTTCCCCAGCAGCATGAATGAGGTGGAGTGGGAGGGATGAGACTTATTTTTGGACGAAATGGGAAGATTGAGACAATAACGGATAGACTCACAGGGACAGGGCTGGGGGTTTGTGTGGGTGTAGCGCGCCTCAAGTCCTGAAGACCAAAAAAGTGCGACGCCTCGGGAACTTCCTTTTTTTTTTTTCTTTTGATTGGTTGTTGGCTGCTCAGCCATTCCTGCAAAAAAATTCGGCTCTCGCGGGAAACAAAAGCAAATGGGCAGCATTGGAGCTGAAGCTGCGGGAAGAAAAAATAGCAAAGAAAATGATACTCTCATTTCTTGGCTGGGTCAAACACACGGCATGAAGACGGATAATTGCTTTTCTTCTCGTTTACTTGGGCTAACATACGATCTCATTTCCACATTCTTTTTGGCTTCCAGGAACAACGTTTTCAGGAGTGGCCTTTGCACTGAAAGCAGATGGCGAGGTTCACGACGTGACCAAATGGTAAGACACACATACACTCATCCTACTCTCGAACATCAGGAAACCAAGCCAACTTCTGGAATATGAACAATGGAAAAATGGGAAATAGGAGAGGAAGAAGAAGAAACTACTCGTCGGCATCGCAGGAGGGAAGGAAAAGGGGTGTAGAACTCTCTCCTTCCCAGGGCGCATAGATGCACATGGCAGGACAGAACAAAACGGGATAGATGGATGGGCCACATCTGTCCCCTCTCCATCGATTCTTCTTTGATGCATGATTGCAGCTACTTTTTCTCACGTCGTCAACAAAAAAACAAACAATGACGTCTGGTTTTTCATATGGCGAACCAGGATCAATCAAAGAACAACACCTGGGCTGAGATCATGTCCCTCTTCGTTGCCTTGATCACGTAGATACCAAATACTCACACTCCTTTATTCTACAAAATAGGCCTCGTCATCTTGCGCAGTACCCCAAGACACCGACCCTCAGCTTGTACAAGAAGGACTCGAAAAAGATTATAGAGTGGGGCCATGTAGCGCGTCTAGCAATGCTCAAACCCGCCGCCAAGGACTACACGCTCCTCCGCAAGTTCAAACTGCAGCTGGACGAGACTCTGGCGGCTGCGCCACTGGAGAACGGAGCAACAGCCCTCCAGGCCGTGACGGATTATCTCAAGAAGCTGCATGGATATGTGATGGGGGAGTTGATGAAGGGTATGCTCAAGAGCTTTGAACCGGGTCAGTTCCAGTACTGTCTGACTGTGCCTGCGATGTGGTCCGATGGTGCCAAGAATACGATGCGCCAGGCTGCGATTGGGGCTGGATTGATCCAGGAAGGCGACCCACCTAACCGGTTGACGTTGATTTCTGAACCCGAGGCCGCGGCGATGTATTGTGAGCGGAAGGTGGATCATTTCCAGCTCAAGGACAAGGACCGGTTCATGATTTGTGATGCTGGTGGCGGAACTGTCGACTTGATTGTGTTTGAGGTCAGTGAACCCCCGGGCAAGGAGCGGCATCTGAAGGAGGTGACGCGTGGGCATGGCGCGTCCTGTGGATCGACTTTTCTTGACGCCAATATGGAGAAGTTGCTTGAGCGCAAGTTCAAGAGGTACCGCAAGACGATCAAGGCCTGTGGGTGGGCGTCGCTGATGGATACGTTTGTTGATATGGTCAAGCCCATGTTCAACGGAGAGGAGGATGTGCTGATGCAGATCCCACAGGCGACCGGACTGGAAGACCTAAACGATCCAGATATCGGCTTGGAGGAGGGAGTTCTCTGTGTGTCGGCCGAGGAAATGAGGGCCGAGGTCTTTGAGCCCGTCATCTCGGACGTGTTGGACCTGATCCGGAAACAGTTGCACCAATCCCAAAACTGCTGGGCGATTTTCATGATTGGAGGGTTCGGGTCGTCGCGGTACCTGGAAGAACGTGTCCGTCAAGAGTTTGGGCACCTGGTTGGCCTGGTCGCTGTCCCACCGCGTCCAGAACTGGCAGTCGTCCGAGGAGCAGTGTATGCAGGACTCAACACAAAGACGATCAACATGCGCGTCGCTCGACGCTGGTACGGTGTCGATGCCAACATGCCCTTTGAGGAAGGGATCGACCCGGAATCGAAGAAGATTATCTCGCATGATGGACATGTTCGATGCAAGGAGCGGTTCTCGGTCTATGTCCGTCCAGGACAGCAGATTGGGGTGGACGAGTGTGTGTCGAAGGAGTATGTGACCTGGTCGTACCCCAAGGGTTTGGATTCGCCTCTCTATGTCTGCAACTCGCCGAATCAGCCCAAGTATATTACTGATCCGGGCGTGCAGAAGATTGCTGATTTCCATATCCCCATGCCTGAGATCCCGGGTGCCCAACCCCGCACCCGCGTCGTCTTCAAACTCAACATGTACTTTGGTAAGTTCCCTTCCTTATTTCGTTTTTTGTTTGCTTGTTGCGTTTTCGAGTTACAAAAGGGAACGGTTTTGACCATTTTTTTTTCCTTTCTTGTTGTCAATAGGATTGACGGAGGTGCGCGCAGAGGCGGTAATCAACGGAAACACATATACGACCGTCTGTTCCTTTGGTCAACCCAGCCAGTAAAAGCCCCTCTTTTTCTTCCTTTTACATTACTCCAGAGCATATTTTTTTTTTTACCCAGACGTTCTGTCAACACCAAGCACTGCACACATTCACTTTTTCCCACACTCAAATACCAAGGCATCATCATCATCATCATACTCATTCTTTTCACAAAAAAAAAGAGCACCAAAAAACACAAAAACCAACGGCATGATTATAATTATGCATTATTTTTTATTGGTATGCATGAAAGATGAATAGGGCTGGTAGTAATGTACAAAAAGTGGTTTGTGAGCGTAATATTACAAAGTGACAAAAGGTGAAGGCGGGGTATTGTCTGGGCTTAGTGGCGGGGGGATGAACAGGGGTTTGTCCGTAAGCACCTTAATGCCGACGACGACCATTGGCCTTAGGCTCCTTATGGTGATCGTGTTTCTTCTTGAGGGACAAGAGTGCTAGAATACCGGCGAAGGTCCTGACTTTACCAGGGTGGTGGTGGTCGTGGTGGTGAGAAGCATGAGCGGTGCGAGTCCGTCCATAATGACGACGAGGTTTAAGGCTTGCAAACAGCCCACCGCGTCGACGCTGTGGAGTTGCGACCGTCCTACGAGTACGGTGGGATCGTTTGAATAACCCAAAGCCGCCAGTTTTCCGTACGGGTTGGCGGACGGGTCTGCGACGACGGTGTTGTTGGGTGGTTCTTGAGACGGGAACTGCGGTGCGACGGCGAGGGGAGAAGAGAGCTTTGAAGCGAGACATTGCTGAGGGTTTGTAGTATGTTCTTTGGACTGGGGTGCTGTGGAAGAGCGACATTTTGTATGTTGCTTTGTTTGTTGGAAGGGGGTGTTTGAGTTGTTTGGTGGGGTATTTTTTTTTAGTCGTAGAAAGGTTTTGTTTGGTTGAATGGTTGAATGGTTAATGAAGAAAAAAAGGGTGGGTGTTGGCAGGCTTTTATACCTTTCTTTATTTCGTTTGTTCATAGTGGAAGCGTTATCATCAATGGTCTGTGGGGTAGGGACGTAACTGTGTATATGTGTGATGAGATCATTGCTCGTCAGGGCGCGAAAAAGGCGCGCTAAGGGGACCCTGGGTTGTATCAGACAACTCTAATTGTTTGAAATCATGACATCATTGTTTTCCTTCTTTGGAAAGGGAGTGAGCGAACAACGATAATTTTGCTTGTTGAGTAAACTATCAACAAGGAGGGGAATAGCACACATCGTCATCATTCAGTTGGGTCGTACATGTTAAATCCAGGCTTGTTCGTCATGGGCTCTGGGAGAAAGAGAAGGAAGGAAAAGATGACCGGTTGGAGGGAAAATTCCAGCACAAGCCAAGAACTTGGGGTTCTTGTCTTGCATGAACCCTAGGGTGAAAAAGGAAGTCACACTCACTCTCTTGATCTTCCACACTTTGTTTTCTCTTGGCATTTTTGGTCTTTAAAAAGCAAAGGGAACGAACCCCCAGCTCACTTTCTTTTTCTTTCTCCTCCTCCTCCTCTCCAAACAACACCCACAATAACACCACCCACCACTCGCTAACCATCCAACCATCCAACCAACCAACCAAAAAAAAAAAAACAACAGCAAAAATGTCAGACAGAGGTCCAGGAAAGCACGAGAAGGGCGAGTTCAACATCCTCCCCGTCGACGAGGACAAGAAGAACCCCCCACCCCCTAAGGGTCGTCACTCCGAAGGCAATGGATCTGATCTGCGTTCAGAGTTCCATGTCGGTCCTGCGTTGATGCCGGGCGCTTTTATGAGCTCGATGGGAACTAATGCTACGGCGCTTGAGCGTGATCATGCTGCTTCCAAGGCCAAGAAGGAGCAGAAGTAGACTCGTTTCTATGCATTTGTTTGCATTTCTCTTGTGTTACCAACACACACACTCACAACAACACACAAATATGCTTCTGTAAATAAAACAAACCAAACCCTGCTCATAGTGCATATGAATAGCAAATAACACCATCGTCATTGTACAATCCTAACAACTTCTTTTTAGTGTATGCGTATCTGAAAGAAGGGACTAAGGACGTTGCGAAGTGGCAATGCCAACACGTCTCTTCAAATGATCAAAAACCATATAATTCCCCATAAACCAGTTCGTCCCAAACACCCAATCATCATCCTCACTCTGACTCGCCTGGACGCCCGAAAAACAGACCCCAAGCACCCCAAGCACCGGCACCTTCCCCCTCACAATATCCTTGGCCTCAATCTTGAACCATCTCTTTTCTACTCCCTTCAATTCTTCTTCTCCAGAACCGGGTGGGGGACCACCGGCGATGCCCGAGGATCCGACGACGTCGGGAATTACGGGGCCGAGGTCGACCCAGAGGTTGGTGTCGAGTGAACAGGGGACCGTGTAGGCGCCTGATATGTAGGAGTATCCCGAATACCAGCCGAAAAGAAAATTGTGGAGGTATTGGTGTGTTTTGAAGGCGATTGTAGGTGGGAGGAGGATGAGGTCTGAGGAGGTGTCAAAGATGATGGAGGGTTGTTGGTGTGGTGGCTTTTTGGATTTCTTGGGGTCCCGTGTTGCCGAGACAATTGGGGGTGGAGGAGTTGGTTTGACTGGTTGCGCTAGTGCAGGTGCAGGTGTGAAAGGTTGTCCTGGTGCTGGTGGAGGAGGAGGAGATGGGGACGGTTTGCGGTTGATGAGAATGGACCGGACGGGGACGGACCAGTAGACTGCCTCCGGGGGTAGGTCGATGTAGGTCATTTCACCGATGTATCGGAGTGGATCTGGTTCTCCGAATGATAGTTCTCCACCGCTGTCTCTCGATCCTAACCATACTCCGATCTAAAGAGGAAGGAGGGCACATCAAATTTGAATGTTGGTTGTGGGCCTTGTGGGGTGCATCGCATTGAGTAAAGCAATGCAATGCATTATGTGTTGCTTTTGTACCTCGGATTTCATGTCACTGGTTGCTATCAAGTTCTCAACCGGCGTCGCATCGCCTATCAAACGCGGCAAGAAGAAATGTATGGTAAGTAAACACATCTGTCTGTTTCTTAACAACCCAAAACATACAATAAAAAAAAACACCAGTGTTACCATGGGTAGAGAGCTGATGAAGGCCTAATCCAAAAACACCATCCACACCTTTCTCTCCAAAGCCCACCACCGTATCCGCAACCCCCAAAACCTGCCGATCGACAACAAACCCCGCAACCTGAACCATATCCGTCCTCAACCTCCCTTTCGCCTCATTCTTCCCCTCCCAAACCGACCGAATCCCTGTCCCCGTCGCTGTTGTCGTCCATGCCAAGTCTGGGGAGAGTTCGAATGTGGAGGAGCGGGCAGGGTTGAAGAGACGGCGTTTTGGGGGGCAGGGTGCAGGGTTTGTGCAATTAACTCCGAGTTGGGTGACCCATGTGTCCGCGGTGGCGAGATCGAATTCGAGGTGGAAGTATTGTGGTGGGCTTCCTATTCCTACTTGCCCCACGTACTGCGAGGGCAGGAGGTTTTCATAAGAGGGAGAATTAGGGTCAAGATATGATAACCAACAAAATAATGAAGAAAACATAGAGGGTTTTTAGGGATAGAGGGCGAAAAGAGGGGAGGCTTACGGCAACACCATAAGGGTTATGTTGAAGAACAATCCTCTCGCCATCAATCTGAGGTGACCGCCTGGAAGAGATCGAGAAATCGAATTCGCCATCGTCCTCATCGTCACTGCCATCGATCTCGTCGTCGTCCTGTTGAAAGGATTTAGGCGTTCCTACGACAGACAAAAGCCGCTGCCGTTGTCGTGGGTCGATCCTGGATGTGATGTATCCTTTATCGGTGGAGGTGGGGGTGGTGTCCTTGAGTGTGCTGGCGGACTTTTGGACGGGGTTCCTGGATGCTAGCCGTTGTACAGTCGATTGGATGCTTTCTTGGATAGATGGCGGTTCACCACGGTCCAGCCTTTCAATGGACACCCTAAAGTTGTAATGCATTAAGAGTGATTAGAGGTGCTGTTTCGGATACATTAGAGAAGAATATGTGGTCGTGAGAAGCATGGTGGCTACCGATGGAGGTTTGCGGCTGTGGTGGCGGATAAGATGGACAAGAGTGTGCATCCGATGAACGATGGCTTCATGACTGAGGAATATTTGTCGAGTGCTGAGAAGACGAAGGAAGAAAAGGAGAGACGAGTGTGTGAAGACAAGGGCGTTGAGTTGAATGTGCTTGTTCCAGTATTTTATGGTTTCCTTGTCGCAGAAGAATGAAGAAGGGGTGATATTACGAGAAAGAAAAGGAAAAGGAAAATATAGTAGGGAATCGGTTCAAACAGAGATTGACGGCTATTCATTCCCAGAAGTGCTCACTTTGGCCTGCCCTTTGCTTTCTCGCCTGTAGCGTAATACTTTCCTTTTGCCGAATATTAGCCCATGGGAAATTGGATTGCTCTTAAAGATGCACTTGGAAGACGCGGGTGGACTTTTGGGATGGGCGCGACGGAAAACGAAACGGGACAACAAGAAAGGACGCGTTTGATCAATCATATTTTTTTCACGCGTTTGATCAGTCCTGCACGTGATACAATCCAGAAATTACCCTTTTCGCCGCTTCCACCGTTTGGTCATTCCTCTTCTTCCTACTCACTTCATTACGCCCAACAAACAGACACCTACCACAGACAACAACGACTAATCAGAACTAACCATGGCGACATCAACAATACCAACAACATCAACAACAACATCAACAAAGAGGGCACCCCTACCTTTCGCATACCAGTTCCTCGCAGGTTCCATCGCAGGCGTGACAGAGATCGCATGCATGTACCCCCTCGACCTCGTCAAAACCCGCTTCCAACTCCAAGTCAACCCTCCTCTCTCAAAAGTGCCTCTCGTCCAACCTCACGGCACCACCACCCCCTCCGCCACAACCTCAACCACGACCACGACAGCCAAAGGACATCCCCTAGCAGCACCACGACCGTACACGTCAATCCTTGGCTGTCTCCAAAGAGTCATTCGACGCGAGGGAGTCCTCCACCTCTACCGTGGTATCCTTCCCCCACTCATTGCCGAGGCACCCAAAAGAGCCATCAAATTCGGCGCTAACGAGCAATGGGGCTTTGTGCTCAAGAAGCTCTTCTCTCTCGACCGCCTCACGGCGCTCCAGGCTGGGTTTGTCGGGTACATGGCTGGTGCGACAGAGGCATTCTTCATCACCCCCTTTGAACTCGTCAAAGTCCGTCTCCAAGACCGCGGGAGCCTCAAACTCTACACGGGGACGGTCGACTGTATGCGGAAAGTGGCGTCTGAGGAAGGAGTGTTAACGTTTTATCATGGATTAGAGGCGACGATCTGGAGACATGCGACATGGTCCGGGATGTACTTTATGACCGTCCACGGGTTCCGGACGGCGTTCCCTGAGCGGTCGACGGCGTCCAAGGAGGAGAGTATGATGCGGAATTTTGTTGCGGGAACTCTGGGGGGTGTTTTGGGGACGCTGGTGAATACGCCGTTTGATGTTGTTAAGAGTCGGATCCAGAACCAGCATGCGGGGCCTATTGGATATGTGTTCTCCCGAGTAGCGCGCCTTTATCGTCAAGAAGGGTAACTTTTTTGTTATTTGCTACTGTCGTGGAGTTCCGTAATGGTGATAGTGATATCAATGCTCAATCCATTTCCCGGGTGGAATGCTGACCATTGTTCTCCCTCTCTCTTTTTTGATATGATGTCACGTTAGGTTCCGAGCATTATACAAAGGGTACGACTGTTGTTTTAATTTTTCGCTCTCATTTCAAGTGTGGGGACACAAAATGGTGCATTGACCATACATATATCACCTTTTCAAACACCCATCCTAACCTTCACATACTCCCTCATTTCGAACAATGTTTCTGCTTCATATAGATTGGCACCAAAGCTGGTGCGTCTGGGTCCCGGAGGCGGGTTGCTGTTGGTGGTGTTTGATCGCACCTCTGAGCTCCTGCGGTCCTTCATCTCTGAGGACACCAACAACAACAAGTCTGCTGTCACTGCGATACTTTAGACCCTTGCAACCAAATAAAACTCGTAGTCCTCCCAAGGCAACAGAACACTTGCACCCAAACAAATCGAACGGCGTGGTCAAATGTTTTTATTTCAGCTGGGAAGGTGGGAGGGAGGTGTTATAGTATCGCCTCTCCCTCTCTTTCGTCTCGCTACTCGTTCTTTTATCCTCTCATTAGCCATGACAAATGGATCCGTTGGGACAGCATCCATGAGGCTCATTGGGACGGGCGACGCAGTAATAGTTGGATGGGCAACAGTTCCCGGCAGCACAGCATACGTTGCCAATGGTGCAACAATGTTTCTTGTCGGCACATAATCCCATGCCTTTTGGGCAAGTCTGTGGAGGAGAGGAACCTCGACGGAGCATCGGGAGGGATTCGTGCTGGGGAAGGTGACGGCGGTGGCGGCTTTGGCTATGGCTTTGGCTTTGGGGTGCGATTGAGTTGGGTGCTGGTGTGCTTTGGTCCATAGTGGAGGTGTCTTTGATGGATGAGGGAGAGGAGGCGAGTATGGTGGTGATGATGGGGATGAGCAAGGCGGTGATGAAGAGTACAAGTGAGGTGGTTCTCATGGTTGTGGGTTGTGTATGTTTTAGTGCGAGATATCGTTGGTGGGCGTTGGAGGTTGGACTACGAAAAGAAAAAGAAAAACAAGAAAAACAAGAAAAACAAGAAAAACAAGAAAAACAAGAAAAACAAGAAAAACAAGAAAAACAAGAAAAACAAGAAAAACAAAAAAAAATGGCGAAGTGCGACAAAAAAAAATGGGGTTGTAAGCGCCTGTTGGGATTCGGAATGTGGCTATATGGTATTGCTAGGTACACCGAAGAAAAAGGAAGATATAACAACAAAGAGAAAAGATTGAGCACCTTGATCGATGTCTAGACGTCGGGACCCGGACGGGTTGCCCTCCCCCTTTGCATCGTCATTTTTTTTTTTTCGCGCCTCTGTGATTTATTTTTATGTTCTTTGTCATATATAGATATGGTCGCGTAATCCCTCACCTATCGATCCATCTCGTTTCAAACCCTTGGAGATAGATTGTTGTTAGCACAGAAGTATTTTCTCCCCTTTCACGTCGATACCATTTCTGGGAGCGTCGATGGCACCGTCGAGCTCGGCAAGTAGGTCACCCTCAAGATCGCCTCCAAGGCCAAGTCTGGTGTCCTCCATGACATGATCAAGGAGGATATATACCTTGAGGTATCTGGGCACCTCTTGATGAACGCTCATGCCAAGTTGTAAATACATAGTTGATAATTACAACTATTTTGTCTTCTATATTGTACAGAACCAACATGCGACCTTGGTAATGGATCCAGGCTGACTAAGTAAACTAAAGAGAGTGGAGAAAAGTTACTGCTGTTGGAGCGCCAGTTGGGTCTCGAGTCGGATGAACCGAAAAAGTGTGACTTTTGACAAGAAGGAAGAACCTTCGTGGACCCTGAAGAACACGCGGAGACAAAAAAGAAAACGACGAGATGTCGTCCCCACAGCTGCTAGATTGGTGATAAGTAATGCTGATGGAGCGATTGGTTTTCTTACTCGCTGGCGGAAATAACGCTGCCGATCAAAGTTATCAAGACAATTGGACAATTTACTCACCCATGCGGCTAGGAGTGGAACGCGAGAAAAAAATAAGGTGGAGAAAGAGGGGGGCAACACAACACACCTAAGGGTCTCATCTCGATCGAGTTTTCTTTTCCCACGTGCCGGTACCCCCCGACTTCGGTCAATGAACATACCGCTTCCTTCTCTTTGTCGACTCTTCAAAATGACTTGGTCGTGCCGGCCGAGCAACTCTATGACATCAGATCTATCCATTACTCCTTTGTCAAATGTCCACCAACGTGTCACTTCGAAGGAGGCGAGGCCATTGTAGACAATTTAGCTACCATTAGCAAGTCCAAGTAATAACATCTACAATTATCTAGTAAGGATGCCAGGTCTTGTAGCCGAGCCAAACGTTCTCCAGCTTCTCAAACTGCAACAGATGGCGGGCGACGCGTGCTTCGATCGAATGGTCAATGTCCAACAGCACGACACCACCAGCACTAGGCAGGAACGTCCCCGCCTGCATCGCCTTTATCTCCGCTAACGTCCGAGTTATAAAACGAATCGGATCCTCCATGCCATCGTTGGACTGTCGGCGTCTCGCCAGGACACGTTTCCTCCACCCAGCCCTCCAGAGATCGATCGCACGCATGATGCGCTCCTTGGTATCCAGACCCTTGATTCTCGTCCTGAGTGTCCGCAAGTCCTTACAGTTCCACGCTTTGTTTCCTACGATATCAATATCCATCACGTGCGGGTGTAGGTTGAGCTCTGTCAACCGTGTACAGCTCCGAGGGAGGAGTTGGACTTGTCGACCCGAGGTCTGGAAATGATCCGTCACAGGGCCAGGATGAAACACATCTCTCTCGAAATCAAACTCCTTTCCTGGATTCGCCTGGATCGACTCGACAGTGTCCTGGTGTAAGAGAATAGTCGTCAGGACCTGGACAGACATGGACTTGTAGTCGAATGAGATCTCCTTGAGGTTCGAGAACACGTCCGTGAACAGCGTCACCCACATCGACTCAGGGCTGTCTCTCAATAGGACATCAGACAGTAATGGGCAATGCTGCTTCACTTCTGCCTTCAACAGCCCAGAGGGAAGGACGAACCGCAGCTCGGACTCGGATCCTGATGTTGACCAGGTCTTGAGATTTGGAAAGTGCATCAGGAGGCCTGGAGAAGGTTGTACTTGGGAATCTGTCGGGTCCGGGCGGAGGGCGGTGATGATACGCAGGTAAGGAAGGAGAGTCCCTCGTGTTGGAAATTGACTGACGCCCGACCGATGATATCCGTGCCAGATAGGTTCAGGTGCGATAGATTCGGGCATCCTTGAAGAATCGTCGACAGCCCCTCGCGCATCAGCCACAGTCCCGACACGTCGAGATCCCGTAGCCTGGACGCAATCTTGTTCGAAAGTCCAGAATGAACCAGCATGAACGCATGGACACAATAAAGCGGTGACTCGTACTTCGCCGCATAGGTCGTCACCGGTTTGAGTTTCAGCTTTTCTAGTGTAGCACTGTTCCTGGCCACAAAGTCCAGCGCCGTGGCATAATGAAACGCCGAACTCGTCATCGTAATCGACAACTCCCGCAACTGCATAATGCCCCCCTTCACCAAGATAGCCATCTGGGACGTGTAGTTGACATTATTGGCGACCCGGATATGGCGGGCGTGTTTCGCAACGACGATATCGAATCCAGAGCCGGTGTTGCTCTGGGAAAACTTGTTGCAGTCGATTGAGTACCAGATAAGGGGGAGGTAGTCCTGTGCCCAGGCCTTGGAGACGCGTGCGCAGGCGATGGCATCCTTGGGTGTGACAAAGCGACTGATCCTGTCCCTGAGTTCTGGGATGTCCAAGGGGCTGCGTGGTCTCGGTCTTGTTGCCGAGGGTGTTGTCATCGTTGTTGTCATGGTTTGTTGAAAGGAAGGAATGAGTTTGGCGACATGGCCAAGTTTCCCCTTCACTCGTTGAGCAAAGTCAGCTGTAGTATTATTTTGGCATGCACATGCTGCGATTGCAAAAGGTCAATGCCCCATCAGACAAGCAATTGACCAAAATGACTTATAGGCTAGAAGGGAAAGAAGGGATGAGAAGTAGGGGAGGCGAAGTGTACTCCCATTCAAAGCACCGAGGTCAGCTATCGCTTTCAACACAGCAGGTCAAGACCTTCACCGACTCCTCTTTTAGATGTCCGCTCCCGCCCACTTAACCCACTTCCAACTATCTACGGGTTGTCCCAGAGCACCCACTCCAGAAGATAGAGGTCGCTAATGTATGACCAGCGTACAAAGGCATGCCCTCATCATCCCCGTCAAACCTGTCACCCTCTTCATCTTTCTGACAACGATGTTCCGGACACATCCCCTCGATCTACCTGAGATTCGCTCCATAATTGCCAGCAATCTTGGCCTCAAAGACCTCTCGTCCTGTGTGCGTGTGAGTCAGGATTGGAAGGACTCATTTACACCACCACTCTAACAAGTCTGTCGTGTTGTGGAAACATGGCCCCAGCATGGAATCTGGTCGCTTGGAACATTTCACTTGATATCAGGACCACATCAGCTTGCGCTCCTTCTGAGCATTGGACCTCTACTCTCAGCAAAGGTATGCCCAGCAACTATCGGGACTAGAAGAAAACAAAAAGTACTGGAAATTGAGAACGTTTTTCTTTCTGCTGTTATGACATTAGGCAATCGCACGATCGGGTCTTCGATATGTTAAAGTCCCGAAAAACAGCTCCCACTGACGTGCGATGGACTGGAGGAACGTTCGACTGCCGTAATAGTGGGCCACAAACCTGTTTGGGTGTACAAATATTTTGAACCGCTGACTTCTATGACCTTTAACTCAAGAACGACATTATCTTTATAGATCTAAGTAGACTTGTATGTTGCTATATATACTTGTGCAATTGAAATAAATGTTGTGTCATTCGTACAGTTTTTTTTTTTAGAAAGACCTACTACCATGGGTCATTTGTACAGTTTTGTTTTGTAGCCATGGTTTTTAATTTACATATCAAAATCGCGTGTTGCCTTCATTTCCCTTGGTGGCAGCTTGCATTCGTTCAGGCATACTCCGGATCAGATTGTGGCAGACCTCCATTGGCGTCTCTTCCTCCCAGATCTCGCTCACTCGTTTACACAGGTCAAGCCCTGGAGCATTCCTTTACTTGCTTTGTTTTGTGTATGGCGCCTATCAAGGGTCTCTTTTTTTTTCATGCAAGCACAGACACATGGAAGGACAGAGCCCAAAATGCACAAAACAGATTTTGTGAGGAAGTTGTTGCATAGTGAGGGAGGTATGATTTCTTCTATGAATGCTGATCATGTTTATTGTACAGTCTGGGGTCTCGAGTCAGAGGCGAGAGACAAAGGAGAGAAAGAGTTTGTGTGTGAGGGATGAAAAAAGTAGAGGGGCTATCCCTACTTTTTTTTTTGGCTTTTTGGATATCAGTAATGTCAAAAGTTCAACAACATCATTTGGGTCCATCAAGGAAGGGAAAGGAGAGTCAAGTAGTCAATGGGTGGATTGACCCTTGGTGCGTGGCTTTGATGCAGTCTGAAAGTTTACTTGGGATGGGATATGTGCATTATGTGAAATGAAGTGAATAAATACTATGAAAAACTCGTCGCCCTCTATTTTACTCGGCAGCAATGGGCGCAGGCGCAGGTTTCTCAGATCCCTGCTTCGCACCCATCTTGACCTTCTTGATCGCAAACGACGCCAACAAACCCAACCCCGACAAGGCCGTCATCAGAATAAAGAAATGCTGCAGTCCTACCACAAACGCATGCAGGATCGGGGCCCGGATCTGGGGGGGTAACTCGGCGATTCCCTTGATGTTCTGTGCATACTCGCTTGCGCCCGCGCTACTCAGGCTGCTCTGCACAAACGTGCCTCCGAGAGCAATACCAAACACGCCACCACAAGTTCGAAGGAATGTCCAGAGGGAGGTGCTGAGGGCAATATCAGACTTGTTGACGAGTTGGGCGTGGACTCCGAGGAGGAGGGTATTGACGGTCATACCCATGCTGAGACCTTGGAGGAGGAGGATCCCGACAACTTTTCCCTTGGATGTGTACTCGTCAAAGGTGATCAACAATCCTGCGGAGACAGTTCCGCAGGCCCATCCAATGACGATAAACTCCTTGTAAGTACCCCAGCGACTCATCAACAGGCCGACAACGACGGCAGATCCAGAACCGATGATGACATAGGGCAAGAGATCGATCCCCGATTGGACCGCAGAGGCGCCATTGACGGCCTGGAAGTACAGGGGTAAGAAGAAGAGGAGACCCAGAAAGACAAAGCCTTGGATGAAGACTTGGAGGTAAGTCATGGCAAGGGAGAAGGTGCCAAAGAGACGAAGCGGGATGATGGGTCTCTTTGCAAACTTCCACTCGTTGACCAAGAAGGCAGCCCCGACCAAAACACCAACAATCAAGAGCGTCAAGATAACAGCCGAGTCCCACGCATACTTGGCATCCGCCCCCCAGTTGAGTCCCAAAAGGATCATGACGATCGAGATGACCATGAGAACAATGCCCGGGTAGTCGAGTGACTTGAGGTTGGTGGCAAGGGAGACATGCTTGCGCCGGTTCATGTGCATGAAGCAGATCAGGAGAGCCATGGCCAGGGCGCCGACGGGGAGGTTGATGTAGAAGGCCCAACGCCAGGTGACTTTATCGGAGAAGGCACCACCGAGGAGGGGACCTAGGACAGCGGCGATTGCAAAGATGAGTGCGATCAGGGCTTGGTATGTACCTCGTTCACGGAGGGGGACAATGTCTGCGACCAGGATCATGCTCAGGGCAATGATTCCACTTCCTCCAAGACCCTGCACTGCGCGACCGATCTAAATGTGTGTGAATGGATGAATGGGAAATGGGGTTAAAACAACCGTGCATGAGTCAAACGGATATATTCATCCGAACATGAGAGAAAAGGACGCTAAAAGTAAGGGATGATGGAAGTATTAGGGAAGGAATGGAAGAATGAGGAGGCGGGGAAGAAAAGAAGGAAAAAAAAAAAAAAGGAGGAACGATGTTCTTACGATGAGCATGATCATGGACTGGGCAGCCCCACAAAGAGCGGAACCCAAAAGGAAGACAACGCATGCGAACATCCTAATTATCCATCGGGATATCAAAAAAAAATAAACATTTCAAGGTTAGCCTTGTCCAAGGGGGTTTAAGCGACAATCTAAAACGAAGCAGCCGGTTAAACCTATTCAAAAGAAACACACATAGCTCGTTTGCGTCCAGCAAGATCGGCAGCAACACCGTAGAGGGGCTGGACAGCGGTTGTGGTGAGGAGATACGCAGTGCCGACCCAGGAGATGTCTGAAAAGTTGTCAAAGTCCTTGGCGATCGAGGGTAGAGTGGTGGTGACAATGGTCTGGTCGAGGGCTGCGAGGAACAACGTTACAGTGATGCCGAGGAAGACCAGGGCGCGACGGAGTGGGGTCAATGGTGTCTTGGGACCAAAGTCTTGCGACGGTCCTTGTGGAGGAGAAGGAGGAGAAGCGGCTTCGAGGTCTTGGGGTTGTGGAAGGGTTGTGGCGACAGCATCAGCGGGTGGTGTCTTTTCAGAGTCGACGAGAACGACAGGGTCTTGGGTGGCTGATACAATGGTCGAGCGGGACTCGTTCGTTGGTGACCGTGCAGGGGACGTCATGGCTCGTCTTAGTTTTGACTTGGTTAGCTGTTTGTCTTGCTAGTGACTTTGGATGAATGATAGAGGAAAGAGGGAAGGAAATGGGGTGGAGGAGAGAGAAGTGAGGTGTGTGTGTGAATGAGAAGAAAAAAAATATGGGGCAAGACCCCTCTATTTATTAGTTTTAGCGCCTTTTTCAGTTGTCTCTTAAAACGAGTAAGCGCGGCGGGGACAAAATGAAAAATCCTATTCCGTCGTACATACCCCCGCACATACACCGCCTCTCAAAACAAAAGCTGCGCTGTCCTGTTTCTCAATTGTCAACAGCACTCACATACCCTACTTTTTCCATGCACCTCACTGTTGTTTACATGTTATCTCTTTGCTTTGCTACCCTCTCATATCTCATCATTACATTCAAGGAAAATAATAATAAGCGGGTGAACCATAACAACTCTGACTCGACACCTCTGGGACAATGGGTATCAATTTGTCAGACATAGGTGGTGGCTTTCGTTTCCTCTCCTGATGGTGGCTCATTCATCATCATTCAGCTTACAATCGTCCCGCCAAGCAGGGTCAAAGGACAGGAACATGGAGACAAAGAAAAAAACAAAGCAAGTCGTGAGCGAGAGACTGGATAAATCCTACCAAGGAAGAGACCGCAGTCCTCGTTCCCTCGTGCGCCCCCTTCGTTCCTCTGCAATGCAAGGAGAAATTCAATTGCGCAGACCCGTCCTCATGTTTGTATATGGGAATTCTGACCACAGCAGTTGAAAACAAGCATTGCAGGGAATCAGATCAAGATACGAGAGTCTTCTTTTTTTTACTTTAGGCTCAGACCTAAACTCAGCTCAGTGCACCACCACCATTAATAGTCATTGCAGATACATCTCCAGAAAGGGGAATTCTGAGTTGACATCCCACTTTTACTTTTCTCTCTCTCTCTCTCTCTCTCTATCTCTCTCTCTCTCTCTCTCTCCTCTCTTTCCCATATCCCCCTGGCCCTCCTCCATCTTCCCATTCACACAAACGGCACATTCCTGTATCAGATCTGAAAATGATGCACCCCTTGACAACCTTCAATCCCTTTCCTTCCTTTTGCCTTTCTCGTCCCTACCTTTCCACCCTGCTTCTCACTCTTTCACTATGCTGAAGTAATAGCCTAAGGAATGAAGGCAGGTAGTAAACGTATTCAAAAAGATGAAAAAGTTCTGCCCTTCAATTGGACAAGACAATCAACCACGCCATCATTTTTTTTTTCTTGGCACCTCTTGCTCTCTCGATTGCTCAGATTGAAAAAAAGGAACCACATGGACAAATGCGCATGAGCACAAACCCCTCTTCTTCAAGGGGCGGCGGAATAAATAATAAATAGAGGCCAAGATCATTACGAGATCCTAGAAAATGTCGACCATTGTAACAACGGCATTTGAAGAATTGAAAAGTGAGAGAGAGAAAGAGAAAGAGAAAGAGAAAGAGGAAGAGAAAGAGGAAGAGAAAGAGAGAGAGAGAGAGAGAGAGAGAGAGAGAGAGATCTGGGTGGCAAGGAAAAGGGTATGAAACAGAAACGAAAGAAATATGAACGCGTGTCGAACACACGCGTAGTTTGGTCTTTGGCGTGGATTTTGTTTACAAGAGTCTATGCCTAACTGCTTCATTGTGAAATGAAAAGATGGAGTTGAATGACAAAAAAAAAACGCGACGGACATGCTAGGGACCAACGCAAGGATGTGTTTGTAGTGAACACGACTGTGATACAAAAGGCTGAAACTTGAACACAACCCAGCAGTTCTCAGTTTTCATGGCGAAGCAACATAGCATGCTCTCTTGAAATAAAAAAAGAAGACGAAAGGTGTGAACGACAACAAGAACGAAAAAAAGAAACACCAGGTGAATGTGCTTCATAGTAACAAGATACGATGCTCTCCCCTCCTCCTCCTCCCAAGAGTCTGAACAAAAAAAAAAACTCTACCAAGGTAGAGAGAGGCAAAAGATAGCGTCAACAGCAGGATTTGAACCTGCGCGGGAGAACCCATGTGATTTCTAGTCACACGCCTTAACCGCTCGGCCATATTGACTTGTTGCTTGATGAAACTAGCTTGTCTCAGTCATCCTGGTACATAAGCTCCATTCAATGCCGCAATGTCCACTTGCAAGGGGAAAAAAAAAACCAAAAAAACCAAAAAAAAAAAAAAAAAAAAATGGTTTCTGCCCGTGTGGCGCTTCGCTAGCCACACATTGTGAAGTAAGGTACCCTGGAGCGACCAAGGACCCACGCGACGCTGACGAGCGGTTGTTGGAGAGTTTGTTAGGAAGGAAGAGGTTGTCAATGATGGAGGGAATGGGAAGAATCCCCTTCATTCATATCTAGTTTTATTTTCTTCCATTTAAGCTGTAAAGAGCAGTAACAATTGTTGCGCAGAGCCAGGTTCTGGACCGGGCTGCGACTGGTGGATGGTGCACTGAAGAGTTTGGTCTGTAGTTCCCTTTTACTTCCAAATGACTTCTCTATGCTGTTTGTTAGAGAAATAAAATTGTGTACGAAAAAGAAAAAAAAAAAAAAAAGAGATTGCCTATGGGTCTTAGGACCTGTCTCTGGCACAAGGACCTGCATCGCCGAATGGTGGCATTGTGTCAAAGTCCCGCCTCCAAGTCATGGAGGTGTGTGCAAGCATCGTTGACACCCCCCCCCCCTTTTTTGCGCTAGTCTCCACTGTCCAGGAGGCGTATGACAACATTTTTTTTGGGTTGTCATGTTGCACATTTGTGCATGGATGGAGGTGGCGTCGTCCGCTTGAAAAAACGTCGGGAAGGAGGTACTCAGCCTGTCCCCTGATTATTCAGATGAAGGTGTTTTAGTAGAGAGCGATAACTAGATAGATAGCCTTTGTATGTTCTTCCGTCTCTGTTGTGAAGAGCGACATCAATTGTTGCGCAGAGCCAGTGTTAACAGAACCGGACTGTGACTAAGGGATGGCGTACTGGAGAGTTTCGTCCGTAGACCTTTACTTCCAAACGACTCCATTGTGCTGTTTTCTAGAGAAATAAAATCGTGTATCCCAAAAAAAAAAAAAAAAAAAAAAAGAGCAACTTCAAAACACAAAAGCCCTTTTTATCCCTATTCCTCGAGTCTCCAAGCCGACACCTCGGGAAATCCCAATTGCCCTCAATTTTCTGCTTCTCATTCCCTCATTCGCATTCCAAAAAAAAACCAAAAAAAAGAAAAACTTCATTTCATTCGACATGCTTAACCTTGCCAAGCATCCCCCCGTTCCAGCCTGACCCCGGCGAAGGCGACAAAATAAAGGTCGACACCGACCCATGCAAGTCGTCTTCCATCATCCTTAACGATGAAAAGGTGGCTTTTGGTGAAAAGCACGGTGTGTTTCCCGAGCACACTGACTTCATCACGGTCACCCGCCCTCGAGTTCCTCATACGTTGAGATTTCCAGTCTCATACTTTAAGGAAGAGTCCAAGAACATGGCCTACATGTGCAAGTGGGTGACAAACGCATTGGCCGAGGTGGCCCCCGTCAAGCCTGGCTCCTTCCCGACCACCCTCTTGCTTCCGCCAAAGAAAAACTCAGATGATGTTCCCTCCCAAGTTAATAATGTTCCTCCCCCAGTTGAGTACCTCCTCTTTAGTGTGTCCTCCGCGACTGACGTTGCCGCTGCCTGCAAGCATGGTGGTCAACTGAACGTATATTGGTAGTGTTTCAGGCGAGCGAACCAATTTTGATTTGACGCTCTTTTTCCACGGCCTGTGCAGTGGCGGTGTGCGCCTCGAAATAGATCCTGCGGGGCTGCTGACCGTTGTTATCAACGTTCAGTTGACCACCATGCTTGCAGGCAGCGGCAACGTCAGTCGCGGAGGACACACTAAAGAGGAGGTACTCAACTGGGGGAGGAACATTATTAACTTGGGAGGGAACATCATCTGAGTTTTTCTTTGGCGGAAGCAAGAGGGTGGTCGGGAAGGAGCCAGGCTTGACGGGGGCCACCTCGGCCAATGCGTTTGTCACCCACTTGCACATGTAGGCCATGTTCTTGGACTCTTCCTTAAAGTATGAGACTGGAAATCTCAACGTATGAGGAACTCGAGGGCGGGTGACCGTGATGAAGTCAGTGTGCTCGGGAAACACACCGTGCTTTTCACCAAAAGCCACCTTTTCATCGTTAAGGATGATGGAAGACGACTTGCATGGGTCGGTGTCGACCTTTATTTTGTCGCCTTCGCCGGGGTCAGGCTGGAACGGGGGGATGCTTGGCAAGGTTAAGCATGTCGAATGAAATGAAGTTTTTCTTTTTTTTGGTTTTTTTTTGGAATGCGAATGAGGGAATGAGAAGCAGAAAATTGAGGGCAATTGGGATTTCCCGAGGTGTCGGCTTGGAGACTCGAGGAATAGGGATAAAAAGGGCTTTTGTGTTTTGAAGTTGCTCTTTTTTTTTTTTTTTTTTTTTTTGGGATACACGATTTTATTTCTCTAGAAAACAGCACAATGGAGTCGTTTGGAAGTAAAGGTCTACGGACGAAACTCTCCAGTACGCCATCCCTTAGTCACAGTCCGGTTCTGTTAACACTGGCTCTGCGCAACAATTGATGTCGCTCTTCACAACAGAGACGGAAGAACATACAAAGGCTATCTATCTAGTTATCGCTCTCTACTAAAACACCTTCATCTGAATAATCAGGGGACAGGCTGAGTACCTCCTTCCCGACGTTTTTTCAAGCGGACGACGCCACCTCCATCCATGCACAAATGTGCAACATGACAACCCAAAAAAAATGTTGTCATACGCCTCCTGGACAGTGGAGACTAGCGCAAAAAAGGGGGGGGGGGTGTCAACGATGCTTGCACACACCTCCATGACTTGGAGGCGGGACTTTGACACAATGCCACCATTCGGCGATGCAGGTCCTTGTGCCAGAGACAGGTCCTAAGACCCATAGGCAATCTCTTTTTTTTTTTTTTTTCTTTTTCGTACACAATTTTATTTCTCTAACAAACAGCATAGAGAAGTCATTTGGAAGTAAAAGGGAACTACAGACCAAACTCTTCAGTGCACCATCCACCAGTCGCAGCCCGGTCCAGAACCTGGCTCTGCGCAACAATTGTTACTGCTCTTTACAGCTTAAATGGAAGAAAATAAAACTAGATATGAATGAAGGGGATTCTTCCCATTCCCTCCATCATTGACAACCTCTTCCTTCCTAACAAACTCTCCAACAACCGCTCGTCAGCGTCGCGTGGGTCCTTGGTCGCTCCAGGGTACCTTACTTCACAATGTGTGGCTAGCGAAGCGCCACACGGGCAGAAACCATTTTTTTTTTTTTTTTTTTTTGGTTTTTTTGGTTTTTTTTTTCCCCTTGCAAGTGGACATTGCGGCATTGAATGGAGCTTATGTACCAGGATGACTGAGACAAGCTAGTTTCATCAAGCAACAAGTCAATATGGCCGAGCGGTTAAGGCGTGTGACTAGAAATCACATGGGTTCTCCCGCGCAGGTTCAAATCCTGCTGTTGACGCTATCTTTTGCCTCTCTCTACCTTGGTAGAGTTTTTTTTTTTGTTCAGACTCTTGGGAGGAGGAGGAGGGGAGAGCATCGTATCTTGTTACTATGAAGCACATTCACCTGGTGTTTCTTTTTTTCGTTCTTGTTGTCGTTCACACCTTTCGTCTTCTTTTTTTATTTCAAGAGAGCATGCTATGTTGCTTCGCCATGAAAACTGAGAACTGCTGGGTTGTGTTCAAGTTTCAGCCTTTTGTATCACAGTCGTGTTCACTACAAACACATCCTTGCGTTGGTCCCTAGCATGTCCGTCGCGTTTTTTTTTTGTCATTCAACTCCATCTTTTCATTTCACAATGAAGCAGTTAGGCATAGACTCTTGTAAACAAAATCCACGCCAAAGACCAAACTACGCGTGTGTTCGACACGCGTTCATATTTCTTTCGTTTCTGTTTCATACCCTTTTCCTTGCCACCCAGATCTCTCTCTCTCTCTCTCTCTCTCTCTCTCTCTCTTTCTCTTCCTCTTTCTCTTCCTCTTTCTCTTTCTCTTTCTCTTTCTCTCTCTCACTTTTCAATTCTTCAAATGCCGTTGTTACAATGGTCGACATTTTCTAGGATCTCGTAATGATCTTGGCCTCTATTTATTATTTATTCCGCCGCCCCTTGAAGAAGAGGGGTTTGTGCTCATGCGCATTTGTCCATGTGGTTCCTTTTTTTCAATCTGAGCAATCGAGAGAGCAAGAGGTGCCAAGAAAAAAAAATGATGGCGTGGTTGATTGTCTTGTCCAATTGAAGGGCAGGACTTTTTCATCTTTTTGAATACGTTTACTACCTGCCTTCATTCCTTAGGCTATTACTTCAGCATAGTGAAAGAGTGAGAAGCAGGGAGGAAAGGTAGGGACGAGAAAGGCAAAAGGAAGGAAAGGGATTGAAGGTTGTCAAAGGGTGCATCATTTTCAGATCTGATACAGGAATGTGCCGTTTGTTTGGGTGGAAAGGAAGCTAGGGGGACATAAGTGAGAGAGAGAGGAGAAGTGCACCTGGTCAATGCACTTCTGTTATCGATATGCATGGGCTGAGATGGAGTGTGATCAGCGGTTGGCAGTACCTAGAGACGTGGAAGGAATAGGAGGCCTTCATGGCGGCGAACCTTTTAAGCACGGTCTAGCAGGAGCATGGATTATAAGAGTAGACCTGCATATCCATCAACTAGAGGACCACTGGGGTGGCCTTTTTTTTCTTTTCTTTTTCAAGGACCCATGGGCTAGAGTTACCCTCTCACACCTCGTTCACCACACCAATCAACCAACAACGACACCAACGTCAATCCCTCAGCCATACACAAGCTTTGACGTATTACCAATAATAACGAAGGCGAAGGGAGGCATGTTGAATGTAGACACAATCACGAGAATGGTCAAGGTGAATCTACATTCTCTATTTATCAACTTGTCAAATGCTGTGCACGCATACATTGAAAAAAAGAAGGCATCAATTCCGTTAGAGCCATTGATCCACGAGATACCAGAAAAAAAGAACAAAATCAGATCTGTTCATCTTCCTACATGTCCCCTCTCCATGAGCTGAAAGAAAGGGCATCCAAGTGTATCGGCTTGCGACTAATTCTCATTGTGGTCCGGCAGATCCCACTACTTTTATGAATCACCATTGAATGTGCCACCTTCAACTGGATTGCGAGAAGTGAAAAAACAATAACCAACATTTGGACTTCTGACCGCGACCAGATCTCGTCGTAGGGTTCATCAAACCTGAATTTCTTGAAACCCATGAAAATCTACCTGACGGGTTCTTGACTGGCCCCTATCGCCAACAACCAGCTAGACCGAGAATGCGACCTGACCAAAACATGTGCATCCGGTATCGGTTGCATTCTTTGTGTTACAACAAGTGATCCGTCCATCTCGAAAAAACAACTCTAAAGGCGGTCACCAAAGCGTTTGATCGTTGGTGCCGTATGGCATGAAAAAACAACAAGGAATCCATGTACAATTCCTTCTTAAGGGCAAAATCCAACGAAAAGATAAATAAGGCAACAAATACATTATTCTAATACACTTATCCAGGGCCGTCAAAACAAAACGCGTCAAGCCAAAAATGAGTATCCATGCTCTGTTTGGAGATCCCCCCCCAAGATGAATTTTTATCTACGTTGACGATTAGAAACTAAGATCAAGGCTCTGCAACGACTTTGCCCAAGAAAAAAATCGCCCAGCTGAGCAATATCATTCAAAATCAAACATTACCCGACCATCGATCCTCTTTGTTCAAAGAACTTGCATATATGCATATTGTTATTGCTGTCTGGAAGAAATAAAAAAAGACGAGTGATAGAAAGGAGCGTTATGTTTAACTTAGGATATCCTTCTAGTTTGATTCCTTGATCGAAAGGGCGAGGATGGTGCTGGCAAAAAAAAGAACCACAACAAAAAGAACATCAGAGCAAACCCGTCCATCGCAGCTCTCCATCTGCTAATACAAAAGGAATGACCAACTTTGTGATAGGACATCCCAGACGAACAAAAAAAAAGATAAGGGGAACGACCTGTCACCGGATCCCTTTCCTTTTAAAAATAGTCATGGCAGGCAGAAGGAGTTACATGTCGTTTGATCGTCAAGAAGAAGAATCTGAAAAATAAGGAATGGATGTGTGGACTTAGGTCCAGCATGGACGAGATGGATGATGGGTTCGAGATTGCTATCAAACGTTCAAATCACGTTCCCGACAGAAAATGCATGTCCCCGCCCAGAGGATGAGATTGTGTTCGGATGGGACGCGGGGAAAAAATGGCGGCCGTTGTTGTTTCACCAGACCCGCAGTCTTTGACCATCTCCCGAGGATATCTATGGCGCCCCACCCTGTTGTTTCGGACGCTTTTGGAAATGAGAGAGACCGACACTTAGGTTCCCGACAATGTACACTCCATCGCGCAACTCGAATCAAGAATTCAGACTTTCAAACCCATCTGCTCGTCACCAACCGTTCCGGAATGCCTTGTTCGGTTTTATGAGCAGCCTTGGTTCCGTCGTAATCGTTGGGGGTAAAAGAAGGGCACAAACAGCTGCTATCGATTATGCGGTGGAATCGATGCTACAAATGGCGCATAGGACCATCTCCATTGACGACGGCGACAACGGAAAACGAACCATGTGCAAAAGAAGATAGTCCATCACAACCTCCCCAGATATCCTGGCACTTGCAAAAAAAGAAGCATGTCAATCCACTTCTGCCGAATTCTGTTAGATGAGAAGGACGAGAAGGTACTAAAGAAATAAAGGAGTTGCCCATCCATATGGGCATTCTATCCCTGCAACTTGAAAAACAAAACTGGTAAGGTTCTAGTTCTTGGCACCAACTCATTCTACCGACATGCATTTCCTTTTTTTCATTGTTTAATGCTCCACAAAACAGGGTGAATGTGCTCGACGAATAGTTTACTTTGTAAACACAGCGCAAGCAAATGGAAGGCGCTGGATCTTCCTGATGAATCGCTGGCGCTTGTCGGAGCATTTCTAATAAACCAACCCTGGGAACAGCTTGGTGCTCCCAAAATCCGAGATAGCGCGAATAACGTTGAGGCGCAGGGTAGTTTTGATATCTTCTCGTCGACGACCCATCCCTCGATTTGATTGCGACACAAATATAGAAACCCCCCTTTAATACCAAAACGAAGACATTGCATGCGGTCAGGGTATATGGTGTGCCACATGCTACTCAATCGTCCAAACTCTTTTCTCCCTGCTCTCCCTCATACATAAACCCCACCTCCCTCAACAGCTGGCTCGACTTTATCCCGTCTCCGCTGCTGCTGCTGATAGCTCCGTACACGTTTTGCAGTCGTATCGACCATGACTCCGGCGACGTTTCCGGTACCCCTTACGAGGCAGTAGCAGAATATTGAGATGGTGAGAAGGGGGATGCCGATGAGGAGGAGCCATATCGAAAGTGAGGCGAGCCATTGGAGGATATAGGTCTCTGGAATGTATGCTTGGAGGGACATTGTATTTCTTTGTTGGTCGTGAAGGAAAGGGAGAAGGGGTATGTGTGGGGTTAGAAAAAAGGTTGGAGAGGGACTGTGTGTGCCTGCGCTTTATGGTAGAAATTCAGCTGGTATGGCGTGCTCCCTTTCTGTGTTCGCCTGCTTCTCTCCCTTTACATACTGGAGCAAGAGATGGAATGAACGAATGAACCAAAGGAGGCGGAAGGTGAATGGGCGAATGAAGAGGTACAAGGGTGATGAACGATGAAGAGAGGGTAGAGCGAATGGGGTAACTGAAAAAAAAACCCCCCGTCACGTGCAGCTCATCGTTGCTACCAATTTTGGGTAATGAAAGAGGAGAGGGAGCGTGCGAAATGGTGTTGTGGAGAAAGAAGTAAACGAGGGATGGCGAGTGAAGAAGAGGACTGATAATCGACTCGCCCCTTTTCTCTCTGTCGATCTGCCACTTTTGTCTTGCAAGGGGAAGAGAATCATAAAGTGAGGACAAGGCCCCTCAAGCCATCCTGGAACACACTTTTACTCCCACTCCCACTTCAGCCCCAGGAGTGGGTATCCCCGTCTTCCCTCTCGTCTCCATCCATCTTCCAAAAGGTTGTCTCTCAAAATCAAGAAAACATGACTCCCTGAAGAAGTGAAAAGAGAAGAGGAGCAAAGTCATACCTAATCCGCGTCTTTCCATCCTGTTAATGGCGGTGTCTCCAAATGACATCTTGTGTCTGAGAGGACATGGAAAGAGTCCAGGGACTCTACTTTGTAGAAGGGGCGAAGAATGGAGGCATATTGGCCACCGAGGGTGTGGGATAGATACCGCCATCTACCTCCGGGTCCCTAATAGATGAAACCTTTGTGCGTTTTTGCATCATCATTCATTGTGTGAGAGGGGGACCGCGAGGGGAGGGAGGATTGCTAGTCAACAGTCCAAGGGAAAGAGTGTCTTCTTATATATCTCAATGGCCAGTGATTTTCGTGGAGTTAATAAAGAAAGACAGACGTGAATGAGAGAAAAGTGTTTGGTCTCCAGGTCGGGTCTCGCTACCTTGTTTCTCTCAAACAAATGAATGGACCGTCATCGCAGGATTTCGATTTACTTTCTTTTGAGTGGTGTTCGACAGAACCTGATGAACCTAGACCCCCTTCTTTCTCTCCACCCTGTTTTGTCCCACGCTATGCCTGCAAAGCGTTAATTGATCTTATCGTCTATCTTCTTCTATCTATCAACAAACAAAGGGCGACTTTTTCATTCATGTTTCTTTTTTATTTGGCTGTTGCATATGCATGCATGTAAGCATTGGGCAACAGAGACACAAAATGCTCACGAAAGGAATGGGAGAAAGAGTGAGGGAGGAATGAAGCATTATTTGCCCTTTGAAGTGGCCCTGAATGTTCTTCCTTCTTATTCCTGCGTATAGATGGCAGTGTGCCAATGACTCGACTTGCTCAGCAAAGGCAAGAAAACTTTGTTTCGTAGAAAAACAACCTGGATGCCTTGGGTTCAAAACATATTCTTTTGGGCACTATTGGGTCACGACCAATTACTATTCGACCTGTCCCTCTCAAAGTTTTGTTGCATTTCCATGGGGTTGTTTCCAACGAGTAAAAATTGAAGCGGCCCCCTTTCATAACCCGATGGAGCTCTCCTTTTTTTTTTCCTTTGAGATTGTGTGTAGCTAGGGTTATGGTGGGGTGGGTAGGGACTGGTCGTTCCTTTGCGAGTTATGGGTGTCGTTCAATCCTAACCTGCTCCTGCGTTGTCCCATCCGAGCGTCGTTGTAGAAAAGCATAGTGAAGTAGATTATGCTTTTTGTGATGTACGCGCCAGATCAAAAGGCAAAAAGATGAAAAAAAGGTAAGGAAGGAAGTATGAGAAGGAAGAGGAAAGAGAGGAAAAGAGATGTCTTGGCTGGACTCTGCAAGAGATAAAAAAAAAAGACAGACGCCCAAAAGATATCGCCACTTAATCATGAAAAGAGCATAGAAAAAGAAAAAAAGGGCGGGACATGAAGTTAAGATAAAAGAAAGGCCAACGAGATAGGGCCAACAGGTGTCTTGAAAAAAAAAAAAGTGTGGAGAAGTGAGAAAATAAAGCCGAGAGCAGCGAGGAGTGTGAGAAGAGGAGACCGAAAGATAAGATAGCATCTTCTGTTAAAAGTTAACAAGAGGAAGAAGAGACGATTAGCGTGCGCACCGTCCAACACTCGGAATAGCAACAGAAATAGTCGCATCGATTAGAAAGAAGGAAGCGGAGCTGGGTTGGAACCTTGGTAAGGGTGGATATACAAGAAGCCAATGCTCAATTTGTGCGAATTGGTTGGTTATCAGTGTTTTGTTTTTGTTTGTTCTTATGTCCCTTCTCTCTATCTGGACAGAATGAGCAACATGCATGTGTGGTCAGATAGTCGTGGGTGGGTGGACAATGCTCAAGCAGTCAGACAAGGGCGGGAATCGGAACGGGCTAGAAGAAGAAAAAAAATTAAAATTTCAAAGGTCCGATGTGAACACTTATCCGTCTGTTCATCTCCTTTGGCTCATAAAAGAAAAAGGATGGATGGCGAGTAGACAAGGTTGTGTTGGGTTGTCCATTGGATAGGTGGGGTAGTTATTATGGAGTTGCATTCCTCATGTCATCGATGAGGAAGCATTCGTATCTCGTGGTATCATCAACAGTACCTTTTTATCGTTTCTTTGTTGCTGCTGATGGATTTGTGCTTGATGGTGGTCAATGGTATGGTGTATGTCTCTGATTATGTGTGTGATTGTGTGGTATCCGACATGACTCGAAGGTGTTAAAGGAACAAAAAGTAAAGTCTCGCTATAGGAAAGGAACCACGAAGAGAAGAAAAGAGACATTTTGTGTGTGGATGGGATTCGATGCGATCCACCGGTCAGAAAGGGAAAGCACAGACATCACATCGACGATACATATGGATCAGAACAACGAAGCGGAAGAGGAGGAAGGAGGGGTTTCTATTCGTCCGTGATCAATAACTCAATTCAGTGATTAGCTATTGAGTAATCGACCCTATCATACCATCATCATCATCATGTCTGCTCGATCCGACTGACAGCAACAGACTCTTTTTTCTTCTTACGGTGTTGCCTTCAAATAAAAGCCAACCTCGCTCTTCTCTCTTTTTTCTTTTTGTTTCTTTCACTCATTCGCTCACTCTTCACTCCTTTTCTCCTCTTCTCTTCTTCTCCTCTTCTCCTCCATCACCCCCATTCACCTCACTCTCATTCCTTTTCTCTTCACCTCCATTCCTTCCTCTCATTCCTCCTTCTCTTCTCCACTACAAAATAAATCAAAAATGACTACAGAAAAACCCGCCCAGCCAAGAAACGTCCACAAGCCCCTCCTCTTCGAGATCGCCTGGGAGGTCGCCAACAAGGGTAAGCCTTGCTACTTGTACAAGCAAATTCAAAGATAAAGAAACCAGTAAACACGACAGGCAACTAACAGACTCTCGTCTTCTAGTCGGAGGTATTTACACTGTGCTAAAGTCAAAGGCACCCGTGACATGCCACGAATACGGCGGCCGTTACACTATGATCGGGCCCTTGTCCTACAAGACCGCTCCCCTTGAGGTCGAGACCCTCGAGCCCGAGACCCCCGAGCTCCGTCTGACTCTCGAGTCGATGAAGGAGCGTGGCGTCAAGTTCCTCTACGGTCGTTGGCTGATCGAGGGAGCGCCCAAAGTTCTTTTGTTCGATACTGGATCGGTTTACCATAAGCTGGATGAATGGAAGGGTGATCTCTGGAACGTTGCCGGGATCCCTTCCCCACCCAATGATCATGAGACGAATGAGGCTATTCTCTTTGGATACCTTGTCGCCTGGTTCCTCGGCGAGGTAAGAACTGGCTTTTTTTTTTCGCCCGTTGGTCACTTGTCGTTTGTTTTGCGACATAACATGGGGTTTGATCCAATCAAAACAAGAATTCAGCAATCACATCGAGAAAGAGGGACAGAGAGTCGACAAACAAGACATACACACACAAAGCAAAAACAAAAACACAACAACAACAGCCAGCAGCAGGAAGACGTGCAGAAATGAAAAAAACCAAGGGAAACTACATCGGGGAACGTCGAAAGGGAACCGGGAGTCAATGTAGACAAATAGCAGTAAAGAGGAAGAAGGAGAGGATACAATTGCACAAGGAAGGGAGACGATTAACAAAGAGGACGACTGAGAGATTCTATCCGTGAGAAAGATAAAAAAAAGTGAGTGGCGATTCGTGATCCTGCCACCTTCCCCTTCTTCCCCTTCATCCCCCACTCTGGCACCAGCCGCCACTTTAATTTTGTTATCTTTTCTAAAAAGAAAACAGTGTGCGTGCGTGCGTAACATCCTCGAAGGAGAGATCGAGAAGTCAAGTGAAAAAAAGGGTTCTTGGCTCTCATTGTGTCTTCTCTTTCCAGCAGTGGAGGACAAGGATTGTTTCCGGTGATCCACCCCCAACAAAACAACAGTAACCACGCAACAACAACAACAACTTGTGATCACACTCGAGAGAATCTATTGACGAGTGAGAGAGGTGAGAGAGAGACAAAGGGCGCCATTTAGGCGTGGTTCATGCGTGCTATCTTCGCACTAGAGTTGGATTCATATGGTTCTCTTCTCTTTTTCTCGTGCTGTGGTTGCTAAGGTTTTGGAGATAGAAGGCAACAGGAAAAGGCACTTGCCTCACCATAGTCCACCATCCCCTTTATTTCACCTGCCTGCTGATGTCGACTGATGTTTCCTTGCACCTAAGCTAACCACCACCTCAATCCCCTTCAATCGTCATTACTATCGGTATTAGTTTGTTGTCCATGAGCAAAAGTCTGCAGTGATTGCCCACTTCCACGAATGGCTTGCCGGAGTTGGCATCGCCCTCTGCCGCAAGCGTCACATCGACGTCACGACCATCTTCACGACCCATGCCACCCTGCTCGGTCGTTATCTCTGCGCCGGCTCCGTCGATTTTTACAACAACCTCCGCTCCTTCGATGTGGACCACGAAGCCGGGAAGCGTGGCATCTACCACCGCTACTGTATCGAGCGTGCTGCGACCCACTGCTGTGATGTCTTTACGACCGTCTCACATATCACTGCCTATGAGGCCGAGCATCTGTTGAAGCGAAAGCCTGATGGTGTTTTGCCCAACGGTTTGAACGTTGTCAAGTTCTCGGCCATGCACGAGTTCCAGAACCTGCATGCCGTCTCCAAGGAGCGCATTCACAACTTTATCAGGGGTCACTTTTATGGCCATTACGACTTTGATCTTGAGAACACACTTTACTTCTTTACCGCTGGTCGTTATGAGTACCGTAACAAAGGTTTGGACATGTTCATCGAGTCCCTCCAACGTAAGTCTCTTATTGATTGTGCACGTTGACCCTCTAATGGTTTCCCTTACTTTCACATTTCCGCTTCCGATAATTTTTTTTGTTGTGTTACACATCATCCATCATCCGGGGATAACGAGGATGAGGAGAATAGCGGACTAACAAAATATGCTTTTTTACTTATCGCGAACAAAAAAAAAATAGGTTTGAATGAAAAGTTGAAGGCTGCTGGCTCGAACATGACCGTGGTCGCCTTTATCATTACCCCAGCCGAGACGCATTCTTTCACTGTCGAGACCTTGAAGGGTCAGGCTGTTGTTAAGCAGTTGAAGGAGACTGTCACTGACATTGCCAAGCGGATGGAGACTCGTCTCTTTGAGAAAGCCGCTCGGTAAGTTCTCTTACTTTTGCTTGTGAAAGTGTATGCATGCGCGATCGATCAACAATTCACCTACACGCATGTGCTATTGCTAACGCATGCTTATCTTTAATACCTCAATGCATAATCCAATTAGTGGTGGAGATGTGAACACGACCGAGTTCTTGACAAGCGAGGACCAGATCCTACTCAAGCGCCGTACATTTGCCCTCAAGCGATCCACCCTGCCCCCTATCGTCACCCACAACATGGCCGACGACAGCAAAGACCCCGTCCTGAACCAGCTTCGTCGCCTCTCGCTCTTCAATCACCCCTCCGACCGCGTCAAGGTCGTTTTCCACCCAGAGTTCTTGAACTCTAACAACCCCCTCTTTGGTCTTGATTACGAAGAGTTTGTTCGCGGTTGTCATTTGGGAGTCTTCCCCTCCTACTATGAGCCTTGGGGTTACACCCCCGCAGAGTGCACTGTCATGGGTGTCCCCTCGATCACGACCAACCTGTCTGGGTTCGGATGCTTCATGGACGACAACATTGTGGACTCTTCAGAGTACGGAATCTATATTGTCGACCGCAGGATGAAATCTGTCGAGGAATCTATTCAACAGTTGTCGGACCAGATGTTGATGTTCTGTAACAAGTCCCGTCGTCAACGTATCAACCAGCGCAACCGAACAGAGCGACTCTCGGATCTTTTGGATTGGAAGCGCATGGGACTCGAGTACATCAAGGCTCGTCAGTTGGCTCTCCGGAGAGCCTACCCTGACTCGTTCGACGATGATTACTTCGGAGCCGCGGACATCTCGGACGAACAACAACCCCGCGCCAAGGTTCCCAACCCACGTTCCGCCCCGGGATCCCCACGCATCCGGACCCCTCTTGAAGGCTCCGACAACGAACTGACCTTTGCCAACATGTCGATCTCGGACCGCGAAAAGTATCTATCCTACAAGATGGAGGGCCACGAGAACGACGACGAGGATTCAGATCTCCAGATCCGCATCCCCTTCCGTCGTCTCTCCCAATCTGCCCAAGAGGCTGCCTTCACCGAGGGGCATTTCACACCCTCGAAGGAGGAGGTGACAGCGGCCAAGGAGAACATTTCGGCTGTGGGGGTTGCGGCGGCTCAGGCTCAGTATAAGGATAAGATGAATGGGCAAAATGGGTTCTATGGTTCGACCACTGCTACGTCCAGCGGGAGCAGTGCCTTTGTTGGCGGCAAGAGCTACAAGCAGTAGTATCCTCCTTTCTTAGTTCTTTTCGGTTTCTAGTAGTTTCTCTGCATTTCGCGATTGGCATATTTCTCTCTTTTCTTTCTTTTCGCTTTTACACCTTTTCTTCTCGTACACACCTAAAAAAAAGAAACCACCCAACCGTTTGTAAAATATTAAAACACAAGATTATTCTCAACACAGCCATTGACTTTGACAGGAGCTTTGCTCAGAAGAGATGAAACAACACGGCACAAAGGTCATGCATGGAATGAAGAAAAAGAAGGTGATAATAATACATTGTAAAGATCTGAAGTGACTGGCTGCTTTAATTGTTGAGAGGTAGGAAGGAGGGTTCTTGATCATTTTTTTTCCCCTAGACCTCCCACATCATCCCAACGCCGAATCGGCTCTGACCCTAAAAAAGTAACATCAATACAAAGAATCCATCCAATTCACAGAAGCATAAGTAAATTCCTCCATCACACAACAACACATTTGATAACAATACATAAAAAAAACAAAAAAAAAAACAACAACAAAGCACAGCGCCAAAATCCTACCTTGCCATGATCCATCTCGCCGCTGACAAGGAACGAAAAGCCCGGGACAATCTTCTCCTCCAACACGGCGGCAACCTTCCCCGTCGTATCGACCTGTCCTCTAAAAGTTGACCTCCGGAATTCAAACTTGCCTCCCACGGTCGCGACCGCATCCCGTCTCCCACCCGCCGTGACCAACTGAATCTCTGTCCCGAAATCAACCCTTTCCGAGTACCGCAAGTAATAACTCGCCTGGAGAGCCCCGAATCCCTGGTAAGTCGCTGTGGCGATGTAGTCCTGACCTGTATATTTGGCGACGTACGAGTATGTGGTTTCGGCATCTTGTGGAGTAGGCCGTTGGTGGACGGCTTCTGCGCCGATGGCGAGGTTGGGGGTGATGGATTGGAGGTAGGAGGTGATGAAGATTCCTGTGGCTTCTGTTGGGGAGGGGTTGACACCCTTCAGGTTTAAGTTGAAGTCCTTGCCGTTGTAGTCCTGTTCAACCTGGACCATCGATTGTCCTGGTGTTGTTGACAGCTGTTTTTTTTTTTTTTTTTTTTTGGCCATGGTCGAAGAAAAAGAAAGTATAAGGGTTTTAGTGAGAGCAAAAAAAAAAAAAGGCATACAGATCGTCGACTGTTGGAGTGCGATTTTTGACCTGTCGTTTTGAACATAATCCTGACTAGATCCTGTTTCCTCCCTAGAATGCTTGTTGTGATGGGTGTATATGTACCTGCGACTGAACTTTGGAGACGTTGGTGTTGCTCCACGCGTAGTTGGCCCTCGCCTGAACATTCCCATCCGTATCCAAGTTCCCCGACAAGAACGACTATCAGCAAGTAAAGAAAAACCAAACGATTTGTTAAACACATTGCCGGACAAAACATCGCAGTTGAGAAGTATGCAGATTGTTGAGCTCAGGACTTGGATGTAGGACTGCAAAAGCAGAACAGAAAGACAAGTAATATGGTACCTGCTGGCCGATAAAGGCGGTACCGAAATTGTAGGTGGAAGGAGAAGCGGCGGCGCCCATGGCGAAGGAGTGGGTGACTTGGAAGTTGGGTGTCAGGACCTTGGTGATGTCGCATCTTGCCCCGTCAAATACATGGTTTGTCAAGAACGTGTCTATTTCCCATAGGAACGAAAAGTAGAAAACGGAGGGTCAGCATGGTAGAGGTGTAAAGTTTAGACAAGAGTGTCTTGGAGAAAGAGAGAGAGAGAGAGAAAAAAAAATGTCCAAGGTTTCGGACGAACTTCCTGTTGCAGCGACATTTTTTTTTCTTTGTTGGAGGGAGTGTTGTGCGTATTTTTTGACGTGTGCTTGTTTTTTTTTTTTTGCTGATCCTGACAAAGCTTGTTCATCCGTTACATTCCTCTGCGAGCGTCTTTTTTCTTCTTGCTCATCAGCGAGAGGTTCGTCTCCCTCAACAGAAGCGTTGCAGTTCCCGGATAAAAAAGGCGCCCTTTCCAGTCGTCCGTAACAAGATAAAAACCCCAGTGCAGTCCTTTTGCTACTCTCCTTCCTTGTTTCCTCCCTCCTCATCCTTAAACTCTCCTTCAGTAGCTTACTCTTGACTTCCCGGCTGGCACCCTCAAAGGTTCCCGGATTGGGCAAATTCAATCCATCCCGGAAACGGTTCACGTTTGTCCAGGCCTCCTTGACCTGGTCCACCAGTCCTCCTCCTGTTGAAGTAGGTTTAGAGGGTGTGAAGTCGACGACGGGGGGTGCTGCTGTGTGAGGGTTGTATCCGAAGGGCGTTGTTGTCTTTAGCGGGGACGTCATTTTTTCCTTGATGTTTGTTGATTGAGGGTGGGTTGTGTGAATGAGGGAATAGAAAGAAAGGAATATCCTGAAAGAGTTGCTCAGCGGCAAAAAAATCAATCAGCGCGGAAAAAAAGGGTAAAGGAAGAACAGAGAAGAAAAAAAAGGAGGACTGCGATTTGACAGAGAAGGGAATTCTCCCTTCGTGGGTATTAAGAACGTCACTCGCATGGTCTGGTTAGTACTTGGTAGCTGGTACTTGTACTGATGTCATGAATGCCATGCGAATAAATGGACTCTCTGGTTAGATTTCTTATTCTTTTTCTTTTCCTTCTGTATGGAATGCGAGAGACATATTTTTGTATTTGTTTTTTTATTATTATTATTGATATTTACAGGAGAAGAGTAGAGATCTGAAGAAAAAAAAAAGATCCAAGATATCAAGATGAAAGAGGACCATTATGGACGGGGCTGCTGCTCAGTAGGAACAGGGACAGAGACGACAATATCCTCAAGCTCAACTTCACGGCCAGCCTCATCCCTCCTCTTGGTCTCTTCAGCGACTTGCTGTGCGTGCTCATTGACATCATCCCGCTCATAAAAGACTTCCTTGACCATATCCAGATACGACTTTGACGGCACCTCGGACCACTTCTTCTCCAACGCAGGTGCAATGTCGCCCAGGCAGACTCCTGATTTAGCATACATCCTGTACAATGGTTCAATCTCGGCATCAATCTTGGGCTGCTCTGGGCGAATCTCTAACCTGTACCGTTCCAATGTAGGATCCGATTGATAAAAGGACTGGTAGTACTGGAGCCAGGTGAGGTCAGGGTTGGGGATGGGGAGGAGATCAAAGACGAGGTCGAGGGGTTCTGAGGGCCGGTCGTGGAAGAGGACGGCTTGGACGACTTTGGAGGGACCGACGGTCTTGAACCATTCGAGGATTTCAGCCTTTGTGCCGAGGAAGACAAAAGTTGAGGTGTGGCCTAGAGAGAGCGAGATCTTGTTGCCGAGCATTGGGGGTGTCACAATTCTCTTGTCTCCTGGGAAGTCGCCTATTAGTTGCAAGGAAGGAAGTAGAGGAAGAGGTTAGAGTGGTTGTAATGACGAGTGAGAACAGTTCAAGAGAGTGTTGATTGTAATAGTTACCCATGGCGTATCCGTAGTTGAATGAAGGCATTGTCGATTGTTTGTTTGTTTGAGTGTCGAGTGAGTGAGTGTTGTTGTAGTTGGTTGTTGAGGTTGTTGCTGGAGTGAGAGTGTCAAAAAGAATGAGTTGGCAAGAAAGAAGAAGGGAAGAATGATGCTTCGTTGAGAGGTAGAATGGCAATAAAAATAGCAAAAGAGGGTGTCTTACCTTGACGTCCTTGACCCTTCTCCCCGTTGTTTCTCGACTGTTGCATTCTTCCCAACCCCGGCAATTTTTCCATTTCTCCAGTAGTGATTCAGTCGACAGAAAAAAAAGGCCTCACATGGTGACTGCTACTGGATCTTGCTGCCACACCCAAGCCACCCTTCATCCTGGCATCCTCCTCCCTGTACGAGAGAGAGAGGTTATTTCGTGTTTGAAAGACAAAGAAGGGGCAACGAAACCAACCAACGCTGTTCCTCTCACTCTTTCTTACAGCACATAATCAACACACTACACACACAACAACAGCTACAATAACACACACACACAACCATCAAACACCACATACAACACAACACAACACAACACAACACAATACAACACATCCATGTCCTCAGACCAGGTACACTCAAACAGGACATCCATCAACTGCAACCAGCACTGACTACAGGAGATACACTCAATCAACCGAACCTGATCAACTCATCACATTCTTCTCCTGTACGGTTATGGATCTCCTTCTTTCAATAGAAACGCATAGTCGACGACATCTTTGGTGACGACGATGACGACGACAATCAGAGCCAGGACGAAGGTTTTTACTCATTCACTTTCACTGTCAAGAAAAACACTTTGGTCTTTTCAAACAAAGAAACCGCACTAACATCACGCGTTTTGTGCCTGTATCTGGATATAGATCGCCCAAACACAGGAGACAAGGGCGACGGAGCAGCAGAAGGACAGGAGAACGGCGCCGATGGCACTGATGGAGATGCTGCGGGAGAAGGAGAACTGGGAGGAGGAGCAGATGAGGAGGACGACGATATTCAACTCCCAAGCTTCAAGAAGCGTCATGCCGATGGAGAGTCACCCACCCCCGAGCCCAAGAAGAAGAAGAAATTGGCAAAGAAGTCAAAGCCTTCGGCCGATGGATCAGGAGCAATTGGACCAGATGGCGCAGAGCTGCCACTTGACCCTATGCAGGAAAAGATGTCAAAGTTGGACAGGGATTTTGATCTTGCTATCAAGAGCGGCAAGTCTACCAGCCGCAGACGCAAAAAGGACGACGAAGATATTGACACGGAGCTGGATGAGAGCGCAGCACGATTTGTGGCAAAGATGCAGGAGGCGGCCTTTGCAGACATTGATGCAAAGTTGAACCATCAGGCCGCTCTTGCGAAAGTCAGGATGCTGGAAAACGTCAAAGCCCAGCTCAACAAGTAACGTCTGCTTTCTTGTCATTCAGGATCTTGTTTGTCTTTACCAAGCTACTATTTGTTCCTGGGAATAACACAATACTAACCATATCCATCTTTTTCTTTAATAACCGCCAATAGGTCTCATGTGCACAACACCTTTTTGGATAATGGAATTCTGGAATCAATGAAGCTGTGGCTGGAACCCCTTCAGGATGCCTCCTTGCCAAGTTTGGACATTATTCAGGACTTTTTGGACATCCTCGACATTGTATGTTGATCTTTGCTTTTCTTGGCGCGTGGATACAACCTCATTATTATATCTCAGCACAATGCTCAGGACTAACAGCGTTCTTTTCCTTGGTTTTTTATGACTGCAGCTTCCAATTCAGACACACCACCTTTCTACCAGTGGAGTCGGTCGCGTCGTGTACTTTTACACAAAGGTCGATGATTCCCGTGTGACACCATCTATCAAGCGCAAGGCCCATGTCCTTGTCGGTATGTTGCAGGAACACCCCTTTGCCTTTTATTACTTCTACATTGCAAAACTTCGTACTCATAAGAAATATCCCAACTTAACATTCGTAATAGACAAGTGGAGCAGACCTATTGTCAAGCTGAGTCAGGATTACAGGACCAAGAAGATCGACTACGCGGAGGGCGACCATCAATCAACAGGCCAACGTCGGCGTTACGACAACTCCTCAGCCGCCGCCGCTTCTGCCGAGTAAGACCCGAATTCCGCTATGAAATGATCTATGCCTTTGAATGACGGGGTGGCCAAGTTGAATCACGTCGAGATCGTGCTACTAACTCAGACGCCTCATAATGAAAAATAGACCTGCTCAACGGACAATGGGAGTGCGGGTACCTCAGTCTAACCACCACGCTTACGCTCTGATGCCCGAGTCCTCGATCACCTACGACAAGTCCCGCGGCGGCAAGGTAACATCACTTCCCTAGATCATACTGTGCTTGCCTCAGAAAATTGTGTTTGGGTATTTGATACTGATCCTTTTTAACAATGTAAATCTTAATAGTCGGACAAGTACAAGAAGCTGAAGTCGCATATGGCCAAGATCAAGCAGGTTAAGCGGTCGTAAATCTATGGAACTAGATGCTGGACATGGCCTTGACTGAGCTGATACAACAATGGCGACAGACGCGCATAGCCGGTGACAAGACAGAGTAGCGCCAAAATCATCATTTTTTTTTTTTTTGACGGCATTGACTCCACACATATTTTTCTTCAACCAATGTTGAAAATAAACAAGAAAAAAAAAAGCAACGTCGACATTGTCAGTAGGTGTTCTTTTCTTCTTCTTGCACACTCTTACTTTAGTCCGCGGGAACCAGCAACACCCCCGGACCTCACCGCGTACTTCTCTGCAATCAACACAAAGATCGACGCATTTACAAAAAGTCATCAAAGAAGACCTCCCAGCAGCGCTCAACACCATGTAACATGCTCTCGAGGCGGCAACACTACAGTATCAAAGGCAGTTCCAGTTACAGTAGCAGGGAGCGTCGTTGATGCTTGTCAAAAGGATCTTGATTGTGAATGCCGAGACGATGAAGGTTGCGATGGTGTTGGGTGCGGCGTCTGATATGATGGATGATGAAGGGAGGCTGCAGCTGGCGCGGTTGGTCCGGTTAGAGATGAGGGTTAGCAGCAGGGGGATCGGGAGGGTGAGGGCGAGGGTGGTCCAGTGTGAGGAGAACAGCAGGAGCAGGGTCAGGAGGATGTACGGTTACTGGGTTTTCTTCATCTGCACCGTTATCAACAACAGCAGCGGGGACAGGGTGCTTCAATGACAGGAGCAGTGTTTCAGCAAACCACAGCAGACCCAACTTTCTCCTCCATAACATCGGTTCCACCCCGAGCTTAGGATCACAGAGCTATGACAACGAGGAGACAAAAACATCGCTATTCTTCGCAAGGAAGAGCTCCACCGCCTGGTTACACGAATCAGCCAAGAACGCTAACGCCAAACTCCCTCACCTAACACACCGCCGACGGCAACAATGACTTTCTATTACCTTTCACTTCCAAAATTCGCTACCGAGGCGCATTATTGGGAAGTATGGTTCTCACCCATGGATGTGAAAGCGTAGGAAGTACAGGACGATGAGGAAGGAGCGGAAGTAGGAGAAGGTGAAAGGAAACTGTCAGTATGGAGTGTAGAAAAGTACAATCCACGATAGAGGACTGGGTAAGAGCCCTGTGATTTCGTGGAGGTCGCCAATGCCGCCGCTGCTGGAAGTGATGGTAGTACTCCAATCGAGGGTGGAGGGGGGATGTTGACGTTGGAGGAGCAGGTGCGGATGGGGAATGAGAGGGTGAGGGAGCGTGTTGGGCGTGTTCATATGTGATTGAAGAGTACTTCTGTCAAGAGGACGAGGAGGGGTAATTAAAGGAGACGGGATGGATGGATGGATGGATGATGATGATGATGGCTGGTTACAGGGTTGGTTTGTGGGGAATGTTCTGGGGAGGAGTAGATTATCGATAACACTAGAAAGAGTGGGCAAGTACGAAGGTTTAAGGTTATGGGACAAATATAAAAAAAAATGCGCTTTCGAAGTGGTGCCAATTTGTACGCGTCGGAAGGCATTCTCTGTTATAGATCACGCCGATATCCGTTGGGTGTAGTTGGGCTTTTGGCAGTGGAAGGAGGAGACGGTACGTCGATTCTTTGAGCACTAGCGATTTGAAACTGCTAGGAATAAGACCTGCACTCCCAAGGTTCCATTACACTCTTCTATCTCCCTTCCTATACATGGATCTGGCGTTTCTTCACAGCAACATCTGTTTGTTTACGGATACTGATCCCAAGGCATATCGTGTGTGCCGCATTGTTGATACACCGAATCGAAGCGCGTCCTCTTTTCTGTGTTGCATCTCACCCTCTTCTTCTTCTCTTCTCCCTTCACCTCTCCAATGATCGTCTGTATTACATACTCTCTGTAGATAACCCATAGCATAATGGGCACGCACCACGCTTCTCTTCATGAACTAACACTCTTATGCTTCCGGGCAATCCTTTACCGTATGTTCCCATCTCGGTACATATCCATGGACCGATGCCAATACACAATTCTTATCCATTCCTTCGTTTGTTTCGGTACGTATCCATGAACTGGAACTTGTTCAGTGTGCCTACCAGACTCATTCTCACGCCTACATTTTTTCATCGTCTGGTTGTTTCTCGGCATGTATCCGTGGGATCGATCTATCTCTACAGCACACACGAAAAAAGGGGAATGCGACGGGATGGCAATGAGGCACGCTACTGCGCCTTGTTCTTCACGGGTAAAATTATTGGATCTTCCGCTCCGAGCGGACTTCACACACACACTACTCAGAACGTATTTTGAGGCCGTTCGAGGGAGTTTACGTTTTCCTCACTGCCCTCGGCCAATCGACTTCACTCCACTCCTCCATCGCTTTTCCCTCTCGGTACACATCCGGAAAGGCGTTTGGTACGCTTTTTTGTCAAGAGAAAAAAAAAAAAAGTGCACTGAGTCCTTGATGGAAAAGAGGCGATTGGTTAGTTTTCTTTTGGTGTGCGGGCAGTGTATTCGAATGAGACTTGACATGCATCCAGCCCATGGGAAGTATATGCAAAATTATCATGTTCGCCCTATGGCGTTTAGCCAAGTCCAACCTGTGGTTGATTTTTCTTCAGGGATTAGTGTTGTATTTTAAAGTCGTGATAGGATGGGGATGGAGTGAGTGAGAGAGTGAGAGAGACAAAGAAAGAGGGCGAGAGAAGGAGAGTGAGTGAAGAATGGAGAGTGAAGTAAGGGAGGAGGGAACCATAGTTCGGATGTGATTTAGACTAACTGGACTAGTATTGATCAAACCTAGGCACACCAATAGGATCCTTTCCCAGATCTCCCCTTCCTTCAGCCCCCGGATGGATCTGCCGATGGGAATCAATATCCCCTTCTACACCTTTTCCCCTCAACTTACACTACTCCTTCAGTAGATGGACATGGTGGGAATAGAAGGTGAAGAGAAATAAATCGCGCAGAGGAGAGGAAAGTGTATGTACGTACTGGTACGGTGCAGAAGTCGACGCCATAATATTATCCTCGGTGCACTATCCGAGAAAAAAAAAAGTAGGTTTGATCTGCGGATGAGGGTTCCGGAGGATTTCTCAAGAAAAATTTAACACGTCTAAACGGAATTGAAGTGTCCATCGATGATAATAAAGTACCTGGCAGAGAGGAATTGGGCTCAGACTTATTCTACAGGAGAATGATGCGAGATTGAAAGGAGCAGAAAAAGAAAAGACATTGAAAAAGAGAGCGAGGTGGATGGGCATCCAAGGGAAAAAAGGGATTGGAGGGTTTTTTTCTTCTCTTTCCATCTCGGAGAGTGGACCCGATGAAGAGAACAAAAAGGTCGGTTAGTGGACCCGAGGGGAGACTAAATCGATCAAGATGCATGCATGGATGGAGTGAGTGGGATTGGAGGATAGGGTAGGAGACACCCTTGTGGATGTAAGCTTAAGGCAAAAAAGAAAAGAAGGAAGGAAGATGGGGAGTAACAGTCATAAACACTAAACAGATTAAGAAAGGAAGCTGACGTCTGTTGACATGAGTCTCCCATTTCCCTGGTAAAAGGCAAGAGAGCGTACATTAATTCTCGGTAGCGAACCCATTTGGGCTCATGCAAAAAGAGTGGGTGGGTGAACGACTGTTCTCACTAGCTCATACACTCACAATGCTCTCTCTCACAACATAGCGCGTACCCTGCTCAACCGGTGAAGAAAGCGCACCATTTGTCACACCCTTGTTTCTAATTAGGGACGGGTTCACGATCGAGAAAAGCCTAAACAGACCTAATCGGTCCACCCTGATATGCAACTAAAAAGTCCAACATCCGCTCAGACTTACCAGAAGGGTACGATGGATGGGTAACCAGAGAACAACACTTCTTCCACATTAGATTGGCTACCAACCGCTGTATTATGTACAACAGGACCTATCCATGTTTACACAACAGACCGCAATCCCCCAAAGCCGATCCGCTGAGCAAGAAGAGAAACAGGTTTGCCAATGGCGCCAATGTTTGGAGAGCAGACACTTTAGCTTCTTCAAAGTCCATGAACATGTCTTCTAAAAAAACGGACCTGTAAGGTTGCCGATGTGCCTTGACAAGGGAGTTGTATAAAAGTCAATCGCTTCCTCGCTTCATTTGCTATCTTGTCAAAGGCCATCCTTTCTTCCTCACACATAACAGCGACCCTCCCCTCTCATCTCTTCTCCGCTTCCCCCCCACTCCTCACCCCCATGACTGACCATAAGCAGGAATACGCTGCTGAAAAAGACTTCATCGACGAGAAGGTCGATGCTGAGCGCGCCTCCGTCGTCCTCGAGGAGGAAGAGAACTCTCCCATCCCCGAAGTTGCTGCTATCGTCTCCAACAAGGATGAACCCGGCTTGCCTGTCATGACTTTCCGTTTCTGGGTCATGGCCGTTATCTTCTCTTGCCTCCTCTCCTTCTTCAACCAGTTCTTGTAAGTCCCACTTGCATTATCCTCTTCGTCTGCGCAATTCATCGCTATTACTTACTCAGGTCGTAGCTATAACTTCGTTTCTTACCATTCGTACTATCGTATCATTTTAAATCCATAGCTGGTTCCGCACCCACCCCATGACCCTCTCAACCTTGGTCATCCAGCTTGTTTCCTACCCATTCGGAAAGTTTATGGCCCGCGTCCTCCCCTCCGGTCCCCTCAACCCTGGCCCCTTCAACATTAAGGAGCACGTCTTGATCGCTCTTACCGCCAACTGCGCCGGTGGTACCGCTTACGCTGTTGACATCACTGTCATCCAGAAGGTCTTCTATGGCCAGGATTTCGGATTCCTTGCCAACTTCTTCCTCATTCTCACGACCCAGATGTTGGGCTTTGGAATGGCTGGTGTCCTCCGTCGTTACCTCGTCTACCCTGCCGCCATGATCTGGCCCGCCAACTTGGTCCAAGTCGCTATGTTCAACACTCTCCACAAGGACGAAGATCTCCTTCCCGGACAGTGGACCCGCTTCAAGTTCTTCTGTGTTGCAACAATTGCCATGTTCTTCTACCAGTGGATCCCTGGCTTCATCTTCCCCGTCGTCTCATCCATTGCATGGGTCTGCTGGATCGACCCCAAGAACCACGTTCTCTCTCAGGTTGGTGGTGCCAACGGTCTCGGTGTCGGAGCCATCTCTCTTGACTGGAACAACATTGTTTCCTTCTTGAGTTCTCCTCTGGTTGTTCCATGGTGGGCTCAGGTCAACATTGCCTTGGGTTTCTTCCTCATCGCCTGGGTCATGGTCCCTATCGCCTACTACACCAACTTGTGGGATGCCCAGCGTTTCCCTATCCTCACCGCAAAACTCTTCACGACCGATGGTGATGAATATCCCGTTCTCAGCGTTCTTGATCCAGCTACCGCATCTTTGTCCCAGGCTGGTTACGAGCAAGCTGGACCTCTTCGCATCGCGACCTTCTTCGCTCTCACCTACGGTGTTGGTTTCGCTGGCCTTACTTCGATGATCACCCACACCTGGTTGTACCATCGCCACAAATTGGTTGCTCAATGGAAGCAGTCTCGCACCCAGTCTGAAGATATCCACCACAAGCTCATGCAGGCCTACCCTGAGGTCCCTGACTGGTGGTACGGCGCATTGTTCGTTGGAATGACCGCCCTTGCCATCTTCACCTGCCAGTTCTACGGTTACATGCCCTGGTGGGCCGTTCTTTTGGCCATCCTTCTGGCTGTCGTCTTTGCTCTCCCCGTCGGTCTTATTCAAGCCTTGACCAACCAGCAACCCGGTCTTAACATTATCACCGAGTACGTTATCGGTTACATTCTTCCCGGTGAGCCTATTCCCAACGTCACCTTCAAGACCCTCGGTTACATCTCCATGGCCCAAGCCATGACCTTCACTTCAGATCTCAAACTTGGCCACTACATGAAGGTCCCCCCACGCGCCATGTTCTGGGCCCAGCTCCTCGGAACCTTCATCGCCGGTCTCATCAACCTGGTCACCGCCAACTGGCTCCTGCGCTCTCAAAAGGACATCTGCAACGGCTCCAAGGAATTCGCATGCCCCCACGCCAACACCTTCTACTCTGCCTCCGTCATCTGGGGAGTTATTGCTCCTAACCTGATGTTCGGCCCTACATCCATCTACAACGCCATCAACTTCTTCTTCCTCATCGGTATCGTCCTCCCCATCCCATTCTACTACCTCAAGAAGGCTTTCCCCAACACCTGGCTGGACTATGTTCACATTCCCGTCATGTTGGCCTCCACCGGTATGATGCCTCCCGCACAAGCCTACCACTACACCAACTGGCTCGCCCTCGGCTTCGCCTTCCAGTTCTTTGCTCGTCGTTATCGATCCGAATGGCACTTGCGCTTCACCTACGTCTTATCGGCAGCCTTCGATTCCGGTGTCGCCTTCTTTGGACTCCTTTCTTTCTTTATTTTCGGTATCCGTGGGGTTACGATGCCTGAGTGGTGGGGTAATCCCGCAGCGGACATCTGCCGTCTGGATTCTTACCCCTTGATGTCGCCTAAAGGCGGCTTGGTCGATCCTTGGGCTCTTGATCCAAAAGCTGATGACGCCCCCATGTATAAGTTCCCCAAGTCATACGTCCCCTTTGTCTCCAAGTAAGGGAGGAGAAGGAGGTTTTCTTGATGAGACAGAGCATGTATGCCAAATACCAATTCCTCTCTCATTTGCACAATATTTTCGCAATAAACATAATACGCTTCGTGCTAACTCGCATATTATGATACCACTGTTCTTTTGATGTTTTGCTATTTGGCTCTCCTCCCCACCCTGCTAAACTACATGAACAGCAGGGAGGGCTGTTTGCTTGGTTGTATTTGTCACTTCTTTTTTTTTTTTTTTTTTTTTTTTTCGTTGTCATTGTTATTGTCCTGGGGATGTCGTTGTCCATGTCTATGTCTTCAACGTCCATGTCCACATCCATGTGCACATTTTGTTGTTCTCGAAAACGACGACGGTGTGCAAGGGTAGCATTGTGAGTTGAAAGGGTGGAGGTTGATTCGGGGTGCCTCGATACCGCCAAAAAAATAAAATAAAACAGAGATGAGTGCAGACGATGAGAGACGAACAAGGACATAGTACGGATCACGGAACAGTAGACGAGGAAGACGCATTCGGACGCGCGTTGCGGAAGTGGCAACAGCCATATGTATGGAAGTCGCATCCGACTACGCGAAGGAGGACGTGTTAACGATATATTGCATATATCCCATAGGCATCCGATTATGAAAGAAGGTAATCACCACAGCCGCAGATCATGGAAGCAGCATCCGGGGTCTTTGACACAAAGGGGAAAAAAAAGAACGTGCAGGGGTGTATGAGATTGACGAATCAGAATGCATGAAACATACGTATTGGTCTCACAGACAGATTCATGCATGGACCCATTTTTCGCTCACAAATAGACAGAAGAAAAGGAGAGAAGTCGTTGGTCACATATGAAGCGTATTGGATAGTTAGAAGAGTAGCGAAATAACGAACTCGAGTACCTTGATTGACTTTGAATCGTGCCCATTGTTGTAAGGGCTAGGCATATCTGGACCAAATCAAGAAAGATCAGCCCCCTGAAAAGACATGCGAATCGTCGGTAACTTTGATGGGCTCTCCTTCACCCCTTCAAAGCCATTGTTTGTTTTGGTTCTACGCTCATTTAAACTACTACGTTTAGAAAGTCAGCGTACCGAAGGTCATGGACCCATCGATAGTCCTTCCGCCGCCTATTTTAGAGTTGTTACCATCCTGGCCGTGCCCCTGTGCCATGACGTGTGTCCTTTTTTGTCTTTTCCTTTTCTACATCTCTCAGCACTGTGTGTTTCTGACCCACCCATACTGGTAGCGCACTTTCATTCAACCCTCATTTGTTTTCTTTTGATGTGTCGAGAAAGAAAAAAATCCTATCTTCCATCTTTCTTGTTCATTTTAACCTACTTCACTAGTTCGCGTCACCTCTACTACTGAAAAGTGAGACGAGCAGGAAGTGACAAAAGGATAATGTGAGGGTGAGGGCGAGTAAGGAGCAAGCCAATACAACGTAAAGGGAGAGACATGGCAAAGCACGATTAATCAGACAGGTCACTTTGTGACAAAATTGTACAAAGACTAGACAGCCTTGACCATGAGACATGATCGAAACTTATTCAGACACCCAACGGAACCCCCTTCCGGTGTGTTGATGGAGACCATTGCAGTCACTCCTCCCGAGATTGTGCAAAAAGCAAAAAAGCGACAACAAGAGTCAATGCAAGGCCAAGGAGTGAATGGCATGTAATAATAGGGGAAGCAGGCGCTCGTAGAAAGAGTATCTGTAGTTCCAAACACAGCCAACGGATGCTACTACCGAGAAAACTTACCAAGGATCCAACATTTGTTTATTTTGTTTGTGTGACATGTCCTTCCTACTTTACCATTGATTCGTCCATTCGACATTTCGCATCAAAAACGATTTTTGTCTTTTGGACATGCATCCATGTCTATGGGCATGTAATGTTCGTGGAAGTATGCAAGCCCGTTTCTTTCAGACACTCTAGTCCTCACACACACCGTCCTTCTACGCCCATAGTAATTTATCTTTTGTGTGCTTCCTCGGATTCCACATCCACATAACTCTATTTCTTGTGTTCGCGACTAGAATTGTATTCAAAGATTGCTAGCACCAAAAAAAAAATACAATTTGAAAATGGAAGGTGCAGCACCTCATGTCGACCTCGTTCTGGCTGAAGGACAAATACAAACGATGAATGTTGTGTTTGGGTAATTTCATGTCTTCAAGTTGAATGCAAGCGAGCGAGAGGAAAACAATGTTGTGTTTTCGAATCGAGGAAGAGAAAGGAAAACAACGTTATTGTGTCTTCAACTTGGCCTTAAGAGAGATAAACAAAGTTCTTGTGTCGGTAAGTTGATAATAAAGATGGTGCACTTTCTCTTTACAGGCCAGAACGGGGCCTTCCATCATCAACGCCCATTAGGACCAATCTGTTATAAAAGACACCCGTCACCCCGATTCATTTTAACCTTTGTCTACGGCTGCCCTCCCTCTTCCTCATCTTACAAGACCCTCTCGCCCCCTCTACTACCTCACTTCATCTCGCCTTACTTCCTATCACTCCCACCCGCGTTCCCGCCATGACCGACCACAAGCAGGAATTAGCTGCTGAAAATGACTTCATCGACGAAAAGTTCGATGCTGAGCGCGCCTCCGTCGTCCTCGAGGAGGAAGAGAACTCTCCCATCCCCGAGGTTGCTGCTATCGTCTCCAACAAGGATGAACCCGACCTCCCAGTCATGACCTTCCGTTACTGGGTCATGTCTGTCCTCTTCTGCTGCCTCCTTTCTTTCTTCAACCAGTTCTTGTAAGTAGAGCATTTTCTTGCTTATTAATACTGTGCTGCTTTCTTAGGTATATATTTCTTACTGTGAATCGCTTTACAACACTTTCCCCCATATTAAATCATAGCTGGTTCCGCTCCAAGCCCATGACCCTCTCAACCTTGGTCATCCAGCTGATCTCATATCCCTTCGGAAAGTTTATGGCCCGCGTCCTCCCCTCCGGTCCCCTCAACCCTGGCCCCTTCAACATTAAGGAGCATGTCTTGATCTCCTTGACCGCCAACTGCGCTGGTGGTGTTGCCTATGCCGTCGACATCACCGTCATCCAAAAGATATTCTATCACCAGGACCACGGCTTCCTCGCCAACTGGCTCCTTATTCTCACCACCCAGACCTTGGGTTTCGGTATGGCTGGTGTCCTCCGTCGTTACCTCGTCTACCCTGCCGCCATGATCTGGCCCTCCAACCTGGTCCAAGTCGCTATGTTCAACACTCTTCACAAGGACGAGAATCTCCTCCCCGGCCAGTGGTCCCGCTTCAAGTTCTTCTGTGTTGCAACAATTGCCATGTTCTTCTACCAGTGGATCCCTGGCTTCATCTTCCCCGTCGTCTCCTCCATTGCTTGGGTCTGTTGGATCAACCCCAAGAACCATGTTCTCTCTCAGATCGGTGGTGCCAACGGTCTCGGTGTTGGTGCCATCTCTCTCGACTGGAATAACATCGTTGCCTTCTTGGGTTCCCCCTTGGTCGTCCCCTGGTGGGCTCAGGTCAACATTGCCTTGGGTTTCTTCCTCATCGCCTGGGTCATGGTCCCTATCGCCTACTACAACAACTTGTGGGACGCCCACCGATTCCCTATCCTCAACGGCAAACTCTTTACGATGAATGGTGATGACTACCCCGTTCTCAGTGTTCTTGACACGGAGACCTTGTCCTTGTCCCGACCTGATTATGATTCCTTTGGACCCCTTCGTATCTCCACCTTCTTTGCTCTCACCTATGGTATTGGTTTTGCTGGCCTTACTTCGATGATCACCCACACCTGGTTGTACCATCGCCACAAGTTGGTTGCTCAATGGAAGCAGTCTCGCACCCAGTCTGAAGATATCCACCACAAGCTCATGCAGGCCTACCCTGAGGTCCCTGACTGGTGGTACGGCGCATTGTTCGTCGGTATGACCGCCTTTTCTATCTTCACCTGCCAGTACTACAAATACATGCCTTGGTGGGCTGTGCTTTTGGCCATCCTTCTGGCTGTCATCTTTGCTCTCCCCGTCGGTCTCATTCAGGCCTTGACCAACCAGCAACCTGGTCTTAACATTATCACCGAGTACGTTATCGGCTACATTCTCCCCGGTGAGCCCATTCCCAACGTCACCTTTAAGACCCTCGGTTACATTTCCATGTCTCAGGCTATGCTTTTCACCTCGGATCTCAAGCTCGGTCACTACATGAAAGTCCCTCCCAAAGCCATGTTCTGGGCACAGCTTATGGGTACCATTATCGCCGGAACCATCAACCTGGTCACCGCCAACTGGCTCCTGAACTCCCAGAAGGACGTCTGCACCAAGAACAAGGAGTTCGGGTGCCCCACGGCCAACATCTTCTACTCTGCCTCCGTCATCTGGGGAGTCGTCTCCCCCAACCTGATGTTTGGACCCTCTTCAATGTACAACGCCATCAACTTCTTCTTCTTGCTCGGTTTCGTCCTCCCCCTCCCCTTCTACTTTATCAAGAAGGCTTACCCCAACACCTGGTTGGACTATGTCCACATTCCCGTCATGTTGTCCGCTACTGGAATGATGCCCCCAGCTCAGGCCTACCACTACACCAACTGGTTGGCTCTAGGTTTCGCCTTCCAGTTCTTTGCTCGTCGTTATCGATCCGAGTGGCACTTGCGCTTCACTTACATCTTATCGGCAGCCTTCGACTCTGGTGTCGCCTTTATGGGTCTCCTCTCCTTCTTCATCTTCAGTCTCAACGACATCAAGATGCCTGTCTGGTGGGGCAACCCCAAGGCCGAGATCTGTCGTTTGGACACGTACCCCCTGATGGCGCCAAAGGGTGGCTTGGTCGACCCTTGGGCCCCAAATCCAGAGGCCGAGGATGCACCCCAGTACGTTTTCCCAAAGGCTTACGTCCCCTTCGTCCCCAAGTGAGGGTTATCTCTTTTCCAAGAAGAGGTGTGTTTCCATACCCAACTCCTTTCTTTAATATCTAGTTTTCTTCATCACAAGGACACTATGGATTGAACTCGCCTTCTGCGATAATAAACTTCATGCATTTGATGCTTAACAAAAGGCTGCCCCTTCGAATTTTTGGGTGCTTTTTATTTTTATTATTACTCACTTGCTTTATTTCCGATCTCTGGGAGAACAACGCTCTTGTTCATACTTTTTTTCTAGTTGACCTATTGATGTAGGGTGGGGCGATGACACAATCAGTGAACATATGGCAACGCATGGGTTAAGGACAAACAGATTCATAGGTAATGAGCCGAGGAGGCCTTTCAAGTCTAAATTATCACATGGTGTTCGTTACATTTCTACAGATCTTGACGATATCCACAGCGACCATTAGATAAGAATGTATGTATGATATCAAGCATGTAAAACAACCACTATAGCATGCCTTGTGTCACCATCCTACTAAACACCATGACATTCTACAAACAACAAATTTTTATTTTTCGCACGCCAATCTCTTGAATGTCTCCATCTACTATTAAACTGTACCCACCACTGCAAGATTCAGCAGAGTAGTTCTTGTATGTGATCATCTTAAGCACTTGTACTCTCAACTATATCTTTGTCGTGAAATACAAGGGAGAGATTACATTTTAAAAATGCTTGTGCTGTCTGCTGCTATTTTATTCTATGTTCTGTTGCCGACTATGAAGAGATATATCAGTTATGGAAGTCAACACTTCGTTCCTTGGGCTTTGGATATTTTTTATATGCTTTTTTACAACCTTTGCACATGGAGGGGCCGCCTAGTCAACTACAGGAAAGAAGGCCAGGTCTCTCCTTCATAGGTGGTCTATGTCGGTCTCACTCTCGTTTCTGTTATCCTCGTCCTCGCCTCGTCGTTTTGCACAAGGTGATAATTTTCTACTGGCTCCTGCGCTCTCAAAAGGACATCTGCAACGACTCCAAGGAATTCGCATGCCCCCACGCCAACACCTTCTACTCTGCCTCCGTCTTTCTCGAACCAATTAAAAATAAGGGAGCTTAATGAGATCATTCATCATATGGTCCCTTCAATGAATGTAGACCACCGATTCACAACATCATACTATCCAAGAGCCAACGGATTCGGTGAAAGACAAGTATGGTCATTTAAAGAAACGTTAGAGAAGGATCTTGAGGGACAAGCAACTCTCTGGGACATTAATCTCCCGATGGTACAATATCAAATGAAATGAACACTCGTGTAGCTCAATTGCACAGCTTTACCCCATTCTCTTTATTTGTCGGAAGATTAGTTGCAAACCTACAGGCATCACAGATTCTTCATCTGCCGAGTCTCGTCTTTTGACTGACGAGTAATTAAACGCGCAGAAAGGAATTATCGTGAATCATTTGTCCTTGTTCTCTGTCCAGTCTCTGCTCGTTTTTTACCCTTTCCTTCTTCGATTGCACTCTCATCACTTTGATGAATCTTGTCCCTCTCCCCTATTACCTTTTTATTTTTATTTTTGTTTAATCTGCTACCCTCGATCTTCCGTCCTTCCATCCTTTCTCGCTTTTTTTTTTAAACCCACAACACCAAACCAAAGGAAGTACCAACATTCGTCTCTAAGTATCATGCACCATACATCAACTGGTATGCCTCAACCTTTTCTGCATGAAAAAAAACCCCAACGACGCGCCCGCGGGTAACCCTGTAACCTTAATATAGAGGCAATCCATGGCCCCGTTCAAGTAGGAGGGGTAGAAAACAGCTCTCCTAGGAACACACACACTCTCACTCTCACTCAGACTCACATCTTTCCCTTGAACAACACACACACCTCCCTTTTGTATACAACCCTTTCTCCCTCGGAGCCGTACACAAGTTTGCTTTTCCCAACACCCTCATCGGACCCTTTCATAAGTTTACATTTCCCAACACCCTCATCCCGTTGCCACCATCGGCGTCCTTGGCCTCTGGACCTAGAATGCCCTGAGTCATGCCTACGGTACCTTCGATGTACTGGGGAGTCGTGTCGATGGCGGTCTTACAGCGCACAAGACCCACTTCAACAATGTCCGAAATCATATGTGAGATTGCATCCGGTGGAGTAAGGATTATTGGATTTCTCCAAGGTAGGGGCTGGCCAGTGGTGCTATGTCAAACCAAAAGAGAGTTCGTGAAAGTGCATACCCTCGGATAGGACGGAGGGTGCATCCGACTATTAATTTCTTTATTTGTCTGAGTTTGTATGCGTGTGTGTAACATCATCTGCCTTTGCTTGCCTTCAATTCGTCCATGATCTCTCCTATCTCGGATGGCTGTTCCATGTTTTACGGGTCATGGACCCGGAATTTCTCTCCATTTGGCAGACAGATTTAATGCAAGCGAAATACAACTGGTTAACGTTTTTTTTCCCTGGATTATTGTGGTACTCGGATACAATACCCGAGAACCTGTTCATAGCCTTTAACTTCCTGCAAATCTCTCATGATTGTGCGAGGCCAAACATGTCGACTTCAAAGAAATCTATTCCCGCGCTGTCGCTCCTTACACTTGTCATCGTTTCAAGAGGGAAAGGGTGGCGAGTCTTCCACCTACAGCAAGGAGCCCCTCTCTATTGCGTTCAATTCCTTTAAAAGACGTTCTTTCCCTTACTTTTTTTCCCCCTTGTCCACAGTTGTCCTTCCTTCCTCTCATACAACAAGACCCTCCCTTCTCTCCTCCTCTCATCTCTTCGCCAATCCCTTCCTTCATCACTTTCTCCACCCACATCCATCATCATGACTGAGAAGCAAGAGTACCTTGCTGAAAATGACTTCATCGACGAGAAGGTCGATGCTGAGCGCGCATCCATCGTCCTCGAGGAGGAAGAGAACTCTCCCATCCCTGAGGTCGCTGCTATCGTCTCCAACAAAGATGAACCCAACCTCCCCACCATGACCTTCCGTTTCTGGGTCATGGCCGTCCTTTTCTCCTGTCTCCTCTCCTTCTTCAACCAATTCTTGTAAGGCCAACCATGTCCGTACTTTCCTCATCAACGCTATGCAAGTAAAGCAAAAAACAACAACAAATCTCGATACCGGTTCTCACCATTCATTTAATTTTTACCATTGGTTTATAGCTGGTTCCGGAGCAACCCCATGACCCTCTCCACCTTGGTTATTCAGCTCATCTCATATCCCTTTGGAAAGCTCATGGCTCGTGTCCTCCCAGCTGGTCGCCTCAACCCCGGTCCCTTCAACATCAAGGAGCATGTCTTGATCGCTCTTACCGCCAACTGCGCTGGTGGTACCGCCTACGCTGTCGACATCACCGTCATCCAGAAAGTCTTTTATGGCCAGGACCACGGCTTCCTCGCCAACTGGCTCCTTATTCTCACCACCCAGACCTTGGGTTTCGGTATGGCTGGTGTCCTCCGTCGTTACCTCGTCTACCCTGCTGCCATGATCTGGCCCGCCAACTTGGTCCAAGTCGCCCTTTTCAATACTCTTCACAAGGAGGAAGATATCCTACCTGGCCAGTGGTCTCGTTTCAAGTTCTTCTGTGTCGCCACTGTTGTCATGTTCTTCTACCAGTGGATCCCTGGTTTCATCTTCCCCGTCCTCTCCTCCATTGCTTGGGTCTGCTGGATCGACCCCAAGAACCCTGTTCTCTCACAGATTGGAGGTCCCAAAGGTATGGGTGTTGGAGCCATCTCTCTTGACTGGAATAACATCGTCTCGTACTTGGGTTCCCCCTTGGTCGTTCCTTGGTGGGCTCAGGTCAACATTGCCTTGGGCTTCTTCCTCCTCGCCTGGGTCCTGGTTCCTATTGCCTACTACACCAACATGTGGGATGCCCAGCGATTCCCAATGTACGGTAGCGCTCTCTTTAAGACAACCGGCGATCCTTACCCCGTCCTCAGCGTTCTTAACAAGGAGACCTTGACCTTGTCCCAGGAAGGATATCAAGCGGCTGGGTCTCTCCGTATCGCAACCTTCTTCGCTCTCGAATACGGTGTCGGTTTCGCCTGTCTTACCTCGATGATGACCCACACCTGGTTGTACCATCGTCACAAGCTTGTCGCCCAGTGGAAGCAGTCTCGCACTCAGTCTGAGGATATCCACCACAAGCTCATGCAGGCCTACCCCGAGGTCCCTGACTGGTGGTACGGCGCATTGTTCTTCGGCATGACCGCTGTTGGCATCTTCACCTGCCAGTTTTATGGCTACATGCCCTGGTGGGCCGTTCTTTTGGCCATCCTTCTGGCTGTCATTTTTGCTCTCCCCGTCGGTCTCATCCAGGCCTTGACCAACCAGCAACCTGGTCTCAACATCATTACGGAGTATACCATTGGTTACATCTTGCCCGGCGATCCCATTGCCAATGTCACCTTCAAGACACTTGGTTACATCACCATGGCTCAGGCCATGACCTTCACCTCGGATCTCAAGCTCGGCCATTACATGAAGGTCCCCCCACGCTCCATGTTCTGGGCCCAGCTTCTTGGTACTGTCATCGCCGGAACCATCAACCTGGTCACCGCCAACTGGCTCTTGAACTCCCAAAAGGACATTTGCACCACGAGCAAGGAGTTTGGATGTCCCAACGCCAACACCTTCTATTCAGCTTCGGTCATTTGGGGTGTCATCGCTCCCAAACTGATGTTCGGCCCTACATCCATCTACACCACGATCAACTACTTCTTCCTCATCGGCCTCGTCCTCCCCATCCCGTTTTACTTTATCAAGAAGGCCTACCCCAACACCTGGTTGGACTATGTTCACGTCCCTGTCATGTTGTCCGCAACCGGCATGATGCCCCCCGCATACCCTTACCACTACACCAACTGGTTGGCTCTCGGTTTCATCTTCCAGTTCTTCGCTCGCCGCTATCGTTCTGAGTGGCACTTGCGTTTCACCTACGTCATGTCTGCTGCCTTCGACTCTGGTGTCGCCTTTATGGGGCTCCTTTCGTTCTTCATCTTCAGTCTCAACAACATCGAGATGCCTGTCTGGTGGGGTAATCCTGCTCAGAACATCTGCCGCCTGGATAATTACCCATTGATGCAACCCGCGGGCGGCAAGGTTGACCCTTGGGCCGCCGATCCCACTGCCCCTGACGCCCCTAAGTACCAGTTCTCCAAGCCATACAAGCCCTAAGTGGCTTGTTTCCAAATAGCGGAGGTTATGATATCCAAACCCCCTTTTTTGGACACCATTAATGTGAATCGAGTGCCGATTTTTCTTTTATTTCCTTCTGAATAAAAACACATACTTGGATCTATATGCTATTTTTCATTGTTGAAATTGCTTGTTGCTTTCGAATGGTCTATGTCTACGTTCGAGACAAACTATCCATATTACATTGGTTACAGCACAGGTGAGGAATAGGGATGAAAGGAGTGTTGCCTATCAAAGATATTCAGTCCGATTACTGGTCTGGTTTAGTCGCGTTGTCTCCGCAGCGACACGTCAAGAAAGAACGAAGAATCACTTTTGATCAGTTTGAGCAAACGGTGGTACTACAGGCTGCTCATTAGTGATATCTTACGCAGATAATACCCACCCTCAGCGGCGCAAGGATTATTGACGCGAAGATTAAATCTGAATACTTGATAGGGAAGAGAAGAAAGTGAGGTGCCATTGTGAAAGCAATACATTCATGGGTGCAATATCGACTGCTGCCACCCAATTCGACCAGTTTTTTGTTTTTTTATGTCTTTCGATCCAGTAGTCTGCAGGTGACAAGTATTATTTCTGTGTCAGGAAGCACACGTGTGGGGGGCTCAGCGCAGCGCAGTAACTGGCACAGCAACAGTAGCAATCGTGAGTGGGACTACCGAAACCAAGCAACACCGTTAACAGCTGAAATTACTTGGTACATTGGTGGCGCGCAGCGTAGGGGGCTCGACCTGTGTCAGTGTGTGCAAGCATTACGGTATTAATTGCCGCATGGCACAGGATAGATTTATGAGAAATGGGTCGAGATTGACAATGGGATCAAGCACGGATCAGCTTCGGGGTATATCATAAGTACAGGATGCCATGGAGATATATAATATACATCCTTCATCACATGCCCTTGCATTCATTTGTGGGAAAGCAGAATGGAAGAGGCACAGTGCATATGATCGATGCCTGCTGATCAGAGTGACGAACGTGAGAAAAGTGGCAAAATGAATTCGGATGGAGGGCCGTAGAGGGCCCATCCCGGCGGGCTCTCTACTATCTCAGGAAAAATGCTGCATTCGGACCATCTTGCCAAGAACAAGCACCAGAAAAATGCCTCAGCAAAAATCGTAATGTACGTTCGTGGAACAGTATAGGTATCGACCGACAACACACAAGGCCCTCGGAAATGACCGAGGATCATCCGAATACTTCTTTCTCTATTGTCTGTGCCTGTGCATGTGTGTAACATCATCCACCACTGCTTTCCTTGGTGTGTTCCTTCTCATCGCGGATGGTACATCCATTTCTACGGGTCATGGACCCAAATTTCGCCTCGTTTGGGTGTTAACATTTCTTATCTTGCAGAATACTACAGCACCCGGCATCTTTGCCATTAGTTTTGTTAGAGTCGGATTCGAAACCGAGAACCCTCGTTATACTTTTGCCCTTTTGCCTTTCCTCGCTCGCTGCCTTTCCTCTCATATTCGCTTGTTTGATCAAACAGCGATGGTTCAGGCCACAGTCATTTGTGGTGTCTCGCTCGGACAAAATGATCGGTCAGGTAAAGAATGTTCGACGCGAAGGTGAATATGTTCACTCTACAAGATAATGAGGAAGATGAAGCCAGAGACATTGAAGAGATCACCAAGAGCGACCAATGCATTTCTTGTCTTTCTCCACTGAACAGTCATGTGACGAGAACCCCTATTATCGCGTCCACGAGCGTGAAGAAAGAAGAGAGCTTGTCGACTTGGCGTTATTGTTCTTCCTCAACGACGACGAAGGATTCATCACGCCAATGCCCTCAAGCAAAGAAGCTGCTCGACATTTTTTTGCTTTCATCCATCTCTTTTCTTGACCCATCGCCATCACCTCCAACTTCTTTGCACTTTATCCTCCCTCATCCTGATTCCCCTTGTCCGGTAGAGATTCTCTCCATGCAGGACTCAACCATGAACGACGTTGTTGAATGAGCAGACACTGGCATCACCCTTTGTTCTTTGTGCGCTTTTGTCGTCTCCTTATTGACCTCAACACACACAATCTAATACCTTCAACCTTATCTGGGGCCTTGCCAATGATAGCATTCGAACCCTCACCGTTTATTAACCGTGTGTCCCTTGTTTCTCTTTGTTTGGATGATCGTGCTACGCATTGTTGCCAAAATGTCTAGTACGCAGCGCTTGCGAGCAAATCTTCTCCCTTCCCGCAGGCTCATGTCCCACAGCCTGTCACCAAGAGCAAGGTGAAATTTAAAATGTTTAAAATGTTTAAAATGTTTAAAATGTTTGCCAAGAAACGACGAAAGTAGATCAAGAAAAAGTACGATCCGCATTTGGAGTATGATTGGCGCATAGGTGCCCAATCCAATAGGGTTCGTTCCTGTATCACCATGAGTGCTCGGATCCGCCTTCCAGCATTGAAGATTAAGATTCGTTCATAGCCAAGAGAGTCGACATGGATAGTGTACCATGGCTCAATAGGTGATTTATTCAACGACTTGAAGTCTCTTGAGATCCATCCATTTTCATTCGCCAGGTTGTCTCTTTCACATCACTGAGGTTGCTTCCGGGTTCAGTGTTATATGCGGTTAAGTATCCGCAGTATTACGCCCTTGATGCACCGATGCGCCTGCCTCATTCCTTACCTTTCTCTCTGGTCCTCTTCAATGAAAACAACAAAAGAGAAAAAAAAGGCTCCAATGGTACTTTCCCATGTACTCCATACTTCTCTCTTCCACGCATTGGTTATTTTGTTATCCGCTACTTCGTTACCGAGGGAGAGATTCCATGTCCTTGAATGGTCACTTCTATCCTTTTATGGTTCCCTTTTTGATCGTGGAGTCCGATTCTTTATAAAAGCCATCCATCCATCCGCCTCTTTTTTCATTCCTTGTCCACGGTTGCCCTTCCCTCCTCTCACCCAACAAGACCTTTCCTCCTCTTATCCAACAAGACCCTCCCTTTTCTCCTCCTCCCTTCTCTTCGCCAATCCCTTCCTTCATCATTTTCTCCACCCACATCCATCATCATGACTGAGAAGCAAGAGTACCTTGCTGAAAATGACTTCATCGACGAGAAGGTCGACGCTGAGCGCGCATCCATCGTCCTCGAGGAGGAAGAGAACTCTCCCATCCCCGAGGTCGCTGCTATCGTCTCCAACAAGGATGAGCCCGGACTGCCTGTCATGACCTTCCGTTACTGGGTCATGGCCGTCCTCTTCTCTTGCCTCCTTTCCTTCTTCAATCAGTTCTTGTAAGTCCGACATGTCCTATTCTCGCACTATTCTCCCTGGCACCATGCAAAATATCCCCCCCTGCATCCTTTCTCATCTTTCATGTCTTTTTCACCTTTCGTCCATAGCTGGTTCCGCACCCACCCCATGACCCTCTCGACTTTGGTCATCCAGCTTCTCTCTTACCCTTTCGGACGCTTCATGGCCCGTGTTCTCCCTGAAGGTCCTCTCAACCCTGGTCCCTTCAACATCAAGGAGCATGTCCTCGTCGCCTTGACCGCCAACTGCGCTGGTGGTACCGCCTACGCTGTCGACATCACCGTAATCCAAAAGGTTTTCTATGGCCAGGATTTCGGTTTCCTTGCCAACTTCCTCCTCATTCTCACCACCCAGATGTTGGGTTTCGGTATGGCTGGTGTCCTCCGTCGTTACCTCGTCTACCCTGCCGCCATGATCTGACCCTCGAATTTGGTCCAAGTCGCCATGTTCAACACTCTCCACAGGGAGGAGGAGCTCCTCCCTGGTCAGTGGTCTCGTTTCAAGTTCTTTATTATTGCAACTATTGCCATGTTCTTCTACCAGTGGATCCCTGGCTTCCTCTTCCCCGTCGTCTCCTCCATTGCTTGGGTCTGCTGGATCAACCCCAAGAACCACGTTCTCTCTCAGATCGGTGGTTCTAACGGTCTTGGTGTTGGTGCTATCTCTCTTGACTGGAACAATATTGTCGCTTATTTGGGTTCTCCCTTGGTTGTTCCCTGGTGGGCCCAGGTGAACATCGCCTTGGGCTTCTTCCTCATCGCTTGGATCATGGTCCCTATCGCCTACTACACCAACATGTGGGAGGCACAGCGATTCCCCATCCTCACTTCCAAGCTCTTCACTGTTGATGGTGAAAAATACCCCGTCCTCAGCGTCCTCAATCCAGCTACCGCATCTTTGTCCCAGGCTGGTTACGAGCAAGCTGGACCTCTTCGCATCGCCACCTTCTTTGCTCTTGCCTATGGTATCGGTTTTGCTGGTCTCTCTTCCATGATCACCCACACCTGGTTGTACCATCGTCACAAGCTTGTCGCCCAGTGGAAGCAGTCTCGCACTCAGTCTGAAGATATTCACCACAAGCTCATGCAGGCCTACCCTGAGGTCCCTGACTGGTGGTACGGCGCATTGTTCGTTGGAATGACCGCCCTTGCCATCTTCACCTGCCAGTTCTACGGTTACATGCCCTGGTGGGCCGTTCTTTTGGCCATCCTTCTGGCTGTCGTCTTTGCTCTTCCCGTCGGTCTTATTCAAGCCTTGACCAACCAGCAACCCGGTCTTAACATCATCACCGAGTACGTTATCGGTTATATTCTTCCCGGTGAGCCTATTCCCAACGTCACCTTCAAGACCCTCGGTTACATCTCCATGAGCCAAGCTATGACCTTCACTTCAGATCTCAAACTTGGCCACTATATGAAGGTTCCCCCACGCGCCATGTTCTGGGCCCAGCTCCTCGGCACCTTCATCGCCGGTCTCATCAACCTGGTCACCGCCAACTGGCTCCTGAACTCCCAGAAGGACATTTGCAACGGCTCCAAGGAATTCGCATGCCCCCACGCCAACACCTTCTACTCTGCCTCCGTCATCTGGGGAGTTATTGCTCCTAACCTGATGTTCGGCCCCACTTCCATCTACAACGCCATCAACTTCTTCTTCCTCATCGGTTTCCTTTTGCCAATCCCCTTCTTCTGGTTTAAGAAGTGGTTCCCAAACACCTGGATCGACCAAGTCCATATCCCAGTCATGTTAGCTGCCACCGGTTGGATGCCCCCAGCCCAGGCCTACAACTATACCAACTGGTTGGCTGTCGGGTTTGCATTCCAGTTCTTTGCCCGTCGCTACCACTCTGAATGGCACTTGCGCTTCACCTATGTCATGTCTGCTGCCTTCGATTCTGGTGTCGCCTTCTTTGGACTCCTTTCGTTCTTCATCCTCAGCATCAACAACATCAAGATGCCTATCTGGTGGGGCAACCCCGAGACCGAGATCTGTCGTCTGGACGGTTACCCTTTGATGTCGCCCAAGGGTGGTATGATCGACCCTTGGGCCCCCAATCCGGAGGCTGATGATGCACCCCAGTATAACTTCCCTAAGGCCTACGTCGCACCCAAGTTGTAAACGACTGGAGATGTAACCAACACGGTTGTTATTATATATATCAGTGAAACCAAGTGAACGCTTTGTGCTTCATTCTTGCAAATAATATATCTTTTATCCTCATCAGATTCATTTTCACTTATTTGATTATATTTTTTGGATGATCTTATTCTCCAGCCCTGTGCATTCTTATTCGCACACCCTGTCGGAATAAGATGTTTTTTTTTTGTTTTCACAGGGTGTGCCCTCCTATCCAAGACAGTGGCTGTGTGAATAAGACCCGTATCCTTTCCGCACAGGACTGTGTAGATGCATGCTGAACAGCTGAATTATTATTTTCTTTTGAGTGAAACTAGCCCACAGGGTTTTCACTTTGAGGACAGAAAGACCTTAAGATAATTAAGAACCAGCATGGTAGTGCATAATTCTGTCTTCCCCCCCTTCTTTTTACTGCTAACATGGACTTGGCAGATTTAAAAGGGATTCGGGTTTCCGGGGGTATCGTCGTTACGTCGCAAGACCTTGTTGAGGATGCTGGTCGTCCCATTCTTCAAGACCGCACCTTTACAGCGATTTGGAGATTCTATAAGTATACGACTGGAAAGCGCGTCAAGGACTCTTTTTGGCACATTTCAAACTGGATCCCCACTAGGCCGATTGAACAAGTCCCCGTTCTCACTCGCGGATGGCGCACTGAAGAGTTTGGTCTGTAGTTTCCTTTGCATCAAAATGCCACCTTTGCCTTGTTTGTCAGAGAAATAAATTGTGTACAAAAAAGGGGAGCAAGAAAGGCTTGTAGGAAGAAAAAAAAAGAGGTTAGAAAGGGATCAAATTATGGACAAGGGTACAGAGGTGAGTAGAGCGATCTGAATGTAAATGGATGGTAGTCAGTATGATTGCAGGTAAACAATGGTTCAATTTGCGAAATAGGAATAAAACTAAAGAATAAGTGAACTCCGAAACACCCTGTGGTCGGGACAAAAAATAAATATTTTTTGGCTTATTCACACAGCCCCTGTGAGAATAATAGTACACGGCCTTATGGGAATAGATTAATCCTTTTTTTTTTTTTTTTTTTTTTTTTTGGGGGGGGGAGGCGGTGCGCTAATATGTTATGTGTCTTTCCAATAGTCAGCGATGGCTGTTTGTTCAATAAAGTTCTCCTCTGGTTCCCAGGTAGTGGCCGCCCGGCTTTGGCTAGGACAAGAATCACACGTCATCGTGAGCGGTTCCCGTTTCAAGAACGAACTCGCAAAAAGCTCCATGCTCCGCCTCCTCGCATGAAACAGATGACACTCAAGTTCTATAAACAGCCCCCGAGACAAGCACCAAGTCTCCTCCCAAGCCGAAGACCAACGTCGAAAAGGCGCCTGCTTCGGCCAAGAAGCCCTTAGCAGAGATGAAGAAGGTTGTTCTTGTTCGGTCGCTTGCTTGGCGCCACCCAACAGTCAGCCTCGAGATGGGAACTATCAACGCCAACACCAAGAGAGTTTTTTTGGGTGGGCAGACATCAACAACCCCCTCTCCGACTACACCAGGATCTATCGCGCCCTTTCCAACGACGCCCACTCTGTCCTCGTCCGATCTACAGTGTTCAGTGGTGGAATGTTTGTAGGAGTGTTTCCGTCTGGCGGCCGGCAAAAAACGCGAGGCTCAGCGTCTTATTGGTATCTTCGTGGAGACACTACGCATTCGGACGGATTCCGCGGAAGAGGCCCTCAGGATCAAGCTGCCGCCCGGAAAGTTGACCGTGTCGGAAGAACAGCGCACTAAAGCGCGCAGAGGTGCTGCCTCGGGCACTGAGCGCGAGATCTTCGACCACCTGTGCGAGCGGATCAAGCCCAAGGATTATGTCGAGGATGACGATGAGGATGCCACCGACAAAAAGAGAGAGAACAACTCCGACCTCGTTGAGAAAGCGAATGACCAGGAGGGATTTTTCTCTCATTTCTCATCTTTCTCTACTCCGGCAACTATCCACGAGAGAGGGATTTGAAAGGATTCGGAGCGAGAGAGCTCTTGCCCAAGGACAAGGACGATGACAGGGACAAGGACAAGGGTAAGAAGGAGAAGACTAGCCTTGGAATTGTCGTCAACTATCTGATCGACTGGCTTGTCACCGGTCATTTCTACAAACCCAGTCGGAGGCGAGGTGAGATCGAAGTCAAGATGCCCTATACTCCCACGTACGTCGTTCGATCTGTGGCAGGTCAATTGGCTGTGGAGCTGAAGAAGCTTTACGGGAACGGAAGTCATGAACTGCGCAAGAAGGTATAGTGTCTCGAAGCACTCTTTATGATTGTCATGGCCGTTTTGCATTAGTAAAAGCATCTCTAATTTTCCTTATAGGTCCTGACCGTGCATAAGAAGGGCGTACTGGATGCCAGTATTGATATCGTGATCCAGGAGCAGGTCTCGGCCTTCGAAAACTTCTTGTTCCTCAACAAGCTCACCAGCAGCAGCAGGCGAATAGTACCTCTCACTACCTCACACCAGCCGTTTGTATCGTTTTCAGAACGTGAGTCAGGGTCGCTCTTTGGAAGAGAGAGGTGCTAAAGCAGAGACTTTGTGAGTTGGCCCTCCAGAGCAGTACCTTAATTTACAACACTTGGGAACTCGACAGCTGGATTGGATCCAAGGAGCCAGGCTTTATTATCAAGCATTTCATCTGTGATGTTGGCTCGGAGGGATTGACCAGCAGACAGAAGAAGAAGGCTGGACATCGACCAGCTGTCTGGACGCGCTGGATGATATTCGGTCGCATTTGCAGCAGTTCCTGCAGGAGGATGAGAAGGTCAAGAAGAATATCAAGGATGATGATGAGGGCGTGTTCCACTGGGCTATGTACAAGGAGAAGGGCTATGTCCTTAGAGGGTCTATTCTCACAGACGGGTTCCGAGTGAAGTTGCAGTCGTTCAAGCTTCGCGAGTTGCAGGATGTGCGGTACCGTCGCTGGAAGGAAGATCGATTGCCATCCAGGCTGACCTCGACTGTGGGCGGGATTGACTTTTTTTTGCAGGAGATTCGCAACGTGCTTACCTGCAAGGAGGACATTGAACGATTGTGGCCAGGAGTCGATGTCAAGGACATCAGAACTTTAACCTTGGATGCTGGACAGGCCTGCATTATTGGAGCATTCGCTCATCTCCCCGAGGAAATTGCGAAGAGGGTAAGGGCAAGGAGGTTGCCAAGGATCTGTCTTCCAGCGACATGGAGGGCGTTGTCGCCACAGGACCTCTGGACCCTGCGTCTGTGTCAACATCATCAGTCTCCTCAGCGTCGACTATGGCAGCCTTGTTGACACCTCTTGATACCTCCGGCGGCTCCTCTTCTAACGACTCGGCTCCTCGATCTGCAAAGAATGTCTCATCGCCATCCATCCTACCTCAGCCCTCCACGGCCAACCCAGCCCTGTCACCAAGACCGGCATTCTACAATCTTGCTGTTAAAGCCAAGACCGTCTATCAACCCACTCTCAAATTTCGGAGATGAACGAAGAGCGATAAGGATAATATACCGGCCTGTGAGGACAGATCGATCACAGACATTGAGACACGCCTGCCCCCTCTGCGAGGTCCTTCGGCGAGCACTATCGACTATATCATATTGTCAATGAAAAAACGCTGTGCATAAGCAAGTAACTAACAAAATTCCTTCATACTTCATTTCAGGCTCGCTCACTTGGATATCTTGTTGTAGGCCTAAATGAATATTATACTAGCAAAAAGTGCCCTAGATGCGGACAGTTCGTGGGCCAGGTCGACATGAGACGCTTCTACTGCTCCCAATTCCAAGTTTTCCACCACAGGGACGTCATGGCAGCTGAGAACATGGCGAACATTGTACAGGGCTATCTCCTCGACTTGCAGCGCCTCGACTGTCTCCACCCAATCGCCCCAGATGGAAATATGCCCTGGAAGGAAGCAAGCAGCGGACTCGGAACCCCCTCCACCACAGGCCCCACCGCAACCAAAATCGCTGCTACTAGTGGCCCCACCAGGGTTGCCCTTCGGTCCAAAGGTCAGCGGAAACGATCGTCGACTGCTTCGAGTCTGAAGCAAGCCACCTCGAAGTCAGCAAGAAATTAGTGTAGCGTTTGAGTGTATCCGAAAATACACATTAGTGTAGGTAGGGGCAATGGATACGATGATGAGTCTCTTCGGTGACGTAATTACCGCGCCCATTGTCCAACCTCGCGCCATTTCCTCGCGTTCAGCCCCCTTTCGTTACCGAGGCGACAATTCCTCCTAGTTACTGGACCACCTTCCCCGCGTCGTTTCTATCGACCTTCTTCCACTGTTCGAATTTACTCTCCGTTTGTTTCTCAACGCTCCCATCTTTACACCTTCATTGCATTTGCCACGTTCCCACTCCCTTTTAATCCCTTGCCTTTCTTTCTTTCTTTTCCTTCAACCACACACTTCCTTTCATCCTTTCGCCTTTTTTTTCTTTCACCCCTCGACTTCTCCACACTTCTTTTTATTTGATTCTTCGCAACACCATGGCTGACAATAGCCAGAGTCTGTGGTGTATTGTTGACGGCGACCCCATGTTGAGAGCCTTCGAACTGGTCATACCATCGAGTGTGACTACTCTTGGTCAACTCAGAAGCTACATTCATCTCAGAAAGCCTATCTGGTTTAAGTATCTGGAAGCAGAAGATCTCACCCTTTGGAGCGTCTCGATCCCAATCACAAAAGACAACGAGGACACTCCCATCCTGCTCGAAGATGTCCCCAGCAGCGACAAGAACAAGCTCGGTCCAACAGACGATGTTTCCGAGTTGTTTCAACAAGTACCACTCAAGAAAACGATACACGTCATTGTTCAGCGACCCCCACCAGGTACAGTATCCTTGCGCTCTCTAACCAAGCCTTATCATGTAGCATAAGCTGGTTCATTTTACTGACTTTATTGCATGTATTCCATCGTGGTCCGCGTTGCATGCATTAGCTGTGACAATGAAGAGACTGCTTGAGCAAGGTAAATGCTGGTTTGATACATCTCTCTGTATGAACCATCCCTACATTACAAACTTCATATTCTCCAGTTTTTTTCATCAAATAATAGATCCTCAGTATTTGCCTCAGAAGAAGAGGATTCGTATTGAGGAAGGTTGGAAGCCATTTACGGCATCTGACGGAATCCTAGTGGATTTGCCTCCCTATTGGATCGACATACTTGCGAGCACCGAATTTGTACCCAAACCGCGAGCAGCCTTCGATCACCTCAAAGGCAACCTCCAAGCTGGCGACGCAATCATTGTACCGAGTATGGGTCAAAACCCCAAGGACTTTGGACTTTACGGCCAAGATCACAACCTTTTCGTCACCGAGCAAATGCTGGAACTTTGGGATGAAATGCGTGGTGACCAAGAGTTTACGTACAGACGAATCCTGTCCGGTCCGATGGGTGTTGGCAAGTCGTATCTCTCCTATTTCCTCGCAGCAAGGGCGTATGCTGAAGGGTGGCTTGTCCTCTACATTTCGGATGCCGGAGTGTTGGACAAGAACAAGCAGGACGAGTCAGCATTGCAGGCGGTCAAGCGATTCCTGGCACTCAACAAGGATATTTTGACCGGCGCCGAGATGGAGATGCTCGTGAACGACTACAACGGCACGGACGACATATCAGGGAATGCTATGTCAGTAATCTTCGGGACGCTACTCAAGTCGCGGGATCGGAAGACGCTGTTGCTTGTTGACGAGCATGGAAAGTTGTTTGAAAAGGAGCCTTACGTTCCGGACAAGTTCAGGTCGCTGGTTCCTCTCTTGTTATACAACTGGTGGGGTGAGGACGCCAAGGGGTCTCGGGTGGTTTTCACTGGCACCGCGCACGCCAAGTACGAGATGGGGATCCTGGAGGAGAGCTATAGGTTCACGTCGTTGGTTCTTGTCGGCCCGCTATCAATGCATGTATTCTCCAAGCTACTGGACATGTACCCTCGCCTGGCAGCACCAGCCATCAGAAAGGAGGTCACAGCAATCACGAACTGTGTTCCGCGAGAGCTTGTGCATCTGTCAGTCTATCTCGAGCTTTTCCCGGATCCCATCGCTATAGACAACCTTCAAGTATGGACGAGCAAGCGAACCAAGGTCTTCCTATCGACCGCAAAGACGTACTACGAAAGTCGCACTCCGTTTAGGAAGAACGATTTCTACGAGGCCCTCGTGCATACGTTTCTTGGCAGCACTAGCATAGTCGATTTCGAATGGGACTTCCTGGACCTAGGACTGATTTATCGGTGCAAGGACGTCGGTCGGATCGGAACACACCACCACATTTTATGCCGTCCCGCCCAGAGGGCTCTTCTAGAGCTGTTCAAGAATATTTCGCTCCCTGACGCTATCAAGAAGCGAATTTGTGACGGCAGCCTCGATGAGAACGAATTTGAGGGGGTACTGTATCATCAGCTCATATGCGCCACCAAACCAATTGTGCTCGGCACAACAGATCTCAACGGCAAAAACCCTGATACCATTTCACTGGATTTCTCCCTTTGTGAGACCCTCCGAGCCGGCATGACCTGCCTTGAATCCGACCACGAAATGGCTCTGACCCGCGGCTACGACAGTCACCCTCGATTTGACTTTATGCTTGGACCAATGTTCATGCAAGTATCCGTCAGCGACTTTGGAAAACACAATACGGCGTCGGCAGAACTCGGCAAGGCTTTCAACGACAGGGATAACAATGGGACGAATCAGATTGAGCGTTACCTAAACGATCTGTATGGTCCCGGTCACTCCGCGAAGATAGATAACAGCAAGTTTATTGTCACCAAGAACGGTGTGGATGTGCTTGGATTTCGCATAGTCTACATTTGTGGCTCTCCCGGCCAACCTTCGCACTCCAAATGGGTCAAGAAGTTCCCAGATGTTCGACATGTCTCCTTCGAGGAAGTCAAGGAGAATCTTTTCAAGAATATTGTTACAAGTCAGTCCTCCAAGTAGTAGCATCCTCTATGAAATTGTCTCGAACTGACTACAAATCTTGAAGTATTCCGTGTGTGCATGGTCATGGTTTCTTTGCCATCCTATGTTGTCACTTTCTTAGGCACCGTTGCCATTGCTCCCATGACCACCTAACATCTTTCATCTACTGTTCACTTTTACTTTTCAATCCACTCCTCGGCGCATCAATACATTCCTCCAACGAACGCGGATACTACTATACCTTGTAATCCGAAATTCAGAGATAAGATAGCGATGCAGAAGCGCAATTGGTGCTGCTGTCAATTAGACAGATGCGCTAATAAATATATTTCGCATAGTCATTAAGATATACATCAAATAGGTTGGGTTCAAACATTGTCCTTATAAGCATTCGACTGTTTTTCGGAAGAGAAAAGGCAGGGGACAACAACATGGAGAGGTACAAACGACAAACAAGGAACGCGGATCAAATTATCTCTTACAGGCCAAGGCATTTATTCACAACAGCAATCGGCTAGTACTCGTAGCCGAGATTCAAATCACCAATGGGCGTCCTCCTTGGATGAGGCCTAACTCGACTCTTCTATTACGACCGGTTCACCAAGTCTCGCGTCGAGTCGCCGAATATTACGAATATTAGGTGCCGTGCGAAAGAGTTCCTCGGCTGCAACTCTTGACAACTTCCGGAAACAATCCAGGCGCACATCCTTGAGTGTCGGAGCATGCTTCAATATAACCGCCATCAATAAGAGTCCAACCTCGTCTTCATCTCTCCTGCTCCAAGCTGTAGGACGATCCAGCGCCCTCCATCCTGCCTTGTTAGAATTCAGTAATTCTGCCAGCTCGGCGTCCAAACATTAGGCCCATTTTCGCATATATATAAAAATTTAGGTGCATAATTCGAGGACAGTACTGAGAGAGGAGTCTTGGTAGCGCGCGTTCACCATGCATGACAAGTAATGCCCTCCATGGTGGGGGACAACCCCGCAACAGAGATGTGTCCTTTGGACGCCTACCCCCTGATGTCGCCCAAGAGCGGCATGCAGGATCCTTGGGAGGCCGAGGGTGACAAGCATGTTTTCCCCATCGATTATGTCGCTCCCGCCATTGCTAGAAACAAATAAAGCGAGAGCCATGTTGAAATAGCTTTGATAGTAGCAAAGGAGATTAGAGTGAAAGTTCTAGAACGGTTTGAAATAATAATGTATGTTCTTTTGCCTGTGGAATGTGTTTCCCATTTCATATGGATTTGTGGGTGGTAGAGAGAACACAATGACTACTATGGCTCGCGCAATGGTTAAAGGAATATTTTACCTTAAGAAAGTAGCGAGGCCAAAATGAACAAAGAAGCTGCCCTTCTGGTATTAAGAAATCACGCGGACAACAGGAAGCGTTTTTATCGATCCCTTAGACAAACGCGTTTTATCAGTATCAATGATCAATGATATGACGGCAAATCATTGTCACGCGTCAGGAAGGAGTGGTGTAAATACCCCTCCTCCATTTTCTTCTTTCTTTTCCCGCCTTGGCTCCTTACATATGTTTTGTATAGTATGGTGAGTGCTCCTTCCCCTTTTCCCATATCTTTGTCCAAAGAGCCATTCCCTACTTCACTGGCAGTCTACTTTCAAAGGGCAAAAAGGGGGCAAAATGGTTTCTCTACCCATTAATCCATTACGAATAAGGGGTGTGTATTTGTAGAGAGGGAGAAAAGGATGGACTTACACCCCTTCTTTTTTTCAAAAAGCACAGATTCACACAGATGGCACACAGATGGCACACAGAGGCTATCCCATTTGGTTTTCTCACTCCCCTTTTTCCCATCCAACTCATTTTTCATTCCTCGGTTGCTCTCCCTAAACTTTTTTATTCCACTTTTCTCACTCTCCACTTTTCTCACTCTCCACTTTTCCTTTTCCTTTACTTTTTCTTCCTTATCGTTTTCCTTTTCTCCAGTCCCTTTTATCGCCTCGACACACACAAGACCAAAGAAGAGGATATCGCCAGAATGAGCAAGAAGCTGCAAGGATCCACAAAAGTGAACAAGCTCAAACATCACCAGAGTCCCAGCATCACTGATAAGTCCCTCTTCACCAAGGATCTCCTCGACCAAAATAGCAAGGACAGTCTTACTTCTGTTGTATCGACGTCGACCTCCCTTCCTTCCTCGGGTTCATCGTCTCGGTTACACCAGCGACGTTTCGGTGGGTTGGAGGATATCGACCAGGATGATCATCATCAAGAGGACGAAAGCAGGAGTCACCGTCGTACAACAAAACCGAAATCTCATGAGAGACCTAACAAACAGTCTTCGTCAGCCACTAAAGCGCCTGGAGCAACAGCAACAGCAACAGCAACAGCAACGACGACCACGACAATCAGAAACACTCTTTCGAGGCTGACTTCATTGTCGAGTTGGATCAACAACACTCCAGAGCAGGAGGCGACTAATCTGTGGTCGTGGGCGACTTCCAGTCGTGTGATCTGTTACGAGCGGCGACAACAGGAGGATCAGGAAGATGCGTTTGGCCTTGCCCGACACCAATTGGACCTCCAGACCCGATTCTTTATCAACCTTATCGACATTAGTACCAAGGACCAGCGGCAGCAGGATCGGAGGCAAACGAACAAAAAGATGACGGATGGTCATGCCACCATCGATGCTAATAATGTTAATGGCATCAGTACGGAGCGTGATAAAGAGAGTGCAAAGACGTTGTGGAACTTGTCCATGAGAACGGCAGCGTTTGATCTCACAACACAAGACTATGTAACCCTTTCGGTATTGACTGTTGCGACCCTGGGAGTGCGCTTCTGGAGAATCTCCTGGCCCGATGAAGTCATGTAAGCATTTCTTTTCTTTGATGGTTCGCGAAGAAGCTGTTCTTGTTGACTGCAAAATTATTTCTAACTCGCTACGAGTGAAAAATAGATTGGATGAGATGAATGTAGGCCAGTTGGTGAATGGGTACGCAAAAGGCGAGTTCGTATTGGATGCCCACCCTCCGCTCGGTAAGATGATCCTTGCTGGCGTCAGCTCGTTGTCGGATTACAGCGGATCCTTTGACTTTGAGGACATTGGCGAGTAAGTATATCGATGCAACTCTGTCTGTTGTTTGTATGCCCAGTGCTCTCTTTCTCATGTTTACTAACATTCGGCTCACTACGCAATTGCTCTCATGGATGATGATAGCCACTACCCGGGATGGGTTCCCTACGCGTCGATGCGAGCGACGATGGCCTTGATGGGCGCGGTCTGTGCCCCAATGGCATATGTAACCATCAAAGCCTCAGGACACGGCGCCCCCGCCGCCATCCTCGCTACCACCCTCGTTGCCTTCGGTATCATTTTTTTTTCATTCTGTGCCGCCCTCGTTACTTCCTGTTAGATACTGGCCGATGTGTAATAATTTTAACCCTCTGTGCGCTTTACCTTTATGAACCTCTGGTAGACAATGCGCTGACGGCAAACAACAGGATGATGGCTCTGGATGCACCGTTGATGTTCTTTACTGCGGCGACCATCATGTCCTGGAACTTGTTCATCAAGCAGTCTGCACGGTATGAGAAAACTCACGTTTTTGTGGTAATTTCTCCCTTATCCACCTTCCTATACTAAGAACAGGAAAATTTACTTTCGCGTATCGTTTTTTGTTCATATTTGGAGTAGACCATTTACGGGATTCTGGTGGACATGGTTGTTGGCGACAGGTGCTTCGACGGCGGGAGCCATGTCGGTCAAGCTGGTCGGAATTGTGAGTGCCGTGACAATACTCCACTTTATGTCCCTTAACCTATGGAGCCTCGCTCGCGACAAGTCCGTCGACACCGTAAGTCTTTTTATTCTTTCAAATATCACTCTATCATTCCTTTGAAGTATATGCATCGCAAAATCGACTAATCATATTCGCCTCTTCCTTACTATAGGGGATGTGGATGAAACATTTTGCTGCTCGTGTAGGTGCTCTGGTAGCCCTCCCTCTCACGTTATACCTCCTCATCTTTCACATCCACTTCACCAACGAGACTCACCAACCCGACTACCGGACCTTCTCTCATACAGAATCAGACCTCGACCAACTCAGCCGCCTTTACCGCCACAGCTTGATCTCACACTACCCGACCGAAGATCATGTCCAGACCTGGCGCGACGTTGTCTATGGCTCTGTAGTCCAGATCCAAAGCGAAGCCAAGGCCTGTGCAGGAGTTGTTGGTAATGTCTACTTGCACTCTTCGGCTGAAATCAACCCTGGAGGAACTCGACAGCAAGTTGTGAGTGGGTATAGTTATCCGGATATTAATACGCATTGGATTATTATCAAGGCCGAGATCGATTCGACGGAAGAGCCGGAAGAGATTCCATCGCGACTGGAGTTGGTCAAGAATGGGGATTTGGTCCGGTTGAGACATGTCTCTACGCGCAAGTGTCTGCATTCGCATAACCATCGGACGTACAGGAATTTGCAGAACAACAATTTGAACGAGGTGTCGGGATATGGTGGCCATGGGTTTGATGGCGACTCGAATGATTGGTGGGTGGTGGAGACTGTCGATGGAGAGATGTTGAGGGAGGGAACCAAGAGTGAGAGTGAGCCTATCAGGGCTTTGGAGACCACGTTCAGGTTGCGGCATTATGAGATTGGGTGCTTCTTGTTTGCGAGCGATTCATCGTTGCCGGAACCTTGGGGCGAGGGCAGGAGCGAGATTATTTGCAGGAGTGATGCGCGGGTGACAGACAAGTCTATCTGGCGCTTCGCCAACAACCGCCACGACTACCGTAAGTCTTCTTTCCATGGATTATATTTTCATGCGCGTTGTTTGTATGGCTTGCCTCAAGTCATTCTAATACCCCCAACTCGTATTTTTCGGCAAAAATAGTGCCAGCAGAGACGCCAAAGATAAGTTATCCAAAACCATCGTTCTGGGCAAAGCTGAAAGAGACACATGAACTGATGTGGTCGTACCGAAGCCCTCTCGAAGAAAACCTTCAGATCTCATCGTCAAGCCCTCGACAGTGGCCATTGGGTCAAGCCTTGATCTTTGTCTGGTCTGGATACCGGCGTCAGATAACGATTGTTGCCAACCCAGTCGTTTGGTGGACGAGTGCTATGGGTCTTACGGCCTATATGACTTCGATGGCTGTCTTCGCGGTCCGGCAGAAGCGTGGATATTTTGAGACTGGACGCCTAGGAGGTACACTTTTACCAACGGAATGAGATTGACGCGATAACATCTATCTTTCATTGTAAGGCTCATACTGACACCCCTTCTTTTCTCATGACATTATGATGCCAACCGATTTAGAGTTCCAGAGGTTCCACTTGAACGATGCAAGAACATACTTCACAAGCTGGGCCTTCCACTACCTCCCCTTCTTCTTCATCGACAGGGTCCTCTACCTCCACCACTACTTCCCCTCCCTCTACTTCTCTATCCTCCTCACATCTTCCATTCTCTCCGGCCTTGCAGGATTCCTCCCTCGCCCCACCCGGCTCGCGCTCTTCACGACCTTATCCATCCTCACCATTGCGGTGTTTATCCGTCTGGCGCCGCTCAGTTATGGGTCCGAGATGACAAGAGAGAAATGTGAAGCTGTGGGGAGGTGGGTTAATCCGAGGAATGTCGAAGGGGGTTTTAGGAATGAATTGGATTGTTCCTTGGCACCTTTGGCGATAGAAAGGCCCAAGTTGTTGTTGGTGTTGAAAGAAAAGGCAAAGGCGGAGAGGGCATTGCTAAGGAGGCAGAGGCAGGAGACCAAGACTGTAGATGGACAGGGACTTCAACCTACCAACAGCGTTGCTGCTCCAATTGCCACAACAACAACAACCACAGCAGCACCAGCAGCAGCAAACAACTTTATGACCGCCGAAGCAGCACCCATCCCAGGCTCCCCCTTCGCCGCCGGCACAAACCCGCTCGCCCCAGGTCCAAACGGCAAGACCCGCCTCTCCAAGACAAAACCCCAATCCAAACTCCGCGCTCCAATCCTTCTAATGCGTCTCCCACCCCTCAAACGCCGCCTCCCCGTATCCGACATCGTCCTCCTCCCCTATCAACAACCCCCGCAGCATTGGGACAGGGACGCAAAGGCCCAAATGATGCAGCGGGAGGATCTGAGTCTGTATGAACAGTTGCAGATCCAGCAGCTTGTCTCGGAGGATTATCAAAAGTTGAATGATGACGAGGATGATGAGGGTAGTCATGAGGAGAATGAGGCTCAGGCTGAGGTCGGTGACAACCCCCAGTATAAGGGTAATAACTATAGTCAGAACCAGAACCAGAACCAGAACCAGGGGAAGGATCAAATCCGATATGATGAGAACGGTCGTGTTGAGCAACAACAGAGCCAAGCACAGCAGATTGAGAACAGCATGGACAAAAGCCAACCTCCTGCTCACGAAAACACCCCACCGCCAACACCCGAACAACTGGAAGCAGAGATCGACAAAGTCCTCTCTCGCTTCTAAGAACGCAACCGCCAAGCAGCAGCCGCAGCGTACTACCATATCCGGTTGCCCCAAGAACAACTTCAAGTCGAGGACGATGAAGCCGGTATGGATGGAGACGTGTATGATAGGCTTAACCGACCACCTCTCGAAAACGCCAATGCGGAAGGCGGCGTTGCTGCTGTTGGAGCTGAAGGCGGTAGTGGAGGAAGAGGAAGAGGAAGAGGAAGGCGATCAGAAAGAAGTTGTCGACAACCAGGACGATCGTCTTTCAGTGGAAGCCCAACAGGGAGGATACCCACTCCTTCAGCAACAGCAGGATGACGCCTACTACGGTTCTGGCGGCTACGACGACGACGACGAAGGAGACGAGCAGCAAGAAGTTGAGATGAGAGGCCCTCCAATATCGGTCGGATCCGCAGAAGTACTTGAGCGGGTGTTGAAGAAACTACAGGAAGATGGCGTCCGTGCAGAGGTCGTCCGCGGCGCCGTTACCGAGACCATCGAGGCTGCTATTGCCACCCCCGTTCCCTCCAATGGTGCAATACATGATGAGTAGTACAATACTGACGGTGGATACAACGGTGATAGCGAGGAAGGAGACGAAGAAGAAGAAGGATTACCGCCACCGATCGCCTCGAGAAGCTTACAGCAGACGGTGTACGTGCAGAAGTGGTCCAGGGGGACTTGACATGCTACGTCGAGCCCCCCCATGGCATCCGTCTAAATCTACCTGACTCCAGTTCACCATATACACCAGAACCGGTGTGGATGAACACTATAGTCATTCATAAATATTTTGTATTTTTCTACAATTCGATCTACTAGCATTCTGTCGCTGTTACAGAACTTGTTGGCCTCAGAAAAAAAAAAAAAAAAAGTTGGGGAAGAGATTCCGCAAACGCAAGGGATATCAAATACAGATCTACTTTACACATGGCCCATAACAATACTAAACTGGAGCATGGTCGCCTGCAACGGATGATGATGGTGCCCAGATCCGTACCGCGATTGCGCTTCACAGTTACACTTCACCCCTTGAGCTGGTCCTTGTCGTCCTCCCTCAACCGCCTCAGCCCCATCATCATACTGATCTGTAGCAAAGGTATCGACCAACGGCGCACGGATAAAGATTCTGCCTTCTCCTACTACGCCGCGGTTTTCACATGTGCCGCCGTCGAGTACGCCGGTACATCCTGCATATCCACATCTGCAACTGTCATGGCTGTTACTAGGGCGACTGACCGAGGGTCTACTTGGTTCCTGCGCCTGTGGTCTATCGCCAATTTCTGCGACACCACTACTAGGGGTAGTAGAGCGAACAGGACCTTTGCCTTCCTGCTGTTGAGGTTGTTGCTGGATATCTTCGTCGTACTCGTACTCGTGGACGTAATCCACGTCCATCGCTGCATCCGTCACCGTCGTCGTTGTGGTTGTCGTGGCGGCAGCAGCAGTGGCTGGGATGACAGGTGTCACTGAACTAGCTCGATCGACTGCGGTCGCGGCGGGCATTGCTGCTGCGATCGAGGTAGCGCCCGTAATAGAAGTAGTAGACATAGTGGCGGCAGTATCTCCTTCCACAGATGAACAACCCTGTGAAGAGACCAAAAGCCCAGTGCAGTGACAACCCGTCTGCAACTTGATCCCCACATCGTCCTTTGGGACCGGTGATTCAGGAAGATACGCCGTCGAGCACAGATTCGACGATCTCCAACCCTATTAAGCATACATCAACCAGACGAAAAAGAAGGGGGGGATGGGAAAGTTAAATATCAGATGTTGCTGCCCCCATCCTTGTCAACTTTGAACGAAAAAAACAAACAAACAAACAAACAAAAAAAAATCGAGTGGAATATCTCACCCAGCTCTGCATGATGGCAAAGTCATCAGGACTACTCTGGAATTGCGTAATATCATGACCAGGCCCTAATCCAATCGCATAGATCTTGAACCAAGTCTTGGTCACCCCTCGCTTGTCCACAAAACAACTGAACGAGTCCTCGAACAATGCCGCTGCCGCCGCTGTCACCGTGTTATCCTCTTCGCTGTCAGATCCATCATCACCTTCTCCTTCACCACTTTCTCCTCCTGGTGAACCTGCCGGTTTAGGTCGTGCCCCAGCAGTGGAGTTAGAGGACTGTTGGAGTCGACGCAGTTGATCGGTCAGCATGGGCAGGATCGGGAGGTCAATGTACTGGTCCCCCTTGCTAGTATCACGATAAATAATGGGACGTCCCAAAGTAGCAGATGAACGACTGTGGGATGAAGGTGAAGGTGTAAAGAATTGGGGCAGACAGGGTTTCTTCCGCACACCTTCAGCAACGGTTGGCAACGAGTGTCGATGCAGGTAGACTCCTAGCTGCATGCCTTCTGGAAGGTCTGTTGGCAGCTTTTGAATATACAAGTTCCAATACGATCTATTCCATTCACAATAGACGGAGTGTAAGTGACATCGCTACCAGCACGATCTTCCAACAAATGCTAAATCAGGCCTCCCTCAAGAATAGCACCAAGAGACTTACCCGGCATAGAAAAAGGCGTCAGAACAGACGCGGGTGTTCTCCTTGAGTGTCTGGACATCCCCAAAGGCAACACTGAATCGGAAGGGCGGGTAGATAGGGAATTGCCCTTTCAAATCCTTCTCCACGTCATCATCGCCTCCCAGTGCACCACCAACCCCCGAAAAACCAAATCCGCTCCTAATGTTGCTAACGGTATCGTCCGAGTCGGGGTCCGTGGTCCGTTGCTTCTTGGCGAGTTGAATAAAAGCCGGGTTGGAGGGAGGAGACGACTGCCGATGCCTCCCTGGAAGAAGCTGGTCCCAAAAGGACGTCGCACTCGAGGAGGATCCGCTGTTGTTACTGCTATTGCTAGCAGATATGGGAATGGCGGCAGAGGTCGTAGGTGTCACTCGGGTCGCGGACATTGCGGCAGACGCCGATGTCGACGGCTGAGAAGGATGGTTCAGTTTGTTCCAGGTCGCAAGCTCCTGCAGGTTGGGCTCATCATCCTCTCCATTGAGTGTAGTGTCCCCCTCAGGGATCGGCTTGTACATTGCAAACGGTCTCCGAATCCAGTCCGAACCCTCATATCCCACATCAGTGTGACCTGGGAAATTTGGTGTGACGAGGCCGATAGTACTATTGCCACCGGTACCGGCGGTTCTATGACTGCCGACTCTACTGTTGTTGCGGCGGCTGTTGTTGGGAGTAGGGGTGGGTTCCTTGGGGCCGTGGGCCTCAATGAGGTTGCGGAACTCGATTTGGTGCCACAGGGCCTCCTGGATGACGGAAGAACGGACGAACCGGAGACCTGAGATGGGGTCAATGTCGCGTTGGATGCACTGCAGCTGCTCGAGACTCATGTACATATAAATAACTCCGCTCGAGAATAAGGCCTCATACGCCGCCTCATCTTCATCCTCGTATCCCTGCTCCTCTGTGTTCCGGCCATCAGCAGAAGAATTGTCGCCAGGGGGGAGTGTTCGGATTATGGCAGAAATGGCTCGACGGCGGTGCACAATCTGTCGACAAAGCTCGTACCGCTCCCACTCAGAGGGCACCCAAAAGGCATCCGAACCCAAGACCTTTAATAACCAATCCAAGGGCAACTGCTCAAAGACCTGCAGACAGATCATCTTGGGATCCTCAAACCCGTTACGACAGATGTATGAATGACAGGCCTCGACAATCTTGTCCGACCAAGGGAAGTAGTCGCTCTGGTGGCTGAACTCGATGTAGGGCAAGAGATAGTCGGTCCTGAGCGTCCTGATCGCAAAGTCTGCGCACTGCTCGCAGAGCGATTCGACTCCGAGGTAGGCTGCGACCGCCAGGACTGAAATCACGTTCCGCGGGCTCAGAATCGACGGTGGCACAGCCTGTCCGCTTTTGCTTGGCGAGTGTGTCGTATCCATGTCCACAAGGTCATCCGCCAGCCCCGCTCCAAAGTCCAGTTCATACTCCCTGTCCTCCGCAACACCTTCATCCTCGCGCTCAACAGCCCAGACCCCATAAAGTCGACCAATCGCAATATCGAACCCTTCCTGCGTAATGTTGGGGTCGTCAAATGTCATGTCCACCGTATCCTTGCTCTTCTCCTGCCAGGGACCTTGGAACATGTTCTCAAAGAAGGTCGCCTGCAGCAGTATGAGTCGGTGGAGACGATATGTCTTGCCGAACGCCCGTAGCGAAATGTCGGAACCTGTGCCGTGGACCAATCCATGAAGAGCGAAATGCTGAGAGATGTTGGCGAGGTACCTCAACATGGATGACGAGACGACGGTTGTGGACGGTTGTGCGTCAGTTTCGTTTGCTGTTGCTGTAGTAGCTTGCGTAGTCGTGCTATTCCTTCGGTTGCGGGCGTCCCTTGCTGCTGCTAGTCCCGTCCATGTGGTCCCCGCGGCGGCAGCAGCAGCCATGACAGTCCAGGGCGTCGTAGGCGAAGAAGACGACGGATATGACGACGAAGAACGACCGCCATTGTCGTTATTTGTATCGCGATCCATGCGAGTGGTTCTAGCAGACATCCACTGCGGACGAGGTGACAAGGTCGCCGAGGATGTGTAGAACTTCTGCTGTTGATGATGCATGTGATGATGACGTTGAAAATGCAGATGTGGCGGTTGTTGGGTACGGGGGGATGGTTGACTAGCCGAGCCTGTGCCTCCTTGACGGTTTGGCCCTGCTGCTCCTCCTTGGGTGGGCCCTGGGCCAGTTCCTCCAGTGTTGGTGAAATCCATTGGTTAGGTTGACGGGAGTTCTTGTTTCCTGCTTGAGAATGTAGACTCCTGTTTTCGTATGTGGTTGGTAATAGAGGAAGAGAAAGATAAGGAGGGTGATGACTGTCAACGCTTGTTTGTTTGTTTGCTTCTTTGGTGCAAGTGTAGTGACAAAAGGTGTTGGACAAAGGTTCTTGAGGGAAGGTGAAAGAAGCGTGTAAAAAGGGCAAAGGAAATAAAAACGTAAAAAAACAGGGACAGTGCGAAGGTTTAATACGGCATCTGATCAAGGTGGATATGACTGTCTTTTTTTTGGCCGCTGTAAGGATCATGTGGCAGGGGTAGATAGTCTCTATGACAAGACATACCAGAGGGCATGTGGAGAGGAGAGGAAGTGTTGCAAGGTTGGAAGGTGGAAGGATGGTACTGGTGTTCCAAGGAAGGAGGCTAGGAAAGGATGGGGAAGGATGAGGAAATGGTATGAGTTTATGGTGGGAAAAATAATAACAAGTTACAAGGGTTGGAGGGAGAGAGAGAGAGGGGGTGAAAACAAGGAGTGGTCGGGATATGCAAACATCAATATGACAAGGGTAGACACGTCTATTATTGTTCTATTGTTGCGTGCAAGGGAAGGTATACATGTATGGGTTCTCAGTTGGAGAGTAGGAGGGTGAAATGAAATATCGCTGTTTACCATCGGAAGGACGCTACCCCGTCGAATGCAACGAGGACAACGTGGACAACAGCGCAGCGAGTCAGGTCAAGAAGATAGGGGTGCGCTTGACGCCAAGAAGCAATAACAGACTGCGGCGAGGCAGTGGATTGGCGCCTGTCCGTGAAGTGGATGGAAGGAAAAGAAGAAAAAGGAGGAAACAACACTCAAGCAACAAATGGTCAACATGAACGCGACAAAGGAAACGCGTTAGACAACGTCTACCTCGACGTCATCATTTTTTTTTAAATTTTCGATTGGTTACTCTCTACTCTCACAATGGCAACCCTTGTGTCAGTCTTCTGACATTTGACAGGGTGAAGGGACAGAGGAAATGGTGGTTGGTTGGAGGAGGGGGCGTGTGTGGGTGTTCTCAGGGGCAGCGAATCAATTCATACGGCAAGCAACGACTGGAAAGGAGAACTCAAGAAAGAAAAGAAGAGGGTTAAGGTCCTTTCTCAGTCCTCCTTTTTCATGCTCACCCCCTATGTCGCAGAAATATAATAAAAAAGGCGCCAATTTTTCCTTTGGGCGTTTTCCCCTACTACCTTTGAGATAACAATACTTAGTGAGATGGATGGAATGGACAAATTAATTGGCAAGTGTGTAGACGATGAGCGAACAAAGAGAAGATTATTGTAATAGACGACCACAAAAAGATGACTGATGCAGCAATGAAGAAAGGATAAAGTGCTCAAATGGCATCACAGTATCAATAACGGTCGACATCTTCCCCTCCCCCCTTTCCTCCTCCATTCCAATGGGCTATTGTATACCCTACTCTAATGTTATCGCTTTTTTTCAAAAAAAGAAAAAAAAGGCTGCCATGGAGGAAGCCTCTATTTATTACAATTCTCTCTTTTCTCTATGAGACGTACGTTCAACACCGATCGATTCCAAGAAGCACAAGAGCGCTGAGTGGGAAACAACGCGGCGCGAGACTCGAGCTCAGCCAGCCAATGCATTATGTCCCCAACCTTGTCTTCCCTTGCAATGGTCCAACATGACTATCGTGCTCTGTGAATGAAATGCAAGGGACGGAGAAGAAATCCGGGAATGAAGGGAGGCGATTGACCGCCGTTTAGAGGACATGTGTTTAGTGGTTCCTCTTCTTACTTTATTATTTTGTCATCTCGCTGGGAGAACAAAAACAATGAATATCGAAGTGTTACTACGTTGAGCTGCAACTATTTTGACCCTAACGCTATGGAGACTGTAAGCAGTAAGAAAACAGAGTTCAGTGCCTTTCAGATCATTTGTTTTTCTGTCAAAAAGAAATAGGGGCAACCTAGAGGGTACACAGACAGAGTGACAAACACCCTTCCTTCCCTCTCATCTTATTTGCAATGTCAACGTTGTGGTCAAAATTAAACTTGCTGATCCGTGTACCTCAAATATGGTACCTGTTCTCGTTCTCCCTTCCCCACCTTTTTCTGTGTTTTACTCTTGTTGCCCTTTTGCCCTTGAACCTTGTTTTTCATTTTTGACATGTCCATCCTCCCTTGTCGAGACCCCCTCTGGTTCGCGTCTCAATGGAAGGAAGAACGAGCAAAAGACCTTAAAGGGCTTACTCGTCGCAAATTTTACTTCATCCTCTCCTTCGCAGCAACAACAACAATACCACCAATTGGTGTTACACAAGCCGGTTCATCGCTTTCCCTCCACTCCATGGACAATGGGCAAGGAGATGTAAACACAAGGATAAGGAATGGCTCACTCACTCACTTGCTCAAGTAGCCCTTTGATTGAAGACATGGAGCCCCCATCATCCACTTCTCGGCGTCATCATTTCCCTATGGAGAGAGGAGAGAGAGAGAAACAAGGCTCTTTGTTTCTTTTTTCCGTTGAAGTATGAAATGAAGAGGGACAGACTCTCTCTTCCATTCATTGGAAAGGAACAACAACAACAAACAACAAGGAGAGTGATAATCTCTCAGCCTATGACCAGCTCATCAAAAAGGAGAGCAGTCGTATCGTGCATGGCTTAGCAGAAAAGAAGGAGGAGGAGGGGGGGGGGGGGGCGAAGATTGATTCAAGACTTATCAATCACAAGCAGAGCAGAACGGCGTCAGGAATGAATATAGCCATAGTAGGTATGCCTAGGATCAGACCTCTCCTTGAACGACATAACGGCCATCTTTCTTTACTCTCGGCTGATATATACCACGGAGAGCACGTTCATGAGAGGCGGAACCACGATTTATTAATACTTGTTCTCATTTCTCTTTTTCCCTTGTCCTCGTTGTTGATTGTTGGTACTGTTAGTGTGTTGTGTGTTGTGGTGGTGGTGTGGAGAAGCCACCATCATGAAGTGAAATTACCCCATGTTTTGCTTGATTTTTTGTTCCAATTCGCGCGGCTTGTCTCATTGGACAGTCCAGGCTGTGTCCAATCCAGATTCCTCCTTCTACGGTGCCTGTCATTGGGAAGGAAACAAAGTGTGAATGTACGGATGATTCTTCATGTAGAGTTGTTCCAAGAGAGGAACCGAGAGCTATCGTCTTTTGGTACCTGAAGCCATGTATCGGAGAAAAAATCCCCGAATATTTTCAGATGCCCTTTCTTGGAGGACACAGACACTCGCCCTCCACATCATGTCTACTTTTCTTTTCTTTTCTTTTCTTGTCGCCGATCCTCGTCCAAGCTCAAGAGGGAATCGAGGCTTGTGTGGCTGGCTGATTTGGCTGGATTGGTCTTTGCAGAGGATCCGATCTGGTCTGGGTCAGTCTTTCTTTCTTTCATTTGTTGATTGCCTGTTGTTGGCCTTTGCCAAAATTATGTGTAGGTTTTCTTTTTTGTGTTTTTGTCTCTCAACTGCGCAGAGGGGTATAGGAAAAGATGGAGGGAAAGGAAAGGAAGAAAGTAGTGGTCCCTGACCTAACTGTGGCCAGGGAGTGGATAGATGCTGCCCAATGACGAAGTTGGGACAATTAGCCTGATTGTTATTGACTAAGCAAACAGCTAAAGCCACACAAAGCCATCATCACCTCTGCAAATCAGAGCCTGACACCAACTCCAGGAGGGATCGACAGGGGTGATCTGGCGGAACCTGATGCCAAGTAAAGCGTATATCCAAAAGGTACGCAACCCATAGAACCATACGAACAAAACAGAAAGACCCGACACGGATGCCCTCTCTTTGCCCTCTTTTGTTCATTGTTCGGTAAAGTTGAACTGTTGTTTGTGGGGTGAGAGGGGAGCGACGTAGGGTGACTCTTCGCTTCTGTTGAGCTGTTGAGCGGAGGCAAAACAAATCGAAAATGGTTGGGGCTGACATTGAAATTAAGGAAAGAAAAGAAAGAAATAAAAAAAAAAGGGCGAATGGCAAGGGAGTGCGTGCCCTGTTACCCCTCTGTACTCCTCTCCTCCTCTTTCTCCGCGCCCTCAAAGCAACAAAAGAAGAGACGAGGGTGATGACACTTCCACTCTGGGAAGGAAGGAAAGGTGGGGAAAGAGTGTTCCGTGGACAAGTAGGACAAGCTGAGCTGTCTCTGATCTCTAATCCTCTTATTTCTCAGACACACATATATAAACGGACAATTAGATACATACACATATTAGACTACACTCACAGGCAGGCGCAGACGCAGATAAAGAGCTGTTTTCCCGTAGGTGTATGCAATGGCAGTGCTCTCACCATTTATTTAGTTTTCTTGGAAAACATGACTTGACTGGGTAGGTGCAGCCGTAATATTTACCTTTCAAGATTATCAACATTGGATAATGGTGGTGTGGAGAGTGAGAGAGAGAGAGAGAGAGAGGGTCGCAAGTGAACGAATAGGATGATCGGCAGTACCAGAAGCAAGGATTGATTACCCTACCCCGCAGGTGTGTAACACTGTTCATGTATTGCAATTACAGCTACAGGCGTCCAGCGTAACCAATCTTGTTCCTCTGCCTTTCATTTCCCCAACCTCCTACTCAATGCAAAGGCTAGCGAGAGAGAGAGTGACAGAAAGAATGAATGGAAAGCTCGAAGGTTTGTTCTTGTCGTTGTGTCTTGTTGAAGGAGTTGACCGAAAGTATAGGAGAGGATCCATAATAATTAGCATTTTATTATTTCAAATCCATTCCA